TCTACTGTCTTTGGAGCTGAGAAAATGTCTTCCCCTGTCGTACGGTGGAAGAATGCTGCTGAAGTAAGGAAAATTGAAACCTCCTCGTCTCCAGTATCATCATCGTCACCATCAGAAATATTTTCAACAGGGTTATCTCCCTCTACTTCTTGTAGATATGCTGTAAAATCATCGTACGGCTCCTGGTGGAGTGTATAACATGCTTGTAGGTATTGGTCTCTTGCATATTTGCGTTCCTCATCAGAATGGTTTGTCGACCAACAGCCTGTCTTCTTACAGATGAAGCATCTTTTGCTTGTGTTCGTACGGGTAGGTTTTCCTTGGGATATGTTCCCTTGGTCTTGTCTTTCGTACGTCTGTCCTTGAGGTCTTCGGTAGGGTTGTTGCTTATATCTGCTTCTCTAGTTGGAATTATACCGCCTATCGACAAAGTTAATATCGTACGATATTGTCTTCCTATCGATTGCAACTTATAGCAAGGCTCGTAAGTTAGAGAATAGCTCCTCACATGTCTGGTCAGACTTGTAATTACTGAGGGCGTTCTCTAGCTCTGGTACGCCTCGGCATGCCTGGATAACTTGCGTGCGAAGCATAATTTCTCCTTGGAATCCTGTACCTAGTGCTCGTTATACGAGAGATAACTTATCAAATAATGCTTCGAGGACCTCGATCGGTTTCTTGTCTAGTTCCTCACGTTTAACTCGTACGAAAGATAATGTTATCCAATCTATATAGTAGAGATTGTGGTTAATATCTGTATTGAAATATGCATCTAGCATCTTGTAAATCTCGTCCCACCTCTTTGTTGGCCCGATATGGTGGAGGTAGAATTCCTCCGCACGATCGGCTAAGATGTCTAGAAACACGGCATGGTATTAGTCCTCTGTTATTCGCAATCGTCTGCAGAAGCTGATGAAAATCTTGGCCTTGTCATACAGGATATCGTACGGTTTGCCAGTATAGTTCCTCTCTTTCTTCCATCCCTTCTGAAAGACCGTAATCGTGCTTGGTTCGCACGGTCCATTCTGGACTATGCGTCGTGGTGGAAGATCGTAAATACTGTTTGCTGTATAGATACTTGTTGTACGATCCTGTATCTGTGGGAAGCTCTCGATCTCCTGGGTATATCTTGCCCCTGGGGGTAGATTCTGTGTGCTTGATTGATCTCGAGTATTTGACTTCCTGCTTGCTCGTTCGGTATCGTACGAAGGTTCGATTGACTCTATCGCTGGTTCAGCTAAAGTCTGACGTGTAGTTGTCTCTGGGGTTCGGACCGGTGTGCATGTAATAATGTTCGTACGGCTTGATGTTCTTGTCTGGGAATTATCCCGGTCGTCCGTAGAATCGAATCCTTTTGCTATGTCTGAGACTATATCGACTAATTGTTCTGAAACCGTCCTTGATTTAGGTAGTTGAAAGCCTTTTAGTTTAAGTAGTCGTGCGAACTCGGTTTTGTACGTCCGGTTAACTAAGTCCCATTGGTATGGCGACCATTGATGGAAGTCCTCGTACAATTTCGTAGTAAGTACTTCCTGTAGAGGGTCTAGGTATATGATTTCCATCATTACGTAGCCGACGTATGTTGTTAATTGTTTCTCCGAAGGTCCTGTTTCGATATCGACTAAGTCTCCCCAGTATTTCGGATCTGTAGACTTCTTCCATATACTAATAGGAATAGTACTCTTTGCACTCATGTCTTCGTACGTGACCTCATAGTCATTTTCCTCCTCCTGGAGGAGGTCTTGCTATACGATATCAGGTTCTCCTAATGTCGTCATGTTGGCAACCGTTTCGTATCGTACGGTATCTAGTTGGATGGTTGTTGAAATATGCCGTTGCGCACACTATTTGCTAAAGTATTGCACGATAGGATTCTTGTCCGGTTACGACTCACCGCAGCGACAACAAGAATCTGTCTCGTACGATATTATAACAAACCGTCTTCTCAAGCTAGTTGTCCGGTTACGACTCACCGCAGCGACAACAACTAGGCTAAGGCTCTTAGCACAAGAGATTTCCTAGCGTAACCCCTTAGGTATTCTTTCGAATTTCTCGCCTCGTACTTACGTACGAGACTACCCGGTAGCCCGGCCGTAAAACCTCGATCTTGTCTCTTCACTCTTGCTAATCTGTGATCGCACGATGCAATCACTCGTGACTGCCAAGCAATCACTGATCAGTATTGAATGGGCTCTCTGTACGATCGTACTGTCATAAATGTAGGGTGAACCAAAGATTCTATTTTCCGTGATTACCTTTCCTAACTAGATGTTGCCTTCCGTACGAACAGATATATCTCTGTCCATACCTAGACACGAGTCGTGCATGACAGGTAATAAACCATGATCCCTTCCTCAGACATTTAGGTGTTACAGGTGCTAGTCATGCCACCTATACACCCCTTTGCCTGTGACAGCCTTGTCGTACGGTCATGTGACTATCGTTATTCCAACAGCTAGAATTCGATTAGAGGAAAGCTAATATAATAGTTTTCTCCTTAAAGACTTTATAACTAGTAGATATAGTAGGCTATAATCTAGGAAGTTCTTAGAATATACTAAAGTAATTCCGAATTAGTTTTAAATTAATTCCTAATCTATTTAGAAAGGCTTCTTACCTTATACTTTATATTAACTACTTTAAAACTATATCTTTTTATAAACGGTTAGTAGGTAGTATATTATTAAAAACGTTTTATCTATGCTTATACTTATCTATTTATAAGTATTAGTATATTATTTCTAAAAGGGTTCTAAACCCGTTTAGAATCGATTCTAAATACTTACGAAACTACTTTCTATTTAAGATTATACTATAATACCTTTATTTATAATATTTTAATACTTTATAAGATTTCTAAAATAACCTTTTAATACTTTTAATATAGAAGATTCTAATCGAAATAAAAGTATTTTTTTCTACCTATATAAGTATAAGTTAAATATAAATAAATAGTAATTTAAAAAAACTAAAGTTATCTATTTTAATAAGAATTACTAAGCATAGTTATACTAAATCTATAATATAATTAGTTCTAAAATAGTTTAGGATCGATCCCGGATCGATTTAAAAGTAGTTCGTTTACTATTCTTTAAGGCGATTTAATATCCTCCTTATTTAAAGTCTTTATATTAATAACATAAAGACTTTATTCTTACTTATTTCTAGATATTTTATAAATATAAGTAGAAAGATTACTTTTTAAGTAAGTATATAAATATCCCTAAGGCTATTATGCTTAGAATAGGTTACTTCTAATAAAATAAGTATTAGAAGTATTCTAAATCGGTTTCGAGTTATCTTAAATCGATTTAGAACTAATTCCAAAGTCGTTCTTATATATCCCTACCTCCTCATTTACTAGTAAGCCAGACTGGGCCTGGGCTGGTAGTTGATAGTAAAGATTTAAGTCTTCTTTAGCTTCTATATCAAGACTAGTAGGTTTTAATAGAGGACTTATTCCTTCTAGGCGAGGGAAGAGATTTTCAATCGATTAAAAAGCCATTGTAAATCGATTCGGAACGGATTTAGAAGCGTTTAAATATCGTATATTCTTATAAAAAGTATATCAAGGGTAAGGTTTCAAACCGCGCTAAGGAATTTCAACCTGACCATAGCTAACTAGCTAACCATAGTCAGCTAATCTCAGGGTAGCCCTACAAATCACAAAATAAGTAGGTAATTGGTCAGGTTATCCCCCCCCCCCAATGGTCGCCTTAACCACACCCTCGCTCATCTGAATGTTGTCAATTTGGTAATGTCTAATTACAAGGCTGGGGCCACGGCAATTGAAGCAAGGGCAAGGGTCCATCGATGCGGAGTGCAGAAACACTGCAGACGGAGCTTGTGGAGTGGAACATTCCGCCAATGGAAGACGTCGTTCCCCTCCGAAATGCCGAGTGAACGCGTCTCTCGAGCTCCTTGGTTTCTCTTGTCCGTGGGCTTCACGTACCACACTGCGGCTCTTCGGCTAGCCAAACTAACTGAATAAGAGAAAGTATCATGAGTCAATCCTCACAAAGCGGCAGCTGAACCTTAAGTTCAAAGGCAATTGGTGGAACTGAGCTTTGGCTGCTGCACGGTTGCGAGTTACGCCTCCGAGACCTACCTAATACGCAGTGGAGAGGTGTCATTTTCTTGTTTGTTGCAGAACGGCAGATTGCCATGGCTGTCTGTTTCTTTTCGAATGGTCGGGGATAGATACAACCGGCTCCAAAAGGAATCGTGTTACTAATACGTTGTATTCGTCAGTCCTAAGCACGTCACTTGTTCTCACGGTAATTAGGAGGTGTAACCCGTCCGACGTCCACCGCGGAAGCCGTTGCGGAACCGAATCTTTTAGTAGGTAGGAAGAGAAAATGCCAATCAGATGGTTTCACGAAAGCTTAATTGATTGGTTTATATCGACCAGTTTAATGCTCCTTGGGACTCGACTGTTTTTGGCTGCTTGGCGGACTCTTCGGGAACCTGTGGATCTCGCTGAAACTCCCCCTCAATATTGAGAAACCAGGATCTGGGTGGTTTGACCCGTTGCTCAGACCGTCATGTAGTATGTGTGCACTATAGAGAACCCCTTAACTCTGTCATGGCTGTGCAGTCAATTTGAACGACAAAAAGCGTGTCTTCAAATAAGAATCAGTAGCCAAGCTTTTTTTTTTTTCGTTTTGAAGGTTGATTTCAGGTAGAGGTTGAAAAGGGGCTATGGAGCCGCCAAGTTCATTACTTGGGGTTTTGGTTGAGCTCGCGAGAATCATTATCCCCGAGACGCTTTTTACACCAACTTAAACTCTGAAAGGACAGGTTTTCGGTTGAGTAGGTTGTGGTAAAGACATTGGGGCCATAAGCTGTAGCCTGCCCTCTTACTCGTTACTACGCGGTACAGTACTCCATCTGTAACTGGCCTCATGTAGACTTTCTATTCGTCACAACTAGATTGGAAGCCGATTAATCTACTTGGCCATCCTCGTAAGTCTAGGCACCATTTCCTGTTAATTTGTATTCTAGACTTGGCTGCGGCGAGCAGGCGACCCCGAAAGTGGTTCACCATCGCTTGGACCCATACGTTGAACACTGGGCAGAGGAAATACGACACTTATCGGTGATGCCACCCTGCCAAGTCGCCTTCGCCTGTACGGCCGGCGTCTTGAGCGCGACCGACCGGTGACGTCCCATGATCCCGCTCTAGAGCCAAGCTCGCTCTCGGCGAACCCCACATCACTCAAATTGTCCATTTCCTCGAGCTCTCGTTCTACGCCCGGCGGTGGTTCCGCCTTGAATACCGCTTGAATGTCGCCATGAGGGTTGAAGCCACTAAAGCTCCAGTTCAAAAGTGACTGTGAGCGTGCACGCCGCGGGTGCGCTACCCTACGCCGCTCAAGGGCGCTTATGAGGAGTAACGCTGGTGCGTTGAGCGTGCGGATAAGCATGACATTGAGATTGTGGAACGATCGAGATGTCAACCCCGACTTGAGTGGCAGTAAGATAGCGAGTGCGAGCAAGTTGAACGGCGGGGGATATGCGAAGATTGAATCGCTCTTCACGCCTGCAAAGGTGATGACAGCACGGCGGAACTGAATTTCAGCCGGTGCGTCCGCGATGATCTTGGAGAAGGTATTGCTCAAAAGCGCCACGAGGAGCGTTAAGAAAAGGATGTTGCCCAGGAATGCAAAGGCTATCATCAGCGCAGGCCCCAGGACTGGATGAAAGTCAACGGAGCGGTCGATGCCTGTGCCGTCCAGGCCGAACCAAGTCCATATGAGCCACTTGGCGGTCTCAACCCAGCCTAGAGGTGTCCTATGAATGGAATTTGCGGTTGCGGCGTTGCTGCCGATGAGCCACTGCAAGGCAAGAAGAAACCCGGTAAAGCACCATATTGCGATAAAGGTAAGCCGCGTGAAGTCTCTCATCATGGCATGCATGGCGATGAAGACAATGTTATCCGGCATGATGGTGAAGGCCACTCTAGTGAGTAGCACGGGAGCTGCAACACACAGAATGTGTACGCCGTAGCCATCTGCCACGACTCCTCCATGGCCCAGGACGTCATAGACGCGAGCTAACACGTAGCAGCTGAAAATGAAGCAGAAGGTGATGTCAAGAAATGACCACAGGGTCTGAGAGTGGACGGCCCAACCGTGTTCTATGATTGCAGCAAACTCATTGAGAGTCCACCCAGCTGTGTAGATCGCAAAGAGGCATTCCCATATGCTTACTCTCTCACTGCTCCGATTCATCATCGTCAGCATGTACAAGATGACCAGAGCGATGAACTGAAATAGTTCCGTAACCCCCCGAATCCACGGTACAATCAACCGTCTCTCATCAAGCAATGGGGCCCGATGCGGCTCGTAGAGTGAGACTGAAATAAACTCATAATGGTCTGGGAGGACGTCGACAAATGACAATGGCGTGTAGGTTACAACTCCTTGATAGACTGCATCGACAAGTCTCTGGCATGCTGAAGAGCTTAGGAACACCTTGCTTTCGGATATGATTGCCAGTTCGAGGGCCGTAAGTTTTCTCTCATGACCATCGCGTCGCTGTACTGGCCATTGAAGTTGGCGACATTCGCTTTCCACCTCCTGGGGAGCTCCTTGGAAAGGATCGAATCCCTCTACGAGAATGTGGGCTAAGATTAGGAGGCCGATCTGGCCCGGGTGGTCTTCGTGATATCGCCGTAGTACGCGGCTGGCAACAAGCTCGCACAAGGTTGCACGAGCAACATTGACAGTTTGATGAGCAGTGCTGGTATGCTGTCTTGAAAACTGAATACGATTGGCAAGTAAACAATAGACTTTCGCCGCATTAGCTATATTTCCTCGATACAGGGATGTAAGAGCTTCACCGATAGTAGGATCGTCAGGGTCATAAAGCCTATCGACCAAGGGACGAACAACCAGGGCATTCATGCGAGGTTCCCGCAGTTGATCCAACGTATATGGGTCATCTGCAACGCTGTCAGCCATGTTCACATGGGTTGAGAGCGAAGTTTATCGGACCTATGCTTGCAAGGACAAGTCGCCGGATTCTATAACCGGCTTGCGTCAGTAACCGACGCACAAGTTTGGTTAGACAGGGGGTTTCACCGATGTATGGTGAAGTATACCGACGGCGGGACTTCAGTGCTTATGCTTCCAGTGGCGCTTACAGAAGCATGTCTCTCAGCCTCGAAACTGTTGGCAGCATGCGCTTCCGCATCTCCATCTCCCCATGGCGACAACGGTCGAGTCCAATCAATGAGATCTGGAGTTCGGGGGCTGTCTGCTTGTTCCATTTGACATCCAAGCACTGATGTGGACTGCCAAATGCTCTCAGGATGTGTTCGTGCCTTTACAGCGTTGCGTTGGACAGCCTCTGCTTCACCACTTCTGCAGTTCCCCCCTGCCCCAATGAACGCCCTCACTTTTGTGTGTTGATTCAGTGGGTAAAGTTGGTTTTCGCATTCAACATTTCGAAGGATTGTTGATGAAGAATAGAAATCGTGCATGTAGTTCAGCTTGGACTCTATCTTTGTGAGGGGTTTATTTACACTGCGCCCGTTCGGCTATCCTGACTCGATTCAGCGGCATAGCACTAACGCAATCCGACCGCTTGCACTGCCACGCTCAGGCACCTCCTGACGTCAATAGCACATGCGACTCACCGAGACTCTAATAGCTCACCGAGGTGACGATGCTTTAACGAAGGATGCTGTGATGCGTAACCTAAAACTTCATTTTGGCGTGACGGTGAACCAGGTACTTGTAAGTGCATGTCTGACTACAAAACCTTTCTTGATGCAAAAAGGAAAGAAAATCAAACAAAACAGTTGCGACCAAATCACAAATGGCTTCAAGTGACTGCAAAAGAGCATGGAACGTTTTGTTCCACCAGCAAAAGGTAATCTGAGAGGGACGAGACTCGAACTCGCGCGGGTTGCCCCACCAGGAAACAGATGTTAAGCTGACCTTAACCTGGCGCCATAACCAACTCGGCCACCCTCCCATGGGCACCTTGTCGAAGGACTAGTGATTGTTGACGGCGGAGCTTGGAGTTGTGATTATGGAGCTGGGCAAGTTAGGGCTCTGCCCAGACTGGGTTTCGTGGACTAGTGTAAAGTTCCCGAAAGAGGGTCCATCAGTCGACAGTGGGTCTGTTGTGGTAGTCTTAATAGCTCACCACTTACGAATAGACAGGCCATCAACGAGCAACTTCTGAACGCGCAGCTCTAATAAGCAGTTAAAATGTTGGAGTTTAGCATCGCTCTTTTTCATTGCTTTTGCAATAGGGTTTGAAGTAGATGATTCGGAGATGAGAAATGATTTATTTGAAGAAATTAAATGTGATGTTTCCATTGACTGAAGACCCAGCCGCTAAACCATTTTGTATTAGAGTTGCGAAGTAAAGGGTTCGTTTGAGGTTATGGCAAACTTTCTAAAATTGGTTCAAAGTTCTCTTGGTAATCTGAGAAACATCCTTTCTCATTTAGGTGGAAACGAGAGTTAGAAGTTATTGCTGAAGGAAGGCGCTGAGAACCATCATATCATCCAGAGAATGTCAGCTTTGGGATGGGAGCAATAACAAGAGCGTGACTTCAAATATCTTAATTTGCTAGAACTGATTCCAGGCTCCAGACACCAGTAAATGCACCAGAGACGGCCTGTGAAATAGTCGTGGCTCACGTTGCATGATTTACACTGTGATTGAGCCAGTCTTGTGAGAATCTAGACTAGGTAATTTGAATTTGGGCAATGATACTCCGCTGTGGATTCTCTCATTTGGATTACTTCGTGTAAGGTTCTCAAGGTTAGTGCTCGGAGTAAGGAAAATACACCAAGAGTCAAGATGCCGAAACTTCAGGGCCAGAAATGTCAGCAATATAAGTTGATTACATTGAGAAGTCCGTTAAATCAATGAATCACACTGGACAATTTTTCGCATTTTTCCTTGGTCACAAAACACTAAACTTAGAACGACAGAAGTGGTGTCAACTAGTATGGCTTCCGTAGTACACGCAAAAAACAATTGAACTTGATGTTGCTCAATTAATGGTCGGTAGTGTAATTCTTTGGTATTCATATACATTAAAACTCATTTCTCAGTTACTGCTTTCAACTAATCAACCCAATTACAAGAGGTATCTGTAATCAGGTGACAAATCTCCCAACTCCGTCTTCTCTTCTTCAGTAAGAGTCGACTGGCCCGCATGTTTGTCTCTGCTCTTGTTCGCCGCCCAGCATCCAATAGCATAGACGAGGCAAGATAGACCGCTCAAGATGACAAATGCAATACAGATGCTGTATCCAGGAATGTACTTGGGCGCGTCTTTCTTCAGGAAAGCAAAGACGGCGATGATACCACCAATGTTACCGAAACCAACTTGCCAGGCACTGCCGATAGAGCGGCGGTGATGGCCGCCTAGGTTCATGTTGAACCAGCACACGATGATGGGCATGGCGGTGTAAGCGCCCATGGCGACGAGGAAGAGTGCGGCGTACTGCACGGAGGTGTTGTTGTGCACCGAAATCAGGATAGCGAAGCCAACGATGGTAACGCAAATGGCAAAGACGGCGAACAGGAATCGGTGACGCGTCTTGTCCGAGATGAATGCGATAATCATGGAGAAAGCAAAAGCCGCGGCCCAAGGAGGCACGCTGTGCAGCTGCGTCTGGATGCTGTCGTAGCCATAGGACTGGATGATTCCGGGCGCAAAGTAGGCGTATCCGTATGCGGGCACAATCAGGCCGAAGTACATGAAGCCTCCGACAATGACCTTGTAATCCTTGAAGAGGTTGCCGACATCGCGGATCGTGGTGCTGCGCTCCACCGCTGAGCGGCCCTGGTCGACTCGCAGACGCGCCGAGACGAACGCCTTCTCCTCCTTGCTGAGCCACTTGACATCTTCAGGGAAATCGGGCAGCCAAAAGTAGAAGAAGAAGCTGACGATGACGGTTAACAGGCCCTCGAGGATGAAGATCCAGCGCCAGCCGGCGTAACCACGCACGCCACCCATCTTTCCGATTGCGGCGGCAAGGAGACCACCAAAGGCGCCTGCAAGGGTGGTGCTACCGAAAAAGAAGGAGTAGCGTCTCTGGGCTTCGTGTCGTTTGTACCACATGCCGATGAGGTAGAAGGCTGGTCGAAGTCATGCAAATGTTAGCGATCAACTGCGTCTCAGACAATACATTGAAGAGTTATTGCCACTAACCGCCTGGAAACATGCCAGTTTCAAAGATTCCGAGTGCTACACGCGTCGCGCAGAGCCCAGCGTAGTTCTGAACGAAACCCTGAAGCATGGTGACGAGGCCGAAGCCGAACATGTTGATGCTGAGCCAGACATGGGGTTGGAACTTCTTGAGGAGGATGTTGGAAGGAATCTCGAGCAGGATATACGGAACGAAGAAGACGACAAGAGCGTTGTTGTACAGGGTGCCGTCTAGGCCAAGTTCTTTTGAGAGACCAAAGACGTTGGCGTTGGCGATGTTGACTCGATCTGTTTGGCGCAACTACGGTTAGAATGCGATCATGATTGGAACACAGCGCATTTCAGCGCGATTGAAGGAGTATCTCACCAAGAAAAGCCAGCAAATACATAACGCACAGGAAAGGAATAACGCGCAGGTCCTATGTGTTCGTTAATTTCTCTCATTCGATTCCAAGTTTAAGGAAATGAAGTCTCACAATCTTGGTCAAGAGCTTGCGCTCCGTTGTGTGAGGCGGACATTGGATGTGCTCTTCCTCGTAGACAGGACGCTCGAGATCGGTCGCATGCTCAAGCGAGCGCGACGGCGAATCGGCCGCCTTGTTCTCCTTGTCGTATTGCATCTTGGAGGCTGTCAACTTTTGAGATTTTGGAACTCAATTGGACTCTTTTACAGCCACCAGGGACGCGCTCGTAGGACACGACCCGACAGGAAATGAGCAAGAAAAGGCGAGAAGCTTGAAAGTTGCGTCGCAAAAGGGTATGCGACGATCCGTCCAGGGCCACGGCCAGCTTTTATTTCGTCATACAACTTTTTTTTTCGACAGTCTTAAACGGCAGTGATGAGTCGCGGCCGACCTCGGGGGTCAAAAGATTCCCGGATGGACAAGGTCGGTGATCCTCCCGTCTCCACAAGACCATCAAAAGTACGAGCCAACACCACCTTAGACATGGAGCGAGTTTAGTGTACCACACCTGGCAGCGGCACGGCTAACAAGGGTGGCTGTCTCTTAACAGGTCTTGACTCTCTCTCTCTGTCTCTCCCCCTTGTCCCTCAAGCCTCTAGCCGAACCCCGCATCCCTCCAGGTCGTAGCGGCATTCAATAATATGCAACATTACGCTTGGGGCGTTTTGCTGCAGCTGAATAATGCTTCGCATGAGCTTTGGCCTTGGTCAATGAGTTGTATGCTGGTTTGTCAACACGTGTTTTAACCCTTCAAAGATATAGATAGGCAATCCTACAATTCTCTAGCAGTATAATGGTCCAACCGGAAACGGTCCAGACTCAAATGTTCTTGTTAAATCTTAAAATGTCCCCATACACTCTATTCACCACTCCACCCCGGCCCCGGATCGGACTTGGCTTAACTCCACCTTGTCCGCCGATGCAGGAACTGTGACTCTGTGAGTAATCCAGACTACAAATTTCTCGCCCATGGTTGGTTACTGGATGACTGTTTGTCGCCCCCCCTAGTCACGTCGGTAGCCGCCGGCCTCCTCTTTTTGAGGGAAACAAGAACTGATAACACACATACTCGGTCCGGTGGAATGCAAGTATGAGACAGCCCCGGACTTACTAGTAACCTCGACATCGGCCGCCGGTCGCCCGGAGACTATCCTCTTTGGGGGCTGGACCCGTTGGAACCAGTGTGACTCAAAACAGTCGCGGCGGCTCTTCAGTTACTAATGGTGGTGGCAAGGGAGTCAGCATTAGCTCGAACGGCAGGTTTTACAGAAGTTCCTGACGGCTTCATCTTACCCCGCGATAGCCAAGCCACGCGCCGCTATGCAGTCCTTTTGTAGCTTGGTGGTTGGTGACAGACCTCGGCTACAGACTTTAGCAAAACTTGCGATGTGTTTTCTTCGAATAAACACCAACCTGCTTATTGACCAACCTTTTCTGCATGTTTTGAGCTTTGCCACGTCTCGTAATGCGTCCAATTGAAAGTCAGACTCACGATTGTTTGCAGGCGCAAACCGACGTCATCTGTTCCGTTTCGTGGAATAATCTCTTAGCGCTAGATGGACATGCTTTAGCTTCCCAGTGGCAATGCATTAATTAGATGGCAGCAATACCAGTCTAGAACATTACGAATGGTTTTCCTTTTTTTCCCCAGCCGCCACAAAGTGCCAAACGCCACGAGGAGCCTCAACGCTGGTTAACCGCAATTGAGGTTACTAAAGCTTGTCAACCTCCCAGAGTCAGTTAATCAACGTGCTTGCTTCATTCTCAATCAGATTGACCGGTAAGGTAATGAGCATAGGCGCTTGTGACCAACTTGTAGCCCAAGTGAGCGCTGAGAGGATTGACTACCGATACGTCCATTTACCTGGGGTATCCAGGTTGCATTCCACGTGAGAATTGACTTAACCTTGTTCCGCATAATTCCCGATTACGGGCATTTTAATAACTCGATCGGATCCTTGTAAGTACCGGAGGCCACAGCAATGGCTAAATCCGCCCAGCCGGGACGAGCACACAGGTGCACATAGACTTATCCTCGTCGCCGTCGGAGCTTAAACTGACGTAGACTGCAAAGGAAACTCACCCTAGCAGGTGAGGGACTTGAGGGCTTACTAGCATATACAAGGATGTTTGACAGCCGGATCCGTTTTGGTTAACCGTTCCAGGGTCGTCGTATTTGCTTACCTTAAACGAGGACTCAATGAGGCTATGGTTACCTAACAGGAGCCGTGAACCCCTCTTTGCACATCCTTCAACGGGTTTTGATTCACATCATCCAAAATGTCATACGGGCAGTTCATGCACCGGCCAAGAAGTAAGAACGCTTGCGACGAACCAATATTCTTTCTGGGATAACATTCCTCCGCCCCGCTACGTCATGTATTTATCCCGCAGCATCTTAGCTTACATCAGTCCAACATCTCCACAAACCATTACAACACTGGTTCTCCTATGAAAGCTCCCGTTCTTTACATTGAAAGATACAAAAATGTCTCAGACCCCAGATATTAAGATCCTGAAACGCTGCGTTGAGCTCGCTAGAGAAGCTCTCGAGGCTGGCGATGATCCCTTCGGCTCCGTCCTTGTTAGCGGAGACGGCACCGTTATTCGCGAAGACCGCAACCGCACCAAGACGGGCGACAACGGAAATGGCCAGCCCGATGCTACCCTGCATCCGGAATTCACCTTGGCTCGCTGGGCGCAACTGAATCTCAGCAATGAAGAGCGTGCCAAGGCATCAGTGTACACCTCTGGCGAGCATTGCGCCATGTGCGCTGCCGCGCATGCTTGGGTTGGTCTTGGACCCATCGTCTACGTATCTTCAACGGAACAGTATGGTTCTTGGCTGAAAGAGTTTGGGCTTGAACCAGGTACGAAGGTGGCGCCGCTTCCTATCAGCCAGGTTGCGCCCAACATTCCGATCCAAGGCCCGATTCCTGGGCTTGCAGAGGAGGTTAAGGAGTTGCACAAAAAGAAGCACGAGAAGAGTTCTTGACAGGCTTCTGCTGGAGGATTGAGAAAAGCGAGAGGGTCTTGTCGCGGAAATATGGGATCATGGGTGTCTTAGGCGGGCTAGTGGAGTTGCAAGGAGTTAGAGTAGAGTTGACAGAAAAGCCAGCAGTATGACGAAAATAGGAAAGATTCAATGATTGAGATTACAAAGAAGGCTTCTGCGGCCTGTGTTCTGCAGAGAGAATGACTCATCATCTCGAATATTGAATCTATCGTCAGTAGAAACGTTCTGAGTTCATGTCTTTTTTAAGGGGCGACGTTGAAGTTTATGAGTACGTAGACTACTGTAGAATATGCCTGGGCTATGACTGTCCGAATTGAGCTCGCTTTGAGTTGCTTATGTATATGATCAAGTCAGGTCATTTACGGTTGATAAGCTCATGTCAATTCCATTTCCTCAGAACTCTTTCCCAGAACTGCTTCAAATACTTTTATGAAGTGATATATTTGTTAGCATCAAAAGGTGGTCCTTGAAACTTAGTTAAAAGTGAACAATGCCATATAAGTTCGGTTCAATGAGCAACTAATAAAGTTCTTTATTCATTCGCAACGATTCCCTTCAGTCTCATTTCATTGCTTATCTAATCCACCACATGCAGTTGCTTAGCAGGGAAAAGGCCATAAAGAGACTAGAACAACTGTGATGGCAAGTTTGGCTACCTGTGTTCGGGAAAGCTGGCTCAAGCGTGATGCCGCAGCAGACGGCTCTTGCAGAACCCTGGAGGATGAGCAGCCAAAAAAAATAACGCGGCGCTACTGTATGAATTCAATCACAGTTTGCCCTTTTTTTCACAGCCTCGATGCGTTAGTTGGCCGTTCAAACATGTTCTAGAAGCCTACCTCATTAGTGTGGCAACGAGCCAGAGGTTTAGTGCTCTAACAGTCGTATGCAACCGAATTTTGCCACTTTTAATTGCCTACTGATTCAAATCTGACGTTGGATAACTTATGTGCCCCTCTAAGATGCAGCAGGCGGAACTCCGAGGTTGCTCCAAGCGGTAAAATACTACGGACTACCCTCCTGTAAGCCCAAATGCTGACACCTTCTCGTTTGCTGACGTTGTATTTCAATCAGACCATGCATACTGCAGTCGGTTTTAACGTATAACCCTCCAGTTTCTTCACCGCAGCGAAGCTTATATCCAAATATGAAAGCTTACCTGACTTTCTCTGTACTGTTTACTTCTCCTCCTCCAAACCTTGGCCCAACATCCTAAACAGAACGTCTTCATCAGCGCCTCATTCTTAAGACAATGACTCTTCTCAAAGTAACCGAAGGCAAAGTTCCTTTCGCTCATCCCTCTCTACCAGCAGATTCAAACCCGCATACCTTCTACCGTATACTCGGTGACATTTCTGTCGCGAAGCCCGTTGTCGCCCTCCATGGCGGTCCTGGAATTCCGCACGGCTATCTCACGCCACTCTTCGAGCACTTCCATAAACAGACAAAGACGCCCGTAATTCTCTACGATCAGATTGGGTGTGGGCAATCCACTCGCTACCCAGAGAAAGCCGGGGATGAATCTTTCTGGACCATCGCCCTCTTTGCCTCCGAGCTTGATAATCTGCTTGAGCATCTCGGCGTCAACGAGTTTGATCTGTACGGCCATTCTTGGGGCGGAATGCTTGCTGCGGTAGTCGCGACGGAGTCCTCTTCGCCCAAACTAGCTCATAGAGTCGAAAAATTGGTTCTAGCCAGTAGCCCAGCAAGCATGAAGCTTTGGGCGACGGCACAGCGTGCTTGGCTGAAGGGGATGTCAAGGGAAGTCCAAGATGCCATTGAACAGGCGGAAAAGGACAATAATTACGAGTCGAAGGAGTACCAGGACGCAGTACTAGAGTATTACAAGGTGCACTTGTGTCGTGTGTGGCCCTTCCCCCAGGCTCTAGCGGACGCTTTCGGAGAGTTGGAAAAGGATCCAACTGTGTATATGACCATGTGCGGGCCTAGCGAGATCACTATTACTGGAAACTTGAAAGGTAAGTTGATCTGTTGCGCATGGGTCATTGTCGAGCATGGAGCCCAACGCTGACCGTTTTCAATAGACTACGATTGGATCGAGGAGAGTAAACAGATCAAAGCTCCAACTCTCGTTATTCACGGGGAGTTTGACGAGGCGTCGACCTTGGTGGTCGAACCTTGGCAAAATAGCATCCCAAGTGTGCAATTGGTCACTCTTAGCGATGGCGCTCATATTGTCCATCTGGAACAGCTCGAGAAATACTCTGGTTTGCTGGAAAGATTCCTCCAAGGTTAAGAACACGCTGCTTTGACTTGACAGACATCTTCGAATTTGAACGGCGTGCTCGGTTTCGTTCAGGATGGAATGTTTTCTGCAAAGTTTGAAAGGATATGACTACTATTATATGAGTTGAAAGCAGCTCAGAATAACGTTCCTTCTAATCCATGTGTCTGTGACCCCCTCATTATCCCCTTTTCCGTTACCGTCATCCGTAAACCATCTTCCAGTCGTAAATCATAAATCGTTATCCGACCCTCAAAGACTCCATAATGCGCTAATCGAAAATCTCGTAATCGTCATTAGGAACCTCCTCGTCGTTTCGCTCCCGCCTCCCGTCGCCAGATTTTGAGCTTGGATTGTCGATTTTTACGACGATATACTCTTTGAACATCCATCCCATGTCACTCATGACCTGCTCGGTCTTGGTGACTTCCTTGTCCCTGTACGCAGCCCTCCGTCCAGATTCTAAGAAATACTCCAGCTCGTTCTTCAGCCTCCACGGCTGCATTTCCATCCGCCAAACCCACTGCTGGAATTCCCTCCTCTCTTCCCTCATCCAAGGCTCCCATGGTTCAAGCCGTTTGTATACCTTCGGCGCCAGTGGCAAATACGAGCTCCATGCCCTCCGGCGGAACTCCAGGTACCCCAAGGCGTGAAGGAAAGCGAGTGAAAGCGTTGTATCTTCATAGTCATAGCCCGCCATATCCGGCACCGGTTGACTGCTTTCCTCCGCTCGTGATTGTTTATCAGTGATAAAATCACGTTCCAGAAGGCCAAGCACGTCCGTGAACTCAGTTGAGTTGAGGTCCAATATGCTCCTGTCCTTGACCACGGCTACCTCCACAAGCTGGTGTATTCCCTTGTAGTCTTTGATACAGCACTGTCCGGTATTCCAGACACAATACCGGCAGAAGAACACGGTGTCCTCCTCGTCGCTTTCGCATTCGTCGCAGTAATAATTGCAAAGCACCGTGTCCTCAAAGCATCCTTCGCCGGTCTTTACCCATTTCTGCGCAACATAAGTCTGCATCAGCCGCACAGCCTGGTCGTCGTACCCGTGTCGACAAAGCAGAAGGCGAGCCAAGTCTCTCACGAGATGGTAGTGCGCGTCTACCGTTCTCTCGGAAGCCGACCTCAACTCTGAAACGTATCGGCAGATAATCTCATCGACACTGTCCACTGCCTGTCTGTCCAAGCGTCTGTGGTTTCCTCCGAGTGCTGTATCGAGAGGCGTTAATAGCTTGTAGTTCTTCACACTCAACATCCCCTGGAAGTGATCAACTCCGGTTTCCTCCTTGAGCCTCTCACACGCACGATGAACTTTTGTCGTTATCTGAGTCGCCATCGCGAGTGGAATGTTCGCGTGCAACACATTCTCCCCGTAAAAGTCGACATTCCCGATGAATTCAGCCAGCCTGGGATGCTCAAGCAAGGCATCAAGAGCCTTGGGATGCTGGGTCAACGCCGCAACCTGCAAAGCACTCCTCCAGCGATTTTCTGAAGTATTACTACTACCACCAGGCCATTTCTGTCCCTTGGCCGGGTCAGCCCCCATGTCCAATAAAAGCCGCACGGCGGGCAGATCCCCGCTCCTGCAGGCCTCACCGAGCACGGTATACCCGACCGAGCTGACGACATCGTCCACGCCAAGGCCGTGCTGAATCAGCATTTGAATGATTTTGTGTCCTCGGCCGCCGCTGGAGCGTCTAAGTGCTTTTCCGACGCAGGAGTTGTAATTCATGCAACGGGGTGTCATATCTGCACCGTTTTCGAGAAGGTATGCTACAAGTTTGAGAGCGCCAGAGGAACACGCTACCATGAGTGGTGTTTCCCCCTCATAAGAGGGGATATTGATTGTTTCCGGTGATTTTGCGTGAATTAGTTTTGCAATTTCTAGCTTTCCTTCAGAGCAGGCTGACCAAAGCGGTGTTTCCTCGTAATGGTATGATCGGATGTCTGTTTTGGCGCCTACTTCGAGGAGATAGCGAACGACGTCTAGACGGCCTTCCCTCGCCGCGATATTGAGTGGTGTCTCGCATACCAGACCCATGTTGTCTTGGTAATTCAACAACTCCGGCTCGTGCTCGATGAGTACTTTGCACATGGGCAAGTTCCCCTCTTGAGCAGCCGCCTGCAGGGGAGTTTTAGAATCCCCCGGCGAAAGAAACCGTTTCGTATCCGCACCGTGGTCTAAGAGCAGACGGACCATGTCTGCATTCTGATTCAGTGCTTCCACTAATATGTGGTTGAATCCTTTGGGGATGTAGTTGATGCTGGGAGGAATGGGGTTCTGCAACAGAAGTTTGGCAATATCGATATTTCCCTTGCCCACGGCCGAGTCAAGAGGACCCGGAAACCCGTAGGCCTCTTCTAAAGTGGGATCAGCTCCGTTCTTCAAGAAAAGCTCGACCATTTGGTAGTTTTTGCGGGTTACAGCTCTCATGAGCGGCGACCTCGAGTAATGCTTGTCTTTGGGGTTCAGGGTGTTCAGAGGACTCTTGTAGGAGAGAAGCAGTTCGGCTACGTCAAGATTTCCAAACTGGTTCTTTTCAGTATCGCTATATTCAGTAAGTCCAAGTGTCTTTTTTTATGTCTACTCAAAAAGGTGTTCATACCTCGTTTCGTCTTTTCCGGTCTCGTCAAAGTCCACTGCAATCTGGAGCGGCGTCTTGTCGGTAGCCTTCGGGTGGCGGTAGGGGCTCGCGCCAGCTTCCAAGAGAAGCTTGACAGATGTGAAGCTCTTCTCTGCGATGGCGAAAGACAGCGCCGTCTGACGTATCGGTTTGCCAGTTTTGGATACGGAGTCCGTTAAGAGGTTCAGATCCAAGTCGGGTCTTTTCAGCAGATGGGGCAACCAATCGGTGTACATTGGTTGAACAAGAAAATGTATCGCACCGAAGCCGCCGTCATCAAGCTGATTGATATCCTCTACGTGATTCAGCAGGAGCAAGAAAGTGTCAAAGAGCATATTGATTATAGCTGCCGTGAGAGGGATCAGTTTATCCGGGGGTGGGAATTTAATGTTTAGGTCGGCTCCATTTCGAATGAGACTCATGATTATCATGTGCGAATCTGGTGTCGGTTTGCTAAAGGCTTGGTGAAGCGGCGTAGAGCCGTTTTTGTCTGCAATGTTGGGATCAGCTCCGGCGTAGAGGAGCTCCCGGACCAAAGGCAGGTTGCCGTTGCTGCATGCTAACCACAAACATGTTTCCCCTTTGTATGTAGACATATTGATATCGGCTCCAGCATCGATAAACGCGCCAACCATGTCTATAATGAGGCCTTCATCCGGGACTTGGATGAACTTGCAGAAAAACATCATTGCCGTGGCACCTACGATGGGGTCTCGCCAGTTGATATTCGTCGGGCGCTGTAGAAAATAATGAACCATGTCGGGGAGCCCGCCAGGTGCCTTTGCCGCATGTATCAAAGGAGACAGGCCGTGGACATCCAGAACCATATGCTCTTGTCGATCCCTAAACGAATCAACAAACTTGGCAAATTCGGGGAATTTCCGCCAGGTCTTGCGTTTCAATCGCCAGAACATTCCCCAGATGCCGTCTTGCCACGGGTATGTCTTGGGATCATCTTCGAAGATCACATCGTGAACGAGGTGAGCGATGTTGGCTGCGTTTGCCGGGATCAAGGCAATAGTAGGAGGTGTGATGATGGATGAACTGCCGAGGGGACCTTCCAGATAGCGACACCAGGTCAGATAACAGTAAGAATTGATGAAATGTCGTAATCGGGGTATCAGTTTCATGCCCTTCTCTTTGGAAAGTCGAAAGTGTTCTCGCCAGTTGCAGGCCGCATAGTTGTAGAACGGATGGTCCTTTGGATAGTTCAAAATGGTATGCTTTGCATCGAAGACGGCCTGGGAGAGATACCTGAGGCATAGCGATGCCATATTCGCGTGCTGCTCCTCGTATCCCACGTACGTGGAAAAATGAAATTGTAGGGAGGGATGTATGGGGTAGACTTCGAAGTCGTCCGATACTCTGATGAGCCGAGGACACCGGTGCATCATTATCGTCTGTATGTCAATGAACCTCAGGCGAGGGGTGTCATGCAGACACGCGAGGGCATCGCGAATTGCGTGATTTCCGACAAAAGTCAAAGTGCTGAGGATGATATGCAACGCAGAAAGAGCGTATTCATCATTTGCAACGCTCTGGAATAGGGGCAGTAGGTCGTGATCATAGTATTGCCCCAGTTTCTGGGGTGATGGGAACAGCCTCCTGCTCATCGAGTACCCGTACTCGTACTGCTTCGCAGTCGAAATCGTGTCCTCCATGGCGCAAGTGGCGAACAGGAAGAAAGATTCCGCGTTTTCCTTGATCCAGAATCCCATCTCTTCCTTTGGGTCCTTGGTGGACTTGACGTTGCAAAAGTCCTCAACCGTCTTGTCGACGTACGTGCTGATGTCTTTCCGTATCTGTTCGTCTTTCATTTTTACGCGTGTGGCGCTTACTGACGCCAGTTCCATGATCTCATTTGGCGTGTAGGTGAAGAGAAACTTGAATCTCACAGTCTCCCGGGGGAATGCTTGGGTTAAATGGATTTGGGACACGATTCCAGTCGGGGCTGCCGGAGCTGTGCGGGCTGCAGGGTGTTCAACGAGAGAAGCCACCAGCTGAAGGAACTCTTTGGCGTATACCGAGTCACATTCATTGAGTCCATCCACAATGAGAAAGACAGTGGTAACCTTGCTGGGACCTTGCGTTAGTTGCATTTTCGTCATGATCTCACGTAGGATGTTGAAGAGGGACGCCATGCTGAGCTTTCCCTGAGTATCCGGATGCTGATACCGTGACTCCAGTGTGTCGAACCAGGCCGGAAACTTTCGCAGGATCGACTTGATCATGTACTCCATAATGGGTGGTTTTTTGTCGCCCGTCGCACTGACATTACAGAAGAACGGGAGCACGATTTTATCCAAGTTCAGATCACGAGTGCCCTTCCCAGAAAGATGATTAGCAACGGACTTGGCCAGGTGTGTCTTGCCACAGCCAGCAGTGCCAAAGACATAGAAGTCGTCGGTAGTGTTGGACTTGGACCACTGGAGGAAGTAAGGGTGAGACTGTATCCATGTGCAAGTCCCAGGCACCGGGTTGATGTCGTATCCAAGATGTGCTTCGTTCCAATCGCCAAGCTTAGCTACTAGTCGATCTCTACGCTCCTTTGCATATTCTATACATCCAATCAGAAAGTCTGCCAGCAATCAAAGGTGCATAAACATACCAACACTCTTCTTCCTGAGCCACACATCAAAAGAGTTTTCGTCCAGCCCTCGCATTTGTGGAGGCGGCAGCAGCGGACGACCAAATTGAGGGCGCGGTCTAATTGGAGAGTCTATTCTGTCAAATTTTGTCATGTTTACGATGTTTTGTCATATCTCAATTGCTTACCTGGCTCTGGTGAAGAAGATCTTGAAGAAGGGGGGGCATTCCTCAGGTTAGGAGGAGGGGGTGGAAGGAAAACTTTTTTCGAGGGATCTGCCGATGCCTTTGTCATTAGTTCCATTACATGTTCGGAGACCTTCAAGTAGTTGTTGTCTGCTGGAGATGGGAAACGTGTCAGCTCAAAATGGTTGCAATCTATTGTGAAGGTTTTGCTCTGGGGCGAGTCTAGTTCGGCGCGACGTTTTGGTACAACCTATCCAAATGTAAGTAGGTGAGCCTAGGAATGCTTTGTAAAGGGGGTTTCACCAAAGTCTTTTGGGGCTCGGCACCCTCTATCTTGAGCTCAACCCGCCTTGTGGCAACGAAATTGAGAATGTCAAGGTCAGGAGGTAGTCTCTCCATAAACGTAGAGTTGACCTCCCGGACGGCGTCCGCGTACTGCCTCGTGTCATCCATTGATAGCTTCAAAGAGCCTTTCTGTAGGTTCAGTGCCGCAATCGTTTTGACGGCTGTCAAAACCCCCTCTGAATCAGTGCTGTGATGAACCGTGTCAAAAAACACGACTCCGGCCAGTGAGTCTCTTATAAGAAAGAACTCTGGGCAACTCATTGAAAGGATTACGGCCTAGTGATCTTGATCAGAATGGTCCGAGTTGGGTGTCTTTTAAGCTGTACCTTTTTGACAATGGTGCCTCCCAAGCCATGGCCTATGAATATGGTAGGTTGTCCGCCCTGAAAACAATCTGATGAGCCAAAGGTTTCCCATGGTACAGTTGAAAACGCACCCGGTTGATGATGTACCCGGTCATCATCAAGGCCAAGAGTTCATTGGCATGAAGCGCAATGCTAGAAGGCGTCATGTTCACCGACGGCTCCGAGTTGAACCCGTACGTCCATATCCTAGCCGAGTTTGCGAAGGTCCCGAGAAACTCAGGATCTGAAATCCACGTCTTGCCGGACTCGTCATGATGCCACGTTGTCTTGGAAGAACCCCCAATGTCGTGGACACAGATAACGCTATTTCAGTTCAGCTCTGTAAAGCTCTTTAGCGACGAAGTGGGCACTCACTTGACAAGAGGTCGCCATTTCGGCGGCGCAAGGTTAAGATTCGGAGGATACACGACCTCCAAGTTTGGAATTATCATCATGACGGCTCTTATGTCTCTCTCACATCGGCTTAGGTTGCGCTTCACAGCCCCGTGTACACCTTCTGACCACACACATGAAAGCTGTCAACACAACCGAGCAAAAGGCGCAATGCAAGACGATGAGAAAGTTGAAATGCCAGCCGTCCTCGACAGATGTATCATACCGATCAGATCAGACTAGGCTACAGCGTTGCCTTGGCTTTCATGACGATGACTGCAGCAGAGACCGGTCCGGAGAGGCGGTCTCATGTGAGGAGTTGTCGCCGCCGGGGGGCTGGACGATTGGGTGTTGCGCCACGCGAGCTGCAGGTGCTAGCCTGGAGGGTTGTGCTGCCTTGGGGCCCCAAAGTGGGAAAAGCGCCGCTCTAGGCTGCTCTCCAATGGATTTTGCTGGTTTTTTTTGTTTTACATTGCATTGCCAGCGCAGCCTGATTTTTGCTGCGGCTGAACCCTTGCTCTCTGTCTGACGGTCATTTGGATCCGCTTATGCTTATGTTCGGTCAGCCCGGGGTAACTAGGCCGTCTCCAGCTGAGTATAAGTTCGAGGCTAGTGGGGTTTAGTTTCTAGTTGCATATTGCCATAAGATTGCCCAACTACGATCGTTCACCACTAGAATGGCGTGGACAGGAGAGTGAGCATCTTTTGAACGAAGGGTCCCTCTTCTTAATGAGTGCAAAGCAATGTTTAGCTTTGTGCCCGTAGTTTCTCATTAGGCTGGGTTGGATAGCATTCATTTGGGAAGAATCAATCCACTTGAGACTTAAAATGCAATCTCCTCAAAGATGATGAAATTCAACCTCAACTGCAGGTGACAAGCCACGAAAGTATTTGGCAAGCACGTGAATGATAGTTGCCAAACAATTTGGTCTGTTGAGGTTCGCTGGAATGAATGGACAGCTCACAGAGACTCACACCTCTGCTGGCGAAACATGACATTGCTTGCCTGTAGTATAGAACGCGAACATTCCGTTGTCGTACAAATATGACACCTCATAGTACATTGATAATAAGTTTGTGTTCTTTAAACCTGCTCTGGACTGTTCGCTCCGTTTGATCGAAGTTGACTTTCTGTGGCATCAAGTTTAAAATAACGAAAAGTACCATTTGATTCTATGTTGCAAATATTTGGATAGTAATTCACGCACGAATATTCAAAACTCTCTTCTTGAAATCTCGTCATTGAATGAGCATTGCAAAAGATCCTCATTCTTATCCCTTCCTTCCCCAATATCAAATGTGTTGGTTACGATAAGGTGTAATGGTGTGCAAATGGGACGCCTCAGGAGATGGGTGGAAGTGAAACTTGCCATCTCAGAAGATGGGACAAGAAAAGTTGTCAAGCACATTATGGATACCTCACATCTCATAACTAGAGCCTCAAGCAGTCGCAAACTCGACATGTGATACAAACTTGCATTGAAGACAACTTCATCAACCCTAACAGCTAAGCACCAGAGATGGGCAAACATTACCAAGACAGCTGACGATATGCCCTCCTCCGCTTTCCAGAGTTAGGTCCTTTCGCAAATGTGCATGAGAGAGAGCACTTATCACGTCAATGAGAGTAACGAGCGAGTGAGAGCAATTCGCCATCCATGTTATGACAACTACTTCATGCTATCCTCCAACAAGAGGGAGGGTTGGTTTCAAAACGCCCGCGCCGAGAAATGCTCCAGTCCTCTAATCCCAACAACCCCGGTTCGACACTATGACCCATAATAAAAAAACAATAGAGCGCGTGATTCATAATGTGTCTTGGTTGTGTGCATTTTAGATAAAAACCCCCCCAATAACGTTTTTTCTAATGGCCCAAAAGATAAAATGAAAGCTTGCACCCATTCCGAAAAAAAAAAAAGTTCAAATTCTTCCCAGAGCCATGCCATGTGTCTAAATTTTATACCCTTTGTATCCATCTACCGCAAATAGCGTAGCGCTGTAGTCTTTTAAACGACGTGCTTGACGCCGTTGGCGCCGTTGTTGACCTCGAGCTGTTCCTTGATGACCTTGTCGAGGCATCCGGCAGCGGCGGCGATGAAGCCGAGGTAAGGTCTCTGGAGCTGGTGTCAGCGGTGGAAGATGGCTGGGACAAAGGGGAGGGGCTTACGCTGGGGTTGAGGACCTTGGACTGGTACTCGGCGTGGAACTGGGTTCCTGCAATGGTCTGTTAGTAGCTGTGGCAGGCCAAACGGAAATGTGCAACATACCGACGAAGTAGGGGTGGTTCTTGAGCTCGAAGATCTCCATACGCTCGCCCGTCTCGTCCTTGCCGATGAATTCGAGGCCGGCCTCGGTGAGCTTCTCGATGTATTCAGGGTTGGCCTCGTAACGGTGACGGTGTCTCTCCTCCACCGACTCGGCGTTACCGTACAGAGCACGGAGCTTGGACCATTCGCTGCCGGGTTGGAACAGAGTGGGACGGAGACCGAGACGCATGGTACCACCGAGGTTGTTGCGGTTGAGCTCGGGCATGTAAACGACGACCTTATCCGAAGCCTCGGCGTTGAACTCCTCAGATGTGCCGTTAGGAACGTTGAGGAAGTCGCGGGCGTACTGGATGATGGCGGTCTGGAAACCCAGGCAGACACCGAGGAAGGGGGTACCGTTCTCGCGGGCCCACTTGGAGACTCTCATCATACCCTCAGTGCCTCTGGTGCCGAAACCACCGGGGACAATGATACCGGCGGCGGTGCAGACAGAGTGCCACGCCTTGTGGTACTGGGCCTGGTCCTCAGACTTGGCCTTAGGCTCGAGGTGCTCGGAGTCGACCCAGATGATGTTGAGCTTCTTGCGAAGGTGCATCGCCGAGTGCTCCAGGGCCTTGACGGTAGAAAGGTAGGCGTCCTGCGACTGGACGTACTTGCCGACAAGAGCGATGTTAAGCTCGCCCTCGTACGGCTGGCTGACGACAGAGGCCCAGGTCTTCCACAGGGCCTCGCCCTCGGCGATGCGGGACGCAGGGATTGAAAGGGCGTCGAGGTTGACGGCCTTACGGAGCCAGGGGATGAGGTTCTGCTCGCTAAGGAGGAGAGGAACCTGGTAGATGGTGGGCATGTCACGGACCACCAGAACCTGGGGAACATCGACCTGGCAGAGGAGGGCGATCTTGCGGATGGTGGGCTCCATCAAAGGCTGCTCACATCTGCAAGCAATCTGAAAATGTGTCAGCGCCGCTGCAGTAAAGCCGGACCTTAGCTCCTTACAAGATCAGGAATGAGGCCGTAACTGCGGACCGTCTTCACGGCATGCTGTGTAGGCTTCGTCTTCTGCTCGCCGTGGATGGTGGGAACGTAGGAGACGTGAATCTGGATAAAGTTGCCGCTTCCTGCTCTGTGGCGCACTGTTGAGGGTCAGATATGAATTGTCATATAAAGAGGAGGGTTACGAACATTGAGTCAATGCCTCAACGTAGGGCATCTAGTCTGTTTGTTAGTGGATGCCAAGGATCGCTAATGCTTGACAGCTGGGCTCAGGAACATACGCTCTCAATGTCACCAACAGTGCCTCTGGGGAATCGAGTTAGCTTTGAACTGACACTTGCAAATGCAGCACCTCCAAGGTAACTTCAAAACCTGCAATGTCGGACTTCTCAGTCCAGGGAAGAAATGGGAAGACCTACCCAAGCTCAATAATGCAGACATCAGGCTCCTCGCCCGAGTCGTCGGTAGGGATCTTGGCCACGCGCTCAATCCAGTCCTGGATGGCATCGGTGACGTGAGGGACACTGGTGGAGAGTCAGGGAATGTCAATCGGCACAGTAGCAGCAGTTGCAAACATACACCTGAACGGTCTTTCCGAGGTAGTCACCGCGACGCTCCTTGTCGATGACGTGACGATACACCTTACCGGTGGTGATGTTGTGCTCGCCAGTCAGGGTGATGGCCAGATAACGCTCGTAGTTGCCCAGGTCTGTGTTGCGAGCCTCGGAGTCAGAGACTTGCGGATGATTGAATTACGCTCGCAGCCCCCCATCCCCTGAATAAGGGAAGGGTGGGAAGAGAACGTGTTTGCTCTTCTCAGGAAGTTCACCTACCGAGATCCACCTCCATGCCATCTTGCAACTGGTCACAGTCAGTATCTCCTGTTCAGACTTGATCTCAGATGCTTGATCCTGTTCCACGAGTCCCAGTCCCTACTCGGGGCTATAAGAGAGCCCGAGGCACTTGCTTAGGCATAAGACGGGAACAGAAACAAGCATCAAGTTGATTTGGATTGTTAATACGAACCACAAAGCATTCGCCGTGCTCGGCGGGGGCCATAAGACCGGCATCGACCTGAATCTCACCGTCAGCAATTGTCAAGTTTCACACAAGGTGGGGCTCAAAGAAGGTCACACTCACCGACAGATAAGGGTCGATCTTGATGCTTGTGACTCTCAAACCAAGGGTCTTGAGGAGCTATTTGTCCACTCGTCAGTATAATGTCATGCCAACCAAGGATTCCCACCGGGTGATGGCAGAAATGATCGATCAAGGAAATTTTAGCAGGGGGGGTGGAGAAGACTCACCAGACCCGTGGAAGAGGCAATGATGCCCTTGCCCACTCCAGAGATGACACCGCCTGAGACGAGAACGTAACGCATGATGACTTGATTTCTTTATATAAAAATAAACAAAAAAGGGGTATCTGTCTGTTCGTTCAGGTAAAGGAGGAGGTCGTCGTCTTCGTCGGTGGTGTTTCTCGTGCTTGACTTGATGGAGGGGGAGGGGAGGGAAGGAAGAGAGTCAAGACAAAGGCGGGACGCGAACGCGGTCGGAAGTAAAGAAATTTTTGGTTATCGTTATCGATAAGGCATAATAGGAGGAGCCGGTGCGCTGCAGCTTGTCCCACCCCGCGGTTCCAGGCAGCCCAGGGCAGCAGGGATTTGCAGGGCAAACATCACTGAAGGAATCGGGGAGGTGGTCTGTGTCGTCGCGTAAAGTGGCTCCAGTCACGTGGGTTTATCACCGAGCTTCACCGATTGTTCACCGACCAAGTTTGCTATCTTTATTCGTTTGGCGGGGCTTATTGTTGTGACTGCAGTCTAGAATAACCACCAACGAAGCCCCTGAATATATATATGTATATTGCTAGGCATTGACTAACAACCTTCCCAAGTTAATATTCCATCGTCACCACAACTGTCTTAATCCTCAAAGTTCCTGACATGGTTGTTAAGTCAGTCAAGTGTGTCCCAGTTTTGCTATAAGCCGAGACATGAAATAGCCACCTTGGCATAAAACTCACAATTATCCAAGTACAATCAAGTTACGAACTTTTGGTTGAAGGTGAAACATCATCAATAGCTTTGAATGCCTCCCCCATTTTCACTTTCCTTGGCCAGAGAAGGAACACAGCGGAGAGAGGGAGCAGCAAAACGAATGCAGCTGAGCCGACCTTGACCTCTATGGCGGCGGTGATGAAGATGAACCATTAAGCCAGCTGATTTGGTAAACAATCAAAGATGAGATGGGTTTTGGTAGGCGTTAGCTGAGCTGATGATATCGGCGACGCCTCGAATTGCTTTATCTCTACATACTTACATACCATTTACGATGCGAACTTGCCTACCTTAGGACATGATGCACGAATGAGAAAAAGGAAGAACATTTATAAATGTTGTGAAAGCGCCCGGAAGACTGGAGTCAATACTGCTGCGCCTAGGGAATGGTGCCTTTTCAACCCGTCTTACACTTTCATTAAGAGCATCATGGACTGTGGGTTCAAATGTGTTGCCTGTAGAACACAGAAGTGGTTGCGAGGCGCCGGATAAAAAGAATCACATGCCCAGGCACATACAGGGCTGGATTTACTGACACCAAACCATCTGGCAAGTCGACGTATATTATGGAAGCTTAGGTGACATGACGTGGATGTCATCAACGAGAGAGTGGCTGTGCTTTTCAAGAGCAAGCGAACGGTCGTGAGTCCAGTTGCTTACCATAGTGCAGCTCAAGTCTGTGTGTAGGCATCTCGACAGGGATTAAGCGACGTCAAAATCATCCAGTCGAATGCAAATGACGATTAAGCGGTTCAAATTTCCTGGAGGCTTTCCTTGAAGATTCTGATTTGGTAGATGATGTTGAGGGTTCATGTTCTATAGGCCGAGAGGATATCCGGCCCGTAGGCGCCGACATTTCGTTAGTTGATCGTTCGACGCAGGTGCGCAGCGGAGGTCTCTGTTAAAATTTCCAGTCCTTGAAGCAAGTGCCAAGATCAAAAGACGGGGGAAACACGCATTTTTATAAACCCAAATCTGGATTCTACATTCCGATGCCATCCGAGTGCAAACGGCATCAGTAATGGAGGTGGACGACCATCCCAAGTTTATGGCGCCGTGGAAGCTAAACGCCCCACTACTTCTGTGGAGCCGACGTTTGCGCTAGACGACTTCCCTTCCACTAAAAGCCGCCCAGTGTAGATTAGCAAATGGTCACAGGGCGTGTGCGCAGGGCATTGCTGGGGACGGGGACGGTGGCATAAAGCTAAAATATGGGTGGGGATGGATGGGAGGATAAAGGGTATGGATGCAGGAGGCATTCCGAGTAAGACGCTTGTCATAGGCGTCAAGGCAGAATTTAGGTGAACTCTGCCCATGGAATGCAGTGATGCTATCGATATGCGGTATACAATCTGACAATATGCACATGTAAGAAGCAAATTCTGTTTGTCTTTCGTCTTCCTTTTGTACCACGCTTGGGCCCGTGATAAGATGTCATTTCGCCCAGCGTCCACATCACCGGACAGATGAATCATAATAACTGGGCTGCTCCGGACGGAAAGTGATGAATGTAACCTGCGGCCGAAATGTGGCTTGTCTTCAAAGCAGCTTGTTGGTATACAGGTAAATGATGCCTCCTTTACCTGACGCTTGCGTTGGGACACTCAAGGTTGAGAATCCCGAGGAGCCAGAAATCGGCGCAACTAAATCTGTGAGACTCTGTTGCTAGTAGAAGCTTTTGGCTCACTACAAGGCCAAAAAGCGCGCCGATGAACACTACTGCGGAATCCTTGTTGTTTAAGGTGAGGAATAGGTGGGTCGAGATCGAGGATGGCTTGGGCGCACAACCAGGTGACGGCTTCGGCGTCTGTTCTGACTGATTCGGAGCCCATGGGGGGGTTCCTTTGGCTGTTATGGCGTGGCCTCCCTCTGCGTCACCTTGGACAGATCGGCATGCTCCAGTAGCAGGTAGGAGATGACCATCACCATCGCTACTTGTTTCAGGAAGTGTTCAGAATGTCGAAGCACTTCCTTGCATCGTGTCCGAATATTTCCCAGCGACCAAACGCACATCGTGCCGCTATTCTAACGCTGTCGATTCTGGCGATTGGGTTGGTGTGAGAGGGTCGCCAGATCTTGGGATGCTTGACCATGGCACCAGAGGCACCAAATGTGGGGGAGGAATGGCATCCATCCGGACATGCATCCGAATCGGCTCAAGCGGTGAAGTCAACGCGGAACGATACAGGAACTCGGACTGGTCGACAGCAAACAGTTATCGTTCACAACGAGGGTCGTACAGACTCGGGTTTGAGGCGCCATGACAGGGATGGGCTCAGTCGAAAAGAACCAAGTTGATGCGAAGAAAAGGCTGTTTAGTCGCGAGTGTTGGAGCCTACGTCTCGTCTCTCGTCCCATCATCTCCCGGATGGGGCCGGTGCTGGGCTTGGTGACATCCACGGATGGAGACAATCTTCCCTGCCCACACCTTAGGGATGGTAATGCAAAACCACTTGGGTGGTACTCCGTAGTGAGAAGACGATATGTAGCTGAAGAGCAATGATTCATGGGAATCCAGGTAGATGAAGGTGGTGAGGCACATCCATTCCATTAATGTCGAATATGAGACAAATAAGGGTAAAAAAAAGAAGAGAACGAGAAAGCCACCCATCCCAGAGGCGTCACAGACAATTGCGTCTAGCCAGCCCGTCAGCTCTTACTACAGTAGTAGGTCGGCTAGCGTGGCAAAGCCGTGCGCCTGAACTGGGGGGGAGGGGTGAAATGGGTCGAGAATTCTTTTGGGAGGGTGTAAGATCAAGGGCAGCGGGGAGAGTAGCCGGAGAGGGCGGCACGACGAGATGAGGCAGGAATTACATTTTGCTTTGGAGTTTGGGGGAGGACATGTTTCTCGTAATAAAACGGGGAAAGGGGCATGCGTGGATATCGACCAAGGTGAAGTGAGGTGAAGCGTTGGATTTTCACGAGGTGTCCAGATGAGATGATCAATCGGCAAGGGGAGGGTGAAATACAGGAAATAGAGCCCAACTTGGTAGGACTGGGGCATTCAAAACTTGGCCTTCGAATATATGAAAAACCAACGGGCCGAATGACGAACGTCCATCGGGATTGAAGAGAGAGAGAGAGAGAGAGAGAGAGAGAGTATGGAAAATAGTATTAATAACAACTATTGGAAGTGAATGACTGACAAAGTAGAGAGGGGAGGGGGGAATAAAGGGCTCTTTCCCCCCCTCCTACCATCCATGCAATCAAATGCCTACGACTCTAGCCAACGCCAAGCTCGTTGTATAAAATGCGGTAGAAAAGGGAAAAATAAAAAAGTAAAATAAGGGCTAAGATATGAGCGACATGAGAAGGAAAGAGGCTTTCTGTTTTTAGTTTGATGTTTGGTAGGAAGACACCGGATCCATGGCGAGTCGTAGGTGGTAGCATAGGGAGGTAGGCAGGCACCTTACATCGTTACGTATATGGCCATGAGCGCCGCACCGCACCTTCCTTGAATTTCTGTCACAAGATTTAAATTCGTGTCTCCCCAGAACAAGGCAGGGGCAACATAGGGTTAAATCAATAAAAACGGGAAGGAGAAATGGGAATGAAGGGCCTTGCCTACCGCTGCCGTTAAAACGCAGCAAAGGAAAGAGGTTGTGTGGGTGAAGCTGGGCATTGGCATTGGCATTGGCATTGGCACTGGCACTGGCACTGGGGCACTGTGAGGTAAGGATAGGCAGGCACCTGCTAAGTGGTGGTAAATGGACACAGGCAGGAAGGAGGCGGCCAGGTACTTCTTGCCATGTACTTCACATAAATCGCCCAACCTGCCCCCGTTCCTCTCCTCTTTCTCTCGCTTTTTTCCCTCACCTTCCTGTCGTCTCCCTTCGTGCTCCTTTCGCTGTTTTGCAAGTTTAGAGTTTTTTCTGATTGCCGTTGCTGCGTATTCGTGGTCCTTTTTGTTGCCATTCTTTGGATTTACTGACTTGGAACTGGTACCTCGACTTGGGCCTTACCACAGTTTTCACACTCTCAGGGCTTGTATAAGCCAACTGGAAAGACAGCAGAACACCGCAATCCAGTCTCAAAAATGACCGCCATTGCGACAGACGACCATTCTCGAGCTCTGGGAAGCAATCAACAAAAGATCCCGCCATCACAAAAGCAGAAGCACGCCAACCTGAGCGACGAGCAAAGGGCAGACTCCCTCCGCAAAAAGGTCGAAACAGTCATGGCTGGCTGGGGGGCTCCTCCACGAACGGGGTCGACCAGGGGTGTTTTGCTACCTATGGTCAGAGTCTCCATCCATCAGTTCACGGCCACTCGCCAGACCGTCCGACATCGCCCAAGTTAATGCCAATCCTGTTCTCAGAACCAAGAGAAGAAAAGAGCAGAGAAAAGGGAGCCCAACCGACCCAAAAACCCGAGGAACGGCACCAAGCACCATGCGAGCCCTAGGTAGTACCAGCAAAGAGACTTCCAGGACGCCATGCGGGCCCATTACCATTATGGGGCCGTCACCAGGCCAGGCCAAACCATGCCAGACATGGGGGGATCCCGCCCAAAAAAAATAACGAAACAAACCCTGAGAATGGCCCGGACCCTACCTGCCTCCCCTTCCTACCTTTACCTTACCACAGCACGGTATCATTTGCCTATTCAAAAACGCACCAAAGTTCACATGCTCAAAATGGCTTTTGTCAGATGGCCTGCCGCTTGCTGAGAGGGGGTTGAGACACTATGCCGTCCGGCCCACTGGCAGTGTCAATACTTCTCATGACGGCAAAAAGTGGCCTGCGTGGTTGGTCATCACTGATACTGGGGTTGGGCGATTTGGACGGGGGTGGGTGGCCGTCTCGACCTGAGCCATGTCACTGGGAAGGATGCGCCTTTACCGCATTGGCTTTCTCTGGGCTTCATTGGCGGGGCATCATGCAGCAACCATGGACAACGAACGACAGCGGCAGTCTTCAAATGCACCATTTATTCCTCACACGAGGATGGCCAGAATCGGCGCCAACTTGTCGGTTTTTTTTTTTGCAACCCCTCCTGGCCTCTTGGTGCTGCGAGACCATAATTCTCCAACCAAGAGTTTGTCCCCGAGATCTGCACCCGGCAAGGATCTCCCCACTTACACCGAAAGTTGTGTCGCCAAAATCTTCCGTGGTTGGGAATGGGATTCTCACAGGCGCCCAGCTCTTTACATCACGTCACCTTGGGCTGCGAGGTGTGACAAGCTGCCAATCTCACAGCTCTTGTGCTAGACTGCATCTTATAAGCCGCCTATTGATGACGGCCAAATCAGCAATCTTGTCCTACCTTGAACTATGGCTGCACCGGCACGTTCTGCTACTGCCTGCTACTTCTCGGCGTTCATGCACCATCCTGTGTTCTGTTCCACAGCTGTACAACCTCGCCAGACCTGAATACGGGGATGCAGTTATGCTGTTGTACTAGATTGGTCTGGACGACTTGCAGAAGCAGCATCCGCTCTTGTTCTGTCCGATTGCAGGCGACAAATTGGCTCGTCGAGCATTTTCAGCCACGCTTGGCAATGCGGCAATCTCGTTGCGCCTATCTTCACAAAATCTATTGTTGACCAAGTAGTCACCCTCGTCTCATGCCGGCCTATATTTCCTGCCAAGCGGCCTATTGAAATCATGCTCTTTGAACAAGTGCTCAAGTGCAAGTCGAACTGGGAGGCCGATGGATTGGATGGACCATTCTTTCCATACCCAGCGGTCATCTCGGCAGGTTTAATGACCACCAGGGGAAACCTTACTCCATTTTGCTACAGTATTCTTGGTATCGGCAGCGATGTCCCACACATGCTGCTGGCTTTTTACTGACTGCGGCCTTTACGGCTTGGTGTAACGGGCCTGGACCGTCTGCCTGCATGTGGAAAGGAAAAAGAAGGAGCAAGCCTGGCTGGCATCGCCAGAAGCAAATCGACTTTGGAAGGTTCCCATGCCGTTTCGAAGACTCATTGGGAGGCACTCACGGCTGCCACGATGAAAAATGGAATGGTGTCACACGGCCTCACGTTGGCACGCAAAATCAAAACAATCGGTCATGGGGGGAAGAGGCTTCTACAGCACCGCCAGGATTGAAAGAAAATGGGATGTGAGCGGCAGTAATACGTGGCTTCGACGGGATTTGATGCAGGAAAAACACGGTAAACAAGCCAACACAAACAACGACGACCACTACGATGACGATGATCCTGGGGTCCCCTCGAAGAGGCTGACGACGGCTCAGATGAGGCTCAGTATGCGTACAATAGAGAAAGAGGCACAATTTGGTAGTGGCAATGGGCAAACTCTCATCTACTCACTAACAGCAGGCCCACAGAGTATTACGATTTCACTAACATGCCCGTTTGATTGGACCGTCGGCTTCAGCCGGCTATCGGCCACACGAGGCCATAGAGACGCTAATCCGTAAACGGACAATTGGCGCGTTTTAGAGCATTTCCGTGGGTAGGTGTTGAAACCAATCAAGCAACAGAGCCAGCAGAGTTGGGGGGGCTGAGGTGGTTTGGCGACTCGCAGAACAGAAAGAGACTCGCGCGTCCCAGAGTCGCAGACTTACCTGTTCATCCACCCTCCCCAATCCGACTCCAGTTCCAGCTGCAGCAGCGCGCTCATCGAGCCTGATTCTGCCACAACGTCTTTGCTTGTCCTTTCCGTCAGGTCCGTCACCCTTCCTCAGGAACTCTTAGGTAAGACCAGACCACCCTCGGCCTCTCAATACTGGCCGGTCCCATCGCTCTGTTTCTCTCTATTCTGTCCTGTCCTGTCCAATTCTGAGTCCTGCTCCGACCCGAGCTGCTCCTGCCTTCCTCCGCCGTCGCCCCGAAAGTCGTACCCTTTTTTTTTTATTCCAATCCTCGCACCCCCATCCCGATCACCCCCGGGCCGCCGATAGAGTTGTAAGTTCTATTTTAATTATCTCGTGACCTGGCTTTTTGATGCTATTGTGCTATCTTCTGATGGTTGGTGGCTGTTGAAGTTGAAGTTGCTTTGCTGGAGACGCGCGAAATCGCGATTTGCAGCACTGCAGGCTTTCGCCTTCCTCTCTCTCCCCCCTTCTTTCCTTATTCCTTGCATTTTTCATTCCCACCCCCCCTAGCCCCGGGGTTTATCTTGTTAAAGCAGGCGCATTATTCGAGAAGGAAAGAGCGAGAGGAAGAAAAAAATCTTAGAAGGCGCGACTCAGGTTGTTGCTGCCAATCGCTGTTGGTGGCAGCTTTCCTCTTGTGTGTCGCGCTTTCCTGGGGACCCTGTCTTTTGGCTGTCCCCTTCCTTGAATTTTTTTTTTTCTCTCGGTTCCTGCTCGCCGTCTGCTTTCCCTTTCACTCTCAGGCCCAGCCTGGTCCTGCTTTCTCTGTCCTGTACTGCCTGCCTACCTTCCTCCACTGTTCTCACCCCCCAAAGAAGGTCCAGGCACCACCACACAGCCGGCCCTTTCCTTCCCCCCAAACCCGGCTGTCCGTCCTAGCCAAAGCACCCCCCAAAAAGCGGACGCTCCACTACTGATTTCCCACACACACACCCGCTACTACTCGTTTGCTCGCTCGCTCGTTCCCCCCCAGCACCACAAGGCACCACCACGTCCACCACACAACCGCGACGCGCGCGATAAGTCTGCATCGCGACAAGCCCGCTGCCGTGTCACTCCCCATCTCAGCAATTTATCGCTCCATCTCAATGGACCTTGGCTCATCGAGTCAAAAAATTCGTCACTGACATTTCTTAAGTAATCGCTCGATGGGTCGCTCCATCCCGACCATAGAGTCATGAGCACCTGGATGAACGAGGCCGCGGTCCCAAACCATAATGGCAACGGCTTTCCACATATGAACGATCCCAATGCTGCTGGAGCCATGATGGATCCCTCAGCTTTCATGGGCAGTCCTGCCCATTTCAACCCTGCCCAGTTCGCCAATCCCCAGCAGGCTCAACAGGCCCAGCAGCAGCAGCAGCAGCAGCAACAACAGCAGCAGCAGGCTCAGCAACAGCAAATGGCCGCCGCCATGCAAAATGGTCAGATGCGCAACGCTTCTCCATCATCCTTCCAGAACCCGGCTTATCAAACCAACTCCGTCATTCCATCAAAACGACCCCGTCCGCGCGAAGACAGCCTCGCCGGCTCGCCGCGACAAAATCCCGGTATGCTTCCGACCTCGCGCTCCGAGACGCCCCAAACCTTTCCCGGTTATCAAGGCGGCGGCATGCCCCAACAGGGCCAAGGTCAACCATCGCCCTATCCTCATCTCCAAGCAAATGGCTCTGCGAACGCGACGCCATCCCCGATAATGGCGAACCAGCTTCGTCCCGGCAGCGTGCCTCAACGAGTCGCGACCGCATCACCGCACCCCTTCTCTCCCGGTCCCCAACAGTTCGCCCCCCAAGCATCGCCCAATCCATCCGAACACAGCACGCCTCAGCCGAATCCTTACATGCAAAACGTGCCAAACATGCCCCCGGGCTTCAACCCCAATTTTACACCCACCCAGCAATCACCAGCGCGCCCTTCTCCGAACCCGAATGCGATGGCAGGAGGCATGATGCCCCAGCAGATGGGACAAATGCCGCAACATATGGGTCAGATGCCGAACCAGATGCTTCCTCCCAATATGCAGCCCCGGAACCCGATGGAACAACAGCAAATGGCGGCTTATCAGGCGCGTCTCCAGAAGCAATTACAACAAGGCAATATGCAAGGTATGCAGAATATGCAAAACATGCAAAATATGCAGATGGCCCAGATGCAGGCTCAAAACGCTGCTCAAGGACGTGGCATGATGCCTAAGCAGCCCATGCAAATGCCTAACGGCCAGATGCCTCCTGGTGCTATGCGCCCCCAGCAGCAGCAGCAGCGCCCGATGCCTCGAACGGACCCCGAGCAGTTCATGAAGAGCCTGACTACTTTTATGACGGCTAAAGGCCTTCAGCTTGACGCGAACCCCGTTATCGGCAATCGCCCCGTGAATTTGTTGACCCTATTCCAGGCTGTCCAATCCAAGGGAGGATACAAGCCCACCACTGCTGGCAACCAGTGGCCTCATGTCTCTAACAGTATCGGATTTCACCCCGGACAAATACCCCAGGCGCCTCAAATGTTGAAGGAGATTTACGAAAGGAATTTGCTTAGGTTCGAGGAGGCATGGGTTGCGCAGACAAACCGACAACGCATGATGCAGCAGCAGCAGCAGCAGCAACAACAACAGCAGCAGCAACATCAGCAGCAGCAGCAACATCAGCAGCAACAGCAACAACAACAACAACAGCAGCAGCAGCAGCAGCAGCAACAACAACATCATCAACATCAACAGCAGCAGCAGCAGCAGCAAGGCATGCCCAATCAGCCTATGCCGGGCCAACAACCCCAGGGTACTCCCACGAAACAAACGTCTCCTCAGGGTCAGATGCCTCCTCAGCAGATGATGCCGCAAGGCCAGCCGAACATGCCTCCTCAAGTCCAGACACCCGTTAAGCAAGGGTCGTTTAGTGGCCAGCCGCCTGGCGTGAATGGTTTCCAAACCCCCCAAGCACCGGGACAACACACGCCAGGCAATGTTCCCCATGGGCATGCGCGAAACAGCCTGTCACGGAGTGTGGAACCTACACCAGGCCACCCCGGCGCTTTTCCTTCAGCTTCTCCAGCCTCTGTCAAGGCCGGAGGTATGCCAATGCCTGCTCCTCCCGGCATGGACCAGACCCCTATGGCTGCTTCCATTAAGCCACGGATGCTACGACTCGCTCAGGAATCGGACGAGTACACTCCTAGCGCTCGCCCCCTGGAGGCTTATGGCGGTATCAACGTTCGTGCTTTCGACCTCAAAGGCTTGGAGCTTCAAACTCTGAAGCCTGATATTCCGCCTCCGTATGAGCTGGGCTACGTGGATCTTCATGCGCTCACTCGCAGTTTAGAGTCTGGTATCCATGGTGAAGTTCGGCTTGCGCTAGATACTCTGGCAACTGTGACGGCAACGCAGCACCAAGCCCTGCACATCCATCTCAAATATTGCGAAGAGCTGATCGAGGCACTGCTGGAATGCGCCGAGGAGCAGTTGGATCTCCTTGTGGAGAACACAGAAGAGGCTTCGGCGGATATTCAACTGACGCCGTACGAAGACGTAGCACGCGCCTGCTGGACAGAGAAGATGGGTGTCAGAGAACTGCCAAAGTTCGGGTCGCCCGAGTACGAACTTGATCGAGCCGTCGATCGTTTCTCCTGCGTCATCACGATCCTCCGTAACTTGTCTTTCCCCGAGGCTGCAAACGAGAACCACATGGTGCTTGGCGACGAGCTGGTTATCAAATTTCTCTGCGCTGTGATTCGGTATCTCGGTACACGCAGCATGCTTTTCCGAACCTACGCAAACACTCTTGAGTTCATGAAAGACGCCATTATTTTGCTATCCAACATTGCAGGCGCTGTCGAGGTTCCTGGTCGCGAACAAGCACTTTGCCTGCTACACTTCTTGCTAGCATTCGCACCAGCTCCTGGGCCCACATTGGTGGACGACAAGCTCTACTTCCCACCGTACCAGCCTGGCGTCCACACCTACACATTCCATGCAGTCGATGCCTTGGCCAGGTTCCTTGCTAGAGACGAGCCGAACCGGACGCATTACAAGACGATATTTGCCACGGATGCAAGCAGCAACCCGCCCTATGACCTTCTGACAAGAGCATTTGCCCTTTCGACCACCGTCGTACCGATTCAATCGCCCGAGTCCGCTGTAGCTCACATGGAGGCACCCGAGAAGTTCTTCAGACTTATCGAAGACCGCAAGCCTTGGCTTATGCAAGGTCTTTTGGCTGCGGACATCATCGCTTCACTTGCACCGGGCCACGAAACCGGCGTCGCCAAGTCTTGGCTCGCAAGCGGCAACGGCTTCGCTCAAAGTCTGTATCACTTTGTACAGGTTCTTGGGGCACAGTTCGAGCAACCGTGGCAGACGCGGAGCGGACAGGGTGACCCGGCGGGCCGAGATACGGGCCTGGTGTACATTGCCACGTGTGGTATCTCAACGCTGAGGCGGTTGGCTGAGAAGTCTCGGGACCCCAACGACCCCAAGTCGACGCTTCCTGCAGACGCATTGCCCTCTGAAGAAAGTTTGTTCAAGATGATGCTAATGCGGTCGCCCGAGTGGACCAAGGACGGAGTGATTAAGAACCTCACAGCTTATGCAGCGTTGGATTGTTAGACTTTTTCCGGTGGTGTTACGACTTTTAGGATTATGCATGGCATAGACACGGAGTCGGGGGCTTTGCGTTTTGTGCGGATGAGCTTCTGCTGATACCAGATGGGGGTTTCTGTGGCAAAGATTTATCCAAACCGAGTGTCTTATACTGCGCTCTAATGGTACGGGATAGTGTATAAGTGTGTAACCAAAAAAAAGAGACGGGGCGAGTTGACGGGAGTTATTGGGAGCATGGAGCGACTAAGGCTGCTTGATTGGAGCCATTCTTTCATAGGGTGTATGTGACGCGACAATGCAAGAATACCTCCATTTGCAAGCTTTGGATGGTGATTGTCTGCTAGTTTGAAGGTGATTATGTCTGGTTAACTAATAAAGCCACTACTTCAATCGCCGCTGGCCCATTGTTCTTTTTCTTTTTGTGATAAAAACGTGCTTCGTAGTTGTGATAATCCTCCCTCTGAAGGAGATAATAGTACATTTTTTGACTTTTAAATGTAACTTGGTATAGTATGACACTTTTCGTCTGACTTGGACACACCCCAAGTGTCTAATCAGGCCTTATTTCTTTCTCTTCTTTTTCCCCTTCTTCTTCTTCTTCTTCATCCATATGTTACATTGGTTGATTAATACAAAGCTGCCTCGCAGTCTGCTCATACCCTTTTCCACCCACGCATGTACGTCCGCTTCATGCCGTGACCTCGATCGGTAACGTCTTCGGGGTTCTGGGGTTGCCCAGCGTGGAGCTCAGCCACTCCTTGATCTGCTCGACATGGTGACCCTATTGAATGTTGGTCAGTTCATTTGCCCGTGGTTAATTTTTACGAATGACTGGTTTGGAGAAGGGGGGATATAGATTTAGGCTTATGTGTTCGGGAGAAGAAGAAGAAGTATGGAAACGCGCCTTGATTTCAATATGTTTCGTCACGGGGTTGATCTTGACGTTCTCCTTGGGCACGCCGAGTTCCTGCACGAGGTCCTGGACCAGAGCCTTGTTGTTTCCCTCAATCTTCTTGACAATGGTGAATTTGGAGGATCCCGCGGCCTTGTCGTGCTTGTACACCGGGTAAGAGTTTGAGTTTGTCAGGCCGACTGTGTAGGATCTCGTCTTGGATGTCTCCGTCGCGGGGGAGGTCTCGGTGGAGGAGAATCGTATCGTGGGGAGGAAGGCTGTCTGTCGGGGGAGGAGGAGGAGAGAAGTGACCGGCCTGGCGAGGGCGGTTCTCGTGAGTGCTGAGCGCATCTTAGTTCGTTATGTGGAGGTGGATAGAGACGGATTGGGTCTTGTGCCGTAAGGAGGGGGGGTGGTGGTGTGGGCAGCAGGGTCGTGAGGTTGCTCCTTGGCCTTGCTGTAGCGTGATATCAGAGGTTTCTGCTGAAGGGATTCGCGCCGGTTGAAGCTCGGGATAATTCGCGTAGCTTGCCGTGCCGTTTTGGTGGACCCACCTTTTTACTGGCAGTATTAGGTAATCCAAGCTCTAAGCGGTGCACGGTCCGAGTGTGTGTTGTGTTTTGCAAATTAGGCGGAGCGGGAAAACCCCGGAACGCGGGAAGCCCCCCACCAATTCTTCTCTTTGGCGAAAATGCCCAAAACTCTTTTGCCCCTCTCGCGGTAGCGAAAAGATCTGAGCAAAAAGCTGCGATTTGCGAGGGACCGGCCGCGTTACGACGACGACTCCGATATCGATTTGTACGATCCCCCCCCGACGACGTCACCTGTTTTTTTTTTTTACTCTTCGACGCATCAAATAATTCCTCTCTTCCTTTTACATCCACCCGAAATCACAAATCGCCCATCATGGAGGAAGTCTACGCCGCTATCGACGGCGACAGCATTCTGCCCAAGCTCGCGTCGCAGCTCTCCCGTCACCTCGTCTTCCCCCTGATCGAGTTCGAGGCCGGCCGCGCAGAGGAGAAGGGCGATGACACCAAGGCACGCAAGATCCTCGCCGGAAAGATCAAGCTGCTCGAGGACACCAACATGGCCGACTATGTCGCCCAGCTTTACCAGGACCTCAACGGCGGCAGCGAGCCCCCCGCCGAGTACACCAAGAAGCGCAACGATGTCATTGCCCAGCTCGAGAAGTACGAGCAGGATACGGCCAAGATTTCCGAGCTTTTGACCCGCGAGGACGTCGTCGGCGCTCTGCGTAGCGACAAGGTTGCCAACTTGGAGTTCTTGAAGAAGGATCACGATGTGAGTTACTCCACATGATGGTACCCGCAAATCAGGCAAGGCGGGGGGGGGGGGGAGGTGTGAAAGCTATTCGAGGAAGAGACGGATAGTAGTATTGGATTGCTGTGACTGACTGTCAAAAAAATTAACAGGTCACCATTGACATGGTCAACGCCCTCTACGAGTTTGGCCAGTTCCAGTTCCGCTGCGGCAACTACGGCGCCGCCGCCGAGCTGCTCTATCAGTTCCGTGTCCTCTCCACCGACAACGACCGCGTCGCGTCCGCCACCTGGGGTAAGCTCGCTTCCGAGATCCTCACCACCAACTGGGACTCTGCCGTCGAGGAGATCATGAAGGTCAAGGAGAGCATCGACTCCAAGCTCTTCAACAACCCCCGTGCCCAGCTCGACCACCGCACCATGCTGGTGCACTGGGCCCTGTTCCCCCTCTTCAACCACGAGGCTGCCCGCGAGCCCATCCTCGACCTCTTCTTCAGCGCCGCCTACATTAACACCATCCAGACCTCGTGCCCCTGGGTCCTGCGCTACCTCATCGCCGCCGTCATCACCGGCCGCTCCCGCTCCCGCAACAGCAGCTTGCACCAGAAGCAGATGAAGGACGTCATCCGCTACGTGCGCCAGGAGGCCTACGAGTACTCTGACCCCGTCACCGAGTTCGTCTCCGCCCTGTACGTCGCCCACGACTTCAACGCCGCCCGCGAGGCCCTCCGCAAGGCCGAGGAGGTCTGCCGCGCCGACTTCTTCCTCATGTCCTCCAGCGACGCCTTCGTCGACGCCGCCCGCCACCTCATCTGCGAGAGCTACTGCAAGATCTTCAGCCGCATGAACATCCGCGACCTCTCCGCCAAGCTCGGCCTCAACCCCGACGACGGCGAGAAGTGGATCGTCAACCTCATCCGCGAGACCCGCCTCGACGCAAAGATCGACTCCCAGGAGGGCACCGTCATCATGAACCACCCCCCCAACAACGTCTACCAGCAGGTCATCGAGAAGACCAAGGGCGGCTTCTTCCGCACCCAGGTGCTCACCGCCGCCGTCTCCAAGTCTTCTGCTTAAAAAAGGGGGATTCGAGACCGATCAAGTTGGGTTTGGTTGGTTGGTTGGTGTGAGAAGTCTGAATAAATGGGATAATGATAAAACCGGGTAAATGTGGTGTAGACGGCTTTCATTCGACAGAGAGAGAAATGAGACCGGGTTCTCTTTTTTTTCCCTCTTTTTTTGTTTCTTCTTCTTTTCCTTTTTTTCACCTCTTTCTTACATGACACGATAGAACACGCTCCCTCTTTCTCTCTTTTTCTACGCAACGAACTCCGTTATTCCGCCTCCTTTTGGTTTCAGTCGATCTTAGCAAGGAATCAGTCCATTTCTCCCTCCCCTGTCTCGTCTCTTTCACACGAAAGTAAGCGAGGGGGAAAGGAGTTGTTTAGGACCGCGGGCAGGTGATTTCGCGGAAGAAGATGAAAAAGATTAGAGGCCGCGTGGAAGGTGGACATGCAGAAAGAGACGAAAAAGAGGAAAGGAAGAAGAAGAGAAGAAGAAGAAGAAGAAGAAGAACAAAAGAGACCAAAAACAGGCTGGTGAAAAGAAATTTTTATCCCGAGGGCTTCTTTTTGCATTGGCACGGCGTTCAGGGCAAAGACATAAGGGGGTTAACCATCTTGAGGGCAGTGACAAAACTTGGAGGGGCGAGAGGAGGGTGTGGTGGCCAAAGATTTTGTTCAAGTTTCCCTCCATCACCGCTTTTATTGAAATGTTACAAGTTTTTTACAAGGTTTCTTTTTTTTTTTTTTTTTTTGCATCGTTCCGTGTGTGTGTGTGCCTGGTGTTGTGTGCTGGATGCTGAATGCTGGATGTCTAATGCTCTCTGCGAAATGTGTCCAAATTATATGCAAAAGAAGATGCAGATGCTTGGGGAAATGAAGCCAGGAATATTAGAGATCGTAGGATGTTGAGATACCTGTTCCCAGGTAATTGATTCATTAAACGTGTCTTCATAGGATATCTGATATCTACTCCTGTCCACTGACCATCCCAGCAACGCCATAATCTATCTGCTTTTATTCCGCATTCAACGTCAGTCATGACCTACCCAAGACTCTGCTGGGTCTGCATCTCGTCACGGCCGGCAAGGAACACGCGGCCCTTGAGTTGTTCAACGACGCTATCCCGCATCCACCACTCCTGGTTCTTGTCATCTTTCCCTCCGTCTGCGCTCTTGCCCTTGGCCACAACCTGGGCTCGGCGATCAGCCCACTCGAACAGCAGCTTGAGTCCTAGCAGTCTCTCCCGCGAAGCGCCGTCGACGCTCCTCTCCAACACGAGCCGGGCGTCCACGGAAGAACCTGAGCTCTCGCTGCCCGCGCCTTCTGAGCTCGCGCTGCGGTCGAGGACAATGGCTCGTTCCGCGTACGTGAGATCGCGCAGGGCGTCGAGCCCAAATAACCACTCCAGCGGGTCGCGTTTGCCGTTGTCCGTCACGTCCGCGAGCGCATCCCGGCCGAGGGCGCGGAGCGTCGACAAAAACGGCTTCTCCTGCGCCGGGCGGCGGCGGAGGTAAAGACTTTGATTCTTGCCAAAGGCCTCCGCAAGGGATTGGTCCTTTTCGAAGTTGAGCTCGAGATCCCAGAATGCGGGCCCCGCGTTCGTCCTGATGCTAGCGATTTCTGACAGCGGCGGGAGCAAACAGGGCGTTTGCCGAATAACAGTCTCCGCCTCCGAGCTCCGCGGCTCGTTTGGCTGTTTCTTCCTGCGAATCTCAATGGGCGCCGTGATCGGCTGGCCCGTCGCCACGTCCTTTGCAACGAGACATCGCGGGTCGGTAGCCAGCACCCAGAAATGGCGGAATGCTTGGAGGTGAGCTCGGTTGTCCATGACAGACGTAGGGAACACGGGGTAAAAGGAGATGAGGAGACTGGCGATGGCCATGTTGCTGGTGCCAAAGGTTGCTGTTCCGCAGCCGAGGAAGAGTGAGCCGATGGCGAGGTGCGCGGCGAGGTGGGAGCCATAGGGGGTATCGGGATCATCTCGGCCATGCAGGAGACGCAGGCGTCGGAGGACGACGAGGTCGCCGGTTCCTGCCATGACGATGGCGGCTGACAGCGCGAGAACGTCCTGACACATGCGAGCATTTGAGCGAGCAAGCTCTTCGTCGTACATTGGGTAATCGTTAGGCGGAGGCCGCAAGGTAGCCGGTATGCGGGAGATGCGGATAAAGTTGTCGAGATAGTGTATCAGGAGGTCGCGAACCCTTGTCGACGCGCTGCCTGCATAGCGCAGCGCGATGGAGAAGCAGAGACCCGTGATGATGCTGAAGAACGGCAAGTCGGTGCTCTTCAGCTTGTTGGTGTTGACTAGCTTGTGGCGGACGCGGTATGGCTTGGGTAGGCTGTCCAAGATCCATTCAAAGGTAGGCTCGATCTTGTTCCACATGATCAAGTTCTTTGCGAGGGTTCGCAAGAGTAGGATATCGGGGCGGATGTAGTCGAACTGGACCACAGAGTCGGGCACGTCTATCTTTCGAGCCACGATGTGGTCCTCTGACTTCATGAATATCAGCGCAAGCGCCATTACCGCTCCTGCAGCCGCTCGGTCCAGGACGTGGACCATTTCGACCTTCTTCGTGGCCGTGGCAATGTTGACAAGACTCTCGGTTAGCCTCATGTCATGGAGGTCTCTGAGATCGTTGCCTTTGCCAAGGTTGATGAGGCCAAGGGCAAAACCGGCAGACAAGCGGTAGCACTCGCTTCGCAACGGCTCATCCTCGTCTTCTTCGTCGACGTGTTCGATCTCGGACATCATGATCTCGCTCATACGTCTGTGCTGACTGTTGCAGTATAAGAGGCCGATGCCCATAATACCGGTCGTCTGGGTCAGCGGTGACAGGTTCAGCTCGGCAGCCCCGCGAGGCAACATGCGCGTGACGTGAACTGAGAGCAGACGGGTGATGAGAGAATCCATAGTGCCCATATAGGAGGCGGCAAGACCGAGGAGAAGACCAACAGAGGTCATTGTGTGTTTTGGCGTTAGGTATTTGAAGGCAACCCATTTGGCGATGCCTTTGAGATGTCCGTTTAGGCCCAAGGCCAGCAAAAAACCGGCATGGCGGTTGCTAAGGTCTTGACCGGGCTTGTTGTAAAGGATCCACGAAGTGTCGATTCCTTTAGCTTGGGGCGAGATGGCCAGGCCAGCCGCCACGCCTTGGTGGAAGAAGCCCCAGCATACTTTCTCTTCGGTGAAAAGTGACTTGTCCACGCCGACTGTGACGTTGGTGGGCCGTACTATACAGTTAAGGTTGAAACCCCCTACATGGGTCTTTTGTGTCAGTAGCGGATATCGTAGGCTGTAGTACAAGAGCGCGCGACCAGCGGGAATCGCCAGGGTGCCCGTGGCTATCCTGGATACGAGCTCCTTCTGCCGCTCGAGATACTCGCTCTCTGACCAGTTAGGTTCAGCCTCGAGACGGACGACGCGGGCTCGGTGGGTGGACAGAAGCTCTTGAGCCTCGTTGAGGCGACGATCCTCTTTGAACAGTGCACGAATAACGGCCTGGCGTTCAGTGCCTTCTCCTTCATCAAAGCCGGTGTTGTTGTACTCCTCAACACTCTGGCAAATGGTTCGATAGTCCCAGGAGGCATTGTGCGTAGGTGTCTACAAGTGATTAGTCGAAGAAACATTATGACTGTGCAAAGACTTACGAGAACATTGACAGTGCTCTTCTCGAGCTTCTTGCCGGGGGCCAGGATCATGCTGATATCACCGCGGTTAACGAGTTCGAGCAATTCCTTGGGCCAGGAAGCAGGCGGGCGGGCTTGACATCTCGCAATGGAGTCTTTCAAAGGCGTAAGCACTGCCTCTGGTAGTGTCTCGAGCACTCTGCCATCGATGCCTGCTGAATGCATAGCCTCAACGATGCTGACTGAGTTGCTCTTGGGGGTGAGCTTTTCGAAAAGACGCTTGAACATGAGTGTTCTGGGGGTTATAGCAGCCCATCTTGAGTCTTTGAGATAATCCTGCTCGCTCTTCATGGTCTGCGAGTGGTAAAGGTTGGCTAGTGTGAGGAACGGGTGATATTGACCGGTGGAAAAGCATGTCTGTATCCAGTGAAAGATGTCAAAATCGACACCAGACGGCTGGGTGAGGGGGACTTCGAGGCGAAGTTCTGTATCGAGTTAGCAAAGAGACTGCCAAAACAAAAAGGGTACTAAACTGACCGGAATCGTAACGAGGCTCCAGCTCTTCCTGGATGCCTAGTTCGTACATGGCGACAAAGTCATGCCATTGCAGCCAGCGAGCAATCTGGCACATGGCTACCCTCAACTGTGCCGTTCCGGGAGAGGCATATTCAGGCGTCATTATCTCTAGTTTTTGTTCCTCGAGGAGCAGATGAAGAGCTACAAATATGTTCCAGGCAGCGTTGCCGCGGTTCTCGGCACTCCGTTGCATGCCCGTTGGAAGGTAGCCGCCGGAACCGATGGCCTTCTCTCCAAGCGGCGATGCGAGGTAGGCTCTGGCATACTGGATGTGGGTAGACATGAACTTGGAGTCCCTAAGACTAGAATTGGGTGGGCTGTCTCGACCGTCTTCAAGGTCCTCATCAAGGGTCCAGTCCCAGCCACGAGTTTGCTGCCAGGCTGGGCACCCCAATGCGTTGGGTGTTTCGTATAATTGCAAAGTGTTCCAGTCCTCAAGGCTCTGAATCGACCCGAAAGACCCCGACTGTTGTCGCCGCTTACTTCCGGAACGCTTTGATGGGGATGTTTGCTTGCCATCAGCCTTCCCTAGGGCCAGGTAAATCGCAAGTAGCTGGATAACCAGTGCGGACCACTCCACATCTGCAACCTCGAAATCTTCGCATCTCAACCAAATCATGACATGCCACCAGCCGGGAAACATCTTCTCAGCATGTGACCCCGGAAGGATGCTACGACACGTATCTAAAATCTTCCGTACAAGGGGATTGTGGGGTTGAAGCTGGATCTGGATCTGATGATGTCGCCCTTCCCCGTCAACCATGTCGACCATTCCTTTTGCCTTGGAATAGCGAAGGCCGCTTACGTTGCCATTAGCTACTTCGATGGCCTCCGATTTCCGGTGGCGGACATCTCGATCAACCACGCGGCCACGATAATGCATACTTCTGACATTCTCCAAGGACATGAGTGGTAGGTTTATAGGTGTGATCTGACTCCATGGAGCCTGGATGCTTAATTCTCTGCGTCCTTCATGGCCTTCAGAGAGAATGAGAATGACCGAGATATCACCATCTGTTATCTTGCAAGAGTCGACCACGTGGTGTGCTCGACGAAGAGCGCCACAGGACAACCTCACAGGGTCTTCCGAGGAAGTAGTGGTTTTGCCAGGTTTTGGCGGCACAAGGAACCTGGCCCCTCGTTGCAAGTCGATTGTCAACAGCTGGAGTCTATTATCGAGAGAGTCTTGAATGCCAATAAGGAGCTCGCCACGCAGAGGATCATCCACTGCGAACTGCGGTGCGGTCAAGATGAACACCTTGCAGTGGTCTCGGGCCGGTTGTTTGGAAAGCGAATACCGCACGTTTGTGTTGTCGAGAGAAATGGTCTGAATCTTGGTGAACATGACCTCCTGAGTAAGTCCATCAAAGACATGATCGTCTAATCCCATGGTATGGAAACCTTCAAAGTCCCCTCCGGCGCGGAGTTCTTCCAAGACACCGTCAATAGGGGCCTCTAGCAGACTACCCAAGCTAGGGTGAATCGTCTGGTTATAGTTGAAAGAACCATAGCCACCACTATGTCTAGGTCCCTGGCTACCCTTGGATCCTCCAAGCGATGGGTTTATTGGCTGCTCGGCAAAGACAGACCGTTCTTGAGAAGCAGAAAGGTCGGCACGTGCCAACATGGAACTCACTCGCCGAGACTGCCTCCTGTTTGCACCAGATTCCTTCTCTAGGTCGAGAGAGGAAACCAAGTCTAATGGCTTCTCGACCTTGTCCAGCTTTTCCACCTTCTCGCTCTTCCTAGATCGCTTTCCGGGAAGGGGGGCACCGAAGCTTTCACGGAAGTTGGTCTGAACTGGTGTCGAAGCACCACTGGCGAAATTAGGCTGCATGGAGCTTCGACGACGCTCAGCTCTGCTCTTGTCCTTCTTAAGACGGCCGATGAATGGGTCTTCGTTCTTGATATATGTCATCCTCCACACACCGTATGTGCTAGCCTCGCGGTTGATCGTGACGGCGAGTATAAGAGGTTCCGAGTTCTTGGTCTTGGGAGCACCCGGGTGCTTGATTTCCTCTACATGGAGAATCTCCTCGGCAGGATCGAGGAAATATGGCGATTTCGGAGTGCTTCTTCTCCTCTTCTCCCGGGTTGCAGCTTCTGGTCGAGTAACGACGAGTCCCAGCTCTTGTAACGGGTCCATCAGAGACACCAAACGAGGCCAATGAGATTCCGGCTGTTCTAAGGGTGTCTCCCACATGTTTCCCAACGTCGAGCTCAGTCTCAGAGGTAGAGACTTGGGCTTATTAAGTCCTTCAACAGAGAAGACGGTATGTTGCGAGCTTCGCGGGGAGGTAAGGGTGATTTGCGAGGAGACGAACGAGTTGGGCGGTACTTTCGGAAACTTGAGGGAAACAGGAGCAGTATTGTCGCTTCGTTGTTTACGCTGAATAATGACACCCTGTGGTGCGGCGCAGGCGGCCTCGACTTCGAAGGGCATATGGACGACATGGCTCGTGCCGGAGAGGAAGTAAACGTGGGCTTGTGTGCGTAGGAAGACGACCAACGCCCGTGATAGACGTCGAGGTTCGTTTGACTTGATCGATGAAGCTTTCTTCCCATCCTTCTTCGCGTCGTGGCCGGAGGTGGGAAAGGAGGCGAGCAGGGCTTGTGTAACGGGTTCTTTTTCAAGGTCGAACTTGAACGACTTTCGAAAGACACCACCACGACTCCAAACGACGCAGTCCTTGGTAACTAGAAGCTCGTCCTCCACCTCGCCTCCATCTTCATACTCGTCATGGTCGGGATCGGTAGTAATCTCCCAGGAATACGTTGATGGCGAGGCATCTTCGTGTGCTGTATGGCGTAGGCCGCTAGGCTGATGCAGCCCCAGGGACTTGACTGATGCCATTGCGCTGCCCCCATGCGCGGGCTAAGGAGAGCAATGGCCTGTCAAGACGTCTCTATGTGGTAGATTCGATCGAGGGCAGGTGTGCCATCACAGCAACGAGCTGCAGTCTTGCGTCTAGATGGTGATTATGGACTTTTGTGTGGTGATGTTTCTTATTTTTTGGGAGTCGCGTTTTTGGGCAGCGCCGACGCGAGAGCTGCACTTTCCCAGCATTTCAGCAGTACCAAAAGCCAGGTTCAACCCACTAAATTTTGGAGTTGGAGAGTGGGTGGGGGAGGGGCATCTCACCCTGCGGCTTTGATTGGAGCGCTGAAGCAGCCACAAAGCTCGGGCTGAGGATCCACTAAATTGGATGGTCTTCAAGCTCCGAATGTTCCCCTGTGGCTCTTTTTTAGCTGGTTGCGCTCAGGGCACACTTCTAGTGGTAGGGTACTGATTACAGTAGTAATAGTGAGGTGCGGATATACTCCGTAGTATTATATACACAGCCCGAACCACAGCTCTCGGTACGTACCGAAACACGCCTCGTGACGTAGCGGAACAACGCACTTCACCTTAGCTCACCGAAACCCCCAAAACTTAGCTCTGTTTCCCTTTACTCTCCTACATCCACTACCGAATTCGACCTCCCTTCCTACAAATCTCGACCGAGAGAGAGAGAGAGCTGCACCAGGGCTTCCCCCTTTCGATCTCGCCGGCTAATCATGTCACTGCCTATGCCGAAGGCATTATTGGCACAATGACGGAAGCCTCACCAGAGCCAGAGCCGGTCGAGGCCCAAACAAAGCCCGTTATCGAGAATGCCGACTCCGACTCCGGCGATGATCGCGAATCCCTGAGCCCGTCACCTGAAGCTCCCAGTGCTGCGCAAAAGGGTAAAGCACCCATATCAGTAGAGAATGACGGCAACGAAGCTGTCGCGCCGGCCAATGTAGCGGGGCAAAAGGCGGAGAAGCAAGCCAAGGCCCAGGACGTTGAAGAGGTTGACGATGAGGAAGAAGACGATGATGAGGAGGACGATGAGGACGATGATGATGATGACGAAGACGATGACGATGAGGACGAAGAGCCTAGGCTCAAGTATGCCCGCTTGACTCAACATCTGGGGCCCATCTATCGCAATGGCGACGCGACCAGTTCGTTCCTCGTAGCTGGTGACAAGATGGTATGGGCACAACTCTTCGCATTATCTGCCCCTAAGCTGACACCATTTTCTCCTGTGTAGATCATCGGAACGCATAACGGCACTGTCGTAGGTATTCCAATCTCTCTTAAGTGACTTTTGCTTACTCGCGAGACGTAGCACGTCATCCAATTGCCCATGTTCCAGTCGCTTCGAGTGTACAAAGCCCACTCCGCCTCCGTTACAAGTATCTCCATATCTCCGTATCCTCCTCCTCTCCCGACAGCACGAGCCGAGGCCGTTCAAAGATTAGCAGCAGAGGCTGCCGAGAGTGTCGCGAGACGTCCTTCGTCTCCGCAGGCGGGCTCACCAGCAGCAGCATCTCGAAGACCCAAAGAGCCTACTCCTATTCCGAATACTCCTTCGAACAATATCCATGTCGCAACCTCGTCAATGGACGGCAATGTTTGCGTCTTTTCCTTAGTTGACCCGAAAGACGTCCAGCTGCGAAACTTTGCCCGACCCGTGCAGGCTGTAGCGCTATCTCCGGACTACAAGAACGACCGGACTTACCTCTCAGGCGGGCTTGCTGGCCAACTCATCCTGACTGTTGGAGGATCACCCGGTCGAAGCACGTCGACCACGGTGGGAACAGCAGCTGCCACCGCCTCCGGCTGGCTTGGCAGCATGGGACTAGGCGCGAACACCGGCAAAGACACAATTCTGCATTCTGGCGAAGGCACGGTTAGCACAATCAAGTGGTCGTTGTCTGGGAAGTATGTCGTTTGGCTCAATGAGCACGGTGTCAAAATCATGCGTTCGAAACTGCACCTAGAAAGCGGCGACTCGGATGACGCTTGGAAACGTATTGGCCACATTGACCGTCCGCAAACTGATGAATGGGAGACTATGGCCAGTGTCTGGAAGGGTCGAGCCGAGTGGATCGATGAGCAGGCCGTCGAAACGGACGATAACGACGTTTCCCAGACCGAAATCGCGACTACTCCGGCGGCGACAAGCTTGCGACAACAGGCCGCGTCAAGTACCAAGAAGATTGAAAGACTTGTTGTCGGATGGGGAGGTACCATATGGATCATTCACGTCCACCCTGGCAGTCCCGGCACTGGCAAGCGCGGAAGTGAAAAGACGATTGGCCGCGCCGAGATCGCGAAACAGTAAGTCTGATCCGCTTAGTAGTTTGGGACATCGCTAACGTGCGTCTAGTCTCCGCATGGATTGCATCATTTCTGGAATTTCGTTATATACCCAAAGTCTCCTCCTTGTTTTAGCATATGTTCTACCAGACGACGAAGATGAAGACAGCGATGACGGGGGCTCCCAGGGGGCGGCCAAGGGTCACACGTCAAAACCCTCGACGACGTCGACAGGCAGCGAGCCTTCTGGAGGCATCAAGCGGCGGCAAAACCATCTGCCTCCGGAGCTCAGGCTTATCGACCTCACGTCCCAGGCTGAAGTTGACAAAGACGGTCTCAGCGTGAGCAGATACGAGAGGCTGTCATCCGGCGACTATCACTTGGGAGTATTGCCGGCACAAAACGCCGCATCAGCCGTGTCGGCATCAAAGGGAGCCCTCGACACTATTGCTGGTTTTGGATCCGATATGTGGAATGCAGCCACCAACCCAAGAGCGCTCTTTAGCTCGGGTGCGAGTATCAGAAGCAAAAACAGTGGCGATGATGCTTCCAGTGTACAGGTCCCCAGCATGGCTGGCGGGCCCCGGAGGCAACCGACCCAGACAGTCCACCCGAACCTCATGAAGCCCGGAGTGAAAATCTTCATTCACAGTCCCTTTGACTTTATTCTCGCAACAAAACGGGATCTTGGAGACCACCTGGGGTGGTTGCTTGAGCATCAAGAATACCAAAAGGCTTGGGAGCTTCTGGACGAGCACCCTGAGATCATGGCTGCGCCTCCAGAGAATCTTCACGAGCTCGTGCCGACGACGCCAGATAAGAAACAGGGCAGCCAAGACGATTTGTACGACGATGCCTCGTCTGTCGTGGGCTCGGTTGGTCTCGCACGACACCCGAATTCTTCGGCGCAAAGGGAAAAGAGGCGGATCGGCGAGCTGTGGATACGGGAACTCATCGAGGCCGGCAACTGGGCCGAGGCGGGAAGAGTCTGCGGCAAGGTACTTGGCTCTTCCGACAGATGGGAGAAATGGGTATGGACATTTGCTGGCGCGGACAAGTTTGACGAGATTACCAACTACATCCCGTCCGAACCAATGTACCCGCGCATCCCAGGCACCATCTACGAAGTCGTCTTGAACCACTACATTCAGGTGGATAAGCTGCGATTTAGGGAATTGCTGGATCGCTGGTCCACAGATCTCTTCGACATCAAGACGGTAACTACCGCTTTGGAAAACCAGCTCAAGTACCGCGATGTTCGCGAAGACAGTGTCGAGGGAGGTGAGAAGGGTCGCGACTGGAAGATCGTAATGGAGTCACTGGCGCGGTTGCACGAGGCGAACGGCCGCTATCGGGAGTCGCTGAAATGCTACATCAAGCTTCAAGATGCAGACTCGGCATTCCGGCTGATTCGCGACAACCATCTGGCGGAAGCAGTCGCCGATGACATTCCCAGCTTTATCGGCCTGCGAGTTCCCGCCAACCGAGAATTCATGCAAGAAGCCGACTATGAAGCAGCCACTTCGGAAGCCATAACGCTGCTTGTAGACGAGGCGCAGCACGGCTTGGTCAAGCCCTCGGTGGTCGTCTCTCAGCTGCAAGAAAAGGATCTCAACTTGTACTTGTTCTTCTACCTACGTGGCTTGTACAAGGGCGAAGGCATTGAAGAGCACTTGGGCGAAACCCGAGACAGACTTTTGATGGAGAGCCAGTCCCTTGTCGATGAGTTTGCGGACCTGGCCGTTCGGCTGTTTGCCAAGTATGACAGACCATTACTGATGAGCTTCTTGAGGTCGTCGACTTCGTACGCGTTTGAAAAGGTGAGCTGACCATTTTTGGTTGATTATGTGCGGTGCTAACAAATTGCAGGCGGTCCAAGAGTGCGAAAAATACAAATACGACGACGAATTGGTCCACTTGTACTCAAAGACGGGCCAGATGAAGCGCGCGCTGTACCTCATCATCGACCGACTAAAGGACGTCAAGAAGGCCATTGAGTTTGCCAAGCAGCAAGACGACCCAGACTTGTGGGAAGACCTCTTGGACTATAGCATGGACAAGCCGAGCTTCATTCAGGGTCTGCTCGAGGAAGTCGGCACAGCCATCAACCCCATCAAGCTCGTCAGGCGCATCCCCGAGGGACTAGAGATTGAGGGTTTGCGAGAAGGTTTGAAACACATCATGAAGGAGCACGAAATTCAACACAGTATCAGCTCCGGCGTCGCGAAGGTGCTGCGCAGCGAGGTGGCGGCCGCCCAGAGCGAATTACGTAGTGGCCAGCGCAAGGGCATCAAGTTCGAGGTGGTTATCCAGTCAGCCGAACATGTAGACGTACATGTCAAAGACGTTATGCACCCGCCGGTCAGCGCCGAAGAGGTGGAAGAGAGCTTCTTGCCGTCGGCGAAGGCGGAGCAGCCGGGACACACCCACGAGGCCCCTAAGGCTGGCCACTGCGCGCAGTGTCACGAGTCGTTTACCGAGTACGAGATGGAGACGTTGGTGGGTTTTGCCTGTGGACATGTATTCCATCTATCACATCTACTAGAGGCGCTGTATCCCGGGAAAAAGCTAGACACAGAATACGGAGTGAGCAGCGAAGAGTCGATTCGCAGCGGGTATCGGGTTGGAACCAAAGTTACACATGCGCGGTTGTTGAAGGATCGCATCAGGGAGGGATGTCCTGTTTGTACGCATCGGAGGGCGGACGTGGCGGCGTAGAAGGCGTTGTATTATAGCGAGTCGAATGCATACGGCGGGATAGCCTGTCATTTTGTCCAGTCGATCCATCTGATAACATCCATGTGAACTTATACGTATACTAGTATATGAAGAACCCGAGATTAGATAATGAACAGGGTGGGGAGGCAGTGAGATTGACGCAACGGGGCAAGGTTCATTCGAACCGGAGCACGGACCGGCCGGCAGATCATCCAATTCGCCCCTCCCCCCTTTGGGAACCTGGGAACCGCCAATGTCATCCTCAATTCTCTCTCCGCCGGAGTGAAGACAGAGGGGCCGTTGCGGTAACCCCTCCCATGCATCCCGCGACGTTTGGAAAAGGCCGACGATATGGAATCTTGGGATATCTCCCGGAGCTGGGCTCGAAGGAGGCTCAATTGTACGCACCCACCCCGCGACCCAATGGCAAACCGAACCCTTCCATATATATATATATACATATGAAGATGCTAACGGAGAGATGTGGCGCGCGCAGATGGGATCTGAACGCGGCCTCGTCAACGTTCCTTCGTCTACCCCCCGAAATCCGTAACAAAATATACCGAATGCTCCTCTCCTCGCGCCGAATCCACGTCCTTCACGATCCCAAGACGGGCACGTTCCACTGCGTCGCCCTCCGGACGGCCGCGAACCCCTGGGCATACAAGAAACACCACGTCCTCTCGCGCGGCGTCACCCTGCTCAGTCCCATCTGTCGGCAGCTGTACCACGAGACGGCGCTGATTCCCTACAAGGAGAACACCTGGTCGTTCCAGACGCCGGGTTTGATGGAGCGGTATCTGCTCACGGAGCGGAGGCTGCCGCTGTTGCAGAGGCGGGCCGTGAGGGAGGTTTGCGTGCGGGGGATTGCCGGGTATGGGAATCTGAGCAGGCGGTTGAGGGGGTTTCTGGGCGGCTTGGAGGTCGTTTGGTTTTGGGATGGGGGGTGGGTTTGCGAGGTTGTTGAGAGGGAGAGGAGGGTTGAGGGGGAGGGGAAGCCGAATTGAGATGTGTGATGGGGTCTGATTGATAGAATGGTAACTGGGTGTATGAAGTATGATTTGATGAAGATTTTGACGCAGGATTCCATGTAGAGCACTGCCGTATGAGGTTATAGATATGTATTTTGTGTTGTATTCGTTTTCATGGCTTGGGCTAGTGGCAACACGCTTCGTTTAAATCACCTTCTGAAGTTGTGACTTGGCTTCGTACTTCTCGTCTTACATTATGATGTTTATTCTATGCAGCGCCGTTGACATATCTGTAAGATAGTAGTAAACGCTGCTACAATCGTTAATGGGTATATTGAAACTAGCATCGGAGTACATCCTTTCTGCTTCTTGATCCCTGAGAACTTGCATCGCAAGACTCCCGTCACCTTTTAAACCTTCATGCCTGTAATTTTCTTGCTGCTACTTTGCTTATTGGCTTTCTAATGAAAGCTTTCTCCATCTTGTACACCTGTCGTAGTATTGAGCTCCAATAGGCATATGCTAGCCTACCAAAGATTCAAGTCGTTATCCAGGAGCAGTCAACGACGGCCACCACTAGAGGCAGGGCTTCCGACAATCTCATCGCTCGCTTCTTCGCCAAATCTTTTTGATCAAATCTCGCTGGGCTGAGTGCATCAACGGCTCAGTATGCAGCATCTCGATTACGGCCATGGCGGGTGGTCGACGGTGTCCAGATAGTTTCTTCAAGCCTTGATCCTTTCAAACTACGAATGGCTCATATCTGTGGCAAGCTTGATTAGCAAGGTGAGCTACATGACGGAAATTAATGTTGAATCTTACATCACCAACCTTGAGCGGGTTTCTGGTATACCAACAACTCAAACGCGTAGATCTTGCATCCCAAGCCATCGCCGTACGCAGCCTACCCGAGCTCTCTAAGCACATGCTCTTCCTAGAGAAGCAAAAACTCTTTTTTTTGGTTGATGGCACATGCCAGAACTTTGCAGAAGCTTGATCAAAGCCAGGCACCCTCGGAATTCGGTGTGCGCCGAAGACTCGGCCCCAGTGGTTCCGGAGACCCACTTGAGCTCCGATACTCAACGACCGCCGCAACGGAGCACAACCGGAGGAAGACAAGCTCATTCTACAGCACACTTCCTCACTAATCTTTCAATCCTTGGAACAAAGATAGAAATTTACGGAAGGTAAGAGATTTTGGGAGAAATAAACAAAGGGCGACTTGAACGCGTTCGGCGTGTCTTTCGCGATGAACATTCTTGGGTTATGTAGTCCTGGTCAAGGTCGCCGCCGGCTGACAAATTGCAAATACTGGCAATTCTGTAATAAATATCAAATATCACAATGATGGCGATAATGTCTATTCGTGCAAGCATACTGGCACAGGACCTAAAGCATAGCTCAGACACCTATCAATCAAATGAAATTACAGAGAAGAATGTGTGTATCAGTGAATTGTCATTGCGGGTAGCTGCGAAGCATGCGAAAGTGCATCTTCAGTGGCATAAAGCCATGTCTACCTAGCCAGACCTCCAATCATTCCAATGTAGAATACCATGCCAATCCTATCTAAGTCCAATCCCAATGTATGCCATCCAAGCAAGCTCAAACGGCCCAGTCGAGAAATTTTAGATAACGAGAAGCAGAGCCAGGCCAGCCAAGATGCCAGCGCCCTCGGAATCCTTCTTCTCAGCGCCAGAAGTAGGAACAGGGGTGACAATGCTGGAAGACTCAGCAGTGGCAGTGCTCTTCTGAGCGGTGGAAGAGTGGCCAACGCTGGTGGAGACCTTGTCGGAGACAGTGATGCCAACGGGCTCAGTGACGACGGGAGTGGCCACAACAGGAGTGGTGGTGATGTCGACCATGGAGGGAGTCACCTGGGAGATGACCTCGAAAGTCTCGCAGACAGTGGAGGTGACTGCGCGACAGACAGAAGTCTCGAGGACTGAGAGATGTGAGAAAATGTTTTTTTTTTTTCTTTTGCAGAGCGGAAAAATGGAAGCTTACCAACAACGCCATCGAACGCGTCAGTGGGAATGGGTAGGCCAATGGCACCTTCAGAGACAGTGGTGAGAACAGGCTCAACTGAAGTATGTTAGTTGAAGTTTTGTAGGAAATTAGAAAAAGACTTACCAAGTCCAGAGGTCTCGTCAGTGAAACGAATGTGGCGGTCCGCAGCCACTCGAGTGCTCATGTGAGCAAGGACTGCGACAGCCAGCTTGGTGTTCATAGTGACCTTCATGTTGACAACTGCAATGATGAGAAGGGGAACTGATGAGGCAGATGGAGTAACTTACTGGCAAAGGAAGTGGAATGGTAGAGTGGTGATGATGATATGGGTGATGATGAAGAAGAATCTGAAGTTTGCTTGAGCGAAAGTAAGATTGTGCGGGATGGGAAAAGAGAAGTGGAAGAAGTGGGAGGATCTGTGGAAATGGGAGGTATTTATAGGGTAGAAAGAAGAGGGCTGATTGTGGTGTCGTGAGTGAGTCGTGAGGGCAGTCTTTGGAACGACACGATGCCTCCCCTTGTGGTTGACCTAGGAGGTGGATGGGAATTCAAGTCGTGACTTGAGGAGGTACTGTTCTGAATTTTGTGATTGGCCGATTGGGAGTTGGCTGCCAAGTTGGCCTGGAAGCAGAGGCATCGTGGTCACAGACAGCGAATCGTCTGCCTCACTTCACCAAAAGAGATGGAGTAGCACAGGAAAAGGGTGATTATGATGTCTTCTTGTTTATGTTCTCATGTGACTGGCAATACACTTAAGAAGAGGTGCTCACAGAAGGACTAAAGAGTGGTATCATTGGGAAAATGCACAAGTCACACATGTATCAATAACTTGACCTAGAGTATATAACTCCTGAAGAATGAAGACAACTCAAAAAGAGCACATAAACTCATACATAAGCTTGATTTCTCTAAGATCAAACAGAGTACTTTGTTCACATGGTGAGAGCCCCTGCTAGTTTATGATTTTGACTTGTAAAAGGCGGGTGCAGGCGGTTGAGACTCTCGAGACAAAGCCCAGAGCCTTCCCAAACGCAACTGACGATGGCCACAAGGGGGCACTCGCCAAAAAGAGAAGAATTCTTTTGACGATCGTGGGTTCAGTTCAGGTGAAAAGGCAGCCACCCAGTCAATTCTTTATAAACAAAACAAGTGAATTTCCATAGGTCTTATCCAGGGCTTTTTGTAAATTCTCTTACTTCAAAATATCCTCAGAAGCCCTACACAACACCATCAACTGAGGTTTACTGTGCTTCCCATCGAAAAGCATCATCACTTCTTCTCCTGTCCAAGAGAATTAGCTTGCCCATCATCATTGGTAAAACGCTCTTCTGTTGCTTTGTTTTCAGAATACTGACTTTCCCGTAGCATACGCGCCAAAAGTCGCAGTCAACATGGCTACTCTCGAAAGCCTCCCGCTCGAGATCCAGAAGAGGATCTTGTGCAACCTTGACAAGGCGGCGGATGTCCTCAAAATGTGCACCCTGTCTCGTACCATGTACCAGGCCGCTTTCCCGGTCTCCAAGCAGATCGTCGAATCCAAACTTGGTGTCGACGTCGTTTCCAAGGTCTTCCCTGATGTCCTGGCTGTCGTCATGTTCCCTGTCGTCGACATGTCGGCCATTCCCGAGGCGCAGAAGGCCATCATGGAAGAGCATCTGATGAAGTGGAAGAATGGAGACCTCATTGGAGTTGCCACTGAAAACGACCAGAATAATGCTTCTCGCTACCTTTACATGGTCGTCGTCCCTTTCACTGAGGACTATGGAAGAATGGCCTTGGACCTAGACCTTTCCAGCTACCCCGTCCACGGCGAAGCACTGGGCCACAAGCGTCTTCCCAGAACGTCTAGCATCTTTTACAATCCTCGCTCCAAGGTCCCGATCTTCAGCGCCGAAGAGCACATCAGACTCATTCGTGCCTTTTCCCGCTTCGATCTGTTCAGCAAGGTCATCAAGGCTCGTTCTGGCCCGCAGCTTTGGACCATGACCGAGCAGGAGCAGCTTCTGGCTACCTTCTTCGACGCCTGGGAGGTGGAGGAGATCCTTTGCGTCCAGCAGTATGTCATGGACGCTCACGTCATGCTCTGGCGGGAGCACATGATCTCTGTGTCTCGCAAACTCTCCGTTGCTTCTGCCGTGCGCCCTTCAGTCGGTACGCGGTCGGCCCGACCCAGCAGCACGAACCCTCATGTTGAGACGTTCGAATGGTTCAAGCTTTGTTTTGACGAAGGAGAGCACACCCAGACCAGTGACCATGTCAAGAACCTCTATCGACTCAGACAGATGCCCGACGGCCCGAAGCCAGGTCCTCTTATCCAGGAAATCCAGTTCCTCGACATCGAGACGCAGTCGACTTTCGTCAAGCAGCTGGCCACCCTGGGACTCGGAGCCCTCAGAGAGTTCTTGGCCCCCGGTCGAATGAACTACGACTTTTGGGTTCGACGCTTCTCTCCCATCATGCTCCACAACATCTGCACCCCCGAGGAAGCAGAGTACTTTGGCATCAGTAGCTGCATGCTCTGGACTGATAGAGCCTATGGTTTGGAGGACCTTTCCGGTTCGAATGCGTCCGGAGACGGTAACGGCGGCGACGTGGAGTCCGTCGCCAGCGAGGACAGCGAAATCGATCGTGCCGCTGTCGACCTCGGCCGAAACCCGTGCCTGTACGAGAACAAGGCCAACACCGCCTGGAAGGCCCTCAAGTTCTCCGCCAGTCACGCCAGAGAGGGCTACCGCCGCTGCGGCTGGGTCTTTTGGGACGACGACCGCCTCAAGAGGCGCCGCTTCTGGGCCTCGGACGAAGTGAAGGTCGACAAGGTCACGGCCATAGATCTGGACGCTGCCGAGAACAGGTGGATCACCGAGCGTCTTATCCCCGGCACCGTCGAGTTGTTTGACAAGCAGGACCTGTATGAGGAGTTTGGACTTGCCGTGACCAGCATGGCTGCGCGTAAGGAGGTCTACTTTCTGATGCAAGTCTCCAAGGAGCTCGTGGCTGCGTTTGGCGACGACGAATGGGACAGATACGTCCATCCGCTTTCCCGTGCGGATGGTTCCAATATGCTCCCGCGATCCTGGGACCTTTTGATCAACGGCGAAGCTGGCGGTGACTTCTCTCTTCCCGCTGCCTTGCTGCCTAGTGTTATCTGGGGTTAAAATGGCAGGGAGAATTTGGACAAGGACCGGAATACACTGCTATATTGTAGAATGTGGCGGTGGCTTTTTTTTCTTCTCGCCGAGTTGACTCCTAATTTTATCTGGGGTTGAATGGCATGGAGAGTCTGGACCTAGACTGGAAGACACTGTTGTATGATAGATGACTATGGCAACCACTAGGGTTGATACACTCGGGAACAATGCAGAGATTTCCCAACTTGCTTGCAAATGTAGTGTGTGTTGTATGGCTGAATGACAGGTGATGTCTGGTGATGTGTAGTTCTTCATTGTAATGACTTGCAAGCACGTAGGACAAGACATATCCAAGGTCTGATTAAAAGTTTTAATCGATTCATAACCACTCTAGGGTATCTTTATTACCATCCAACATTCATACACGGCCACGCCATTACAAGAAAACATCAGTCGCACAACCGATTTTACCCAAATATGCCAGCAACGACAGCCATAACCCCGACATAAATCCCCGAAACCATCAATCCCTCCGTAGCAGCCTGCGAAGCAGTCCGATTCTTTCCGGTCCCAAAAATACCAGCCTGAACCACGGCCAACGCCACGCCGACGGCAACAAGCAACACGACAGCCATGCGGCCGACGAAGCCGGGGATGACGGCAAAAGTGAGAATGGGAAGAAGAAACGCCGCGGCAAATGCGACGGCCACCGCGAGCGGGTAGCTATTTAACAGGAACGCTTGGATTTTACGGATACGTTCTGCTTTGGGGCCGGTGAATCGGAACGCTGACTTGCGCGGCATGGGCGTGCGTAGTTCGTCTGACGAGAAATCCGTGTCGCGCGAGTAACTTGAAGACGGGCGGGCAAGGGAGACGAGGTCGTCCGTGGGATCTAGAAATCGGGTTTCGATTTCAACTATGGGGTTGTGATTTGCGAGGTAGGCGCGGTAGTACTCAATGTCTCGTGAGTCTGGGCCGGGGAGGCACTGAGTCTCCTTGAACGAGGAGAGGACGTGGTCTATACATATTAAGAAAAGCAGTCAGATGGATTGAGGGGGTTCATACTGTATTGGCCAAGCTTGTAGCCGATCTTGCCCAGGACATCTGTCTTGTGCCATTGTAATTCGCCAGCAGTGAGGGCTTCTTGGCGCCTTGAAGCGGGCAGAAAGCAGTTTTGCAGACGCCGTGTCTGGGTGTCTGCTGTGTCTAGCCTATGTAGCTGCTCCTCCAGCTCGGCAAGCTCGTCTTGTAAGTGTAGTAGCAGACGGTGGTTGAGCGCTTCAAACCGTCGATAGATGGGCCTGATGCTTGTCCTATCCGAGTCACCGGCGCATAGCTTGGAAGCAATCAACTCATAGCCTGTGAGCGGCAGCTTCTCTGCCCGGGGAAGATGCTTCGGATGGCCGTGATGTGTACCGGGTAACCTTGGCTGGAGAGCATTTGGAGGGATATGAGGGAGGTTTGCGTTGCCCCTTGGCATCTCGGGCGTGCCATAGCTGCGATACTCACGCTGTCTCTGCTGCGCTGCGGCCGCGAGATGCGCGTCAAACCCTCCTGGCATGGAGCCCGGCATGGAGTTGGGCGAGCCACCATAGGTGCTGTGGTCAGGAGAGCTGCTTCTGTCCGTCTCATGATCCAGCTCAGAGAAGACGTCGCTCTGGAAGCTGCTGGACGCCGTCGAGGCGTTGCTCATTGCGGAGGGAGATTGGTAGCTTGGGGTCTGTGGCATCCTCCAGTACGACTGCTCGATAGCGTGTTGGGTAGCTTCTGCTGTCACGTTTGGAGAGTCCGGTTCGAGGTACTGAAAGGCGTTGTGGTGCTGTTGTTGCTGTTGCTGTTGTTGAATCCTTGGAGAACGACTTCGACGCCGAGGTTTAATATGAGACTTGTCGAATTGTCGCGACTTTTCACTCCCTCTATGACGAGGCCAAGATGACTGAGTAATTGTCGAACCGCTGCCGCTTGAGCTACTGGAGCCGTGAGTCTTGCCGGTGATGGCAGTAAAGTTCGTCAAGGTTGATCCGTTGGATGGTGATGCTGGGCGTTGAGAAGACTCTTCATCCTCTTTTGGGGTTTCCTCAACTACGGTCTCGTCGGATGATGATTCTGGATCGGCGGCAATCTGTCCCTCATCTGCACTCATCACAATCTCAGATTTGGGGTTTTGCGACTCAGTCACAGGCAAAGACGACGTCCTCCGTACAGTCGCACTTCGAGGGCGCGATCGCGCGTTCCCGGGTGATGAGTTGTCGTCAACTAGCATGTGACGCTTGCCAGGATTGTCACTCGTACCATGAGAAGACGCCGTCGAGGTCACCGGCGCATGAGCGGCGTCCATGCTACGCGAGAGTCCGTCGTCCGGGTGCGAAGCCAGCCACCCTTGAGCTAGCGCTGGGGTATCGTCGAAGGAGCCGGACAAGTCGTCAGATACAGTTGGACGGTGGTACTCGACTGACATGGCGTCGATGATTGTGAAATAGACAGAAAGAGAGGGAACCGTAAAATAAAGCTAGAGGTAAAATAAAGATGGCTGCCCTAGGCTCGATATGAGCGACAGATTGCCGTCTGAGGCTGGGTGAACCTCGTGGTCAACGGCGCGAGAATCTGAGTGGTGTACAACGAGAATGTCTTAGATTAGCGCAGGGATATTGCGGATCGCACAAGAATATTGCTGGTCAATAATACACATTACAAAGAGTTAGGATCATGGAAAAGGGGAACAGATAAGTAAAGTAGGGGGGGGGGGCAAGGGGCTTTAAGGGTACAAACGGTGCCCAAGGACTTGCGAAGGGGAGGGATAGGATTTGGTAGAGAGCTTCCGGAGCAATCAGAAATCTGGAGACTGGAGACGGAGACCGGCTTTCAGGGTGGTAGTATCACGGCGAAGTACATCTCATCTGTGGTATCTGGATCGATCATTACCCAAGAGGTACGAAAGGGAGAAGACGAGACGAGAGGGGGGGGATTCTATTTGCAGGAGTAGCTGAATCTAATAACAGGGCAGGGAACGAAAAGGAAACCATGGAAGGAAAAAAAAGGAGTGCGCCCATATGATCGGGAGAAGAGTGTGTCAGCCGTCGACGGAATTGTTTCAGATGACCAGGAAGACTGGACCAGCGTGATGGGGGGATGACGGGCGAGCTGAGCTGTACGTAGTGGGAGGTTATGGTGTGTGTACGTGTGTGTACTTGGTCTGTTGTTTTGGTGGTGTGGACGGGAGGGGAGACCTGAATGGGTGTTGGGATGTTGGTTGAGATGGATGTTGATGCAGGTCTTGGAGTTGACTTTTTTTCTTTTTTTAGTTGGGAGATGTTTTAATGCTTGAGATGCAGAAAATAAAGATGGTTGAAGAGATGAAGAAACAACAGCGGTAAAAAGTAAGAAAAAGGTCGAAATGTAAGGTAAAAGGTACTGGTACTGGCACTCTGTAGTTACCCCTTAGGTATGATGACATGACTTGGGCTGTCCACCTCCGGCACTTGTTAGTGGGCTTCCACTCCCTGAACTTCGAGACACCCCACTGAAATGTCCGGCATGGATGCTCTATGCCTGCTGCTCCCACATGGACTCTCACTATGGACAAGCAAGATTACATAATCATTCCGGTGGCGCGGAATTTGGCCCGGAACCTGGACCGGCCCGAAAAGCTATGCTACGCTAATTTTGAGCTCTGAAGCTATTCCCAGCTCCAGCTCCGTTCAAGCTTGATTATGCGAAACCCATTTTGCGTGGTGTTGTGTTGACATATTGACAATACCCTCAAGGCAAAGGGAACTTCCATTGACCCTCGGGCGCAACCAGCGAGTATCCGCCTGCAATGGTCGCATAAAAGCGACCCCAAGCCATCCGAAAGCTCCCATTCCAATCGAGGACTCCTCCAATCACACAACCGGGTGTAATAGCCACTGGTTGACGAACACATTGCTTTTGAAAAGAGGGTGTACGGCATCTACGTCTGAGCGCCCAAGTAGAGTCAATTCACCAATCATCTGTTCATTGCCAACCCCGCCAAACCGACAGATCATCCCACCATAACCCGCGTGGGAGATAAACAGCCCATACCTCTGTTTGCTATTCAGCGCAACGGCCATAATACACAAATCTACCAAAATGACGCGCATTCCAACCAGGGAACTGGCCCGCTACCTTTTCAATGGCCAGCTCTCCCGCCAAGGCTGCTTGGCCTCGACAAGAAGACCTTATACCCGCCTGCCGGCCCGTTCCGCACCGTGGGCGCCTACGCTGCGTCTAGAGTCGAGGGCCTCGTATGCGACCGCCCAGGCTACACCTGCTGCGGCAGCCCAAGCACCACCTGTTCCACTGCGGAAGAAGCTCAAGGAGGAAAAGAAGCAGCTCAAGAAAGACACCAGAGGGCAAAAGTCAAAGGGGAGCAACCAGACCGTCGACGGCTGGGAGCTGACCGTGGGCATCGAGATACACGCGCAACTCAACACAGCCCGGAAACTCTTCTCGCCGGCCGCCACGTCCTTCAACGACGACCCAAACTCCCATGTCGCGCTCTTCGACGTTGCCATGCCGGGCAGCCAGCCGACCTTCCAAAAAGAGACCCTGATACCCGCCCTGCGCGCAGCCCTGGCGCTGAACTGCGACATCCAGCCCGTCAGCCGCTTCGACAGGAAGCACTACTTCTGGTGGGACCAGCCCGCCGGCTACCAGATCACGCAGTACTACGAGCCCTTTGCGAAGAACGGGCAAATCACACTCACCGCCCGCGATGGCATCGCCGCCGAAGACGGCGAGAGCGTCACGATCGGCATCCAGCAGATCCAGATGGAGCAGGACACGGCAAAGACGCTCGCGCAGCCCAACGACATCTCCTGGCTCGATTTCAACCGCGTCGGCATGCCGCTGATTGAAATCATCACCAAGCCCGAGCTGCACCACCCGCGCACGGCCGCCGTCTTCGTCCGCAAGATCCAGGTCCTGCTCAACGCCGTCGACGCGTGCGTGTCGGGTATGGAGACGGGCGGTCTGCGAGCGGACGTCAACGTCTCGGTGCGGAGGACGGGAGACCCGAGCATTCCGCTCGGTACACGGACGGAGATCAAGAACCTGAGCACGATCAAGGCCGTCGAGGACGCCATCATCGCCGAGCGTGACCGCCAGATCCAGGCTCTCGAGGCCGGTGAGAAGATTGCCAGTGAGACCAGAGGCTGGACGCTGGGGTCGAAAAATACCCGTCGGCTGAGAGGAAAGGAGGGCGAGGTAGACTACCGCTATATGCCGGACCCGGACCTCGGACCGTTGATCATTGGCGAGGACCTCGTGAACCACCTACGCAAGTCTGTCAAGGAGCTACCCGACGCCGAGCTGGATGAGCTCGTTAACGATTACGGACTCACGGCCAAGGATGCCGTGTCTCTCATGTCTCTCGATAATGGCGGCCGATTGGAGTACTTTTACCAGGTTGTAGGCGACCTCGGGTCCCGACTCGCTGAGTCCGGCTCCGCGGATAGTGAGCTGCAGAGCTACGCCCCGCTCGTCGGGAACTGGATCCTGCACGAGCTAGGCCGGTTGACCATCGACAAAGCGGACCCCGAGGCGGGCGAGCGGACACTGGAAATCACCCCCGAAGGCCAATGCGACGCTGTCCCCGTCACGGCGCTCTCGGAAATCCTGTTCCATCTCAGGAACAAGCGCATCACGGGCAAAGTGGCCAAGGAGCTCCTGGTGGCGCTGTATCTCGGCAACCTCGAGGGCTTTGACACCGTCACCGAGGCCATCGAGGCCCACGATCTCTGGTTCCATGAGATGTCGGACGTGGAGTACCGCCAACTGGCTGAGGCGGCCGTCGAAAACGAGGACAAGGTCCTCAAGGAGTTCGTCACCAAGAAGGTGTATCCCCAGGGCAAGCTCATGTTCCTCGTCGGCAAGATGATGCGGATCGGCCAGACTGAGCGGATCGACCCCGCCAACGCCGAAAAGGCCATGCGGGACGTCATCCAGGCGCACACGGGTGCGTCCCAGGACAAATGAGATGTTTGAGTCGAATGTGCTGTATTATTATTTCATGTATGCGTCTCAGAACGCTGTAATAGTGTACAATGTATCATAACATCATTCACTCCATGTAGAAAAAACGAGTGAGGGGCCGCGGGCCTATATATCTACTTGGTATCCGACCCCTGCCGTGCATCAAATTTCGCCGGCGCGAATTCATAGTTGAGGTTCTCCCGCTCTCGCAGGAACCTCTCGATTCTCTCCTCCCGCCCCTTGCCTGCCACAGCAGTGCTCTGCCGCCTCAGGGCACTACTAATGTTCACCTCGTGGGTCTGCCTCTTCTCGGCAAGGATGGTTGAGTTGCTCTCCATCCTCGTCGTTTGCGCAACGGTACCAACCGCGATCGCAGCGAGCACCAGCGCCGCAAAGCTCGCGTTAGACATGTAGACGGGCTTCTGCTTCTCGCCGTTCTTCCGCTCGTTCCACTTCTCCCAGTCCTCCCAGGTGGCGTTCATACCAGGGCTATTCGGAGCATGCCGCCACGCACGGTCAGCCTTTCTGTACAACTCGTTGATGTCACGAGTATCCTCGGCGCCGGTCTCCGGCAGGTGCCACCCAGCGCCCCATGAATCGTAGGCACTGCGCTTGTCCGGGCTGCTGAGAATGTCGTTAGCGAGGACAACGAGGCGATACCGCTCCAACCGAGTCTTGGATTCCAGGGCGTCGAGAGCGGTGGCGTGGTGTTTATCCGGGTGATACTGCTTTACGAGCTCGGCGAATCGGGCTTTGGTATAGGGAGCGGATTTCTCTATAGCGAAGATATCGTACGGTGTTGGGTTGGCACAAGTCGGCCAGGAGGGGCACGTGCCATTCTTCTTTTTGTTTAGGGGATCATTCTGTGCGTCTTTAACCGTCGCGTAGCATCGTGAGGGTGTTCCTTGTCGTTGTTGCGAAGCAGGTCGTCTCCTGGATGGTGACGTTATCGATGGAGGGTGATGTGCGGGGATGGCAAAGACGTTCAGGACGTTGGTGGACGAGCAGATGGCGAAGGCCGGCGGTGTTTTTAGAAGCATTCTGAAGTTTCAGTAATGTTTGAACGTGTGATTTCTCAAGGTGGCTGAGGAGAGGGACCTTGGGAGTGCATTTTTCACAGAGCAAACCCCGGTGGTTTTTGGTTAAGAGTAAGAGAGAGAGAGAAATGACCTGGTAGTTACAAGCTCTCAAATGGTTCGACTCCCCCCATATAATCGACGCATTCGTGCTCAGTGCTCTGTGCTCAGTGCACCGCACCTGCTCTTCAGCGCCCACTGCTCCTTCCCTACCGATCCGATAGCTCCGCTGCAGGAGCGATCCGACAAGGGGGGGAAATGTGACCAATCGGTTATCGGACATACTCCGGGGCGGGGCTCGGTGTGTGACTAATGACAAAACGGTAAAGCTCTCGGTGAAGGATGGTCAATGCCACCTCAAAAGCCGGACACTCCCGCTTAAGCAAATATACTTACATAATGTATACATACTTCAAACTTGGAAGAACAAAGAAATTACAATTCAATTTGATAACCTTCAAAGAAATAGTAAAGAGATGCAAAGAAAAATAACTAAAAATTCTTCAACTACCTACCCCTTCCCCAGAAAATTCCAACAGCCACTCCTGGTCTTACAAGTCATGCCATGTCCCCCTCCCCAGGTCACGTGGCCCCACTGTTACGCTAGACAAGGGGTCCTGCCCCGGAGGGAAAGGTGAGGCGCACCGAACGACGCACTGGACTTCCATCCGGTCACCACAAACTTGCTTCTTCTCTCTCCTCCCACATAACCGCACACCTTTTTACCCAACCCACACAAATCACCAACCTCGCGCTCATCTCGTGGACGAAACACATTTTACGCTGTTTCAGTACCCCGAGTAACCAAACGACAACTCGAACAACCCCCGAATTTGCGCATTACGACCATCTGTGTCTCCCCCACAACGCACACAAACCAAACACCCACTCCTACAATACCTGCAACGCTACTCTCCTAGAGTCCGGCTGAAATCCACCACATCCAACCTCCGCCCATACGGAAACAACCGACGAAAGCGACTTTCTTTCTCGTCGCCCTGTGACTCCAACACACACCACTCTTCTGTCGAGCGACACTGTCTCTGTCGCCGCAACATCTGCTCAAACCCCTCGTCGAGTACGACGACTCACCCCTCGATTCACCGCAAAGTGGGGAAAGCAAAGCCCTTTTGCGCAACTCCCCTCCACGACCGCATCTCGTTCGCGACCCTCCCCCTCCTGCCAGTAGGCAAATAAATCCACATCCACAAGTTCAAATGGCGGAATCACTTGCAGACCAGCTTAAGGCAACGACCTTGGGGTTCGTATATACCTAGCACGCTCGGCCCCCAAGAGTGTTAAACTGACTAGCGCAGAGATGGCGCCTCATCGGAAGACTGGAAGAAGAACCTGAAGCTGCCCGCCAGAGACAACAGACAACAAACTGAGGTATGTATTGGCAGTCTTCTATCGCCTTCACTGCCACATGCTCATGGTGTCTTTTTTTTCTTCACTGTAGGATGTCACGAACACGAAGGGTCTGGAGTTTGAGAACTTCCAATTGAAGAGAGACCTGTTGATGGGTATTTTCGAGGCCGGATTCGAGAAGCCATCCCCCATTCAAGAAGAGGCGATCCCCGTCGCCCTGACCGGCCGTGACATTCTTGCCCGTGCAAAGAACGGTACCGGCAAAACTGCAGCTTTCGTCATCCCTGCCCTTGAGAAGATCAACCCCAAGGTTTCCAAGATCCAAGCCCTCATCCTCGTCCCTACTCGTGAGCTTGCTATGCAAACATCACAAGTCTGCAAAACCCTCGGCAAGCACCTCGGCATCAACGTAATGGTCACCACTGGAGGAACTGGTCTCCGCGATGATATTATCCGTCTCCAGGACCCCGTCCACATTGTCGTCGGTACCCCCGGCAGAATCCTCGATCTCGCTGGCAAGAATGTCGCCGACCTGAGCGAATGCCCCATGTTCATCATGGACGAAGCTGACAAGCTCCTCTCCATCGAATTTACCCCCGTCATCGAACAACTCCTCCAGTTCCACCCCAAGGACCGCCAGGTCATGCTCTTCTCCGCCACTTTCCCTCTGTCCGTCAAGGACTTTTCCGACAAGAACATGGTCAGCCCTTACGAGATCAACCTCATGGACGAGCTCACCCTCCGCGGTATCACCCAATACTACGCCTTCGTCGAGGAGAAGCAAAAGGTGCACTGCCTCAACACCCTCTTCTCCAAGCTGCAAATCAACCAATCCATCATCTTCTGCAACTCGACCAACCGTGTCGAGCTGCTGGCCAAGAAGATCACCGAGCTGGGCTACTCGTGCTTCTACAGTCACGCAAAGATGGCCCAGCAAGCGAGAAACCGTGTCTTCCACGACTTCCGCAACGGTGTGTGCAGAAACCTTGTCTGCTCTGATCTCCTCACCCGTGGTATCGACATTCAGGCCGTGAATGTCGTCATCAACTTCGATTTCCCCAAGAACGCCGAGACCTATCTTCATCGTATCGGTCGCTCCGGCCGTTATGGCCACTTGGGTCTGGCCATTAACCTGATCAACTGGGACGACAGGTTCAACCTCTACAACATCGAGAAGGACCTCGGCACCGAGATCCAGCCCATCCCCGCCAGCATTGACAAATCCCTTTACGTCTACGAGAACCCCGAGTCCATCCCAAGACCCATCTCCAACTTCAAGACCAACCAGCCTGGTCAGCCCCAAGGCCAGCTTCCCGCCCCTGGCCAGCAACTGCCTCAGGGTGCTCAGCAGCCCGCCCCTGGTAACTGGCAGACCCAGAACCCCCAGCAGGGGCAGCAGAACGGCTACCAGGGCGGCGGTAGAGGCCGTGGGCGCGGCCGTGGTGGCTACGGTGGTCGTGGACGTGGCTACGGCGGCCGCGGACGTGGTCAAGGACAGGGCCACCCTCACGCTCAGCCTCAAGGACAGGCGTCCTAGGCTAACAATCTCATCTTTTTCCATGTTAGAAAGGCGTTTGCGGAGTATACATCGCGACGGAACACGCGATCTGCGTCTGCTGTTGGATTGTACATATTTCCTTTTGACTTTTTTTTTGGAAGCAGCAGCAAGGCACGATTAGACCGGGTCGGGTTTCTTACCCACGCACACATACACACGCGCACACACACGCACACACCCATGAGCTCTCACGTTCTCTCACACTCACGATGACGAAAAACGAAAAACACTCGATCAGACCCGCCATTCGTCGCCAAGCATCAAAAAGCTTCGTTACATATTCGCAAACTTTCGGCCTGTACCATACCCCATCGGATCTTACTGGTCTTTTGTTTGACTTTTTTTTCTTTACCTCTTTTCCTTTCGGCCTTCTGACGACAGCATTTTCAACATGAGCTGGAAATCGCCTGCTGTCTGGAGACGACAGAACGAGCGAGACGACGGGCAACTCATTGAACGAAAAACACAATAATAACCGCAGGGCTTGGGCGTCTGGTCATGAATGAGGCCCTTCTTTCTTGGCGGTGTGGAACATCCCGATCCCTACTTTTCATGTCACGTTGCTTCTTTTTATTCTCTTCTTTTTTTTTTATCAACGGTGGCGTTTCGGGGGTCAATCAGCGGCTGAGCGGCATCAGCCCTGGGACGGCGTTCTTACGGAAGACGGCCATATTTTGATTTTGCTGGAAAAAAGTGGAGTTGGCCCTCACGGCACGAGGGCGGGAGGAAACCACAGAGACGGTGCGGTCCGGTAGCTCCATCGACTGGTTTGAGCGCCGCGGTGTGTTTTGAGTATTAATCAATCAATCGCGGAGACGACTTGATGTTGGGATACGAAACGGAGGGCGGTCGGGGTGGCTGGCATCCAACGGCGTCTGTCGGGGCATGAGATTTTCCTCATCCATGCATTTTCTTTGGCAGGGGGGAACTTGGTTGGAAGGCACCTCGTCCGGGAAAGGAGGAGGAGCGTTGTCGTCGTCGGTCGACAACCAAGATGTTTTTTTTCTTGGTAAGCGGTGGTTTTCATTTTCGACATGACCATCCGTTACGTATTCTACGCCTATAACCCTGCTTCTTGTTCTCCAGAAGGCAGGCTCGACGCACGACCGCAGAAATACCCGAGTATCATTATGTCTTTTGTCTGTCACTTTTCGATCCGATAGCTGCGGCTTCTTGTCTCCTTGTGGCGGAAGCTATGCAGCGTTTGGGACGATTCGACAGAGCAGCGGCTTTTGGCACTCACATCGACAGAAAATAACGCAAAAAAATATTTTGGGAGAGAATCGCTGGATGGACTGGATGGCTTTTGGACTGGTTTGGCCTGGTACAGGCGTGCTCTATTGAGTATGTTTTTGGGCCGGAACTGGTAGGCTAGATAGTTGTCTGAGCATTTGGAATGGCAACAGTCATGTTCTCTCTCAATTTCTTGCTTCCACTGTGACTTGAGCGTAATGTTTGATGGTTGGCGGTTGGCGTATGACTGGTGATAGACGATGCCCAAAGGTAGGTGCATGCTTTAGTGATGTAATGATGTTTGTGGCTTGAGGTTGTGAAGCTGGACACTCGAAACCTTATCTGAACATTCCTGATAGAACGCCTCGCTATGAGTGACGAAAGTCTCATGTAAAGGTTGAGGCTATGATTTTTGAAATCTGTAGATTGTGCTCACATGCTATGCTTCTGTATTGTGAGGCGGTGATTGAGAATGAGGCCTCGACGGAAAGTGGTTTAGCGGGAATCATGTTAGTTTCGAGAGCTGAAAACTGGCGGTTCTTGGACGACACACCGGCACCTCTCCCCGCCTATTTTCCTTGGCGGGTTTCTCCCGCCAGTGAGTTCCAGAGATACTTGTTCTTATCCAATGAAAATAAATCTTTCTCTACTAGAATGAATGACGGGATGCTTGGTCTAAGATACTCAATCATCGTCAAATGTAGAAAAACGCACCAAGTCGAGACACAGCCACCGTGTGCGCCCCTTGGCTTGCCTCTAGCGCTAACTGGTATGCCATTCACCATGCGTCGCATCGATGTGGTGTCGTGAGGCTGGCTGTAAGGCTGATTGGGTAGATATGCTTAAGCTCGATGATTGTCCTTCCCTGCCCATCCTCGACCTCTTCTTTTCTTAATAACTGTCTCCTTTGGTTCACTTCATTGATAAGCCAATTTAACACACCTGTCGCCGATTTGGCCAGTGTTTGATGAAGTTGATGTCATCTCAGGCCTCCGATGACCGCATGGAGCCTTATCATTACGAGGACCTCAACCTAGACAGGCCTGCATTTCGCCTCGTCCGCCTGTTCAAAGGCGACGATGGTGATAGGTTACGATGTGAACTTTTCCAGGCCTTCCTAGACGAGCGCGACTGTGTGCTGCCTTACGAGGCTCTCTCTTACACTTGGGGCAGCACGACCTTGGCCGAGGAGATTGAAACCAACGGGAAATCACTAGGTATCACTAATAGCCTATACGCGGCTCTGCACCGACTTCGTTATCGGGACAAGGACCGTATCTTGTGGGTCGACGGGATATGCATCAACCAAAGCAACCCCAAAGAGCGTGGTCATCAGGTCTTACACATGGGGTACATCTACAAGCAAGCCGACCGGGTTGTGTTCTGGCTAGGGTATGCGACTTACGACACGAACGTGTTCATGGAATCCGTGAAAGCGTTGCAGGAGGAGAGCATGAAACACACGACCAAGGACTGGAAACTTGATGATCCTCGCTGGAGGGAGATTTGGGAGGAAGTGCAGCCGGCGTTGCGAGATAGGTTTTGTGACTTGGTCGCGACGCAACGGGAGGGTCTCGTCACATTGCTCAGCAGGCTGTGGTTCACAAGGGTGTGGATTCTCCAGGAGGTGGCAAACGCACCGGCCGCCTTGATATACTGTGGTCCAAAGTCCGTGTCGGCACGTCTGCTTGCCCTAACGCCCATCCTCCTCGGCGTCAGACCCGAGCGTGTCTGCCAGGCCGTCCTGGATATCATGCCGGGCCCGTCACGAAAGGAGACGTGGTGGGCGAAACAAAGAGACCTGTATTTCCTGCTGCAATACTTCGGGTCCAGCCAGGCGACGGAACCGAGAGATATCATATACGCTCTGCGAGGGCTGTCGACCGATGCCAACGACCCTGAGGTTCTTGCTCCGGACTATGCACAACCCGTCTCGGAGCTCATCCGAAAAGTGTCGAATATTCTCTACTACTGCGACGTGAACAGATTCGAGAGGACGGTAGTAGATATACCTGATTTAGTGCAGCGGGTAAAGGAGCTCAACAGCGTCGCTCTCGGGGAGCTCCTGAGGACGTCCAAGAAGAGGGAGATTTCGCTGATCCTTGATCGCGGAGGCATTGCCATCACAAAAGGCACGGTTGGGAGCGCTTTAGAAAACGAAAAAGACGGGCTGGAACTCCTGCGTTCTATCTTCGGGTACACGCAATACTCGATAACAATACCAGATACTGCCGTCGCTGAAATAGCCCGTCAGACGGACGCCAAAACCATGGACGTCCTTCTACGTCACCGGATAGCTGGCTGCTTACAGACGGATACATTGGTTTGCGCAGCTTTGAACGAGCAGCACGGACCGGACATGGTGGATCTATTGCTTCCGAGATACCGCGACGGGAAATTGGATCCAGAAGTGCTGGTGGCCACTTTTCGGAACAGCGTCAGCGGTTACATGGTTGTAGAGCGGATACTCAAATACTCCAAACAGTTTGACTTATCCCTCAACCTTGGCCAAGTGGTCTTCACCATCTGTGACCCGCAGAAGGCGCTTCTCCAAGGTCAACTCCCGGTGCTGAAATCCATCTTCCCAAGTATGGGGACCATTTCGAATTACAGCATCAGAAGTTTTATGAAGCAGCTCAAAGTTCACGGCATCAAGGACTATGATGTCCACCTGCGGACGGCCTTGAGATATGCCGAGGAGGAGAATCCGTCTCTTGAAGAATTATTGATTGAAGTTGAGAGGGGCGACGAAATCAAGCCAAAAGAGGAAGAGTCAATGGAGATTAAGAGAGACACCAAAGCCAAGCCTAAAAGACAAGGTCTGAAGGTCTTTTTCTCGTCTTTATTGTCCGTGACGCGTTCTTGGCTAAGGGGAAAGGATGGAGTGGACAAACCATAGTCACATGGGGCGATATGCGAGGGGCTGGATTCGAATAAGCGTCAAGGAGAGGTCGCGGAGGTTTTTTCGCCGGTGTGAAAAGGGGCATGCCTATCGTCGGGAAGGCATCTTAAGACGGGTCTGGAGTTTTTGAAGTGCTTACTTTTATAGGGGGCCTTTTGGTATTTTCAACTATTCTGAGCTTCAGTTTTGGTTATGTTGTTGGACTTGGATTCCGCTACCAGCCACCCGTCAGTAAAAGCGTTGATTGTGCGTCCTTTACGCATCGTTTCTGGGGACATATGCCATACCGTATCTTTATTTAAGCCTCTCACTTTCGACATTCATGATGCTTCATCGCTAGGGATCGTCTATGAGCCTATTCCTTAATTGTGTTGCATTTCTAGATGACAAAGAACTTAAAAAGCCCCACCTGCCTCTGTTAAACCAACTCAATCTTTATCAGTATGAACTGTTTGGCGACGATTGCCTATATCTTGCAAGTAGAGAGCAGTTTCAAAGTCATTTCTTTTCCACCCTTTTGCAGAGTCATAATTCGCCCTCCCAATGCACCTTCCCTTTTGCCCGCTTCACAGGGACCAGTCCAAGTGCCTTCCACAGGAGCTCTTACTAGTCTGTTCGCGAGTTTAGCTTTTTAACATTTTCATACAACCTTCTGCGCCTACTTGTTAGCTTTTCAATTATCTTCATCTCACCTGCTTGGGCTTGAGTAAGATGCAAATCGCACTTTCTGAGCCAGCTTCGCCAAATTGAGCTTCTTTCAGGGTTTCCGTTACCAGAACCTCAACAGACAGAGGTCTGCTGTTATCACTCAATCAGGGTCTCATCTCACGAATCCTATTAGAAGGTCAGTCATTCTACATATCTGAACTCATCTCACTCTTGCAAGCCGACCTGACACAGACTTGACGCATTCATGCCACATACCTTCCCATCTTTATTTTCTCTTTCTTTCTATGTCAGTTATAAACTGCAGATATTTCTCACCTTTTGATCTGACCTTTCAATGCAAAACTCTAGCCCCGAACTGCTCCTTCCTCGTTTCCTCATTCTTTGAGTCCTTAACTCACAACTAGAAGCTGCCAGGCGAGATTTCCTTCCAACCGCCCAACATCCCAAAACTACAATCTCTCCTCCCACCTCTTATCTCTTCCACTGATATCTCTTCACGATCTCGGTCACTTAATTTTCCTCGGCATCTCTCTTCCTATAATCAAGTTCACACAACACTCTTTAATTGCACTACTTTTCAGCAGCAATCTATCATGTCTCCGAAGGCCAACCATCAGGGTAAGGAATCTCAGTCATCTCCACAAAACAAAATGAATGCAGCCACGCCCTCTAAGATACCGAACCATGACGCCGGCATCTCTCAGGATTCTGACAGCATGGCTGTCGTTGCCAATGCTGCCCTCCCAACAAAGAAGAACGATGAGAAGAAAAAGGGGCCATTCAATACTTTTGAACCTTTCTCTCGCCTTCCGCCAGAGATTAAAAACATGATCATGGAGGAAGCGGTTGACTATGGTCCAGCTGTCGTACACGCTCAGTGCACGCTGGTTCACGAATATAGCGGGGGAAGGATCAAACTCAATGCAGGCCAAAACTGGATCAGGTCTGAGTTTCAGCAACTCGTCAAAATTGCTACAGCCATGCCAGAGTTCAAAACTTTTCTGGAACACAAATTTGGATTCGACTTTCATTACGTTAAACGAAATCCAGGCCTCGCTCTTCGTGGAGAAAAAGACCTCATTGTCTTCACCCTGAAAAGGAACCACCCAAGACATTGTCACTACAGCTGGCGCGATCATGCCGAATACATGGGCAGAAGCTACGATAGCTACGGCTTCTTCAGACCTGAAATGAGGAATATTGGCATTATCTACACACCCACCGGCTGCTACAGTTTGAACTGCGTTTCGAAATGCTGGCCTCGCCTAAGCCCGACGCTCAACGCCCACAGCCACCTACACTTATGCCCTTACGAACTTGGAGTTTTTGCGAGAAACTTTTCTCACATTAGGAATGTTTATATTCTTATCCGACTTCGGCCAAGTGACATGATCAAGGGAAGTAAGCTTCGGGTCAAGCAATTCGTTGAGAAGAAACAGTGTAGGCACTCTTTTCTACGCAATGTATACCTACCATGCTGATGCTCATCTCATCATAGTGGAAGCTCGTTACAATAAGAACCTGACCATTTTCAACGATGCAGATCGTACGTGGGTCGAAATCAGAGAGTACCGAGGAATGAAAAACGATTTATCCCCTTCCGTCTTGGAGGTCTTCAAGCTGCTTAAGTATGCTCGCAAGGCCTTTCGTTGGAGCTTACGCCCAGTCAAGGATCCTGTGTACCCCCGCTGGCTAGTTCGCTTCCGCGTTCTTGTTTCTTCTCACTACATCCAAATTATGAAGGATGCAGGCGGTGATTGATGTTCTTTCATTTTGAAGTTCGGCTTGACGACTTAACATTCTGCAAGCGGGTTTTAGTGCTCGTGCATTGGGGCGAAGGTTTGGCTCACATGGGGCTACGACGGATATCGAGACATGGGAGTGCTCAATTTGGTTTGAGCTTACAGTATATCATTTGAGAAAATGGAACTTTCATTTCAATAGGGCAGTTGAGAATACCAAATTAAGCCCGGTAGTCAAAATCGCAAGCCTCAAAGTGCCCTGTAATGTTGAATGTGGTTTGCCGTGTGGCGTCGTTTGCTGCTACACTGTTTTCTATTTATTTTATTGCTCTGCATCGCAGATGTTGCAAATTCTCATTGGGGCATCAACAGGCACCGCAGATGACCTGAGGTGAGTGGTGAGGCCCGACATCAGACCATTGCCATTACCTAAATATCAGGTTGGACTTTTCTTATCCATGCTGCACTGAAGATCCGCCCAGCCTACACCGCTCACCTTGGCATTCATGAAGTTAAGAGCATATTAAGAAGTCCCCTCGATGCCAATTTTGAAAAGTCCAGCGAACCGTTCAATTGATGTTGAGTTGAGTGGATTATCAATGCTCGGATATGTTCCGGGGGTTCGGCAGACATTCCGATTAGCGGGCTTAAAAACGAACAAGCTCTAAATCGCGCCTTTAATATCGCAAAATCCTCTAAACTTTGGCAAAGTTCTATCGGCGCTGAACGACGGCTTCTTCGCTGCCGAGCCTTGTGTGCATCTGGACTCGGCGCGGCATCGGAGGTGATTCGCTAAAACCGAAGTGGATTGACTAATTCGGACGGCGACATCGTCCGACACAAAGCGACAAGTGACGGAATTAGACAAACTTATTCATTCAACCCATTACTCACTGGCGTACCTCATCTGTCAGTCATCTCTGAGTCTCAGCCATATATAATTGCAATCTAATCTCATTTTGAAGGGGAGTCTTTAGAAAAATCCGCCTTCGATGAGAATAATCTTCGACATGCGACCATGACGACTTCAAATAACCGCCCCGTCACCTCGCCTCGCTGGCTCGCGAACTGCCTCGATGCCTTCGAAGCGATAAAGCTGGTTTGTCTTCAGCCATCACCTTGACCAATTCATGACAAGTTCTAATCCGGTTGCACAGGCTTCACTCCAATCCGCGCCGAAATTGCTCGACACATGGCTCTACGTCCCTTTCGGCATCATGGCGATGCTCGCCGTCTGCTTCGGCGCAAGCGTCGTCTTCCAAACAGTCGGCGTCTCGTTCCCTGCTTCAGTTGCCTGCCTCATTCTTCTCTTTTTCGCGTTGCTGCTATCTGAATTGGTGTTGGGAAACCACAAGACGAGAGCCATCGTGGCCGTTATCGACGTTCCTGTTAGATCTCACCCAACCGTCAACATAGACTGACCTTATGACTAACCTTTGAAGGCCGGCTGGTCCCTCCGTTGGATCAGTGTCTTATTCACGCCCTCCTTCATCATGCTACCTCTCAGTCCGTCCATCGGTATCCTCGAAGTAGTCAAAATCATCGCTGTCTTCAGTAAGTCTACAGCCCATCACCAGAGCCAGACTAACATCCTTCAGTCATTGGTTTCGTGATCATGATGGCCTTCGCTGCATACTTCACTCGTAGTCTTCAACTCCTCCTCGGCTCGTCGAAACGCGCCCTCACCGAACGTGCCGAAGAAATGGGCCACGAAACCGACGAGATCCCCCTGGCCGATACGCCTCCCCGTACCGACTCGACCCCCGGATCACGGTCAATCTCCGCTGCGCCGTCCTCTTTGTCCCTCAACACCATCGCGCCACCGCCTCCCTCCCAGAATGCATCTCACAACTTTCTTCCGGCCGCGAACAACTCCCTGAGACCTTTCGAAACCGAACGCGACTCCCCGACAGGCCAGAACTCCTCCCTCCCACCTCAAGCCCCTGTCCCTCTTCCTCGTGCCCAACTCTGGGCAGCCTGGATCTGCGCTAACCTCGACGTGGCACTCTACACGGCCATCTTTCTCTTCGTCGGGATTCCCATCTACTACGCAACAGGCTACGGCATGCCCCTCCATCTGAGTCTCGTCGTCCTGATGTACATGGCGGCCCTCTCCATCCCAGCAAACTGGCGCCAGTACCTCCACCCCGTGCTTACCTCCTCCCTCTTCTCCGTCCTGGGAATCTGGACTCTGGCAGCGATACGAGGTGACAGCCTGCCGACGACGCTGCACTCCTTTCGCACGGGCGCAAACTATACCTACCTCTGGCTTCACACCAACTCCGGCCGTCTGCCCGGTGCAGGCGACATCTTCAGCACCGTCCTCGACGCCAGTATCGTGTCGCTGGCGCTGCCGATGTACCAATACCGTCGCGAGCTAAAGCAGCACTTCGTCGCCATCGTGCTGCCCAACATCGTCATGTCCATCGCCTGCCTCTTCTCGTACCCCAAGCTCTGCTACGCCATCGGGATCAGCGCCGAGCGGTCTCTGGCGTTTGCGTCGCGCAGCTTGACGCTCGCGCTGGCTATCCCCGCGACGGAGAATCTCGGGGGTGATTTGAACACTGTGGCTGCGGTTGCCATCATGAGCGGCATCGTCGGTGTGTTGTTTGGACAGCGGATGCTGGCTTGGTTCAAGATCCCTGAAGGTGAGGATATCTGGCTATGTACGTGTGGTATCAGGGCTAATGTTATGCAGATGACTACATCACTCGGGGTGTCACGCTGGGCGCCAACTCATCGGCCATCGCCACGGCTTTGCTTCTTCGCTCCGACCCGCGTGCGGCTGCGCTGTCGAGCCTGTCGATGACTTTGTTCGGCACGATTACAGTCTTGTTTACGTCCATACCGCCCATTGCGAATGTGGTCAAGGCGTTGGTTACTTGATGCGAACATCTCGCATCGAATAGTGTATTTGAGAATGGCCATTTGGAATTCCCGGAGGAAAACCTGGTTAATTTAGCGAGAAGCAACGCAAGCCCCTCATGTGAAGATGACACCAGTTTCTACGAAGGGATTCTCGGCGCAATCTTCTTCCAAAACTCACATCTCTCTCCGCGACCCCCCTCCCACGAGTCCGCCGGCACAACCGCAAACGCATTCTTCTGCCCCGGCGCGCGGAACTGCGTCACCGAGGCGCCCCACGACATGACCTCCTGATACGCGACGCCGCCAGTCTGGTTCAGATTCAGCTGCTTTGGCTCCGTCTCCGTCCACTCCGGCCACTCGCTGGCGCCGTTCTCCGCAGTTGGATCCTCGCTCGACGCGCCGTTGGCGATCTCGTTGCTGATGGACGGGTCGTTCTTCGTGACAAAGTTGCCCCAGATCCTGCGGCCTGCAAGGGCGAAGTCGGGTCCCTGGTTGGGCGTCGCAGGGCCGAAGTACGCCAGGAAATCCGTGGTGTGGGAGGCGAAGGGGATGGAGTACTGGTAGTGCCACGCGGACTTGGGAGATGTGAAGGCGGTGGCGAACCAGTAGCTCGGGCAGACGAAGGTTGCCTCGGCGTAGATGTTCTGTAACGCATGTTAGCTGGGTGGAGGTAACTCTGACGGGAGGAGACGGTATGGGAAGGGTAGCAGTAACGATAACAATACGCTCTAATAGAAAATGACACTCACATATCCTCGTTGTAGCTGTCCCGTTCCAGCCTGGCTGACGTCGAGAGCCGTGAGCCCCGTCAGACCGTTCGTGTCGAAGCGTGTGTCATTTGCCCCCGTCTTGGTCGGGTTTGCGGCCAGGACCTCTTCGATCTGCTCCTCTGAGAAGTTGGGAAACTCTAGCTTCAACCAGCCTTTGAGGTCGTCGAGGGTAACAATGTTTGGGCGAACAAAGAGGGCTCCTTCGTTTGCGGCGGTCTGCCACCTGGTCAGTTGCCATGTCGTGATGACGCCAACAGTCTAAACTTACCCCGACTAGAAGACGCTCGCCGTTGACCTTCTTCTGGCTCAGCTGCTCGCTCGCTCGGTTCTTAACATACACGCCATCAGTGACGGGATAAAAAGCCCTGAAAAGATGGTCAACAACGACGCACATGAAAACAGGGGCGGAGAGACTCACCAGTACCCGTATGCCTGCTCCGAGTTGACGGTTCCGCTGGCTACCTGAAGCGTCATGCTGTCTTTTCCCCGGAGACACTCGAGGACGTCACTTGCGGATGCGCATCCCGCCTTCTCAGCGAAGGAGGTGTACCGCTGGGTAGGGAATCCGGCGTCGTAGTCATACTGGAACGGAAGATACGGAGATCCTGCGATGGCCTATTTCGAGTCAGCATTGCCATGCAGCCTTGGGGGATTGGGCCACTTGCATTCGTGAAGAAGAGCGACCCGAGAGTTCCATCCGCCGCAAGCGCATGATACATAATGGACGATGCGCCGGCAGATCCTCCCGCGATCGTAACCCTCTTACGGTCTCCGCCAAACTGGTGGATGAACTTGTGAACCCAGCGTAGCGCATACACCTGATCCAACAGTCCCGCGTTCACCGCCCCGCGAGATTTGATGTCTGCGGACGAAAGAAACCCGAAAGCACCGAGCTTTGACATGTTAGCATCTTGCTTCCCCTACAATATGTTTTGTAGTATATGACATTGGCGCCAACTTACCCTGTACTGAATGACCACCACAATAAAGCTGTTTCCATTATCGTTGATCAACGCCGACATGTCCTGCAGCCCATCCCCGTAACCGTAACCGCCGCCGTGGATGTAGACCATAACCGGGAGGTCCTTGGCGTTGGGCGGCGCGTAGACGTTCAGGAACAGACAGTCCTCGGAAGCAGGTATGAAGGGAGGAAGGCCAGGGAAGACTGGAAAGTTTTGGGGGCAGATTGAGCCGAACTCCGTCGCCGCCGTTGTCCCGTTGAAGAGGTCCGGCGATGGCGGCTGAGGTGGCTGCCAACGAAGAGCGCCGACTGGGGGCGCCGCGTAACGGATGCTAATGGCAGTCAGTCGCAAGTCCTCTGGGAATACGCGGAGAGTGTAATTACCCCCTCCAACTGTTCAAGCCGCTGGTAGTGTTGGTGTAGCCTTCATACTTGGCATATCCGAGGTCGACCTTGAGAGGGTTCGCACACGAGCCGTGAAGATTGTCATCGTCCAGACCCTTGACCTCCGCAATTACTTCGGAAAGGAAGGCCGACGCCGCATCCTCACTTCGAGGGAGCGACGGCGCTCCCAGGGAGAACGGCAGCGCCGCCGCCACAGAAGCGGCAATGAACTTGAGAGACTTCATGACGACTTTGCTCTTGTCAGTATCGACAAGCAGGACGACGACAGAGAGGAGGAGAACGAGGGCGGAGAGGTGCCTAAAAGCGATTCTCGAGTCCCGCATTTCCACAGACGCGGTCTTCATGCCGCATGCCGGCGCCGTGTTATCAGCATCATCGATGGACCCAGGCGGCAGCGCTCAATTGATCTTTTGTAAACCCTCCCCCTCGAGTCCCCTGGCCCCCTGGCATGATCCACGCTCTGCCGTCGTATTTGCTCGAAACGGGATAGATAGCACGGGCCCGGTCGGTTGGATGAATCCATAGTTTGGTGCATGTGGCGCGATGCATTCTAGGCTTTTTTGCCGGCGGAGGGCGTGTTTTGTCTGTTACCGTTACATTGAGGGGGCCATCATCCCGGCCTCCGCGGCGCTGACGTAGCGTATCGTATCGGCTGGAGGAATGAAGAAATAGAGACTGCATATACGAATGCCAGGGGTCCGGCAAATTGCAATTGTTTCCTGGTTCTGGCAGACACGAACTGGGTGGTCTTGACCCGGATAAGGCTTTGAACTTGTGAGGGTGTGCTGTTGGTGCGTCTCCGCACTTATGCTCTGCTGGTACCCTATCGTATCAGTTCTCTGTTTCCCAACGATCTGAATCGTTTTGTATAAAGGGCGTTAAGGCTTCACTCCTACTGGGAGCGCTCCAATGCTTGGCCAAAGTTGAAGGTGTCATGTTGACTCGCCATGGCGACGGCGACATCGGGCGTGAATTCGGTTCCTGGCAGCATCATGCGCCTAGAGGTTCAGCTTACAGGTGTCGTCCCAGCCCGGCAGGCCACTAACCGGTTCCTGATCGGGATCAGGGATGCCAGATGGCAGGGCTGAGGCCGTCTCCCTGGCCAGCCTGCAGATGTGTGGGGGTGTGAGGTTCGGGAAGTGGGCCTGAGTGGTGTTTTTGTACTTCTGCTCGGACTTGTCCTCGCAAAAGATCAAGTCGTTGGCCTCCGATGCAGGGTCGTTCATTCACGCTCATTGTAACTGACGGAGAAGGCTCCGCTCCATTGTACGTCTTTATTAAAGAGGAGTGTTAATTGTTGGCGTGAAAGAATGAGGAGACGATACGAAGATCCACCCCAGGAACAAATAGTGATGAACTATTGATACGATATTGAGACCGTGGCGCAGATACGATATCGTAAGTATTCTCGGTGAGTAGATGACAGCTGAAAACTTAAAATACCACCAGAGATGCAGGTGTAGTTTGTTCGGTGATTATTAAAGTAGTTCAGCCGGATCATTATAACCAATGCTTGTGAATGTAGGGTAGGAGGAGATCCAATGACGATGCCTCGTGTAACTCCGCGCCTGTACAAGCCAGTTTAACCCACCAAACTTGAAGAGGAACCAAACCAGTTGGTAATGTTTCTCAATTGGTCGTATTGGCTGCCCTTAGGTGAGACTAAACACGCACATCTATGAGAGGGGAACCCTCAGTGATTGTGGGTTTAAGGTGAATCGAAACCTAACACAGCCAATATGAGTATAGAAGCAGCATCAATATAACTTGAAAGGACAAGAAAGACAAATCGCTAGTGCAACAAGTCAAATAGCACTATATTTTGATTGGGATAAACAACAACCGTCCAAATAACTGGCATCCCAATCATTCAACAGCTCTTTTTAGATGGCACAAAGTATCACGATAGTCTGAAAACTCACAACTCTCAAGTATATGAGCAGAATTAAAAGCCTATAAATCTTAGCGAACTACTTGCAACTTTCGTGAGTGCAGGAAGTATGGTGTCTTGGGACCTAAATCTCATCGTAAAGGTAACCTAAACGATAGCGTCGAGTATAGCGCCATTTATATGAATCAGCATTCATGGAGTATTGTATGCCCTGAATATACAATCTCTGTAGCTTACTCCAATATGGCCAGGTTGCATTAACTTGGTCTGTCGTCTTATCTAGAGCATCACAGCCGCATTTCCTAAGCAGAGGCCGTGGTCATCCTTACAAAGTTGGGATGAATGTCGCAATGTCACGCACGTGGCCTTTTAACAGAGAATTGAAAAGCTCAGCCCAACTTGTACATCAGGACCATTGTGGATGGGCATCTCACCATCAAAAGGCCAAAGTGAACGCATCAATGTCAAAACTCGCATTCCAGTAGCCGTACCTAGACCTAGACCAGGCAATATCACGGATAATCCAGCCAAACCGTGTCCCACCCCAAGCAATAAACCGTTCAATTCATACAAGCAGACGCTCGAGTCCGCGTTTTCACTCATCGTAACCCAAAAAGACCCGGGCATTCATCCATTGAAAATCAACAAGGCGGAGCCTATTTCCGCTCCTCAAAGTAAAACTTGCCCAGACGCTCTCCCCCCTGAGGACTCCCCAACGCCGCGTTGCCTACCCGCGCCTCACCTCCGTCAAGCCGTTCCCGGATCATGCGCTCAGCCGTATCCCGAGCGGTAGGTGTCTGCTGCGAAAGCTGCGAGGCGGCGACCGGCGGCTTATTCGTGGTGTCGACAAACATCTCCTCGTCAGGGACGCCCGCGCCGTCCGTGGTCATGCCGTCCATCATGCGCGCGTCCCGTCGTTCCTGCAAGGCGGCTGCACTGACCGGGGTATCTCCGCCCATGGTCACGTCACGATTCCGCTGCGTCGGGATGCCGTCGCTCAGTCCGGAAGCGCTTCTTTCGAGGCCCCACACACCGACCTGGCCGCTAACGCCAGGAAGAGGCCGGCGTTGGTAAATGGGGCCGGACACCGTGCTGTTGGCGCCCTCGCCGAAGCCGACAAGACTGGCGGACCCATCGTCGCTCATTCGGTCGTCGAAACCGCCATTGGACCTCGTAGCCATGTACTCATCCATCTGCTCGGGCTCAGCTCCCATACTGGTGACGGAGCCGGCCTCGCGGTAGTTGGTATCCATGCTGAGCATATCCTCGTCCTGCTCGCCGGGCGCAGTGCGGGTTTCATTATCGTCGCCGACATAGCTCTCGGTGGCGCTAGCGGTACCGACAGTGCTCATCTTAGTGACCGCGGTGGGCTGGCCATGGGCGTCGAAATAGGCCGGGGTGAGTTGTTGGTGCGGCGGGAAGTTGGGGGGGAAGCCAGTGGTGGAGGTGGGGGTAGTCTGGGGGGAGAGGGAGGAGCCGGCGTTCTGGTGGTGCGGCGGGGCACGCAGGGTCGAGACTCGCTCTAGGCCGGCGAGACGGGAGATGCGATCGGCACGTTCTGCCTCGAGGCTTGTGGTGGACGGGTGGTGGGCGTGGCCGCGGCCGGTAGGGCCCTGGGGAAGGTGACCACGATGTCCATCCTTGATAGCGGTGGTTGAGAGGGCAGACAAAGACGTCGTGGTGCTCGTGGGGGTACCGCTGCATCGAAAGAGTTAGCCTAAGCCAGTTGGTTATTAGAAGCAGAGAGGGAAGAGCGCACGGCATCTCAGACGGTGTGTCCGGATTGGAGGCAGGAGGAGGGAGGTTGATGAAGGTAGGATTCGATGCCTGCGCCATGATTGCTGGGAGTATTGGTATATATGTCGTAAAGGTCGTTTATGAAGGAGACGGTCAACGTGCGAGTGTAAAGGCGATGGATGTTAGAACAGAATATGGTTGCGATTCGTTCTTGTAAACGAGCTGGCGTCAGACGGGGGCGTCGTCGCAAACGGTAGCTCCAACAGTGGGTTATCAGGTATTCGCCGACAAGTAATTTTTAACGAGGTAGGGAAGATTGGGCGGGAAGAAGCTTCGAAGTAGGTAGGATTGGGTATCTTGGGCGCGGCGCTAGAGTGTATCGAGGGCACTGAGCATGTTGCGATGCTCTGGATGAAGGGTCGGTAGAAGAGAAGAAGCACAATAAAGGGTGCGGTGAGAAGAAGAAGTGATGTGGAAGGGGAAGAAGGTAGGTCTCGCAGCTGGGCTGTCGGCGTAGGGAGAAGTTCAGCCAGAGACAGTCCCCTGATCCATGAAAACGAAGCGTACGGATTGAGAAAGGGCCAGACACGCACACGACCGCGGTACCTTCCCTTGCAGTGAGTAGAGCTGAAGGGTTGGTGGGGGAGGGGGAGGGGCGACTGTGCTACCTACCTACTTCTTTTTTGGGATGGGGGGGGGGGGGGGAGGTGCCACAGGTGGTGCTCTTGCCCACCAGGAAGTGACAGTAGGGGCAACATTGGGGGGCAAGAACAACAGCCAGAGCAGGAGCAGCCACAAAGCCTGCCTAACCAGGTACCTTGAACAGGAGGAAAGGTGCTGGTTGGTGGTACTTTCTTGTCATTGCGCTTATGACGTAGTCCCCGGTACCCTGTCGGGCCCGCTTATACCAGCACAGGCCAGTCGGAGCGGCGATTGGGAGAGTTTGATTGGCTGATACTAGGGATCATGATGGGGCTTTTCTTGGACCCTCAGGCAGCGATGAGGATCTGGGTAAGAGTAGGACCCTGATGCTGGTGCTACTGATGACATAAGGCACGTTCACTATGTAGCCAAAGTATGCGTATTCCACACTCAAAACCACATTATCACATGGTGAACTCTTTTAACATTTGTCAAATGTCATGCTTGCATTATGCCAATTTACACTATACTACAATGTCCATAGGGGCTTGACTGGGGAAACTGACCAACATTCACTCTTACGCGATGCCCCCTCCTCCCACGGACGATGTCATCTCATTCCCTGCCTAGTCACCATTCACCAACCATGTCCTCGGGAAACATGGTGTTTCATCGAGATGGCCGCTCGCCTTGTTCTGACCAGGAACAGTACCCATGTCTTACTAGGGGGACATTGACCAGGACCCATCAATTTGCACCTTGTTTTAATTAAGCCCATGACCAACCATCAATCCCCATGAGCTTCGCTGCGTGGTTGGATATGCGTCCTCAACAGGCTCATCTTGAAAGACCAAACCGCCCGCCCCAGTCTCAAAACACCCCCGGCGTAAAGTCAACCACTCTCGCCTTGGAAACCGTCTTGCCCGCCGCTGCGACAAAGGCAAGGTGCGCAGGGTCCTCGCGGACGTAGTAGTCCCTATCCTCGGCGCTCTCAAACTCGACGACAAAGACGTGCGTGATGCCGTCCTGCAGGCCTTCAGGGCTATTATCCACGCCGCCGGAGACGGACTTGATGTACGGCTCCTTGGACGTCGGGTGGACGCATTTGTCCTTGAGCGAAAGCATGCTCTCGCACATCTTGACGAGTGTCAGTCTTTCTCGATTTCATGCTTCCCAGTGGGGAGCCTTCTTGCCTTTTTCACTTCCTCCTGCGACAAGTCGTCCTTGAAGCTGAACTGGACAATGTGTGTGATGGTCATTTTTGCGGTTGATATCTCCAGAACCTGTATTTGTCGAATCTTGCAACTTGACGACGAAGCGATGATGTTAGATATTATATTCCGCCGCTCACACCCAGTGCGGGGTCCGACGATTCCCACCCCGCAATCGTCACTGCGGAGTGGAACTCTCGGACTTAAGCCGTTCATCCAGACAGGACCTACAGCGATTCCCGTGACAGGATACCATGGACAGCCTTGGATTCATTAAATCAGTGGTATTATCATTACTATCACTCATAAAATCAAGTACACCCTTTTTCCCTTTCAGCAAACCGTTTTTTCTCTAAAAAGTCATCCCAGAAAATACAAACCGCGCTATATTAACACACAGAAAACACCCCCTTCTATACCCTCTTTTTACTACAGGATTAGAATACAACAACCATGGCAACGACAACGGCCCCCACCAAACTCATCCACGGCAGCGCATCCACACCCGCATCCGCAGTAACGACCTGCGTGGGGATAGTAGGACGTCCGGTGGCCGTGATGAGCGTGGAAGGAGTCGACGGTTGCTGCGTGGGGGAGCTCGAGACGGGGGGAGTGTAAGATTGCAGAGGTTGCTGCGGGATGACGGGCACGCTGGGCCCGATCGGAGGCGGCGCGATGACGGGGGCGCTGATCGGGATGGCGACGGGGACGGACGTCGGGCGCGTGACGAAGGTCGACGGCGACGGCGACGGCGACGGCGGCTGCGCCATGATGATCGAGACGGAGACAGATACGCTCGCCATGCGGGACGAAGAGATCGCGCGGGATGACGAGGGTGTGGGTATGGATGGATACGTGGCTGTCACGGCCGAGCAGGAGCCGGTGAACGGGCACTGGGTGTATGTGAAGGTTGTGAGGCCTCTGATGGGGGTTGCCGAGGTGACGGCAACAGGGGACGTGGTGAGGGGCGTGCAGGAGCCGTTCATGTTGCAGGAGATGATGGCGACGGTAGAGCGGGAGCTCGTGGAAGCACGTGAGATTGTGGTGGGACGTGAGCTCGTGGTGGGCGGAGAGAGCGTGGTTACCGGCCGCGTGGAGTTGTTGAACGGGGGAGCGACGGTGCGGGTTGTGACGTTGCTGACGGTGTTGCTGAATGTTACCGTCGTGGTCAGGGGTGAGGGGCGGATGGTGGCGGTGGTGGAGTTGGTGACGCCCGGAAGGATCGTGACTCTTGATGTGGTGTTTGATGAAGTGGTGAGACTTGTCCCGGTTCTCAATGTCGTGCTCGTGCTTGTCGGCGCGGTGAATGTGGCCGTGGAGTTTGCTGTGACTGTGATGATGGAGCTGAAGCTGAAGCTGGAACTGACGCTGGAGCTGGAGCTGGAGCTGGAGCTCGCTCTAGACGTCGAGCTGCTTGATGTCAAGGACGAGGACGTACTAATCAGACTTGTGGTACTGGTGCTCGACGTCGTCGTGACAGTAGACACAGTCACCGGGGTTACTGTCGTAGTAGGCGTGACGGTGGTCGTACTAGTAGTCGTAGTCTGGCCGTTGACGCCCCGAGCTATGATGGCCGCGCCCGCGGCGAGATGCAAGATACGCGAGACCATTCTAGCGGCTTACCGTGGACAAGGACAAATCTTTCCCCAAAGATGGTCGATAGAGTCAGAGACAAGAGAAGGTGCAGTCTGTAACAAGCAACAATGTAAGCGTGCCGAGAAAGAAATCGAAAAAGGTCCACGGGAATCCTCACGATATATATCCATCTTCAACTCCCACCAAACCAACCTTTCCCAGAATCCTGGGAACGGCCACAACCGTACACTGCCATCCTCGAAAAAAGGAAATCCCCCATGACAGAACAAAAAAGTTAAGCAACTATTCCGCGACGCGACGCGGTAAACCAAGACGGATGCGGGTGCGAACAATAAAAAAAAAGGCTGGCAATCGGCACCGTGTGCGCAGTAACCTGTATCCTAACCGTTTTGGCGGCCGCGTTGGAGACTTTCATGTGTATTCCTCGTGGTCAATAACATCAGAGGAAAACCGCTTTCTATGCGCATGTGCCGTCGGTAGCATTGCTCTGCATATACCACAGCGCGTCAAGTAGGTCGGATCCGGCTGGTCTGGGAGGCGATACTTGAAAGCAAGACATTCGCGATATACCGCCAAGGAGGAAAGCGGTTGAACGAACGCGTGTGAGCGTTACTTTTCCATCGATGCGCGTTGCGCGTTGTAATGTGAAAAGAATCCGAGGAATTGGATCCAGGAAAGAATGCCGAAACATACGTCCGTTTTCCTGTAACGCTGAGAGCAGTCGTTGAGGAATCTACATCGGGACGGGTTCCGGGGGTGCGGCATTCCGGACTGATTGCGGGGCTGCGGCACGGGGATTCGGCCTTTTGAGCCGGACCTAGGGATGAACATGTGGCTTACTGCCGCAGGATATCACGAAATACAATATGCGCTGTAGTTTATTATCAAAATACAAACAATTATTTATTTAAAATCACTTTTCAACTATGATAGATTGAGTGGTTTCTTACAGCACGGTTGATATGCCGTCTGGTCAAATGCGCGACCCGCCTCAAGCTGACATCCCCCGTTGATAACGCCGCAAACGGAACAAACTCGATATGCAAGTCATTTTTCGGTTTGGGATCGCCGCATCCACCCACCTCGCGTTTACCACGTGTGATATTGCCGCCACTTTTCACATGCGAAGCCACCGACCCCGGGCATTGGTCAAGCCCAAGTTATGGCTCAACTAAATCGAAGCTTGACTGCACATGCGGCATCAGATGAGACAAGCGCCATGTGGAAGAGTCTCTAGCCAAGACAAAAACACGATTACATTAATTAAATGAGCACAGTGGAGGACGACGCAAAATAAAGTAATGATCAATGAGCCATGTATTCGTTCAGACTCTGAACCCAGTTTTGCCTCCATGCAAAACGCCCGACAAAGAAAAATATCCAAGCTGTCTAATCATACATGACATGATAGTCTTAATCCCCCACTTATGCCCTTACGTGTGCCCCAACATTACAGGCTTACAGCTTCATACCCAGCGCCTTGTGTACGCGCATGCTCTGCCTGATGCTCAGGTCAAGCATAATCTCCTCGCTACCACCCGGGATGGCGTAGGCACGTACATCACGGTACAGCCTCTCGACCTTGCCGCCCTGGCCGCCGCGCGAGTACGAGAGACCGCCAAAGATCTGAGACGCCTCACGGGCGCAGAACTCAAAGGTGACGGTGCTCTGGGCCTTGAGGCCGGCAATGGCACCGCCGAGCTTGAGCATGGCCTCGGTCTCGCCCATCTTCTGGCATTGGTAGATGACGTTCTCGAGCCAATTGGCAGAGGCCTCGATCTGTCTCGCCATGTGGGCGAGCTTGAGGCGGATAACGGGGTGCTCAATGAGCTTCTTGCCAAAGGTACGGCGCTTGTTGGCGTACTTGACAGACTCCTCGTAGCAGACACGGGAGAAGCGGATACACTGGATGATGATACCGATACGCTCGTGGTTGAAGTTGGTCATGATGACTGGGATCGTTAGTAAAAGGTTACTTAAAACGGTGGGGGTGTGGCTGAAGCTTACCTCTGAAACCCTGGTTCTTCTTGCCGAGGAGGTTCTCGACAGGAACCTTGACATCCTCAAATGTGATGTAAGTGGTACCGGAGGACCAGACACCCTGGCAGTCCATGCGTCTCGTGGTGACACCGGGGCCTCTCTCAATCAGCAGCAAGCTGACGCCGTTCATGCCAGGGCCGCCGGTGCGGACGGCGGTGGTGAAGTAATCACACCAGATACCGTTGGTGATCCACTTCTTCTCACCATTGACAATGAAGTGCTTGCCGTCCTCGCTCAGCTTGGCCTCGCAGGTGAGGTTGGCCACGTCGGAACCGGCATCAGGCTCGGTGATGGCCAAGCAGATGCGCTTGTCACCGTTGAGAATACCGGGGAGAATACGCTCAACGAGCGGCTTCTGGCCGAACTTGACAAGAGGCGGGCAGCCGATACCGAAACCGCCAATAACGTTCCAGACGAAACCACCGGAGGCGGCGCGAGAGAGCTCGTCTGTCAGAAGCATCTCATGGAACAGGTCCCAGTTCTCGGGGTGGACGGAGGCGACAGTGTTCTTGGTGTATTGGGTAGGGTAGTGGACACCGAGCAGACCGGCAAGGTAGCCGCGCTCACCCATCTGCTTGTAGATTGACGGGTCAACCTCCTTCTTCTCGTCCCACTCGGTGACGAAGGGCTCAATGTTGTTTGTGACCCACTCGCGGACCTCGGCGCGGAGGGCGGCGTGCGTCTCGTTGTAGTAGGGAGAGTGGTGCTACGGCCAAAGTCAGATGCTGTTCGTCATCATCCAAGTCAGGCTGTGAGACTTACTGCGTGGTACCAGCTGGGGTCGGCGTAGGGAATCATCTCTCCAAAGGGGTCCAGAGGCTCAGAGTCCTCGTTGTTGGTGGCAATGACCTTCTTCTCGGCGGCCTTCTTGGGGGGAGCGGCGGCGGGAGCAGCAGGGGCAGCGGCCTTGGGCTTGGAGTCGAGACTGCCGACCTGCAGCTTGGCCTGGTACTTCTTCAGGATGCCCTCATTGTGGTACTTCCAGAACTGCTTCGAGGCGTCCTTGCCGGCAACGCGCTGAAGAATCTTCTTGCCACCTGAATTGAAAATTAGCTGGTGATGAACTCTGGTTTTGTAACATCTCGGTGATTAGGATTAAACTCACCAGGGTGGTCGTCCTGGAACTTGGTCAGGTCGTAGACGTCGCCGTCAACGATGATGAACAAATCATCAGGCTTGTTGTGCGACGCGACGTCGCTGGCCGAGAAGGTCTTGGACATGTTTGTTGAGGATAAAGCTCCTGTTGTCTGACAGTAGTGAGTAGACACTCGGAAGAATTGGGTATAGAGAGAGAGTCTACTGGAGGGAGTAGAGAGGGAAAAAAAGAAAAGAGACAAGGTTCCTTCAAGCCAGACGAGAAGGAGGGGGGGTAATAATGTTTATTAAGAACAATGACGATGAGAAGAATGTGTGGCAGGGGGACAAAGTGTTAAAGAACGAGTCGCGACGGCCAAGGTCGGCAATGGAGATGGGAGCTGATGGGCCAGCAGAGCCGATCACATGCTTGCGGTTAAGCTGAGAGCAGACCTCTGACCTCTTTTTTTGACCCCAGGCATCCAGGGTAAGGAAGCCAAAGGACGCTGGAACCAGCAACAGGACTGCGGCCACAGCCGCACCCAGTCTGCAGATATGCACAAATCCACATAGGTACCTCCCACTAAATTAACGCGGGGAAGTACATTGAGCACCCCCATGTCCCCCTCCCCACAATGCTTACCACCTTTAGCAAGCAGCATGCGGAATCTTGGGGGAAGGAGACAGTAATGTGGGGAAAAAAGAAGCGCTGAACTGGGTAACACCTCGGGGCAGTCAGGGTCACTAATCACTGATTTCTCAGTGGTAGAAACGATTAATGAAAAAGAGAAACCATCACACACACACTGACATTTGGGGGTTGGGGCCGAGCGGGCTTCTCTGGCTTCTGCCACAGAACAAAGTCCCGTAAGCCTTCTATTTTTTTTTCTTTCTTTTTTTCTTCATCTGAATCTACGCTAAGCCATGTCATGTGCACTTTCTCCTACAATGATCTGACCAGTCAGTGCAACTACAATTTTGATTCTTTTTTTTTCTCTCCCAGCTGCATTATTTTGTGTGTGTGACATGTACTACGTATAATACAAAATGGTGCCGTCTTACGCATGTGATTCTCTGGTGGTTTCGGGTGGCTGCATCTCCTTTCGGCTGATGTCATCGAGGGGTTCCCTCCCTATTTGTTTGTTACTACGGATACTCTTTGGACCTGCCGTTTCCAAATGGGGGGGTTGTACCTCGGCTTCTTTTTTTCTTTTCGGACAGATTCACGCCAATGGGAATCATGGGGTTGGTCAGGCTGGTCCCACTTTAACCCCCGTCCCGCTACTTTTGCTGCCCCATGGACCACGACGGCCCATGGCCTTGAAAAGGTAAAGATCACAATTCATTGCATGCCGAGTCAGGCACATGATACCCCCAGACAACCAGCCTGCAGAAAGGAGGATGAGGGGGTCAAAACCCCATGGGACAGACACTACCAAAGGATAGCGTAGTGTACTGTAGTATTCCGAAAGATTACCCCATGATGAAGCACGTGGGTTACCATCAAGAGGCGACCGGGGACCTTGAACGCTGCTCGGCTATCTCCTTCAGCGGTGAGCCGGTCGAGAGCACACGTCAGCTGTCTCCCTCATAGCCTTTCTGTTTGCCTCAATCTCGGTCTGCATCACGTATGGCATATGCAAACAAAACATCGTTGGCTTACAAGTCCCCACTTCATCTTTAAAAAAAAACAAATACACCATGTGGTTGGTAATTACATAGTTTCGCCCCGTAGAGCAACGGGCCGCCAATGTCCCCCAAACGCCGTGATCCGCCAAGCAATCATTTCAGGTATCGTCCGTCCCTCTTGACTTTTGTCGTGCCTCCTTACCAGATGGCTGGTTGTAATAAAACACTGCCGTCCCTCCCCATCAACCTCGACCGTGCGCCTTAAGCCCCACGAGGCTTCGACTTGGCAGCCGCTTTCTCCTTCTTCTCGAGCTTTTGCTTCTTTTTCTTCTCCTCGTTCTTGGCATCCAGCTTGCGCTTTGCCGCTGCCTTTTCTTCGTCCGTCTTGGGAATCACCTTGAAGAACCCGTCCAGCCGCACCTGCTGGCTGCTCTTCAAGTTCTTCTCCAGTCTGGCGCCTGCAGAACGAACGCGGTCCTCAGAAAATCCCTTCTCGGTAACGAGGAATTGTACCAGACCCTCCATGTCGGGCTTCTCCCACTTGAAGTCGCAGAGCGGGTCGTCGGCCGGACGCACATCTGGGTGGAAGAAAAGCTCCCGCGCATCCTGGTACGGCCAGTCCTCCGGGATCGTGTACTTTTGCTTCGGGTCCTCCTTGATAGCTTCCACCAACTTTTCCAGTGTGCCGTGCTCGCGGATGAGCTTTAGAGCGGTCGAGGGTCCGATCTTGGGGATAGGGTCGAGGTAATCGCAACCGAGAAGAATGCAGAGGTCGACAAACTTCAGAGCGTAAGTCATTATGAAGGCATCATCTGTGAAGGGGTCGCACATACCTGCTTGCGTTCCATGCCGAGTCCCTCCAGTACTTTGTCAACGTGAACTTCCTGGATAGGCTCCTTTCGCTGCTCACTGAAGGTCAAGTGGCGCAACAGAATAGGTGTGTCGAAGGTGAGCGTGTCCATATCCTCACTGGCAGCAGCGTAAACCTTGCCTGCGCGGGCCAGCACAGCACACTGGGCCTCGGCTTCGGTTGGGGCGACGATAAATGGGATACCCATGAGCTTCAGCAATCGCTGGCACTCGGCGTTGTGCTCACGAGTGACGCGCACTGTACGTCTAGAAAACTTCTCAATGTCCTCAGCTGTACCTGTTTCCTTGGCCTCCTCCAGACTCTCGTTGGCCTCCTGCTTTCTCTGAAATCGCTTGGCCAGCTCGCCAGACTTGAGCTTGGGCGGGGCACCGTCGAAGACGTAGAGGGGCTTGATACCGTTATCGACCATGCGCAGCGTGCGGTAAAAGAGACCCATCAGATGTGATGTGGTCTCGCCGCTGTCGTTCATGAGTTGTTGGCCATCGGAGCGCACGGCGATGAGGAAGGAGTAGATGCTCATAGACCTGGACACGGGATTAGTAGGCGTGATGGGATCTATCACTGGGAAACGTACGCATCCTACACCATGTCAGTATTGTGGTTTGTATAGTTCTCTATGTTAGACTTACGATGGCGACTTTACGGCCAAAGTGTGCCTTAATATCTCCCTCCTTGATGGCATTTGGCGCCTCCTCCTTGATGATCTGGTAGAGCTGTTTAATACCCATGTTGCGTCACGGTCGCGGGATGCGAAGTCAGTTCAGTAGGGTAATTTGGTTGTCCGCAGGAGTCTGAATGGAGACAAAGGAAGTTAAACCCGACAAGGTGTGAAAAATGGAAGATTTGGGCAACGAATCGAAAAAGTGGGAGGACTTTGCGGCAGGCATTAACGGATGAGAGGAGGCAGGAGTGACGAGCTTGACGCGCCGCACTTTCTTTCGTGAGGTCATGACGCGCTTGCCCCACCACGCGTTTAATTAGCCACAGATGGCAGCGGCTGGTGACGGCTGTACACTTTATCCATCATCTCGCCTGCGTTCTGTTGAACCCCTAATTAAAGACGGAAAGGTGTTCTAACGTTCAACTTTAAGTATTCCTTCCTTTTCGATAAAAGATGTTTTTGAGCCTCATAATCTCCTATCTACTTTATACAGTGATACACTTTAGCAGCATGCCATAAAGGATTCTCAGACAAATGCGTAAAAACGACAATGCCGTGGTTTCGAGACCTTTCAACATATAAAGGGAGAAGTCTCGACAGGCATTGTCATACTAAGCCGGACCAACTTGAGTTGACGCTCAAACATTTACTAAGCGGCTCTTTACAAATGACTAGCCGATTCTTTCTCTCGACTACGTGTATTTAAACATAATCCTGCAACGTTGAGTGTCATCCAATCTAGCTACTCTCAAGTCATAGAGAGTCCATCTGAGAAGGTGAGACTACCCTTAGACTGGGTTCATCTCAGTTCGAGATGACTACGCTTGAAGGCGAGACAAAAGGTACAAGATTTCTTACAAAAGTTGACTACAGAATATGGGGTTAGGGTTTTATCAGTCAAGTACCCATTTTGACTGCTTACTATTTCCCATATCTGGAAGCCGAGCTGCAGATGCAAATCGTGCCGCCTTAGCGCTTATACACTCCACATTTTTGGCTGACACTCTACACACAGAATATTGGTCGGTCATGTTCTAAAGCCCTGCTTGTTGGTCACACCTAGGCGGGACTAGATTGGAAGATTGGTATGCTTACGCTAGACTCGCGAAGCGATGCCAATACTGCAACCCCGGGTGGGGTCGATGCATGCTCAAGAAACGTGGATTCTTCAACGGCTAGTACTGGCAGGTGATATGAGGGGATATCCAGTGCCTAAGACTGGACCCTGGCCGATTGGGCCCAGGAGCAGCCATAAAAGGAGAGAGGTGCCCTTCAGAACGACTGTGTTAGAAACCCAACCGAAAGAGACCGTCTCCGCAACTCACCATTGAAGTCATGATTGATTTTACCCCCTCAGAGTCGCAGCGTACCGCTCGCAAGAATGCAGCTGCTTTCGCCTCACACGTACTAAACGGAGCATACGAATCATACACCAAACTACCCAACGATGGCGTCTCCCGCTTCCTCTCCACCAAGCCCCTCTTCGAGACAGCCGTCCGTTTGGGCATTATCAAGTCACTGGTACCACCGCACCTCGGCGGCACCGGTGGCACCCTGCTTGAATCCTCATTAGTCACCGAAGAACTGTTCGCGGTAGAGCCCGGTGTCTCACTGAACTTGCTGACTGTCAGCCTTGGCCTGATGCCGCTGCTCTTTTCCCCTGCAGATGAAGATTTGAAGCGAGAGTTGATCGCGCCATTCTTGACTGGCGAGGGAGCACCTCTGGCGGCTTTCCAATGGTCTGAACCGGGAGGCACTGCGAACTTTCTCGAGAAGGGTGGGAAGGGCATGCAGACGACGGCGCGGAAGGACGACGGGAAATGGATCATCAACGGCGAGAAGATCTGGGCGGGTAACGGCGCAGGGTGGGATGGCCGAGGAGCGGATCTGCAGACCATATTCTGCCGTAACAGCGATATCAACACAGACGATCCCGCAGACTCAGCATTGCTATTCGCTGTGCCGCGCGCTGTCCTGGATGAGAACGAATCGGAGGCATTCCGTGTTGTAGAGTACAAGGAGACACCGGGCTTTACAGTACACTGCGGCCCCCATGTTGCATTCAAAGACCTCCGGGTTCCAGACAAGTACGTGATTGCTTCTGGAGCCAACGCTGCGCGGATTGCCGAGACTGCATTTGCGGCAACGGGAGCTATGGTCGGTGCCATGGGCGTCGGCATCATGCGCACTGCGTTCCAGTCTGCATTGAAATTCGCCAGGGAAAAGGACCAGGGTGGAAGCGTCAAAGTACTTGAGAGGCAATCGGCAGCGGATGTGCTAATCACACTCAAGACGCGCATTGACACGGCGAGACTGTTAAGTTGGAAGGCGGCGCACGCGGTGGATAACGGCGCGAAGAATGCCGTAGAATTGTGCTCTCAGGCCAAGATTTATGGGTCTGAGACGGCGGTTGAGGGTGTTGCGGAAGCGATGAGGGTTATTGGGATGTAAGTGCTTCACCTGCAACTTGACCCACTGAGTCGGCTAACACAAACATAGAGCATCATGGTCGAACGAGTATCCTTTTGCTAGGCTCGTGCAGGAAGTCGCGGTGTTGCCAATCTTTGACGGCGGCAACCAAGGAGTCCGGAGGAGAGTTGTGCAGAGGGCGATGTTGGACGATGGTTACGATGTGTTTGGAGAATCTGATCAGTAGGGACGATGTGAACTTTGAGGTTCGGTTATCCCAGCTGCGGCTTGTTTCACTCTCCAGTTAAGTCTTCAAAAGAGGGGCTATGTTGGGGATTCAAAATTGCAAAAACCTTTTTGACTGTTTTGAGTTGCCGAGACTGGAGGTGGCCGCGACCATCTGGGGTTGAGGGGATGTGCACAACCCGGTAATCATACCAGTGACGCATAGTGCAAACAATTTGCCTATATTATAGCTCAGGCAGCAGTGATGTCCTCCTGTTCTGATCTCTCAAGTCTTAGTCAAGTTGCGGCTTAAATACATAGTGTGTGAGAACATGGGAATTTATGTGGCCAACGTATGGTTTTGCTGTCTTTTGGGTGAAGACATAGCGTTGGATTTGACAACATGACATACGAAGATAGGTTGAAAGCACAGCTTTGGCCACAACTGAGAGTATCGCGAATACTAAACAAGGTTTCAAAAGTTGAGACTTTTAGGTTTCTCACACATTGACAACTGAAAACCATCATACATAATCACACTTTGAAACAATTCCGATATCCTTCGATATTTTATTGAACGAGTCTTAGCATGTGTTACGAGCCAGTCACTTCTAAAGCTAAGTAACTGCTCGGCTTTCCTACTGGTTCAAGAACGGGTAAGAAATTGTTACTTGTACCGGGTCAGACCTCGAACAAACCGCAAGTGACGAGAAAGTTGCAACTCGATAGTTCCGTTATGTCAGCGGCTTTTTCTGAGAACCACTTGAAGCAATTGAGATGCGCTGACACGCCGGACGGTCCGAACAGAAGCTTTCAATCTCAAAATAGCCATATTCAAGCAGGCTGATCTGCAATTCAAGGAGGGTCCTTTCATACGGGCTTCAAGCCTTCCAGCAAACGGCTTTTAAAGGGTCATTCTAAAGCAGGATTGTTCTCCACTTGTGGCACTGGCAATGAAATCTGTGGGTTTCTTGGGAAACTATCACCGGCATTTCACTCCTTTATCGCCCTCGGAAACATCATAAGGCAAGTGTCGCCTAGGCATGAAGTCGTAGAATCCGATGTCAGCTTCAGATGAACACCCTGGTACCTGGGGTAAGTCTGGGCCTCGGCGGAAAGTGCCATTTTTCACACCTCGGGACGGACCATCCGGACTATTGACGGACTCTTTGAGTCAGTTTGGTCCGGAGCAGTCCCCGCATGCGATGTCTGTCCACGACAGGACGACACTAAACCTTCCCAGCGCTTTCCGGCAGTGACCATCCTGAGTTCTATACCTCTCGATCCCTATCTTGAAATATGGGTGGCAGGCCTCGCCGGCCCGTCACGTGGGCTGACGGCCGCCACCACTGGTCTTAGCCAGCCTCCACAGCCCTCTAGCCAGTTAGTTAGTTCTTCCAACCAACAACACCACTTTTCCCATTCTGAGCGTTCTGTGCCGGTTCTCGCCCACATGAAATCATATTCTCGTTGACTTCAGGTAAAATTTTGGTTCTACAACTGATAGTTTCGTATGCGCTCGTCACTCGTTGTGGCGTCTGCGCGTCTACGTGGACCGAGCTTCGGATCCGCTTTCTGTAAATTCAGCGAGGAAATACCAACTTGATACGTTTTTTGAGTTTCTTCAAAGCCGCTAGAGATAGAAAGAAGGTTTCGTGACTCGAGTCATGCGGGGTTGCCTGCGGGCTTCGGGCCTACCATTCAACACGCTGCTCAAAGATGGGAAACCGTTGAAGAGACCATTATGCGCGCGTTGCAAACCGTCTGATGTTGCAATACTTGTCAAGTATAAGAGGGTCAGTCTTGTCTCAACTTCACGATTTTCTTCACCACACAACTTCAGTCTTCCTCTTCCAATAGCCAATTCTTCTTCACTTTTCAGTACGCTTCAGCCGTTACGCTCAATCCACCAGTCAAGATGCAGTTCCTCAAGATTGTTTCTGCTCTCGCCGTTGCCCTCGCGGTCCCCGCCTCGGTTAGTAATAATGACTGAAAATGTCTTGATTGTCGAAACTGACACACCTCCTAGGCTGGTACTTGCATTCAGCTCGGAGCTTGCAGTGAGGGTAACGACATCCGCCAATGCACATCTGGAAGCTGTCACCAGAAGCTCGGACAGACTTGCACTATCAGCGGCAACTCTGTCAACTGCCCTAAATAAGAGTTTACATCAAGAAACTTTTGTACCATATTGTCAGAACCATTACATATGACGTAGTCGGATGTAAAAAGTAAATAGCACATCTACGTATGGACCTGGGTTCCTCTCAAAGTCTTCGTGAAATCTTTCGAAATACCTTTCCTTCCTCTGACCATTCTTACCACATTTTATCATTGCAACTTCAATAGTCAACTTTCAGACGGTAAGGCAGCGTATAAAACAGGAGTGTCACACGTGAGATTGGGTATCGCAAGTGTCATTTAAGATAATACCTATTCCGACAAAACTGCAGCTGATGTCAATCATCACAAATTGTCTCTTTTCTACATGCAATTCAATCTGAAATCTTTAACATAGATGAATCTCCACACCCAAACTAAGCAAAGCATAGATATCAAGTACACGGGCACCAGAAAAGATCTGGCCTCAGTGGTCTCATAGACTTATCGGTTTAATTCGTTTTCAATGAAGCTTTAATACTTTGAAAGCAGTTAGCTACAATGTAGAGTGTTTCTAGCTTGCAGCTTTGGTCCCGGTTGGATAGACTTTGGCCCTACGTACTGCTTTAGTCCTCATGCGTGCACTTGAGAATGCATCCTACACTTTTTTGACAGAGCCATCATTCCATCAAACCTAATGAAATCACTTTCTGGGTATTGTGTAAAGCGACAAGAATAAAACCAGTTGGCTGATTTATCTTAAGGTTTAGAGACTCAGCTGCACCGTGACTAGCTAACTCAAACTATGCACATCCAATCGTTAAGGTAAGCCCTTTGCTTCCTCTAACGTTCTCATCTACTCTAAGCGTTTTGAGAGTGGAAATGGCCTTTTTTGGGTTTTCATCGCATTACGATGTGTCCCAGATTTCATAACTTGCGGACTTGTTCTTGCTGAATCACTTGTAAGTACCTGCAATGCCAAACACCTGGTTGTACCTGTAAGATGTGAGATACAAATGTGTGCTACAGCAGCGTGCTTAGCTTGCAACTGATTCATATCCCCATTGTTTCTCTAGTTGTAACAATATAGCGCATTATTTTCGGAGACGGAAGCATTAGTGAATTTCCGCCCGCATTAAATATGTCCGCTGTGGTTTCTTCGCCTGCTCCATTTGAATGGATCCCGCAACTCATAGAACGAGGAGCATGGGAAGCATATGCATCCATGGCCATCACTATGTCTCTACAAGACTAAAACATGGTGTGGGAAATTCATCCTCACTTAATCCTCCGTTCCATTCTTCCGCTAAAGAACCTAGTGCTGGTGGCATTCCGCCAGATGTCTAGTTTTCCACCAAAGTGCCGCCAAATTCCCGCCAAAGTCCCTCTTACTATCACTTCCAAGTGGGTCCCCTTTTCATGAGGCAGTCAGTTCACCGGGCATCCGGGGCCGAAGGTGTTCAAGCCTCTCCGACTGTTTTCGCCATCAAATGAGAGATTCTGCTCAAAGTAGTGTTCTAGTTGTCCGTGGATTCAATTTACGGCGATGTGTATAAAGTCTAAGTTCCCTTTTGGTCTTTCACCACTCCTATACCCAATTTCCTTCACCATCATCGATTCCTAGCAACTACTCCTTCACACAGCACAACCATCAAATCAGCCATGGCTCCTAACTTCTCTCCTGCTACCAGAGCTAGTGAGCTTGTCCCTTATTATGCCAGTACCATCGCCGGCAAGACCATACTTATCACTGGCATTTCCTCCGGAAGCTTGGGCGAAAGCTTCGTCAAGCAGGTTGCTGTCGCAAACCCTGCAACCTTCATCCTCGCTGGTCGCTCTCCAACCAAGTTCCAGTCAATCGTTGACCATCTTGCGAAAACCCACCCCAGTATCACGGTAAAATCGTTGGATTTGGACTTATCCTCTTTCGCCAATGTACGCGAAGCTGCCGAGAAAGTCAACTCTTGGTCCGATGTGCCTCATATAGACGTTCTGGTGAACAACGCAGGAGTTATGGCAGTCCCTTACAGCCTGACCAAGGATGGCTTCGAAAACCACTTTCAGACGAATCACCTTGGTCATTTTCTTTTTACAAACCTCATCATGGAGAAGATCCTTGCCTCGAACGCACCCCGCATCATAAACGTTAGCAGCATGGGACACCGGCAAGGCAGCATCCGATGGGCAGACTACAACTTCAGCGGCGGCAAGTTGTACGACAGAATGGCTGCGTATGGACAATCAAAGACAGCAAATGCATTGACCGCCCTTGCACTTGCTGAAAAGCTTGGGAACAGGGGTCTTCTCTCGTTCAGTGTCTGCCCAGGTTCCGTCGGGACCAATCTCGCCTCTCATGAGGCAGACAACATAGCTGGCCTCTTAGCCGAGTACCAGACTGCGGATGCTAGAGTTGGCACGAAGTGGATGTTTAGTCAAGACATTTTGTTCAAAGACGTAGACCAAGGAGCCGCAACTCACGTCTTTGCAGCGTTTGACCCAGAAATCACGAAAAACAATGGTGCGTTCTTGAACCATTGTCGCCTCGCGGATCCTTACGCAGAGGAGGTGTTTCCATGGGCGACCGACAAGGTTTGGGCAGATATGCTTTGGACTCTCAGCGAGAAACTCGTGGGTCAAGAGTTCAAACACTTTACCGCCGACAGACGATAATTCAGGAAGTCTTTGTTAAGGCTGTGCGTGTTTTGGAACCGGGAGCTATACAAAAGGCCTTGAGTATCGATATGCAAATCAACTGGACGTTGTTCTCTATTCATATCTTCTCACCTACAATAAACGAGACGACATGTACTTGCCTGCATTGCTATGTCCTCATCTCTGTCACGACCTTGCAACTAAGGAGCAGGTCATAGTGTTTCGGAAGTCTCCACTGTACGCAGTCTTTTTCCCGTCCAGTCGTCTACTTTTTCCTTTCCCAGCAATAGTTTCATGAAGACTTTTGAGAAGATATCGACCTCTGCAGGTGCGGCACTTGACAGAAGCTCATCAACATGTAGGCTTTGAACGAAGAGGAGATCTTTCTCACTGGCCAGCTTCGCCCACGCCGTAGACGAAGGTGCGTCCCACAGTCCCGCGGACGCTGTAAATCTAATCTCGCCAGTACATGAATTCCAACCGTCCCTCTCTCTGAAGTAGACCGCCATCGTGCTATGGCAAACAAGCCAAGTTCGCCTGACACTTTCGCTGAGAATCCACGCTTTCCAATGTCGAAGGGTAGTTTCATCGTCCTTGGGATCAAAACTCCTCAATCCATTGTTGTTTTCAAGTTGTATTTCATGACAGGCGCTCAATGTGGCTGATTGCCAGAGTTGCTGACACCACAATAAGACTGTCTGAAAGCAGTTTTCAGCGAGAGCTCGTTGGCGGATAGAACCGTCGTAAAGACGGATGAATTGGTATATAAGAAGCGCCTGTACTCGGGCTAGTTGATCAATAGTTTCGAGGCCGGTCGCGGCCATGAAGAAGGTATCGTCAGAAGCTTGTGCTCGTAAAAGACCATCCGCGCGATCCTCAATGATTTTCATGACTATGTACTCTGTCATCTCGGTCTTGGAAAAATATGCGGTGACAGTTGTCCAAGCATCCTGAAGGCATTGCGGAAGGCCAGTATCGAAGTATAGCTGCTGGTGGATGAAGGGGTTATAGCCTTGTTCAACCCATTGGCGTAACCAGTCTTCTAAACCAGTCGACCAAGCTTTAGCCCCCGAGGAAACACGTATTGGCTCAGGATTGAAGCGGCACGTGCTTGTGCCGACACTTTCAATCGTCCAAGTCTCTAGCTCCAAAAACCACGGTTTATAAGTGGCATGGACATTTGACGCGGACTTTGGGGTTGGTATTGATACAGCGTTGCCGGGGTTATCTTGTCTTATTACCTCTTGAGGTTGCGGGTCGTCTACATCGGGAATAAAGGAGTTTACTGCGCTGACCCCGTCTAGTTGAGCGGGCTGTGGCGGAGCACGGTAGTATCTCCGGGTCGTCGGATACTGACAATCGAGTTTCTTTAGAGCGCACCGTTGACAACTTGGCATCTGTTTGTCGCATGTTCTTTTCGCTCTTGCGCACCCAAGACAGGTTTTTCGTTCATTCCGTGGAAGATGAGAAGTCATTCTTGATTGGATGCTCGAGTAGTCTACCAGGAGACTTCGAGGCGTGTCAAAAACACGATACTGTCCGATGGGACCCCTGATCTTATGCCAACTTGTGTAGGGTTGAAGCGTCCGGTATTTTTACGAATAGATGTGACCGTAGTAGCTATTGAGCGCGTCGGCCTGGGTTAGAAGGTATGTGGGAGAAAAGAAAATGAGTTGGTAGTATTTGGCGACGAAAAGAAGTCTCCGCTGCACAAGGAGGTGTGTGAAGTGTCTAAGCCACTGGAAGGGCACTAGACGTTTCATTAAAGTCGCTTAATAATCATCATGTAGAGGTTAAATGTGTATTGACTGTGAAATTTGGGCTGGGGAGGCGGGACTAATTACCGCTAATAAAGCTTATGCCGCATGTAGCACATCCCTCTTGAAGAACCTTGTCAGGTGCACTGCTACGACATTTACATGGCTCACAAATTTACAACAACATTATCAATCTCAACCACATGCTCGGTACCGAATACTCTGCATCAAAAACATGTTACTTTCACGTTCAAAGATACGTTCCTTGAGAGAGATTTTGAACAAGGCCTACGGTTTTCAAATTTTATCTTCATAGATAGAGCATCAGCATGCGGCAACCCATCATGTTACGAGAGTAGTGTATAACTATTAGGATGCTATTATCTTTCAAGAACAAAACCAAGGTTTTTTCTCCGTCACAGTACTGACATATATTACCCTTTGCCGTGTTTCTATAGTCCACAGCCCGCCTTTTAATCACAGGCTAGAAAAAAACTCCTTTACATCAGCAATCCATAAGTCGGGGTGAGTGACAAATGGGTAATGGCCGCCGAATAGATGTCGTTTCCAGTAAACTATATTCGACGTCCTTTCGGCCCATTGCCGAGGCTGATGTTGTCTCAGCACAATCTCAAGCAGGTAAAGGGGTGTTACGGCACTTACGATTAATGGAAAGTTAGCGAGGGAAGAGAATGGGCCATTGATGTTACCCCATTGAGCGACCCCAGTTGGTACATCTGTCTTGGGCAACATAAAGGCCTCGGGCTGGGCACAGGTCAACTCCCAAATCATATCTACAAGCCGAAGGACTTGTGTCTCGAAGAAAACGTACGGTGTTGAATTCCAACCAACTTCGCATGCTACCGTAAGGCGACTGGATCCACAGCAACATGGTATCGGTGATGAGTTCATCGAAGGAATATTGATAGTCGTCGCTGATGGTGTATCTCAGGTCCCATAACCAACTAGCGAAGCCGACAGGGCTGTCTGTTAAGGCTACCGATAAGGCTTGAGGCTTTTGGGCCTGTGCCTTTCCATATACAGCGTGGGACGAGTCCCACGCGTTTGACACCTCGATGAAGTCGCTTTCCTCCTTGGTAGTTTTATTCATAGTTTGTCGTGCAAAATCGGTGGGCAAAGGCGGGACGCGGTAGAAATCAGTAAACAAGCCCGTTAAACTGTCCTGGAAATCACTAGCCATCCACATGCCAATTACCCAGCCGAGGTCAGTGGAAATAACGCCATAGGTCTCATAACCTAATTGCTTCATGAGCGCATCGAAAGCTGCGCCCATCTCCCTCGGGCCCATATTTGGCTGATTTGGAGCCGGACTAAAACCGTAGCCAGGAAGGTCGGGAGCTACGACGTGGAAAGTCTTGTTATCGCCATGCGCCAGAGGCCCAATAACTCGAGACCATTCAAAGTGCGAAGATGTCCAGCCATGTAAGAGTAAAACTGGAGTAGCGTCACTACTGTTAGAGCGTTGGTGTACGAAGTGGAGAGGGATAGGTGCCGAATAGTTGCGACTGCCAGGGACAGTTGTGGCATAGTGTTCAAATTTGTTGATCCTTTCCTCAGCCGCCCTCCATTGATAATCTTTACCCCAGTGTTCTGCGAGAGAAGCCGTGGCCCAGTCCGGGGGACCTTCGATTGTCCAATTTGAGAAAAGACTCTGTGATGGACGATAGCCACGAACCTTTCGGAGAGTTAGGTCGACAAAGCTCTGGTCCACTCGAATTTCAAACGGTTCAGGGGAGACAGTTTTTGGGAAGTCGAAATTGAGATTGGCGAAACTTGATCGTTGGGCTATAACAGCGGCGGTGGCAGTGGAAGCCACGGCAAGGATCCAGGTTCGACGATGCATAGTGCCTTTCATAAGCATTTGAACAGACTAGACGGGGTGAAAGCATGATGCGTGATTGTTGGTTTGAGCCAACATTATATACCGTGAAAACGTTGCAAAGTGAATGGGATCAAATCGGCATTTAGTCCGTCGCAGCGGTCGAATCAGGACTGTTTTTACACAAATTGGTAAGCAGACTTTTTCTTCCACCGATCGTCCTCTAATATCCGCAAAGTTTATTTTATCGTGTAGAAACTTGGAAGTTTGATTATGTTGGATAACACTACTCTGGATGGTTCTCTTGAGGCCCTTGTGCTCCAATAGCAGTAAACTTGACAAAAGCAACTATAGACTACATGGTGGCTTAAGCTTGTCACATGTGAAAACACTTTGTAAGGTGCAAAGGCGGGACTTGGCGTTTTCTAATCTTCCGCAGGAGCGGAACTTTCGGGGGCACCGGACAATTGGAAAACACAGAATTAATTTAGTCAGCGGGCACGGCATTCAGGCCAATGCTGCTAAATCACTACAGTGCAGTGAGGTTTTGCATAGGTTTGGCTGAGAATGGTACCACAAAACTACCACTCCATACCCTAGGGCGACTTTCCAGAGTCTACTTTGTTATGTTGAACAATACATGAGATCTGTGCTCAGTTGAATTGGTGCAAATATCTACAAGCAGATTTTGAAAACACCAGCGCTCAAGTAAGGAACTCACGCAAGGCACCTGTAAGGGCATAGTTTCTTTGGTCTTGATATAGTATATTGTCATCACACAAGACCAGCTTCTTGTTAGCACTACCTTATGCGATCAAGCATACAGTCTCGATTCAATATTACCTCTAAGCAGTTGCAAATCTTCTCATTTTAGTTTTTCTTGTTCTTGGACACTTTTGCTTCTAGGTCTGCACCACATAATACAATACTCGTGTTGGGCCCTAGGAACATAGCATAGGACATTATAGCCAAGAAAAAAAAAAAAAAAAGGACTTTTGAGCCTTTCCCCGTAAATCTTGGAGACATATGGGCCAGTTTTTGATTCGTAATGTATTTGTAGCCCAATAGCACTCGATGAGATAGTAATGTTTAGAAAGTAAATCCTTGATTAATAATGCCCATGTAAAACAGCACTTTGGGATTCTCAAGCGTATTTACAGTGAATATTTTTATCAATTACCTCTAATTCCCTTTAAATATTCTTACCCCTGCCTATGTCACCTCGCACGCAAGTTAGGACATTCAAACATGGCACAAAGTAAAACCTACGGTTGTGATTAACCTGTCGTCATGATCCCCTGTTCTGCATATAGCTACGCCGGCCACAACCTTAACTGATTGGGTCGTAACAAGTAGGTCCTCATTGGTTATACGTAACGATCGTAACGGCATAAATCATGTAAAAATTCTAAATATCATTGCTGAATTGACAGCCGGAAAGACGAGGCGATCTCCGACCTTGCAAAGATGACGTTTTACCATCTAATGTTCTTGGCACCTCAAAAATGAACTCTAAACTCTTGGCTTTTTAGGTCCCCTGAAACTGAGTACGATTGATCTGCAGCAAGATCCGGTAGAGATATGCCAGCATGAAAGGCAGCTTGTATGATAGGAGTTATTGGTAGACGCTCACTTAACAATGGTTTAGCCTCTTACCTGGCCAAGAACGTCGAAACTGATATGTGGAGGCAAATCCAACGTGTCATGAGCGTGCGGTCAGCGTGCGACAGGTGTGCAATGTATCAATACTGCATGCACATCAAAATCCGGAGCCAATGCGAAGGTCTGGCCTCTCTGCAAATATTTGACTCTTTGCCATAGTAAATGGCCAAAGTTTTAAAGATACAGGAGGTTTGATGATTGCTGTGCCACCAACATGCATTTACAGCTAGCGAATTTCGTGGTTATTACATCATTTTATGTAACTTAATCCTTCAAGCTGATAGACCAACCAGGGACTCAGAATTCTTTCAGGGGAACTTGGCTCCCTCATTACCGGTTCCCTCTGTCCATTGCCGCGGCGGAAATATTGAAGACAAGCGGGGTTGAGCGTTTAAACCCCGACACTTGAGGCACAAATATCGTCTCCATCTTTTCTCATTACGGCCCCTCAATCTTACTCATCTTCATCTTCATTTCAATTGCGGCCGCTTATTTTTACTATTGTCAACTTGTACTTCCATTCTGACTAAGTCTTAATTTCATCAGGGTCCACGATGTCCTCAGAACCCCCCTCAATCAGAACACCGGATCAGGACTTGGACCTGAACAATATGGACGGCGATGCTCTCTTAGCACAGCCCAAGTTCCAGGAGAGTCTAAAGTTCCTCGGTGACGTGAAAGTTGGTTCTTCGTCTTTTGCGCACATGTTGAATGCGTTCATCATCTAATGATGGGTCGCAGAAGCGATTCGAGGCAACCCAGCCGGAGGTATATCCGGCCTTTATTCGAGCTCTTAGTACTTTCAACCAAGCAGCACCAAAGACCCAGGAGGAAGCGGATAGGAACCTGGCGGAGATCCACACCAAAGCAACAATGCTATTTCAAGGACACCGGGACCTATTGGAGAGATTTGAGAGTAGTCTCCCATCAGATTATTTTCATCAGAGTGTAAAGACGGAAAGCTAGATGCAGGAGACGGTGTTTACTGGGGTTATCTTAGCGAATGATACCTTTGCACTTTGATTGACAATCTCCATTTGTTAAGCATAAATAAATGCCGCTTTTAGCCATGTGATCGCCTATGTCTGCGCGTACAATCGCCAACCTTACTTACTCAAGGCGGAAGGCGCGTTGTCAAGACTATGCTTAGACCGTGACTTACCATGCAATGTCTCAGGTATGCTTCTGCGGGCCAGTTGCAGCCAGGCTTCCAAATGGCATTGCCGTGGTTTGAAAGACTATGTGAATGACTGGATCGAGGACTACTCTGCGTGTCGTGTTAGCCCAAAGACCTGCGCTTGAGCTGTTTTCCTCACCCCAGTGACGCTACTTTCATCCGATGCGACACTTTATACCTCGCATATGCGTGATGACCGTGAGGTGTAAGACTTTGAAGTAAGGTATGGTTTCATGGTTTCACTGCCGCTCTCCCAATTCCGACAATCGCCGAGTCAGCGCGCCATCATGCCACCTTTTGTCGAGCACCACCTGACAATCCTTGAGCGATCCCGGGCATACAAAGCCCCGCACCGGATATGGCAAATACGGGACTTTAAACTCGCTCTTTTCTCTAAAGCTTTTCCGAACGTGTAACCCTTGGCATATTCCTTTTCCCGTGCACGGGCCTATCAGATCCTCTTGTGTCTTCGTATCTTTACCTCCACGTTCCCCCAACTCGTCTGAGTGACTGACGAGCCCATGTTCGAGCCAGCGGAGATCCTCCGCACTCCCCAAACTTCGGACTTCTCCTCAACCAACCACAAGGTTCCAATGCCGCTTCCCCGCAGCATTTTATTTTCTTTTAGTAGATTACTCCTCCTTTGAACCAGCTAGCTATGCAACCAACGTGACACCTTTGGAAAGGGTCCATAGCTAGCTATCACAATCTGTTCATCTCATTGGTCCCGATCATCTTATAAAACCATCTATTGTTTCTCACTGATGTCAGAATACGTTCCCAGAACCGGGAGTTACCCGGCGACTTGCAAATGCCGGCCAATGGCGAGCCATTCAGAGTTCCCCATACCCCGGACTCGACCTCAAACGTAGGTACGGGAGGCGAAGGCTTTCAGGTGAGGGTGAAAGCTCATAGGTTCGAATCCTTCTGAACTGGATCTTGGACCAGCTTTGTTATTTAGCCAAAATGCGCTGAGTGTACGCCCCCGGCTCTTCCAGGGATGTGGTTCGGACGCAACGGCATATCGGCGGATCCTTGAGCGACTGTAACCCCGAAGTAGACTTTGGGAAGAACGGTATATAGTTCAACGGGGAACTATGTCAGGCTCGAGTCTGCCCACACGGCTTCGTTGGTCCTGTCGTTCTTGCAGCAAGCACCACTCAGTAATCGTATTTTTTTTGTAAAGATCGCAATGGCGTCCAAAGGTGATCATGAGGTCCAGCACCTTCGCAAGGCCGCTGAGAATGAGGTCGAGGAGAAGCTGGGCCAGTCGGCCATCTTCGAGGCCAAGCAGGCCTCCGATGATGAACACGCCCAAACTCTGTTGCAGGCACTCAGCCAGAACCGCAAGGCTGTGCTTTGGTCTGTCTTGATTTCCATGTCCATTGTCATGGAAGGGTTAGTCTCTTTCCATGCGAAGTCTGTTGAGAACGGGTGATCGTCTGACGTTGGCCCAGATACGATGTTATTCTGATCAACAACTTCTTCGCCTACCCGGAATTTAAGAAGAAGTATGGCAGCTATTATGAAGGGATTGGATACCAGGTGTCTGGTCCTTGGCAGACTGGACTGACCATGGCAGCCACCACTGGTGCCATCTTTGGTAAGCTCATATTCGCTTTCTTTTTGTGATTGAGATTTCATCAGATTCTACGGGTGATGCTGACGGCGATGGTTCAGGCGGTCTCATGAACGGCTTCTTCGCTTCGAGATACGGCTACCGATGGGTCCTGATTGCCGCAATGGGATTCCTCAACTGCTTCATCTTTGTCGTCTTCTTTTCCAACTCTGCTGCGGTGCTGCTCGTCGGTCAGATTCTCTGTGGTTTCTCGTGGGGTGTCTTTGCCACGCTAAGTCCTGCCTACGGTAAGTCTCTCATCCCATTGCTCTTGGTCAATTCGCCTGGATATTCAATTGCTGACTCGGCCATCAAACAGCCTCCGAGGTCTGCCCCACCAACCTTCGCGGTTACATGACGACTTATGTTCGTGACCCTTCGATCCATACATATGCTTCTCATACTGATCTGCATCCCTTAGGTTAACCTTTGCTGGGCGACTGGTCAACTTATTGCCGCCGGCGTCCTTCGTGGCTGCCTTAGCATCGAAGGCGAGATGGCATACAAGATTCCCTTTGCTATCCAATGGGTGAGCTTCAGCATGCCCGATGACTTCCCTAAAAAAAAAAAATGTGGCTAACTGTTCGAACCAAACAGCTTTGGCCCATTCCATTGATGGTCGTCGCTTACCTCGCCCCCGAAAGTCCTTGGTACCTCGTCCGTAAGGACCGTCTCGAGGAAGCCCGCCGATCAATTGAGAGACTCAGCGGAAACAAGACGCAAGAACAGATGAACGCACAGCTTGCCATGATGGTCCACACCACCAAAGTCGAAGCCGATGTTACAACTGGTGTGTCGTACAAGGACTGCTTCAAGGGCGTTGACTTTCGCCGTACCGAAATTTGCTGCGTTGCATTCGCCGGCCAGGTCATGTCTGGCAGCAGTTTTGCGTACACCCCGACATACTTCTTCACCACTGCCGGCATGAACACCGCCAATGCATTCGAGCTAAGCTTGGGTGCCAAGGGCATGGCATTCCTTGGCACAGTGCTGTAAGAACTTGTGCTCAAGCCTGGATGCATAAGTAAGCTTGCTGATATATTCTTCACAGTTCTTGGTGGCTCATCTCCTATTGGGGACGCCGACAGATTTATGTCACCGGCATGGGATGTCTGACGGTTATTCTCTTCATTATCGGCATTCTAGATGTTTCCGCCGGTAAGAAGGGTCTCTGGCCGTCTGGTGGACTTTGTGTGTTCTGGTTGTTCATCTACGTAAGTGTTGACTCATTCGTTATTCTTGAAAATTGAAGTGAGAAACTAACGTCTTGATAGTCACTTACCATCGGACCGATTACAGTAAGATAACCACGTCCAACTCTGTACCTTACGTATCTCTGCATAAAACTAACAACTCCAATAGTACAGTATTATTAGTGAAACATCGTCGGTCCGCCTTCGCCCTCTTACTGTTGTTTTGGCACGAATTGCGTATCAACTTGTCAACATTGTCTCGCAAGTCTTGCAGACTTACATGATGTAAGCCGAAGCCCCTGCACATGTTATCAGGAATCAACCTAGCAAGGACCGATTAAACTGACTTGAACCCAGGAACCCAACGGAGTGGAATTTGAAAGGAAAGGCAGGCTTCTTCTGGGCTTGTACCGCCGGTATCGTCTTTGTGTGGGCGTTCTTCCGACTGCCCGAGGCCAAGGACCGCACATATGAGGAGCTGGACATTCTGTTTGCCCGCCGCACCCCAGCCAGGGAATTCGCCAAGGCTCACGTGGATGCATATGCGACTTCAAGTCAGGTCGAGGATGTTCATGAGGCAAACGTAAAGGAAGACAAGTGATTCAACCAAATGCAATGACGGGCCCAGCTTGTAAACGCTTTTAGCATAATATCCGTTATTTTAGCCCCAGTTCTGTACAAACAGGAAGTTTCGAAGTCATAACGACTTTTCAAGCTGATTTGGGTTTCTGACCAGTAACAACAACGAAATCGAAAATGGGATGAGCGTCTCTCTTCCGCACAGCAGCCCTCACCCCAGCGTTGAGGACAATCACCTCCTCTTCTGACCAACCCAAGACATCCTTGAAGAGGGCCGCAGTGAATGCTTCGACGCCTTCGACAAAGTTAATTCCCATCAACGTGCCAATCTCCTTCAACCTCTCGTCCTTGGGCCAGCCGCCAATCGGCAGCTTGAATCTCTGCTCGTTGACCCTTTCGAAGCCAGCCTCTTCCGTCCACCGTCTCATCGAAGGCGCAGGGTCCATTGTGCGTCCGATCTTCTCGCACGCCTCCATCAATCCGTCCATCATCTGAACCATGGCATTGTCGGGCTTCAGGCTTCCGTCTTCCGAGTACAGCGTATTCGCCGACTCCTGAAACTCCACCCACCCACCGGGCTTGAGGTTGTCGTAGATTTGGTGCACAAGCCGCGGCCAGTCCTTGATGGAGCCGGCCATGTACCGGCAGTGAATGTAATCGTACTTTTCCGGCTCCACCCAGTCTAGCTCGACGTCATCCACGACGAACTTGACATTCGGTGGGACCCAGTCAGGTTGGATGGGGCTAAGGTCGTTGCCAACGATCACCTCGGCTTCGGGATGCTCGTCGCCAAATTGGATCGGCCAGATACCGGTTCCCGTGCCGATGTCGAGCACTTTGAGGCCCGCAGTATTGATAGGCGCCAGGTAGAGACGGTCGTGCATCAACCGGAAGAATACGTGATGGATCATGTCCAAACGGTCTTGCTCTTCCTCATCGTTGGGGAAATTGTATGCGCCGGACTGGTAGCCATGGTATCTTCGACCGTGCTTCCATTCGTACTTTGAAGTGACGGAGGCCAACGAGGTACTGGCACGCGAGGCATCATCGTCGCCGTATGAAGAGTCTTGCTCCTCATGATCGACCTCAACCTCCACTTCCGGAGCGGGCCGCCTTGGCTCGGGCGCGGCCTCGGCAGCGACCGGGGATGAAGGTGCAGGAGTTGGGGTCGGTTCCGCCATCTTTTTTTTTTTTTTTTGGGAGGGGTTGCGGCGAGTCAGAAGAGCTGCAAGTTTGTTGGTTTGTAAATGAAGAGCAAGGTGTATAACCCGAGAACTCGGTACGCCTCATGGAGTATGTAGAAAAGGGGAGATCATGGAGGAAAGGGGGGAAAAGCAAAACGGTCCTTAACGCATAGGAACTCGGTGTCCGCAGCGGGGACCTCGGGAGGATGGTGTGGCAGCCAAGAGCCTGTAAGGTGAAGACTTGCAACTTCGGTTGTACTCATGATGGAGCTCAAAAAGCGGACCAGGGTGCCCTTTTGCAAGCGTACACCAAACGGCACTCCTTCGCTGCACTAAGTCTGTGCTGAGATTCGCTAACGACATGGATGGAGGATGCTATGTCGGGCTTCCACCAGAGATTTTGGTCAAATGATCGGCGAGAGTTCGGATGAGGTGGAGACTGATGATGTGGCTAATCATCCTCGGCTCGGCTTTGTGATGCCTTTTAGTTATCACTTTTCATCTTGGCTGCTCCATTGTTTACGTTTTTTATTTCATCAAGCTTACTGCTTTGCAACCATCTTGGCAGTCTCGTATATTTGTGCACTTGAATAGTAACCGGATTGAGTTGAGAAGAGAAGACCAATTGAGTTGTGACCGGACAACTGAAAAGGCAATCATATTTATGATTCTCAGAATCAGGAAATACTTTAAATACCATGGAGAAAAGCTAAGCAGGTGATAATTCCGATCCAAATGAGACTGGAATAGGTAGCATACTTCGTAGCCACCTTCACGAGTGATAATCGCAGCAGTGAGCACTGGGCAATATTGTCCTGGTTCTAATGAAGGGTATCGATGCTTTAGTTCGAGGACAACCTAGACAACCCGGAAACTGAATTGAAGGATAGCCGGCCAATGTGAATGAAAGCAGGTTCACTTTCATGGTAGAGGTTACGTCCAAGATTGTTACCAACCTATTAGTGAGCTACTTGAAGCAGGCGTAACCAAAAGTAGGAAATATGCGGGATACAATTCAAATACATGAAAATAAGTAGTGTGGTCAGGCTTTGTTCGGGCTGGCTACGTATAGGCAACTACATTGAGGTGAGATTCATGTTATAAATTCAATGACTTGATGAGGTTGAGTAGAGTCTTAGCTATTTATGCCGCCCAACCAGCGAATGTAAACCGGCACTTGGTTGAATGAACGGATTACGGTAAAAGTATCGCTTCGTATTTTTTGATGGCCATGTCTTGTGTATCTTGGTGGGTGTTTATTTCAGTGGATGAAATTCAACAGTCGAACGTTGTAAGTTGAGCGAACCATGAAAGCCCTGGTTCGCCAATGTAAAGAGGTCAGCTGGAAGGATGAGAACCCCAGGAAAAAAGAGAAGGATCTACTGGAAGACAGTGTAATTTCCTACCGCACTGTCAAATATGCATGCGATCACAGCACATTGTACAGTGTCTATATTTGAGCCACAACACAGTAAGCCCATCAGGCAACCAGGCTAACCGTGCCGCACCGCCTCGGCCGCCAGGAGGCCGCTCGTCATCAACCTCCCCCCACCACTTTCAACTTCTCCCCAGGGATACACCGTTTATAATATCAGATCACTACGCTGAGCGAGTCCTCCTTCGATACGAAAACTGCACATTCGAAGCATGGCTTCGAAAGAACAGCGTTTATCCGCATAATCCTGACTTACATCTATACTTCATCCACATTACAACTCAACATGTCTCATTCCCGGCGCGGGGCGCCTCTGAATGAGCAGCGGCCATCCAAAATCCGTAAACAGACTCATCAAGGTCCCCTCTTCGCTACGGGTCCCGTCCCTCCTGGCTCTGACGCCTTCGCCTCGTTGCCGCCTTGTTGGCCGCCTGTAGATGACTCCTTCGTCGACACGCAGTTCTACAGTGGGCCGGTTATCTTCGGGGAGAATGCCTGGTCCCAAAGTCAGGGAATCAGTCAGGTAGACCAGAAATTTGCCAAATCTCTGCCGGCTGGTAACCAATTGGGACTTGACATCTTTCAGCCTGCTTCTGAGGCACCTCCGCCGGCTTTAAGCACTGTCAGTAGCGTCACATACTCTTCGCCCTCCATCATCTCCCAGCCGTCATCGGCTGGCTCTGGTCTGTCACCCACACGTACGGATATGCCATACGACTGGCCAGCCCCTAGGTCAGCGACTTGCTCTCGCGGGCCGTCCCCAACGCAGCAGACGGTGGAGCGTGCCCAGAGTCGATTTGTCTGTCTAGGCCCTCACTGTGACGAGGCGTTTGACCAAGAAAAGGACCTCAAGAGCCACTTCAAAGCGGTTCATACCCATACTTGCAACTGGGCAGATTGCGACCAACCGAGCTTCTCTTCCAAAGACGGCTTAACTTGGCATGTCAAGCTGGAACATCTCCTCATCTGCCCAGCTCCGGGCTGTACCGAGAGCTCGTTCCAGAGCAAGAGGATCCTTGAATGTCATATCAAGTGGGCACACCCTACTGCCAACGAAGCCAAGGCGAACAACTCTCAGTCAGATGCAAAGCTGATGGCACCGACTATGGCTGCTAGCAATTCGTCTCAAGGTAGCCTTGCCGGGGCAGCGTCTGCTCAAAAGGACGCCTTGGAGGACAGGGCCATCAAGCAGATCCTTTCGGTTGCAGTGTCTAAGAAGAAGTGTCGTGAACAGCTTCGCGCAGTTGTTGAGAGGAGATATAAGAAACAGAATGGTAGGTATCTCGTGGTGCCACAAAGCCTATTCAGCTACTAATCTGACTACATTAGGCCAGACACCCCGTGCCGCAGACAGTCCCAGCGATCTCTCCAGAGCAAGATGCTCCCGTCTCGTCGAAAACGCCAGCTTCCCTCTAATATGGGAACATGGTGTTCTACCGTTCCTAGTAGAGTTCATCCCGAAATGGTGCGGCCCAAACCATGTCGTCAGCGTCACTCGTGGCAAGGCCCCCGGTTCCCGTCGTGTCTGTATCATGACCAAGACAAAGCCCTCGCGAGCGCGCCGTGTCATCATTGCGGCCCACGTGAGAGATCTGCTACCCGAAACCCAACGCACTGCAATTACCTTCGCCTTTTCCACGGGCTCAGTGGACCGCCTTGTTTGGGCTCGCGGTCTGGGCAAGGACATGCCGGATGAGATCTGCATGGCCAGGAACCCATATTGCTTCAAAGACCCATGTATGGGTGACAGCATCGGAATTGCAGGCACCGACGATTTCAAAGAGAGTACTTCGACCCTCGGGCCGTGCTTGATCATTGGTGGCGGTAGCTACTGGCTTGCCAACTTCCACCCCTTTGTCGACGCATACCAGCACCTCGGAGAGATGTCTGTGGAGCACCCATCACCAGGCGACCGCGCTCGTTGTCTTGACGAACGGCACGATGCCATGGAGGAATCTGCAGACTTTGTTCTTGGGGATCTCACTGCAACATCGGGCATTGATTTGAAGACAACTCGCATTTCTCACGACCCATACTGGGAAGAATGCTGCAAAGAGCCGCCTTTGATCGTGACCGACTGGATCCTAATCGCTGCAAAAACACGCCAGGCAAATATTTTGCGCCGCTTCCCGTCCGAGACCATGCCCCTCCTCAAAGAGATCCCTGTCAAGGCCACTTCGGCCGTTGTTCCAGGCGCTCCAGTCGTTTCCACTGGCCGAACGTCAGGCCAACAACGGGGTCAGGTTTGCGAAATCCCGGCCTACGTCAGCGCAGATGAGAACGGTACGGGGAAGGCAACGAGAGAGTGGTTTATTGAGGAGCCGTCTCCTTATGACGACGAGGATGAGTGGATCCGTGGTGGTATTGGCGTCGAAGGCGACAGCGGAGCCGCTGTCGTAGATGCAGAAACCAACGCACTTGTTGGCCAGCTTTGGGGACGAAACAAGTACTTCGGACCTGGTCCACGATTAACATTCTTCACACCAGTTGGCGACTTATTCGATGACATCCAGGAGAGATGCGACCAACAAGGACGGCCTCAGCTTCCGCAATACCGAGATGAGTCTGATTGCTATCCCGTCTATCCCAGCTGTCGTCAGTGCTACGACTTGCGGACATACCTCGATAGCAGACGCAGCTCGCGCGAATCGCTACGCTCCATGATCGGACGAAACGAAAGCGACCACGGCGATCTGACGTCTATCGAAGGCACATCGGAGCTCGCGACACCGAAAGACCACCTGTTCTGGTCCCGTCACACTGGTGTCGAGGAGGTTGGCTCGTCTTTCAACAGCATCATGTCCCCAACAGCCCCACCGACCTTTGGCTTCGCACCGCAGCCGGGTACACCAGGCATCGTGGACGTCAAGAGCCCGTACGCCCTGACACTAAGTGCCGAGGATCTCTATGACGACGAAGGCTTAACGTCGGGCGCTGCCTCTGGTAAGCATGCGGCGGTGCCATTGATGCGAAGTTCAAGTCAGGGCGCCAAAAGGCAAAGATTACATTAGGTGCAGTTTCTGTTTGCGTAATGGTCTCTCAACCAGGCAGCCCTCCCGTTGCCATCTTCCTCGCTCTCTGGTCGCGGCGGTTATGGTTCGCCCTCGAGCCCTTGCTGGCTTCCTTCCTCCTCCGCGCCGCCTCTGTATCTTTGTCTCCTGTCGGGCCCGCCACGTTGCCACCTCCGCGTCCTCCACCCCTACCGCGACCGCGACCACCTCGGCCACGGCCTCCTCTACTACCACCTCTCGAAGAAGAGCTGCCGCCGTCGGCCTCGGATTCCTCGGCGCCAGAGCCAGCAGGACTGGCCCTCCATGCCGTGGACAAAAGTTCCGTCTGGGCACCAGTGAATGCGGCCGCACCACTGTACTTGGCCTCAAGCCGTCTCTTCTGTGCCGGGTTCCTCGCAAGCATCACCGCCCACCCCTCGATCGCCTCGTCCGTCATACCCGTCTCTTCCCTAAGCTTGCCTCTGGCCTGTCCTCTTCTTGTTGCCGCTTGGCGATCAAAGACAGTTGGGTCCGACTGGAACGCCTTGAAAAGCGTCTCTTCGCCGGCATCCCTCTGCCCGTCTGCCTCTTCGTTGGCTGCGTTATCCACTGTTCCGCCGACGTCGTCTGCGTCGTAGGTGTCATCACGCTCGTCATCATCCGAGTCAAACGCCGCAAGTGCAGACAAAATGGCTGCTTTGTTGGGCGCGGTGGACCTGTCCTTGAGGACATCGTCCGCCGTCTTCTCTGGTGCCTTCTTTCCGAAATGGAGCTTTGAGACGTCAAGCTCTAGTCTGTCTAATTCATCATCATCAAAAACGTTATGGCGTTGTGGGAGTTGTGGTGGCGTAGGTCTGGGTGCAATATCATGGCTGAAACGTCTCTCGATCTTGGGTGACCTGTAGTTTTGTCAGTAGCGAGCGATATGTGGGACTGGTGTATACTTGGGAATATAATTGTTGAAAAGACGTACAATTGCTCGCTGCGGTCGAGGTTGGCAAGATGTGGCGGCAATGAATCCTCGAGTAGATGCGCCGTAACAACCTCCGTGTTATCGCCGTACTCGTCAAATAGCTTTGAGACGAACCCTGATCCCAAATCAGGAAATAGATCCTGGATGAGCGCAATCTGGCTCTGCCGGTGAATGTGTAGCTCGGCCGTCACCTGGTCCTCATCCGCAACGCCCTTGCCCTTGTCGACCTTACGCTTGACGAGCCTCTTGGGCCTCATGAATCCGCCACCGGGTTTCTTGAAGCCGTCCAGCGCCGAGATGCGCGTCTTGAGAGCAGTAGACGCCGCGCCCTTCTCCTCCGCGCGCTTGAGCAGCTGCTTCAGCACCGGCGTGACCGTCACCAGCTCTGCGACAAGCGAGTCGTTCACGTTCAGCGGCCCCGTCCTGTGCGTCTCCGCCGCGGATTTAAGAGAGAACAGAACGTCTGCGAGCATTCCGAACCGTGGTGTCTCGCCCTCCGTCAGGCCAACCAGGCACAGGTACGTCGTCGCAATGAGAACCTTGCGAAGAGGCGGGTTGGTAATTTTGAATGCCGACACCAGGCCGTCGAGGAAGTCTGATCCGGCAAGAAAGAACGCCGATGCATCGGGGGAGGCGTACAGCAGGTGGTTCAAGTTTGCGAGCCTATTCTCCAGAGCTTTGAGGTCTGCCTTCATCCCTGCTTCGAGGGACTTTGTGAGGGTCTTCTTGAGCCCTGCGAGGGCGGTCTCGAAACTTGCGGAATGCAATTTCCATGCCTTTGCTAATGTCGCCGGTGCATTCTTCCGGTAGAGTTTGCTGAAGCCGCAGAGGAAATTTGGCGTCGTGAGGGACACTGGTGGTGGGGTTGATGATGTCGTGAGTAGGCGTGATGTCAATGTGAATGTTGTCCTCAACAATGCTTTGGCCTGGTGAGATGAACCTATCGTCGCAGGCGGCCCGGCTTGAGCGATTTCAGGCACAAAAGTCGAGAGAAACGTCGTTAGCGACTCATCCTTTACTGCGGCTTTCGAGAGCTGAGAATCCGGCAGGGCGAGATAGGCTTGCGAGAGTGTCGTCCAGGCCTCGATGAGGGCATCCCAGTCTTGCGGGGTGAGATGTGCCCGCCATGCCGCTGAGGGGAACGGTGCAAAGGGCGGTAGCGTCGTCATTGATGAATTTTCTTTTTTTTTTGAGCTTGCTCTCACAGGAGTCGTACGTATGTCGGTATTTTTGTCGTTAGAGGAGAGGGGGAGGAAGGGGGGAATGTGCTCTGTGAGGGAGCTACTAGAGAGGATGATTTATTGCGCATCCGAGGCCGTGAGCTTTGAGCTGCCGTTCGCCGGATGATTCATGGATTCATGGACGTCGCCGCAGACAGGCAGGTACAAACCACTGGAGCTTCGGGCGGGAGCTGACGGAAGGTGGGGCACCAGCGAGAGGTACGAAGGTACTTTGTACTTCCAGTAGAGAAGATGGGCTAATCCCGATTAGGACTAGCTCCACGCTCTCGGTAAAGCCCTACCTCAAACCCCCCACGAAAAAGTTCGCGATCGCAATTCCCACCTTTTCGCCCTCTTCAAGCTTTGAATAGCCAGCCTTCATCACTTTGCCGCAACCCAGCCGTTCGAGTCGTGAAGGACAATACTCTCCCACCAATTCCATCCCAAGACCAAATCCATCGAACTACCCGTTCAACCCCAAAAAAACCGTCAAGATGTCTTACAACAAGGACAAGGAGTTCGGCGAGGCGCCCAAGACTCACAAGATCCGCATCACCCTCTCTTCCCGCAAGGTCCAGTCCCTCGAGAAGGTCTCCGCCGAGCTCATTGAGCGCGCCAAGTCCAAGGACCTCCGCGTCTCCGGCCCCGTCCGTCTGCCCACCAAGACCCTCAAGATCACCACCCGTAAGACCCCTTGCGGTGAGGGTTCCAAGACCTGGGACTGCTACGAGATGCGCATCCACAAGCGTCTCATTGAGTAAGTTTTTTTGCTGCCTCTTGAATGTGATGGTGAGGAAGACGGAATGCTAACCGCACGACAGCCTCAACGCCCCCACCGAGATCGTCAAGCAGATCATCATCAACATCGAGGCCGGTGTCGAGGTTGAGGTCACCATTGCCGCTTAAGCGAAAGCAATCGGACCGTGCGAATTGTTGTAGGAGGGACGACGGTATGGGCTTTGGCTTTGGGAATGCCGCGCCGCTGGCCGTAACGACGCCGAAAGGTTTCGGAGCCTGACGAGCGCGGCGGGACGAGTTAGGAGGTCTAGATACCACCCAAATGAAACAATGACCCCCATTTAAATACCGTTGCTATTTTTCGTGAATGTCATTGAACAATTGTGACGATATATAGACACTTGACAGTAGAGCATATGGAAGCTGCTACGAAATGATGTCGTAATGGAACCTGCAGAAATATTTTAGCTGTAAAGAGAGAGAAATGAATCCAAAAAAATGGTTGAATATTTTGCGCTTATACATTCAGCGCGGTCACCACCATTATTTACCAAACCCCCAACGAACTGCCCCCCGTCCCCTCCCTCCCCTTTTGACTTGTCCTGTTGATATAACGCCATGCAATGCCGATTCCTTTACAAAAGTTACAAGACGGGATAGTCTATTCCCCGAGCCCTTATATATCCCAGAGACAAAACTCTCTCTTTGGCGGCAATTCAGGCATCCCGCCCTCAAACTTGCCTGTTTGCATAAAAGCCTGCCATTGCTGCTTCGACTTGTCATCGTACGCTTCGTCCGGCAGCTCCGTGTCCTTGTAGTAATTAGGTGGGCCGTTGGGAAACCATATCCTCGTCCACGATCCGTTGAATGCCCGAATTCCAGGTACATCGCCCTGGTAGGTCACGGGTTTACCCTTCCACGACGATAATCGCCCGTCCATGCCCTTGGTGCTGTAGCTAGACACCGGCGGGTGCTGCTTTGAGCTACCGGGGGGGTAGGGACTGCCTCCGGGCGCTGCGGCTGCTTGAGCAGCTGGCGCAGCGGGTTGGCCGCCAAAGGGATTCGCGGGTGCTGCTGCTGCCCCTGTTCCGCCTAAGCCACCCGCAGTACCAAAGGGCGATGGTTTATTCTGTCCGAATGGGTTGGCGGCAGCTTGAGGCTGAGCTGGCTGACCAAAAGCACCAGTAGGCTGGACATCCATCGAAGCGTCGCTCGACTGGGCAGCTGGTTGGCTACCAAACGGATTGCTCGCAGCCGCTTGGGGCTGAGCAGGCTGTCCGAAAGGATTAGACGCAGCTGGTTGAGAAGGTTGTCCAAATGGGGTTGATGATGCAGCCTGCGATGGCTGGCCAAAGGGGCTTGGGTTTGCTTGTGCTGGCGCACCAAAGGGACTCGGATTCTGGGCTGCTTGTCCAAACGGACTAGGGTTGGCATTGTTGTTCTGCGCCGTTTGACCGAACGGGCTGGCATTGCTGGCCGCTCCTCCGGCACTGGCAAACGGACTCGGCCCGCTCGCAGCAGCGCCGCCGAAAGGACTAGGCTTCTGGCCCAGAGCGCTCGCCTGACCAAATGCGCTGGTTGTGCCACTGGGTTGTGATGGCTGTCCAAAAGCAGGCGTTCCGAAAGGGTTGGGCTTCTGGCCAAGCGCCGATGCTTGGCCGAAGGCCGATGTACCTCCTCCCAACTGACTGGCCTGACCAAACGCGGATGAAGGTTGCGATGGCTGGCCAAATGCCGAAGTCTGGTTTTGCGCCTGGCTGCCGAATGCTGAAGTCGGTTGAGAAGCCTGACCAAACGCCGGTGTCGATGACGGCTGCCCAAAGGCTGATGTAGGCTGCGATGTCTGTCCAAAAGAGGGTGTGCCGAAGGGATTCGGCTTTTGCCCTAGGGAAGAGGCTTGTCCAAAGGCACTGCCAGTTGATGAGGGCCCGCTGCCAAAGGCTGATGTTGTCTGGTTGCCGCCAGAGAACGGATTCGCTGTCGCGCCAGAAGACGCGTTGGATGAGAAAGGGTTCTGTTGGCCGAGAGAAGAAGTCGCCCGCCTTCCAACGGCGAACTCTCCTGTCGTACCTCCAGGCAAAGTACCCTGCTTGCAAATGTCGATTCGATTGGGGTGTTTCTGCTCGGCGGAGATGATGAACTGGATCGCACCGTCCAGGTTTCCAACCGCCGCCGTCATCTGCTGCTGAGCCTGCTGGTACAGCTCTTGAGCTTGGTTAAGCTATGCTTTGTCAGTCAACTGTCGCCCTGACTTGACGGTTTCTATCCTACCGCTTGCTGAGGGTTTCCGGACGCTGTCGCGATGACGTGATGAAGCCTCATCTCTTCAAAGCTCTGTTCGCGCATCGGTCCGCCAAACAGCTGTTCCGGGGCGTCCCTCCCTGGCCCGTACGCAGACAAGATCCATTGTGGTTGCTCGGAGGTCAGATCCTTTTCGATAGTCTCTTTTGACAAGAGGTATGGCGCCGCTGCACACGTGTGAGTACTTTTTGCCGTAATCAAGGCATCATCGTGATGCACGAACCGTCGTTTCCACCACCGCGGTTGAATCCTCCTCCAGAGTTTGCGCCAAAGGCAGCGAATCGGTTGTTCGACTGGCCTCTCGGATGTTCGAACCGGCAGCTGTCTGTAATCGCTCCCGTCAGCATGCAATCCAACGCAGTCCGATTGGCGCTTTAAGACATCCGATGGATGGGAGCGCTGCTCTGCTAGACATACTTCCAAACTTGCAGGTCCCCTGCTCATAGAACTTGCAGACCACCATCTTGAATATCAATAACTAGTTCGCTGCGCTGGTAGTCGCACTGCTGCAGCAACTAGATCATTTCGCGGGGATCAAGGCTCTGGCTGGTTTGTCAAATTGACCGACAATGGCGATCAAGCTATAGGTATGACGATGGCGCGCAGTTGGGCGTCGAAAGAATTGTTTTCAGCCTTTCGCAGCCTTGCTTGCTCTGGTCTCTAGCGCGCATCGGCGGGCCAATCAGATCTTTACAGTGCATAGTACAGTGTATAATAAGAAAGCACTGTCCGCTTACACCTTCCTCCCCCAATTCACTTTGGCGATCTTCAGTCAACAAACAAACATCACTTAGCATTGTCTCTTTGGCACTTTTAAATACCTCTTTGAAACTCTCTTTCTATTGAATCTATTTATTCCCCCTGTCTCACTCCCAAATTTCATCAATTGGTATTTCCAGTTTGAACCAAGATAGTTCTTGTCGATATCTTTTCAGCGGGCTAAAATCCGTGACTTTTTTCCCCATTGCTCTTCAATTATTCTTTCAGCAAGATGTTTTTGAATGATTATGAATTTACATTGCTTTTAAACAAACTTCTTGTACTCAAAAGTTTGTTTCCATTTACTTCCTTAAACCACTCCTTCAATAGTCTTGCTTTCAAGGCTTCAACTAATCGTTACTAGGCAAGCGTTGCAATCGTCAGTGCAGTAGCACATATCAAAGTTTTTTTCATTCATCAATGATTCATTTAATTTGTTTCTATTAACAGAGACCCTTCTGGGCTCGCTTAAGCAAGCGTGCCAGCAACCATGGGCTTGAGCTGTTGCTCAATGTACTCGTTGTTTCTCCAGTCCGACCAGTCAACGTTGAACAGACCCCAGGCCTCGTCAAAGTTCTGAGTTCCCTGGCGGGTGTAGTAGCTTCCAACCACAACCCAGATGAACCAACTGGCCTTGTACTCGGGGAGGTATTCAGCCAAGCACGACGCGTATGTGTTCTTCCAGGTGGCATCGTTCATGTTGAAGCCAAACTCAGTCAGCGCGACGGGGAAGACGTTGACCGTAGCCGGGTCGCTCGCGTTCGCGGCCTGGAAACCCCTGTTGTACAAGTTGTACTTCAAAGAGCTGCAGCTGCCGATGCTGCCCTCGTAGTTGTGGATCTCGAGGACGAGCTTGTTGGTGTATCCCTCAAAGTCGGCTAGGTTGAACGTCTCATTGCCGGGAGTCAGGGCGGTGCCGCGGAAGACGGGCGCGACCGTGGTGTCGTAGTTCAGTCCCGACAGGTAGATGAGCACGTCCGGGTTCGCGGCGTTGACGGCGTTGGTGCCCTGCTGGATGTACTTGTACCAGTCTTGCCAGTGGTACGAGGCGGCGACGAGCTCGGGGTTGTCGGTAGCCTGGCGGAGCTCGTTACGGAGGGACATGGCGACGAGGGCGGTCCATTTCTTGCCCTGTAAAGGAATGCCAAGTCAGCATCTCAACACACAAAATATCAAACAACAGCAAGTTACTTACGTGCTCGGCCATGTAGGCCAGTCCACGCACCCAGTTGGCGGCATCGAATTCACGATCGCCCCACCAAGTGTTACCGTCGTTTCCGGAGCAGCACCACTTGCCCTTGGACATGTGGTTGTCGAGAAGGATGTAGATCTCCTGCTTGGCGCACTCTTCGGCAATGGCATCATAGACCTGCTCCTGTCAGTTTTGCCCAAAGACAGAACCACGTCTAGCGTATACTAACCTGAAGACGAGTCGTCTCCTCGGTGAAGGAAGGGTTCTTGGCCAACACCTGCGCAAGCACTGCGGTACCGTTGGTCTCGCCGAGTCCATTGACGAATGCCGTCTTGAGGTCAATGTCCTTGCCATCGTTGGCGTAGATCTGGTCGACCAGCTCAATGGCAAAAGTCAAACGGATGGCGTTCATGCCCAGGCTCTTGATTCTGGACACGACACCTTCAACAGAAAGGTACTGCAGACCTTCGGGTACCATGACCTCGCCATGGCCGGGCCAGTTGGTTCCGGCAAAGACGACGTTGTTGCCAGAGGCATCCTGCGCCCAGCCGCCGTTGGTGACGAGAGGGCCGTTAGGCCAGCTCTGCCTTGTGTTGTGGGGGAGAGCGGCGCAGAGGCCAGCGAGGCCTAGGAGGGAGCTTAGGAACTTCATTATGTCGAGCCCAAGACTGGATAAAGATACGTCCAGGAGGTTGTCGCGACAAACAGGACAAATGGTACCATCCGGCGGTTTCCCCAGCTTTTATACCACTTCCTATACTGCGCTACCTCGTCTACAACTCTCCCGCTTCACAAGCTAGGAGCGGGACCTGTAGTTCCCGTCGGGAGCCGACGCTGACATCACGAGCATTGGCGCAGCTGTTCCCCTCCGGACCAGATTCCCTGATCGAACGGGCGCCAATGTTCATGACTAGCTGGCGACCATGGTTCGCAACTCGCAGCGGGGTATCTCTCGGGGGTCCCTCAGGCCATTGCCTAGAAAACGACGAACGACAACCCTCGGGGGTAGCTTCTCCCGAGCTCACACAAGTACCCGGGCTGCCGAGAGTTGCTGCTAGCATAGCAACGTCGAGGTGGTCTCCTGCATCAGACAAAGTCTGCCAGGAACAGGGCAATAAGATCGACCTATCGTTCGCCCCGCCCCCGCATTGCTTGTCAAATCTGCCGATGATGTCCTAGACTTTCCTCCCCACACTGGCCTCCTTCTCCGCAACGGACAGAGCTCCCCAAATCGGCTTTCTCGAGTGATCACAAGATGGTGTTGTGAGTAAGGTTGCAACGGAGTGGAGCGCAGCGGCTATGAGAACGGCTCCGTGATCCCCGCGATGACGCACCCCTCCTCATTGAAAAAAAGAAAAAAAAAAAAAAAAAAAACTACATACACACACATCAGTGACAGCCCCCCAAAAAGAGAAGAAGCTAAAGAACGTTTAGCTCATGCGGGCAACAACGGGGCTTGTGCCTGACAGGGGTGTTGTCCTCTGCCGATCAAGAGCCGAAAGTAGCAGTTGGAGAGTTTGGGGGAACAAGTGAATGGGAGCATCTGAATGGTGCGCAAGTTCGGACGGACAAATTCTCACGAGGTTTTTCATTTCACGATCCACTTTGTTCCCCCTCAAACTTGGCTCACAGTTCTCTTGGCTTATTTGATTTTTTTTATTTTCGTTTTTCTCAGTTCCGTCAGACTTGCCGCTGTCATGTGCCAAAAAAAAGAAAAATACGCAAATTCATGATCCGTTGCCTGTCAATGACGAAAGGCTTCATGCACCTCAGAATACGTAAACTCCAGGGCTCCCAAAACCAGCACCCGCGCAGCATTAGTCCAATCTTGTCCGAGAAGAATGTCCTGACCAAAAAATGTGTCATGACCAAAGACACAATGAACCCCTTCGGGGACTATTTTCTTCAATCGCCGACCACATCAATAGAAACATCGAACCCCTCCCTCCCTCTCTCGGTACCCGAATTCGTCTCCTTGGCATTTAAGCCCTCTCCCTGAACTCCACCAACGGGCCGTCCTTCATACTCGTAAAAGTGTCATACAACTGGAACTCCGAAACCCTCCTGCGTCCCTCTTCCAGGTCAGGACGTCCCTCCGCCGGGTCAACGACGCCGACCGCCTTGCGCATGTCATACAGGAACAGCGTGCGAGCCAGCGTAGTCGACATCTCGGCGTATGCGAGTCCCTTGCCGATGCACCCGCGCGCACCGATCGAAAAGGGGCAGAACGCGCTCTGCGCCCTCGCCGTGTCCTCCTCCGTCGTCTGCTTCCCAGACACCGGGTTCGTCTCGCCGACCAACCACCGCTCCGGGACGTACGAGTAGGCCGAGGGGAAGTAGTTCTCGTTGTGGTGGATCGTGTAGTGCGGAGTTCCGACGACGGTGCCCGCGGGAATGTAAACTCCGTCGATGGTCATGCCGCCGGCCTGGACCTCGCGGGGGAGAAGGCCACCGACAGAGGGGGAGAGACGCATCGCCTCGTCGATGCAGGCACGGAGGTAGTGGCAGGAGTTGAGAGTTGCGCCCTGGTGGATCTCCTCGACATCTGAGAACTTGCTGCGGACCTCCTCCGTGACCTTTTGCAGAGCGGCGGCGTTACGGGTGAGGTAGAACAAGACGGCGGCCATTGCGGTCGACGTCGTGTCGGAGCCGGCGATAATACTGGTCCTCGGGTCAGTACCGAAAAAAAAAAAAAAAAAAAAAAACCATTTCCTGCTTCAGCTTTGAGGGTCGACTTACAGCAGGTTGGACTCGCCCCAAAGCTCAGGCGTAGAGAAGCCCTGGCCGGTTTCGGGGTCGCGGGCCTTGAGGAGGTAGTAGAAGAAGTCTCTCCGGTCGGTATCCTCTCCCAGCTTGGTACGCTCGGTAAGCTGGGCCTTGCTGTACACCATGTACTTGGCACGACCGGCGGCGATGGTGGGGAAGAGGTACTTGTCCAGCTTCAGCTTGTCGACAATGGGCATCGTGCCGCAGAGGAGATGCCTCTTGGTCGCGGCGGCAATCAGGTCGAGCGCGAAGCGGTTATCCGGAGACTCGAGCATGTGGAACGCCTTTCCGTACGACAAATCACCGAGGATGTCCATGGCGAGGTAGTTGCACCAGTCAGTCATGTTCTTGGGTGTAGACCATCCCTTGGTGTCGGGGGACGACCCGCGGCCGATCTCGGTGGTGAAGGAGCGAATGTTGCCCAGGATGTACCGCTCCATCTCCTTCATGGCGTTGTCTGAGAAGGCGTGGGCGATGACGCGGCGCTTGCGGGCGTGCACCTCCTTGTCACGGGTGTTGTGCGTGTTAGCCGCGGGGTGGACGAAGGCGTCGTAGAACTCGGCCTTGCGGACATTGGAGCGGAAGCCGTAGATCTCCTTGAGGGAGGTGGACGAGTTGAAGGAGACGGAGTTGGGTCCGAAACGGACAATCTTGCCTGCGGGGAGTCGGTATGTTAGTCTCGCTGACACAATGGCGTTGACGGTGAGTATCTCTCCACATACCATACTTGTTGTGAAGCTGGTGGAAGTTCAGATGGCGGTCACCCTTCCATGCGTGGTAGAGCTGGTAGGCATCTGTGATCTTTGCCAACAGAGGGCCTGGGTATTTGGCTAGGGGGTGGAAGAAGATGCGGTAGATGACGATGCCAGCGACCTTTTCCTTTTGTCAGCTCGATTCTCTCTTGATATACTCCAATCTCCCTGCTTCTCCGGGAGGTGTGTCGACGATGATACTCACGTAAACCACGCCCGCCGCGGCGGCAACTCCAAGCCAGAGCCAGATATGATTCGTTTCCGGCGCCATGGTCACTGATATGATGTGTGTAGCGCTATCCTCAGATCTCACTTTCCCAAGGTCCGTTTGAATAGAAAGGAAAAGAAAGAGAAGAGGAAGATCACGAGAGAAAGCTAAAAAAACCCCAAAGCCTTCGAGAGGGGCCGGGCCACAAGCCCTTTAACACAAATTCCAATCCCGTCTTTCCCGCCAGTCCCGGACGTCAACACATCATAGCCGATTCTCGCATATCACTGAGCTGGACTTTTGCCCAAAGCCACCCTTCGGCTTTCAGAACCGCTGAAAGCCGATGGTTTTGCAAGGGGGAAACCCTACAAAAGCCAAAATACGCCGCAAATCTCCATCCAACCTGTCACAGCGGACACCAACCTTACCCGTTTTGGGCTCACAAGTGCCAAATAAGCGGCTAATGGCGGGGGAAAGAGAACGCCAAAAGACCGCGGGGGGCCGCAGATAGCCTGGCCTTTTTTGTACCCTTACCCCAAGATTCATCGATCTCACATACTTGGGGAGGGTGGTAGGGGTGGTAGTCTCCCCCGCCCCCCGCATTAGTTTCGTAGTTGGCCATGTGAGCCAACGAGAGACGCTATGATTACACAACTCCCTGCGGCTTACTGGGGATTTTACTAAGACAATCCAGGATTCAAACTTTTTTTCTCTCTCATTTGTGGTACAGTTTTTGGAGAAAGGTCACCGGAAATGACTTGCGGCTTTCGGTTTTGATGAAAGCCTGCGGGGGAGAAGAGCGTTGGAATTCCGCTTATACCGCTCTGGCGGCTCTCGTTTGTCGGCGGCCCGAGCTGTGAGCTTTGCATGCGCAGTTGGGAGCTGTCAGACTTGTCAGTGACGCAATTGAGACGTATACTACTTCGGAGTTTGGCCCGTTCGTTGATGATCTCGATGAAGCTCCTACGGGATGTATATATTATCAAATCGTTGAAGGGTAAGCTGACAAGACAGCGTCTCCAATCCGAGAACGCATTCTTGCCATTGAGTTACAATCTCTCTACTGCTGCGTGCCCGCATTATCTGTCAGTCAGCATACTCAAAGTGATTCGTCCTGCCCAGTTATCACTTCGATGTTGACTGGCTGGGATGCCAACTACAACGTTTGTTCGGATGAGGCAGGTTGTTAACGCTTTAGATCGGACTTCCACCGGTTATCTATTCCCAGGGTCCGTTCCAATAGGATTTCATGGATTTCATTTACTGCATCGCATTGCATGCCATCTGGCCTAGCACCTTCGGATCTGAGTTTTTGGTGTCGGGTTTGCCTTTTTCGGCTTTCGGGTTTACCCTCTCGGATTAGAATTTTATTCTCCCATGTTCATCTCGACTTTTCCAGCAATTAATTCACACCGCCCAGCAGAACATTTGATTGATTATCTGTGTAAAATTTGTCTTTACTTAGGGCATAGATTTTGTACTAGGTGGTTATTGCGGTGGATACGCCAGGCTCCTAGGCTCCTGTCTGCAATTGACATGCCAGCGAAGATTTCCTCCCGTCCAACATGTTGGTTGATCATGACCCTGCTGTCTCAGTTTAAGCATATGTCAGATCTCGGGGGCTTTAGTCATCATCGGTCATTGGCTTTGCAGCGTGTATAAACGTTCACTCGACCTCATCGTCTCCCATTTGCGGCTTACCACGTAGCAGGTGGTTTCATTTTACACGGTGAAGTCCCTTACGCCTCTACAGCGAATAAAGAGTAATACCAGGTGGTTCTCACGATGTACAAATACTTAGTGAAGATGGTGGTTTGAAGTGAATGAAAGAGATATCGTCTCCCCGGCCATCACGTGTGGAAGGAAGCTATAGGCCCCACATGGGGCGTATCGGCCGGGTATCTCACCGGGTATCTGACGTTGGTGGCCGGGATAGGCGGCCATGGAAACCCCTATTCTTGCAACAGAATGTGTCACGACAGCTACATAAAATACTCCTGCTAAGCCGCTCTGAAACCTGCTACTAAAAGCGACGGTGATATAGTTTTGTGTTTTCGTTGACTTAGTCAACAGTTTGTTGCCTGGTTAACTCTGAAGCTTCAAGATAGAGAACGAAAAGAGTCACAAGTGATAACTCTATGCTGCTCTGTCTCCATGACGGAAATTGTGTGTTCCAATTCCCAACGGGCAACCGATGCCTATTGCAAGGACACTCTCCGCTCGCTGCTACAGGGTTACTGACCAGAATGTGCTCCCGATTTTCTTGTTCTCAGCTCTCAAGCACCAAAACCCACACACCAAGGTTGATTGGCGGTTTGCAGGTTTCCCAACAGCAATGCTCGAGGGTATCGAATAGGGCTACCCAATAGAAGTTGGTCACCCCTTTTTGTGCAGGGATAACAACGCGGGATGTAGGGGTCCAAACTTCCTTTACGAGCCTGCGGTAATTAAAGTAAAGTGGCACATCCAAGGTCAGCTTAAGCTCCAGCCGTTCTCCAGGCCATGTGGTCTCCATTTCACTATGTTTGTTCTGTCGTCCGTCTTTGAGAATAGGCGGGGCTTGCCATGGGTTGTCTAGGCATACACATGCAGCCGTTAAATCCTTCTCGACAACGCGAAATTCCTGTATTAATAGAGAGTTAAGGCCAGGTCGGGGGGCACCCACGGCGCCTCTTCCCTCTTCCCAGAGACATACATCAGGGAGGGAAATTTTCGTGGCGATGATTCGACCCTCCTCTCTGAGCCGTGCCACCACCCTCTCTTAAGGTCACTTCCTTCTTCTCTACGATGACTTCTTCTACTGTCAAGGTTGAAGAGGCGACAATGAGTCGCAAATGGCTCCCAAGCGGCTGGCGAAGGTCGGCGTTTGTCAACCTCACCATGATGTCCGTGTCGCTGCTGATTTTCATCAGCTTCCTCGCGACCGCCGTCTCGGCGACTGGTGAACTGAGTCAATCTTGGAAGTTCTACTCAGCAGATTGCAAAAGCACGGCCACCGCCAACACCTTACTACATCTGCTCATTAACGTATTGTCTACCGCCATACTCGCATCATCGAACTTCTTCATGCAGGTCCTCAACGCGCCGTCAAGAAAGGAGGTAGATGCCGCCCATGCTAGAGGCAGCTGGGTTGATATCGGCATTCCTTCTTTGAGAAATGCCTTCAGTCTGTCTCGATTCAAACTCCTAGCGTGGCTAAGCCTACTGCTGAGTTCGATCCCGATCCACATGCTGCTGAACAGTGCTGTCTTCCAGATAGGTCGCCGCGATGGTGACTTTCACGTTATAATAGCAACTCGATCGTTCGTGGAAGGGGGCTCCTACTTTCTCCCCGGTGCCAGTCTGGCTACTAAAGACCTCATTGATTATGGCCGGTACAACGCGAGTAATCCCAAAACCGAACAGTCTGGATATCATAATCACGTGGGCAACTACTCCTGGCGATTGTCATATCAAGCTCTCTCTCAAAACAACATACCCCAAGCATCAATCATCTCAGAAGCGGCAGCGCAGGCTTCGGGGTGGGATACCTTGGAGCCATCAGAGTGTCGGAGTCTATATGCTAAAGAATTTTGTTCGGGGTTGAGGAAATACCGTAACGTCGTCATGATCACAGAGGGCCCCGGGTGGAAGAGATCCGACCTTTGGAACCTGTCCGCCACCGCCGACGAACTTTGGCAGCCGTTTGTCCCGCGAGACGAGGTGAACACATTGTGGTGGGAGGCGCAGTGCCAGATGGAAGGCTTGATTTCAAGCACGACCAAACCTGTCTGCAGTTCCATCTGCGACGTGTTGACGCGCGACAGACTAGGCCCCAAAGAGCTGAAGCCTGGTGATCCGTGGCTTCTGCAGATGAAGTCGTGGTACAGGACCTCTTCGTATGGGAATTATGGGAACACGACACTGTACTCAGCCCCCGATAATATAACAGAGTTCGGAAAGAAGTTCACCGCAAGTGAGATGCCCATCTCATACTGTCTGGCGGAACCGAGAGAGGACGCCTGCGCAGTTGCCCTCTCCAAACCGTTGCTTCTTGGTGTCATTTTGTCTATACTGGTAAAAGTAGTGACTTGTGTCGTTGTGACGCAAGTCCTGGGCACCGAGGAATCGCTGGTCACTCCAGGAGACGCCGTTGCTTCCTTCATCTCTAATCAGGAGGGGCAGGGGCTGGCAACCGTGTCGGGACTTTTGACGCAGGATCTCGTCCGACAAAGAGCGAAAGGAAAAAAGAAAGACGCCGTCTATCAACCAATCGAGCCTCAGATATGGGCACCGGAACGACGCCGAAGATCCATGGCCATTCCAAAAAAGGTATGGATCTCGACTTATAGTATCTTGGTGCTTAGTATTATTGGAACATTTGCCGGCTTTACCAGAAGCCAGATTGTTGGCAGCGGATCACTGTAAGGACAATGCCAAGTAACCTAGGCTACGGGACTTTGAGACTACGCTAATGTTTGCTGAACCAGGCAATTTACCAAGTCAGACCAGTCCGAGACGGACAACGTACTCCCAGCCATCGGGGGCGGCCTTGCCTTCATCTCGTCGGTGCTCGTCGTCAACGTTCCACAACTGTATTTCTCTTTTTGGTATCTTTTATATAACGGATTAGTCACCCGTCTGGAGCTGAGTCGGGAATGGGACATGTTTTCTCTCGAATATCGCCCGTTGCGGGTATCGCATCCGAAGTAAGCACTCTACCAAACTTGAACATAAAGACCGCACGAGAGTTCGACGCTGACTTCAGTTCGAAAGGGGCCATCAAAGCTCGACATACCGCCTGCAGCTACCGTTCAAATTGAGCATTCCTCTGATGCTCTGCAGCATCCTTGCGCATTGGTTACTCTCAAACGCACTTTTCATTATGGTTTCTCAGGGCAGTAAGTACAAAATCTGGTGGTTATTAGGACGAAAGTCTGACTGAAAATGTTCTTACAACAGATTATTACCACATTGGCGCAGGGTACTATATGGATGATTCAGTCAGTCTACCCAAGGACGCCGCGGTTGGTATCGGCACTTCCTCCATGCCACTCCTGGTTCTGGCACTTCTGGCCTCGGTCATGATGATCCTCCCGATCGTCCTATCAAGGATGGAACTGCCCGGTTACATGCCGATTGTTGGATCGAATTCTCTTGCCATATCAGCTGCGTGTCGAATCTCACCACTGGCGAAGGTTCCCAGGGACTGCGATGACTGGAGCGACGAACGAGGTAACGAGCTCGACGAGCTGGTTACGCCGTCAAATGAGGGAAGTAAGGAGGGGTTGGCAAATGTGGAGGATATGATCCTTCATCCTCTCAAATGGGGCGAAGTCGAAATGCCAAAAGATTGGTATCGCGAAGCGGGAGGAGACAATCTAACATCGGATCAAATAGGCCACCTCAGCTTTGGGACTGTTCTAGATGACCCTCGACCTCCGACAGAGGGTCGTTTGTATATATGATGGCTTGAGGAAGTAGAGGCCTCGGTATGATCTTGTAGTCGAAAGTCACCTCGCTGTAATTTGCAGCAAGAGATGTGATCCACAGGAGCGATTAAGGATGTCTGAACATAGAGTATTTGTCGAGTCTGGGAGGAGTGGCAATATGGTGTACGATTACCTGTGGTGCTTTGGCAGATTATGCCTATCCCATTAAGCCCTTAGGCAATAGGCAAACACCCGTAGAGTGACTCAACGTGGCAGGCAAGGCGTTTTTGGCCAGTAATATGATATAACTAGGCTAATCAATACTTCTATCATCCATATACTCCAACTACACATGAAGTATGCCAACTATTCTTTTTTTTGTTTTAATTTTATTTTTTGGGATACAAAACGCTGATTAGGAGCTAGTTCGATGGCGAGAGCAGGTAGGAATGCAAGAGATAACATGACTTGACTTGTTTCTCATATGAGTAAAAGCGGAAGAAAATGGAAACCAAGTACCTGTTGCCTAACAGCGCTCGATGGGATGGCAGTTCGTGCCACTCATTGAAAACTGAATGATGCGTTATATAGACGGTGTATTTTGTTACGGAGAATACTTCTTAGGACCCATATAGACTCCGTACTGCCATTATAATGCCCCGGAATTTCGTTTGAGGGAAACGTCTGTGCAGTCGTATCGGTTCGTCTCTTGTTAAAGATCAAGGACGAAGCACGTAGTCGACTAGCATCTAATTTTAACTACAAGTAGGGCGACTTGTGGCCCGCGTCCGTAGAAACTGCCAATGAGGAACATCCAGAATGGATGTAATAGTGGCGGTTTCAATGTGTTATATTGGAGGAGCAGCCTGGGCTGCTTGTCTCCCCAGTCAGGGCAGCTCGAAGCTGCCTCTTGCTTTCTGGTGATGCCGGTAGCACGGCAAAGCCAAGTGCTGCCTTGCAGGAACAGTACAACTGAGTGAGTGTCGTGGCAAGATGGCCGAGATATTGGCTTTGTGCAGCGGTGTACTCAGAAACGACGGTACCGATGAAATTCCATGTGATTTTTTGCCGTCATGTTAGCCAAGAATCCCGGGCAACTAGATCTATTCATTGCACTCCTGTGTCATCATGCTGCCACCATTATACCATGTATTGAGTTGACAAACGTAAATTCCTCAGCACGTGTAAAAGTAGAAGCGCTATTCACTTAAGCCAAAGGCAAAATGATACGTCAAAACAAGCTGCGCAATCGCTGCTTAGCTGTATTGAAGTAAGGAATATGCGTGGGCACAGCCTCACGCTACAAAAGCCGTATGGTAGCCCGTAGCAATACCTAAGGTGACTGGATTCATAAATATAAGAGTATGAGGTAGGTATGTCCCAGCCCCTCCAAATGGCACAGTAACTCGTATGAGGATTAAGTGAGACTACAGGTAGATTAAAGAGTGAATATGTCATAGGACTATCGCCACGGCGAAAAGAATCTCAGTCAAAACAGCGACAATAAAAAAAGTAAAATCATTGTAGAATGAAGCACTAGTGCTGATGAAAATTAAAAAGTGTGCCAGCTGAAGGTATATTATCCCATCGACTGCGAGTTGGCTACAGGTACATAGGGTTGTAGCCATTCAGGGACAGACAGTGTAAACTTCCATCCAATCCCGTACCTATTTTCCACGGAGTTTGGAGAAATTGTGGACCGAGTTGTGGCTCATAATGTACCTGTAGCCAACTCGCAGTCGATGGGATACTGTGTAGCTCATTCATTGTGTCGACGGGTGAACTTCAAAATTGCTTACATGGGATTTGATATTAATTGCGGTAATGCTTTTTACCCAATCAATGAGGAGCTATAAGTTGTGGCAAATGGTGGCTTGAACCAACCGTCACTAAACCGGTAGAAGACGGCAATTGACCTATCGGAGCGATGCCCACCGTTACGTAGTATTGCCAAGCAATAGCTGGAGCTTGGCATATCGTTTACGATGCTATATCAGGCAGGTAAAGATGGCACAGAATAGAGCCAGCCTCTTGAATGTAACTGACTTCCTCATTCAGTTCCTCATCCCGGACTCGTGGAGTTGTTTAGTACATCTTGAGAGGGACCCGACAAGCACTGGGACCGGTTGGACTCGTAGCATCATCGGCAGCTTCCTTATCTATCACCTTGGCGTTGATCACGCGAGATGCAGGTGCGTTGCGTTGCCCCCGCAGTTCCTTCCCAATCATGCGGGTGGGTGCATATTCGAAGGGGAGGAGGAGAGAAAAAAAAAAAAAGAAAATAGCAAAAAACAGAAGGCGCAACGAAATCAGAGCGTCATACCTTCTCTTGTTGGTTTTTATTCATATAAAAGGTCAAAGGTCTGCCGGGACATTCTCGTCGCATGGTTTTCTCCCTCTTTCTCACCGACCTCTCTCGTCTCCTCGATATCGGCCTTTCTCTTCAATCTCCCCTTGTCCAAAGACGGATATTGTAACCGCCCAAGATGAGAACCGCCGCCGCTCTTGCTCTGGCCCTGCCGACCTTGGCCAGCGCTGTCAAGTGCAAGCCCTACGTCGACTCGGAGAAGCTTCAGGAGCTTATCACCATCGAAGACCTGCTCGCCGGCTCCCAGAAGCTTCAGGACATCGCCGATGCTCATGAGGGAAACCGCGCCTTCGGTGGTGGCGGTCACAATGCCACCGTAGACTGGTTGGTCGAGGAGCTCGAGAAGCTCGACTACTACGACGTCTACAAGCAGCCCTTTACTGAGAGCTTCGCCGGTGCCAAGGCCACTCTCTCCGTCAAGGGTGCCACCGTCGATGCCCGTACTCTGACCTACACGCCTGCTGGCACTGTTAGCGGCGTTCCCCTGGTCAACGTCGCCAACCTCGGTTGTGAGGCCGGAGACTTCCCCGCCGAGGTTTCTGGTGCCGTCGCTCTCATTTCGCGAGGCACTTGCAACTTCGCCATCAAGGCCACTCTGGCTAAGACCGCCGGCGCCGTTGCCGCCATCATCTACAACAACGAGCCCGGCGCCCTTGCTGGAACCCTTGGTGCCGCCTCGGAGGGCTATGCGCCCGTCGTCGGCATCACCCAGGACGAGGGCAAGGCGTTTGCCGCCGCCCTTACCGCTGGTGAGGAGCTCACTCTTGACCTCAATGTCATCTCCATCATTGAGGACCGTGTCAACTACAACGTCATCGCTGAGACGCGTGAGGGTGACCCGGACAACGTTCTGATGATCGGAGGTCACTCCGATTCCGTTTTTGCTGGTCCCGGTATCAAGTAAGTTACTTCAAAAGGGAAGCCGAGTTATCGAACACGCAGCTAACCAATATTTCCTTCCAGCGATGACGGTTCCGGTACTGTCGGTGTTCTCACCGTCGCCAAGGCCCTCACCAACTTCAAGATCAAGAACGCTGTCCGTCTTGGTTTCTGGGGTGCCGAGGAGTACGGCAAGCTCGGCTCATACTTTTACGTCAAGCAGCTCAACGGTTCCGAGGCCGAGATCTCCAAGATCCGCGCCTACCTCAACTTCGACATGATTGCCAGCCCCAACCCCAAGCTCGCCATCTACGACGGTGACGGCAGTGCCTTCAACTTCTCCGGCCCCGCCGGCTCTGACGTTATTGAGAAGGACTTTGAGCAGTTCTTCGAGAGCAAGGGTCTGGGCCACGTTCCCACCGAGTTCAACGGCCGCTCCGACTATGCCGGCTTCATCGAGAACGGCATCCCGTCTGGTGGTCTCTTCACCGGTGCCGAGGGTCTCAAGACTGAGGAGGAGGCGCGTCTGTTTGGTGGCGAGGTCGGTGTTGCCTACGACGTCAACTACCACCTGATTGGTGACGACATCACCAACCTGGACAACGATGCCTACCTTATCAACACCAAGGCCATCGCCCACAGCGTCGCCAAGTACGCCATTAGCTGGGAGTCCCTCCCTCCCGTCAACATTGCCAAGCGCCGTTATGCCGCCGACACCGCTCAGCACCTCAAGCGTGCTGCTGAGGCCACTGGCCACGCACACGACGGCCCCTGCGGCGGTGGCTCTCACTTTTAAGCATTGGATGCTCGCTTTAAAAGAAGGCGGCGCGCCTGCTTTACCTGTATAGTCACTAAACATAATTAATGAATGAGAAATGAATGGATGAGAACTTGTCTTTCTGATTGCGCGAGTGCCATGTATGTCGTCTCTGATGGAACGGTGATGATCTTTTGCCGCCGTGATGAATTTCGCTAGATTGCCCAAAAACAGTCTGCCCGTTCCAGATGCGGCTGTCGTAAGGTCTTGTACCGGGGTGGGTCGACGTGAGTAGAAAAACAGGTAAAGAGGCCGCAATCCAAGAACCATAACGCCCTCGTTATTGACAGGCATATTATATATGCCTATACGACAAAACCCAACAGGCACCACCGAAGCGGACAGATGGAAAGAAAAAAAAAAAAAAGGTCTGGCCACGAGGGGGCTGACGAGTAAAAGTCGGCGGAGGAGTGAGTGAGCTCTTCAGAACCGCGACAACCACCGTTCGAGATATATATATATCAACCAACAGAGGATCGGTGGATTTACTTACATACATGGGACCGCCCAGCCAGCCACACACTTCACATCACCACCACTACCGTATCGTTTTTTTTTTGTTCCATCGTATTCTCGCTTACTTCATTTGATAGGTTCATCCCAACCGACGTTAACACTCATAGTATTAATATATACATGTCCAGTCGTAAGGATAAAAATAAAATAAAAAAGCCCAGACATTAAACCCCACTCGTTCTCCGTCTCATCCATCGTAACTTCAATTATAAAAAGAACGAAAAAAAAAAAGAATGCTTAAACGAGACCCCGGTAAATCAGTGGTTAAAGTACCTGGGCTCGTCAAAGACGTGGTATCTGTGGTCGCGAACGCCCTGGCCTCTGAACATGGCAGGGAACCTCCAGCCCTCCGGCACCTCCTCCTCCTTGACGCGGCGGTTGCGCGTCGTGTCGTCGAGGGCCTCGATCTGCTTCGCCTCGTCCGCCGACTTGGGAATGACGAACTTGGCCACCTGCAGCTCCGTATCGGTGATTGTGCTGCGGCTGACGCGCGCGTATCCCGTGCGCTTGAGGCCCTTGTAGAGAATGTACTCGCACCATCTGTCCCAGTCCGTCGGGTCGACGTCGTGCATGCCCGACGTTGAGCTGACGTAGGTGTTGTAGTTACCCTGGAGCGGCTTTGTGACGAGGTACGAGAGGAGGATGGACGGGTTGGTGGATTCGCCCATGAGCTTGGAGAGGTACTCCGTCTGCAGGCGTCGGTCCTCGACGTCTTCCTCCTGGCCCGAGTGGAAGACGAAGACGTCGACCTCTTGGCCGTAGACGTCGAGCGTGGCCGCGATAGCGGGCGCGAGCTCGCCGACGGGACTGGGGAGCAGATGGTGCGTGGACTTGAGGATAGGGAACTTGGAAAGAAGAGCGGAGCCCCAGGTGTGCTTGTTGGGGCCCGGGCCGTAGTCGACGTACATGCCGAGGTCTTCGGCGAGGAACTGCGTCGTGTCGCGGTTGCCCATGATGATGCGCTGCAGGTCAGACTCCAGCAGACCGACGACGTCGAGTTCGAGCTCCTTGATGAGATCACGCATGCGGTATTCAGATGACCACATGTCGTTATCGAGAGAGAAGTGAATGGTCCAGATGCCGGCGGTGAGGACGCGGTCTTCGGGGTGGTAGGGCTTGTAGTCGTTGGTGGGGAAGCGCATGAAAGCCGAGGCGAGGAAGACAATGTTGACGAAGAAGGCCGCGAGCGTGTGGTACTTCTTGTGCTGGGAAGGGGTGGAGCGGCTGGCGTTACGGCGACGGGCCTGGGACGAGGTGAGGTCGAACACTCCGGCGCCGATGAGGAGGAAGGTGGTGATCATGACCCAGTCGGTGTGCTCGCGGACCAGAGGTCCACCGGGGACGAAAGCGTAGGCGACGACCCAGACGTGGAAGAGGACCATGATGTTGTAGATGAAGAAACCCAGTCCGAAAGTCGTGCCGGGGCTCCTCTTAGCGGCATGGGCGAAGAATGGGACGGAGACACCTGTAAGGTAGAAAGCCGTCGCGAGAGCGCCGTAGTAGCCGAACCAATGGTGGTAAGAAGTGAGGATGGCAGCACCAACAGAGCCAACACCGTAGGCGGTCCACGAGCTCATAAGACCAGGGCGGTAGAGGCCGACGAGCAGACCGGCAGTCATGGCGACGATGGTCATCCAGCCATACGTGTTGGCGGTGGGGCCACGAATCGGGTAGCCGTCCCAGACCCAGAGGATCATGGTGCTGGTGTCGGAGAGAAGAGAGTGCAGTCCGAAGAAAATACCAGCAAAGCCAAAGGCCGCAAGGACGGAAGAGCCACCCTTCTGGGAGTCCTCGGGGTAGTCGCCCTTGGTCAAAGGCGCCTTTCTAGTGAATCTCAAGCAGGCGACAACGGCGATGGCGAAACCGGTGGCATTCCAGCCGCCGTTGGCGGCGTGCATAATGGGCCAGATGGGGTTGTTGGTCCACCACATGAACTTGGCGGTCGAGGAGGCGATCAGACCAATGGTCCATGCCAGAATCTTGGACTCGAGGCGGGCCTGGTGAGCTCTCTCGGAGTAGAGCGTAGCGGTCCAGCCGAGGCAGGAAGTGGCCACGGCAAACCCGACAGTGAACAGCCGGGCAGCTGGGTCAAGAACCTTGTAGGCCAGGAGGCCGACCAGCGAGATGAGGTGAACAATGCGGAGGTTGTTGATAACCAGAGATCGAACGGCGCGGATACCCAGGACGGAGGGAAGGACTGTAGACATGACAAAGGCTTCGTAGCCAGAGATACCCATGTGCCACAGAGGGAAGTACCACACCAGAACGCCGAGACTGGTGAGCATAGACCAAAAGATGAAGCCGTGGTAGACGTCGGCAGCGGTGTCGAGGGCATCGGCCCATCTGAATGGGGCGGAGAGCACACCGGCAGTGGCCTTTTCCTTCCTGAGAGAATCGTTAGTTGCTGTGTCGTACAAATGCAGGGAAAAGCGAACAGAGAACAGGGAACCTACTCCTTCTCAAGCACGGCAGAAGGGACAGACGATCGGTTTTCACTGTAACAAGCTTTAGAATATGCTCCTTGAACTGCTTTTTATTTGGTCTACTGTACGGTATGTACAAGAAAGACTATTTCGGGAGCCATTGGACGTACCCCTTGCTGGAACCCTTGACATCCCTGATCACCACCTCAAAGGTGTCGAAGTCGAGGGCCGTTACCGCGTCAAAGGCGACGTCGAAGAGAATAAGCGCCCATTCGAAGAAGGCATAGATTGTGTAAGCTGCATTCATTAGCAAAAAAGCTTGGCAAATTTGGAAAATCGGAGAAGCGCACCTCCTGCGACGCGGTGGACCTTGTGCTGGATGAAGAAGTAGATCAGAGGCACCAAGGTGCCGAAGAAAGAGCTGGCAACCACTTTACGGTACTTGATGGACTTGGGGTTCGGCGGGCTAAGCAGAGTGCAGCCAATGGTCCAGGGAAGCGACGCGACAATGTAGGAGATCATGAAAATGTCGTGCCAATCATGATCGTCGGTCGAGGTAACGTAGGTGAAGCCACCGCACATGAAGGTCCGCAGTATACCCATCGCAAATGTGAACTTGGGCAGCATCTGGCCGGGACGTCTCGTCAGGAGGTACCAAAGGCCGACGAGGGCGAATCGCGGGCCAGAAGTGATTGCGATGAAGAGCATAAAGAAGGACCTTTCGGGGTACCGATCTCCAATCGTCGCGGAGACGGAGGGGAACCACTCGTCCGGGTATCCGTACCATTCATTCTGGACGATCTTGTGATAATGCAGCGAGACACCGACGATGAATGCGCTGATAAAAGCAGCTGTCAGGGTTTCAAGTCAGTTATTTGTTGCAGTTTCTCGTCGTGGTCTTATGGTGATGCGACAGAGAGAAAAAGAGAGAGAGAGAGAGAGGGAGTGAGACAACCCGGGTCCTCTCCCACCCCCACCAGCGCAACATCGCGACAGCTTCAATCATGGTGGTTCGACTTACTGTAAGCTACAGCAGTGTGCGACCAGCTGACCCATTGGCCATTGAAGGTCAGGACGACGCCGGCGTCCTTATCTTTGTATCTTGACGACATGGCGAGAAGGACAACTCAAGCAAAACAAAGAGAAGAACGGCGCATCCGGGAGATCCGGACAAGACAGTTGAAGGGCGTGGGAGAGAGATGGAGGGGAAAGAAGGGAAAGATGGAATAAAAAGCGGGAATACGAAAGAAGGATAAAATGGCAAGGGCAATTCTGCTAGCCCAGCACCGACGAACCCAAGAAACGGCTGTGCGTGCCCAGTTACCTCGGCGGGCCGAATCGCGTGTTTATGGCCGTCTGCAGATAATAAGTGTGGTAACCCTTGACAGCATTTGGAGGAGGAGGAGGAGTAGGTTACAGGGAAGCTGATGACAGAAAAGAGGCCGACGGAGGCCCGCTGGAGCTTGGGGCGCCCGCGGTGTCCGTGCCTGGCTCACTACGTAAGAGGCCAAACAAGGGTGTTTAGAAGACTGATCCGGGTTTAGCGCCTACAGGGGAGCTTGGCGCAAGGCTGAGGAATCCCGGCAACAAAGAGGGTGTGGTCAAGGCGACCATTGGGGGGGGGGGATAACCTGACCAATTACCCACTTATTTTGTGATTTGTGGGGCTACCCTGAGATCAGCTGACCATGGTCAGCTAGTTAGCTATGGTCAGGTTGAAATTCCTTAGCGCGGTTTGAAACCTCACCCTTGACATACTTTTTGTAAGAACATACGACATTTAAACGCTTCCAAATCCGTTCCGAATCGATTTACAATGGCTCTTCAATCGATTGAAAATCTCTTCCCTCGCCTAGAGGGAATAAGTCCTCTATTAGAACCTACTAGTCTTGATGCAGAAGCTGAAGAAGACTTAAATCTTTACTATCAACTACCAGCCCAGGCCCAGTCTGGCTTACCAGTAAATGAGGAGGTAGGGATATATGAGAACGACTTTGGAATTAGTTCTAAATCGATTCAGGATCAACTCGAAACCGATTCAGAAATACCTCCAACACTTGTTTCATCAGAGGCAACCCGTTCTGGGCATAATAGCCTCAGGGATGTTCATGTACTTGCTCAAAAAGTAATCTTTCTACCTACATTTATAGAATATCCAGAAACAAGTGAGAATGGAGTCCTTTATGTTATTGATATAAGGACTTTAAATGAGGAGGATATTAAATCGCCTTGGAGAATGGTAAACGAACTACTTTTGAATCGATCCGGGATCGATCCCGAACTACTTCAGAACTAATTACATCACAGATTCAGTACAACCATGCCCGGCAATTCCCACAATTCTATATCGCTTCCGAATCGCTTCAGAATCACTTGGGAACTAATTTACTTAGCTGAACCTCAAATAAAAGCATGGGCTCAACATAAAGCCCGAAAAACAATTGCAGCTGGACTTAATCAGAACTGCTCTAAAATCCCCTTATCAGATTGGAGTCAATTCATACCTAATACAAATACTGTTGAGGTTTTACATGAAGCCTCATATACTTGGAGTAATCGGTATTTACCATTACTTACATGTATCCAGAAGTAAGTTTGGAATCCCTTCTGAATTGATTCGGAATTGGTTTGGAATGCGTTGAGAACTAATTCAAAAGTACTTAGATGTGCAGAATACGATCGCCATCTTTTAGAGCAGGATACAGTGTTTACAACACTAGGAATCCGGCTTTCCTGGAAAGATGTTTCTATTATTAGCCGTTATAATACAGCTGCAAGCCGTTTACGTAAGTTAAAAATACTTTAATATTTATTAATAATTATTTCTAAATTATTTTAGAACTTAAACGCCAACGCCAGAGGGAATCCCGTGAGCAACTAGATAATGAACGTGTTGAAAGGCTTTTATCAACCCGACTCTTTACGTCTAGTCCCTCAAGGGGTACTAATTCAAGAAGTCCATCCTCAATTCCGAATCGATCCCGAAGTCTTTCAGAAGCGATTCGGAATCGATCCCCTCGTCTTTCCCATGCTTCATCTTCTGGGGTTATTAGGTCAAATACTCTCCAAAGAACATCTATTTCTAACTTAAGAAACGAAATCAGACAGGGACAACAAGATGACTTTGACTTACAGAAGCAAAGTCTAGAATTAGAAGAAAAGCGATTAGAATTAGAAGCAAGAAAACTTCTAGTTGAAAAACAGAAGCTTGAACTACAAGAAAAGGAACTAGAGTTAGCAGAGCGGCGGAGAAGGTTAGGACTTTGATAGCATATAGGATAGGTAGAGAATCGATTCTAAATCATTTCTATATTGATTTAGAAATGCTTTTTTAAAAAAAAGCTTAAAAACCGAACGCCCCGGGTATCTATAAAGAATTGATTCTAAAGCGGTTCCAAATCGGTCCCGAAAGAAGTCCCAAACTGGTTCCAAACCGATCCTGAATTGATTCAGGCCTCATCTTCTTCATCATCCTCAAAGCGGGCCCAGACCTCACATTCCTGATCGCGAAGGGCGGGAGGACATTCTGAATCGATTCGTAATTAGTTCTGAACTGCTTCAAGACTGATTCTAAACTTACTGGCATTGCGGGCAGTGGTGCAGTGGGTGCACTTGCCCTTGGCAGGGAAGCCGGCGGCGCGACGCATTTCGGCGAAGTTGATCTGTTGCAGAATCGATTCGGAATGGGTTCCAAAAGGATTCCGGATCGATTGAGAATCACTTACCACAGTTTGGTTGCCCCGCTTGCGCGTGGGCACGGCAAGAAGGGGGGGAGGGGTCTGCGCCTTCCGTTTCTTGGAAGGAGTCTGCAGCTCGCTGTCATCGCGAGCGCCGATGGCGATGCCGTGGATGCGGTCGTAGAATTCTATTCATAATCAGTTTAGAACTAGTTCAGAATCGGTACAGAATCAGTTCAGAATCACTTACCAGCTGCATCATCGTTCTCCTCGACGGAGTTCGCGCCGGACTTGCGGCTCTTAACCTTGGCCGGGACCCCGTCGAGCTTGTGCTTCTTGATGTGGTTCTTGAGGTTCGACTCGCTCGAGAACCGCTCCGTCTAATCGATTCGACATTAGTTCTGAACTGATCCGGAACTGATTCTGAATTACCTTGGTGCACGTGATGCTGCTGGATCTACCACCCCAGCGGCAGTAGAGTTCGCCAGGGGCGAGCTTGACTTCGCCAGCCTGAATCGATTCAGAACTGTTTCTGAATCGTTGTGGAATCGCTTCTGAATCACTTACCTCGTTGAACTCGAAGGGAGGAAGATCCTCCATGCGGTGGTTCTTGCCGCCCTGGAGAAGACCTTCTTTGTAGGTCTTGTAATCGTCCTGATTCTGAATCAGTTCTGAATCGATCCTAAACCGATTCCATTGTACTTACAGAATCCTTGTATGAAGGCATGATGTCGGATTTCTGAACTGATTCGGAAGTAATTAGGAATCGGTGCGCCAGGGGGGGGGGGGGGGCGCATACGATTTGAAAGGGTTACGGAGGGAAAAGGAAGAGAATCAGAATGGAATAGGGATTTAAATATTAATATGGGGTATGCACCCCAATCAGTAGTGGGACGCAATCAGTAACTGGTCCGTGCACCTGACCGATTAAAAATTCCATGGTCAGGTGGACCCACTTCACCTCAATACAGCCAATCATAAAATTGGTCAGATAGACCCATAATTCATTTAAATAAGTGGGTAATTGGTCAGGTTATCCCCCCCCCCCAATGGTCGCCTTGACCACACCCTCGCAACAAATCAGAGCCCACCCATAACCGTTGGCAGACCCGCAAATAAAATTGGCCCCACCAAACTGTGCGGATCTTTTACTCAGCCTCGCAACTTTTTTTTTATATGGTTTTTTTTTTTTTCTCTCTTTGCAGGCATTGTAGATCTCGATCCCCGATCTACCCTCAACGGGCAACCGGCAAAACACTCATACGAATACACATCACGATACAGTCGTCCTTGTCGGGTCAGGTACAATCATTCTACAATGGCTGTCGCTGAGAAGGCTCGCTTCTACTTGGAGCGTTCTGTCCCCCAACTGCGTGAATGGGAGGAAAAGGAAATCTTCACAAAGGTAATCCAGCCAACCACCCACCCATCCACCAAGAAGCCCCCTCCCCCTCCATTGGTATATCGGTCAGTGTCCTAACAAAAAGACAATCAGGATGAGATCCGTACAATCGTCCAGAAGCGCAGCGACTTTGAGCATCGCATCCTTGCCCCCCGCTCCAACCCCGACGACTTCAGCGCCTATGCGAAGTGGGAGCGTTCTCTCGAGACCCTGCGCGCAAAACGCTGCAAACGCATGAAGATCGGCTACGTGACCTCTCAACATGCCTCCCAGGCGCGTGTGCTCGCCATCTACGAGCGTGCCGTGAGCAGACACCCCGGAAGGAAGGACCTGTGGCTGGAATATCTCAGCTACACGGCAGAGGTCAAGGCCACGAAGCGATGGCGGCGAACCATGGCCTCGGCCCTGCGCATGATGCCGACCGATGCCGAACTTTGGGTATTTGCCGGCCGTCGTGCCGCTGCGAACGGAGATATGGGCGGTGCGAGAGGGTATTTCATGCGCGGGTGCCGATTCTGCACGAGCGAAGGAACTCTTTGGATCGAGTACGCGCGGTGCGAGATGGATTGGCTGGCCAAGATGGAGGCGAAGAAGGCCAGCGGCAAGAAGAAGGACGCGAACCCTCTGGCGGGTGAGAAGATGGATGACGACGACGAGATCCGGTTCATCGACGACGAGGATGAGGACGAGGATGCCGATGACGGCCTGAAGCTGCCGGTGCCCAGCGGTGAGAAGAAGAAGGTACTGGACGAGGAGGCGACGGCCAAGTTGAAGAACAACCCCGCCATGGACGGCGCTATACCCATTGCCATCTTCACCGTCGCGCAAAAACAGCCCTTCTTCAACCCCGAGGTTGCCGAGAAGTTCTTCGACATGTTTGCGACCTTCACCAAGGTCTCGTCGCAGGCCAAGATCATCCAACACGTCGTCGATGCCATGCAGGAACTCGACGCCGCGCACCCCGCCACCTGGAATTGCTACATCCGCCTGCCCCTCGTCGGCGTCAGCCCGGACACGCCCGAGTTCCCTCTCGGACTCAGGGACGTCCTGGCGCGGTTGGGCAAGGGCCTGGAGGAGACCTCGGACAAGGAGACACTGCGGAAGAAGAGCCTGGTGTGGATCGAGCTGGCCCTCCTGTTCAAGGGCCTGGACGAGGGTATCAGGACTGTTTTGGAGCATACGAAGAACAAGCTGCTGGCATAGCTGCCGCCCGAACGTGGCTATTCATACAGGGAGGGGAGGAACAAAAGCAAAGGGGGGAAAGGAAAAGGAAAAAGCGGCGCTCCAACGGCGCATTTGACAGGAATAGAAGCGGCCTCGGGCGGGATGTAACCGACGCCCACACCCTTGATACCACTTGCATAGTCAGCCTAATTGATCTGAGTCGAACCCACACCTGTTTCTCTTGTCTCCCCCTTCAAGCCGCCGAGTAGTTGGGGAACTTCTTCCCTTCCTCAACCGCCTTGTCCCACTCCTTGTCCTCGTCGAGCTCCTTGGCCATGCGGATGACTTCGTCCCATTCCTCCTTTGTGACCTTGTTGACGCTCAGACGGCCCAGCTTCAGCAGCTGCATGTTCTGCAAGGGACCCTTGGGTCCGACTTCCTTCAGCAGGCTCAGCGGCACGATGCGAGGGAACTTGTGCTCGATTTTGACATGGACGAGGCTCCACTTGCTCCCGTCATGCGGGGCATTGTCATCGTAGTACGGGTTGTCGTTGATACAGGCATTCCCTGGTACCATGTCAGCTCTTGGCCCCCGGGGGGAAAGAAAGGGGGATTGGGAAGGGGGGGGTAACGTGCAGTCGGGGGAATGTTCCTTGACTATGCTGATGATGCCGACAATACCAGGCTCTTTGCAGTTTGAGTGGTAGAAGAAGGCCTTGTCGCCCTTGCGCATGTCCCGGAGGTTATTGCGAGCGGCGTAGTTCCGGATTCCTGGGTAGCGTCAGCTTCTGCGTTTCCGATTCGGGACAACATTTTCCAGCCTAACCCTCCCAGCCCTCGGGCTTCTTCTTAGCCGCTAGGTCATCAATGGAAAATTTGATTTCATAGCCGTCCTCGATCCGTACGTCCGGCTCGGATTTCATGAGCCAGTACCGGGTCTCTGGCGGATCTCTCCGCTCAGCTTCGGGGTTGATGTCAGGAACAGAATCAGAGGCATCCCGGAGAGCTTTCAGTTCATCCTTGGTCTTCTTTGCGGGGGTCTCTTTTTTGCCAGCTGCGGGTTTCTAAAAAAATAATGTCAGAATCTGAACCCTTCAACAGTTTCATCAACGAGCTCTCACTTTCGCCTTCTTCGCCGCGGGCTTCTTAGGCTCCTCCTCGGCCTTGGCTTCAGGTTCATCTTCCGGCTCAGCGTCCTCGACCGCTTTCCTCTTCTGCTTTCCAGCGGCTACTTTCGTTTCCTTCTTTTCAGGCTTCTTTTCGGTGGCTTTAGTGCTCCCTTTGGCTTTCGTGGTGGCCTTGGTCTTTTCCGACACCGGCTTCTTCTCCTCTGATGCCGCTGAGGCGCTCAGTCGCGTCGACGACCTGAGACTGCGGGTGACTGCGGGCATTGCGGCCGTATTTTTGGCCAACTTCAAAATTTTATATCCAGAATCAACACTCCTGTACAAGATTTGTGAGATGTTGGTGAAGAAGGATGGCCACCGGGATGTGATCCTTCCCATACGCGTAGCTGGGATCAAGCGCATTAAGCTCATGGGGGGTTACGCGAAGTTGCTGTGGGCACAGTGTCGACATGGGACGCACGGTCCTGGTGTTCTCAGGTCGATCACGTAATCCATCCCCGTCAAGATCGAGTTGACCAGGGCCCCCGAAACAGATTTTATGAACGATTAATGAGATATGAATTTTCAGACATTTTCATGTTTATTGAGTTTATGGAGTTGAATGATGAGGTCATGTATCAGAATGGAAATTTGGTTGTTTAATAGGAATAGGCAACTCTCTGAGAGGCGTATTCACTCACCAACACATTCATTGGGCACTTTACTTTCATATTGTTAAGGATGACACGAGAAACTTTGACACGACTCGATATCAAAATTCATGATGAACTAAAATCAGCATATGTTCAATCATTAATCTCAATGAAAATTATGAATCGTCTCAAAATAACATTCATGGTAAGATCGGCTCACTGAGTTAGAACCATCAACCATCTCAGCAGCCCCACTCACCAGACAGTGCCTCACGCCCCTCATAATCCCAGCAGACAACTTCTCCAGCCTCATCAACTTCACGACCCATCAACCGTCAAGATGCAAATCATACTCAAAGCCTCCGAGACGGCCTTGGCCGCCATAGGCAACACCCCACTCATCCGTCTACGCCGCGTCGTACCCGCCAATCACGCCTCCATCTACCTCAAACTCGAATACACCAACCCAACCGGCTCACACAAGGACCGCATGGCCGCCGCCATCATCTCCGGCGCCGAGTGCAGGGGGGCTCTCAAACCGGGCATGAAAGTGGTGGAGGCAACGGGAGGCAGCACGGGCTCCTCCCTGGCGTTCGTCTGCGCCGTCAAGGGATACGAGTTCCAGGTCGCCAGCTCCAACGCCTTTGCCCTCGAGAAACTGCGCACCATGGCGGCGTTCGGCACAAAGGTCGACATCATCCACAGCCCGACGGGCAAGATCACCGCGGATCTGATCCCGTCCATGGTGAAGCGAGCAAAAGAGGTTGCGGAGGAGGAGAAGGGCGTGTATGCTGCGGACCAGTTCAGGAACCGTGATGCGTTGGTTGGATACCAAGCCCTCGGCGAGGAGCTGCTCCAGCAAGTGCCGGAAGGTATCGATGCTTTTTGTGCGGCGGTCGGCACGGCGGGGCTGGCCATGGGTGTTGCTGGGGTGCTGAAAGCCGCGAGACCTGACACCAGGGTTGCCGTGCTGGAACCGGCTACTACGCCCGTCATTACGGAAGGTCGGGCTGGCGCTCATGGGGTTGAGGGCATCGGTATCGGGTTCCTTCCCCCTCTTCTTGACCGGGAGTTGTATGACGAGGCGAGGGCGATTTCTGAGGATGAGGCGCGCGCCATGTGCCGACGGCTAGCTAAGGAGGAGGGTATATTTTCCGGGGTGTCTACGGGCCTGAATGTTGTCGCGGCGATGCAGTTGGCCAAGGAGCTGGGGCCGGGGAAGAGAGTTGTGACGATTGCATGCGATACTGGGCTGAAGTATCTGAATGGTGACTTGTTTGCTGCTCCAAAATAAGGCGTAATTTAAAACTTAGATGAGAATAGTTAGAGGAGATTTCGAGAATGGATATTGCAGAGTTGAATCATCTGACGGCCTGGAAATCTCTGATAAACGACTGGTATGAGGGCTTCATGTTGCTCTCTTTGTAAGCTAGGTACCTAGAGCCTTCTTTGTCCAGTCAGTTTTGAGAACATACTACTAAATTAAAAGGTAGCGTTCAGTTTAGAAGTTGGAATTTTGTTGCTGATAGGCATTGATATCCGTTATCAGTTTACCACCTAGATTAAAACCAGATTTTAGTATCACACATATTCTGCAGACTCTCCAAAGCTAGAATTTGTAATTCAGTTCGAATTTCTAGCCCATTATTGATTTATTCGTGTACCTTAAAGTTCATCTACCCTGCTGCCACCTCTCTCTACGCCCACCACTGAACCGAAAGCTTCACACCTGTTTTGTCTCATGACAGCAAACATGCCATGCTTGACTAAACAATGATTGGTAAGGAAATGAAAAGTTGTTGTATATCGAGAGAGTCTGTTGTCATACCCACATGCAAAATGTTTTCAATCGGAAAGGGCCGATTGCTCAAGAAGTAGCAGCCGCAGCAGTCTCTTGGTCCGCCAGCTCTGCGTCTTCGGGCTTTCGCGCGTACACCAAATGCCTATTGCAATGTCAGTCACTTTCCACTGAGAAAGCTCTCAGAGGAAAAAGACCTAGGAAGGGGAGAGCCACTTACAAGTTGAGATATGCCTGGAGCTTCATGTCCCTGAGGGCTTTCCGAACTTCGGCAACGAAGACGAGAATCTCAGCGTACTCCCATCCCATTATTTCCTTCAGAAGAAAGACTGCAAAACCCTCCAAGGACTGGTCCAAGAACTCCAGGTGATATGCGCCAACCTCATTGAGCTTGGGGTCCGCAGGCCATGCTCCGATGGGAATTGGCAGTATCTTCTCCACAATATCCACAAACCCAGCGGCTTCTAGCGCTTTAGCAATTCCATGGTCTCGAGTCTGCGTAAACGTTTTACCAAGCTTGTCCCCCGATTCGAAAAATACCTTGTACCAGCGATTGAAGATATGATCCTCTGGTAAATCGTCCCCGTAAAGCTGAGAGCGAGCCTGAATATCGGTCTCTTTGATCTCGATGTAGCCGCCTGGCTTGAGGTGATCGTAGGCTTGCTTATACAAGGCTGGCCAGTCTGATATGCTGGCCTCTAGATGGCGGATGTGAACGAAGTCGAAATAGTTCACTGGCCATGTCCAAGGCTGCTCCACGTCGTCGATCTGGAACTTACAGTTGGGCGGGACCCAACCAGGCTGAATAGGCGAGATATCGACACCTGTCACTTCGGCTGAAGGGTACTCATCCGCAAAATCGCTGCAGCCTTTTGTTAGTATGACATCCGAGGGTAAAGTACAATGTCTGAAGTTGGCGCAGCTAAGCTTACATGGCCCAGATACCTGTTCCAGTACCGACGTCAAGCACATTCTGTGTCATTATTTAGTCATTGTAAGATCAATATTCTTCGGTGAATAACTCTTACCTGCGGGCTGTCGCTAATTGGAGCTAAGAACAACTTGTCGTCAAAAAACAAAGTCTCCATGTGGTGACTTCAAGCCACGGCCGCCTGTCAGTAAGATAAACACAGCCAGGAATAAAAGGAACGTGAAGAAACCGAAACCACAGAAGAAGGGGATAGAAAAAAAAACTTTACGCACGAAATATCCAGCCCTTCATTCTGCCGATCGTCGTTTGGACCCCAGTAATCAGACTTTTGCGTGTAGGTGCGTCCATGCAGACGGCGGTATTCAGTGATGCTCTCGCTCAACGATGCGGTGGACGAAGAATGAATGCTATAGACCGTAACCGACAATGACTTGATTAGCTTCCACGCATTTCGTGTCAAGGAAGTTCAAAATAAAGTTACCTTTCTGTATCCGCTTGGGGGTTGTTTTCGTCATCGGCAGTAATTCCTTCGTCCTGTCACAAATTCACTTTAGCATCTCACCTGCTGATTGCTCGCTTCTAACCGCTTCAAGATATCCCCTGAGAATCATGGGACAGGCGTGCAATTGGACTTACAGCTGCAATTGTTCCTGCGGCCGCCTCAATCGTATGCGTCTCCTCGGGACCCCTGGCCGCTGCTGCGCTCTGTGATGAGGTCTGCATTTTCCCCAAATCTTGACGGTAGGTAATAATCGTAGTGATTGATGAGCGATTGCTGTAAACGTAAATTAGGAGAGAAGAAAAACGAGGAAACAGGAGATGTTGCCAGATATCGGTCTTAAAAAGAAGTGTTTTCCCCTCATCTGCAATGAGGTGGTTTTCGTTGTTGGTGCTGGGTTGACAATCATGCAGCGCAATGCACAGCGTTCCGTTTCCGCGAACGAATGAAAGCTGCCATGATTTCGATTATATGCATATTCTAAGCGATATAAGGAAGGTATGCCGCTGTGCCCATGTTAGCCGAGTGTTGGGCCAAGTGTTGAACAGGACAACCAACGCGTGTTTGTGACCAATCCTACATCAAAACGACAAGCGACTTTCAAGGGGTTCGATTTGAACCGCACCAGTCCTGGTACTGAAGAACTTTGATGCAATAAACGTACTGAAACAAATGGAAAATTCAGCCAAGAACAAAGTAAGGGTTACGGATGACCTTACCTACACGTTTTCGCCCATTCCTCAAATGCGTCGTAAAACAGCGCCGCTGAATGTGGTCAAGAACCAACATCTTCTATCTATGCCGTGGCAGACAGTGACATTGTACGATGCCCCGGTTGCATTGCTCTCGGTATCTATCTCGTGCCTCAAAGTGCATGCGATAAAAATCTGATTCTACCAGACTTGATGATTGGAAGTGGCCACGCGGATGGCTTGACAATTGGGAGACATATCTGCCACCCTAGCAATGCTCGCTATTATTACTTTTTCCCTCCAATTACTAACAGTTTCCGTTGTAGAAGAGTTTTTGACTATTGCGCTGCTTTTTCTTTTAACAACCACGCATCCTGCGGTCACATTTCTCTTTGATGCATCCAGCAGTATTGCGTAAAGGACCGACGGTGAGCGACGGCGAGCGAGAACAAGCTAGTATGATACTTGCGCTCTCAAGACGCGACGATGTCATGGTGAGCGAATCTGTAGGTTTCGATTGTGAATTGGGCAAGGATTCTGTCGAGTGACTTTGAAAAAGAGAAATGAGATGATCTTCTGGGTTTTGATTCCTTGTCCTTCCGTAATACTCCGGTTGACTTACCATCTCTCGATCAAGTTATGGACCTTATTATCCGGTTTCCATTATCGTTTTCTGTTTGAATCCCAACAAGTATCTTGTCCAGAAATACGTGCAAGAGAGAAACATCATTGTCTTTACTCTTACCGAGCAAAGAAGTTACCCATCACTTCAGCGCGTCTGTGAAGAGTCTCGAAAAGATCTCAAAGATACGTCGAGAGAGTCGAAACCAACCACGACCCCGTAAAGCGTCACTACATAACGCATGTCAAGCGCGAATGAGATTTTCATTTACATCTAGGCTCACAATCAAATAAATGGCGGATTAAGGTTTAATCAGGCCACCAGAGATCATTCAAACTCAAAATATAAGTAAGCGTTCGTCCCCCGGGCCGACGTTCCCCAGCAGTCAGGGTTGCAGCGTACCGCCTTGCTGTCAAGAGCAGATCAGGCAACCAACTGCGACACAAGGCAAAAGCTTCGATAATGACACTTCGTTATCATCTCTTGTTCTGCACTATAGTCATGTAACCGTATATTGCACCACGTGTCGTAAGACTTGCGCACGGCCTGTGTTGGACGGTCAACCCGACAGAGATGAAGACGTTTATGTTCGATGCCGTCCATGTAATCAGCTTCACTAAGTCTTTCGGCTTCGCCGCCGGGTACAATGGAAAGAGAGAGTTTGTGTTTGTGCACCAATGCTGCGCAATATACTTGAACCAATTTGAAATTTTTGTATGCCAAAAGCAAGCCTTGCAAAAAGCGTCATGAAATTGCCCAAAAGAGTCCAAAGAGGCAGGTAAAGCCAGTGACATAGTTACGGAATGGCCAGGGTGCATCTGCTAATATGCCAAAGCAATACCGGAGATCCCGCTTTTTAGCCTGCGTCTAGTACGACTTAGCTCAATTACAGTTCGCATTCCGACTTGTCCGTGAACTCCGGCCCCGCCCCCTCTTCTTTCGAATCTGTCTTACTATCGTTGGGCGTCTGTATGCATAATGATACCGAGGTGAGATGATGAGTTCATCGCAAGTCACATCTGTCATGGCTCGTTTATATGGTTCATGGCGCCTATATCCTTTGCATGCAAATGCACGAGCAAGTATCAAGGTCATTCTCAGGACGTTTCACAACGAACATGTCCCAGGGACTATGGGATTGCACGTTTGAAAGAAGCTGCTTATTGAACATGGTTACCTACGGAACCTTCCGAGAGCAGCAATTCAGGCTAATATGAGAACTCTTTGAAATTAGGCCAAGAAGCTATGTCACAAACCCTTGCCGTGGCGAGGCAGTCCAGCGTCCGATAAAGTGCTATGGACTTTCGAGCAAGAAGAGAAGAGAACTGTAGAGACGGAATAAAATGGAAAATAATGAATCAGACGGACAGCTAGTTTTGGGAACTGAAGGAGCGACTCAGTTACGCCGAAGCCCTACAGGGCCTCAGACTCTTTGCTCAGCCTTTACCGCCGCGCTGCTGTCCAGGCCGGTAAACCAGGCTGTTATCGGTTAAGTCAATGAGCGAGGTCATTCCTCATCTTCAAGTAGACCAGGTTTGAACCTTCAGACTTGGCTTAACTTGAATTACTTTATTGATAGATTGATAATCGCGCGGCAACCAATGGAAGCATGACAATTTGGCAATGTGACCGATTCCGACAGTGAACTTTTCTCTCACGTCACTTGTTTTCAGCACAGCCAGCTTCGTCTCATTTCAAAAAGCATCGCCGTTCCTGAACTGAATGGACTAGGTCTCGCGGTAGTCACTTAGTAAACAGCCTCTCGTCGGATGATTTACATTTTGCAATGGAACTTATGCCAACTTACTATAAATCCAGGAGTGGCTCTTGCGCACGAATATAGCGCACGTAAGAGAGTGATAACACAGACGATTCTACACCATCTCCATACTAGTAAGCATATTGCTCTCTTCCAGGCCTTGCAGCCAACTACGCTGTCTAACTACAATCTCCTGTCCGGAACTTGGTTTTCCTGGACTGGCCATAGCAGCATAATGACTTATGGCCACAACGGACTTTTGCCAGCACCCCGCCGTGCTACACAGATTAGCGTCTACACTATCTGTTGTTATGGGGCGCGCACATATATACAAACAATTGGTTACGCCCGTCGGCAAAACCAAAAATGTCACTACAGCTGATTCCATATAATAATAGTTATAATATAGAAGTTTAAAACTAAAAGCTTTAAAATGTTAGTAGATACTAGTAACTTACTAGTATTCCTTAACATTAGAAAAATATATTTTCGCTTATATATACTTATTTAAAAAATCTAGGAAATTAATATTTATACTTATTAAAAGTATATAATTATATCTAAAAGAGATTTAAAAGTATTACTTTAGTAAATATAGTATAATTAAGGGTTAAAATTCTATAATAGAAACTTTTCTTAAGGGAAATTTTAAAATATTATTCTAAGCTTAAAGAATTTTTTACTAAGTATAAGAATATATAAATCTACTATATCTTACTTAAAAATTCTAATCATATTAGTTAAATATCTCTACCTATTTTATATATTAAGATATAGGCTAGGTAAATTAGTATTATAAATGTTAAACCTTGAATTTATAATACTTATTATTAATAATACTAGTATATAGCTACTTAAGTATTATAATTAAGTCTTAATCTATTTAATATATATTTATTCTCTTTAATAAGTAAAGTATTTAGTTTAATATAGAATTTCGAAAAACGGCGTTTTTGGTGTAAATGGGGTGCCCAAATGTGGGGGGTGCCCAGAAGTGGGTGTGGGACGTTATGCCTAAGCTTAATTTCTTGTCTAATTGAAGCCCACAACTACCAACTCTGTTTTCTGCTTTATTTGCCTTTTTTTGCTCTTAAAACGGATTCCCACCGCTTCGTTGTAAGAGCAACATACTGTCTTAGAGCCCACTCTGCAGTCTTAGGCCTAATCCATAGCACACACCGCAGTGCCTGGTGTCTATAGCACAGGTCGCAAAGTACTGAGGATTCCGTTGGGCTCGATGTCTTAGGGGCGTCCTCCCAATTCCGCCTCTTGTTGCCTTGCATCTAGACTGTTTTTGTCAGTCAGAACAATTTCAATTGCTATTCTATACTAGGATATACTTTTTTGTCTTAATCTATATAAGGTTCTGAAGAATGGGGCAGCGTTAATACACTTGTGAGAATAGTCAACCATCACTAGTCAGGCACGGGTTTCACGGGCATTTCGGAGGCTCCAAGAACCAAGTAAGTGTAAATGAAATTACCATAAGTAGCTGATTCTTTCACCTCTCTCCAAGGGAAGATCTGCACTACTTTCTCTCGCACTCAACCTCATTCCTGAAATCAGTTAGCACCAAAAAGTCATCAGACTCTCTACAAAATGCGTTATCTCACCATCACCATTGTTTCGGCGTTGCTTTTCCAACCCTTGACAGGGGCAACTCGGTTCAAGGGCTGTTTTACCGACCCTCCCGAGAGCTGGGTAAGTCAGACTTGTATAAGTGTATTTAACAATTTTAACCTGAATTGTTTAGGTGAGCAACTGTAACCAGGCAGACAAGAACGAATGCCGCAGCAACTGTGACTCATGGGTAAGAGAAGCTTGTTTCCCTTGCATTGGCATTAAACCTGATCTCAATTAACATCTTCCTAGTGCGGAACTGGCAGCTGGAAGGCCATGGCAAACAAACCACAAGGAGGTTGCGATTGTTACTGCTGGTAGTCCCATGAATTATGCGTCTCCTTACGGTACCATCCCATCAAGTGCGACAAGAAGCCATTCTCGCCCAGAACGAGGAAGAACCAAAACGGGCCTCTTCTTCTCACTGGTATTATAAGATTGTGTACTGGAATATAGTACATCTATTCTGTATATAAATTCTAGAAGCGCCACAAGTCCTGGCAATCTCTATCAAACAATCCATGATATCACAATCGCAAGACACCAAGTAATGAACAGCATACTATCTACGTATTAATCTTGAGTGGAGAAACGGTAACTATTGAAATGGAAATTTCCAAGCTTAGTGACAACATGACATTGTCACCGTTGATTGAATAGACATGCGTAATTGTGTCTTCCTCTTTCGTCTAAGATGTTGACCTTCTACGTTATAGAGGTTAAGCTCAAGTCTACTTTGAGGTTTAAGAAGGTATTATAAGTCTATAATAACTATCAGATTGTCGGTCATAAGCTTTTAGTTACTCCAACATATAGAGGGCCAATCAAACAGGTGCTAAGATCACAGCTGCCTATGAACAAGAACACACCCGACCCAGACAAACCACGCAAGTCAAGAGTAGCGCACGTACAAGGCGAATTGGCAATTCGCAACCACAGGTACACGAACAAAGGAAAAAGAAAAAACATGTCTTTCAGTACTCGGCGGTATTAGCAGACCCGAGCAGAAGAAACAAATAAAAAAGCTCTAGAACTGGCCAATCAGGCGCTTTCACAGTAAGGTAGTGTGCCTTCTACACTTCCGAACTCTTCTATAGCCACTTACTTATGCCCTGTCTCACCACGTTGCTCTAAGTCTATTAATAGAATGATTATATACCTAGTAAAGTGGTTATGTGTGATTTCAGTACGCAGGCCGCCAGCGGTTGCATAGCAAACCACAATCATACCCGAAGATCGCTCCAGGGGCCATCTGATCAGAGCAACCTGCTCCTTGAGAGATCGCCAGCTGGTCTCGTCTGAAGGCACTTGCTCTACCTTGATCAGAAGGTCAGGAATCACCGGTGCCATGAAGCTTTTCATGGAGTGCCGTTTGTCTTTTCGCTTTACTGATCTGAGGAACCAGGATCTACTAGTGGTGGCTTTGGGTATGTACGAAAGGCTCTAGGTCTGAAAAGGGCAAGAAAAAGGAGGTGTTAATATTATGAGAGGAGAAATTGTCTGTTTCCGATTATTAATCTCAAGCTCTGATGAAGGCAAATACATGCCAGGTAATAATAGGGTGCTTCCTCTGCCATGTGAAGCTGTTTCGCAAATCTGAAAAGAAGGGAGGAGGTTAATAAGTCGAAGATACAAAAGCAAATCCTCCCAAGTCCAGCCCAGGCCCCACCCCACAGGGGTCTCTAACCGGACTGGCACAATACTACATACATACACCATGTGTTGCGGGACATCTCGGAGCTCGGTCAACTTCGCCGAAAAAAAAGAGATGAGAGTCATCTCTAGCGCTCATCCGGTTGAGTTTATACAGTGGAGGGCCAAGCTCAAGAGTTTCTACTGAACCGCAAAGCGCGGAACACGAAGTTCCCACTCGTTCAGTCAGCTCAGGGCTCGCTTGTCCTAGCAGCTGCAACTCGGGGTCCACAAAGATTGATTAGATGATCTGATAAACTTCACCCTTGCAACCATGTCGAGTGAGTAGTTTTCGACGACCTGCCCCATTTGGGTTAACAAATGCAGTATTCCTAAGCATTGCCAAGCTTCGGGAGTAGCATCCATCTTCTTTCACCTGCAGAACAGGTGTTACAGTCCGGTTATCGGCGCCATGGCCCATAAATGTGTAATTAAGAAGCTATTATGAAGCACCAAGACCTCGTGTAGGTGGATTTGTTTTCTCCGCGCATGGTTTCGGTAAGAATAGATGCGAGAGCATGGGCTAGAATAAATACCAGCTTAGAACCTTGGTTCTTGGCCAGTAACCCTGAAGCTTCTGCAGCCGAGTCTGTACCTGATGCCAAGGATTGGGATCTGAGATCAATCGCCAACCTATCGGCCTCGACCAATCTCGCAGAAATGGCTCGCTGGTACAACATTGCGCAAGCCCTCCTTTTTGCTGCCGCCGCCATCCCGGCGAGAGCAGCAGATGAGGGCTTTGCAGCCGGCCGTAACCGTCTTGCATCTCCGGCTTCCGAAGCTACGGAGGGCCGCTACATCGTCGAGTTCCAACCTTCGACCGGTCCCAACGCGCGACAGGACTCATCCCCCACCGACTCCCTCGTTGACCATATTAATTCTCTTGGCTATGACGCCAAAGTCAAGGATGACTTCACCACCATCTCCAGTCGCTTCAAAGGTGTTTCCGTAGAGATCACCAAAGATGACTCCACAAAAGTGATCGACGACATCAAAAGCATTCCTGGCGTTGCTGACGCTTGGCCGGTGTATCCTGTCACCCTGGACGTTGATTTTGAGGTCACGTCTGGATCGCAGAAGTGGAACCCGCACATTGCAACACGCGTCAACGAGCTTCACCAGCGCAACTTCACCGGTGCAGGCCAGCGTGTCTGCGTTGTCGATAGCGGCATTGATGTCGCGCATCCGGCTCTGGCTGGCAAGATCGCCGGCGGAAAGAACCTTGTCGATCAGAACTCGACCGAGCTGACCGACTGTGTTGGCCACGGCACCTTTGTTTCCTCCGTCATTGCGGCTTCTAACAATGACTTCTCTGGAGTCGCCCCCGACTCTGAGATTTATATGTACAAGGTCTTTGACTGCGAGGGCTCGACTTCCAACGACCTCATTCTGAAGGGCATGCTTGCGGCCGACTCGGATGGCTGCGACATTATCTCCGTATCGGCAGGTAGCAACACTGGCTACGCCAACTCCGTCATGTCTCGTGTCGCGAGTGAGATTGCTCAAGATAGACTTGTCGTCATTGCCGCAGGCAACTCGGGCGAGATGGGACCTTATTTTGCAAGCTCGCCTGCTGCTGGCCGCGGTGTTGTATCTGTCGGGTCAGTCGAGGCTTCACAGACAATGGGTTGGCCAGCAACTCTTATCTCTTCAAACGGCGAGTCCCTGAACATTTCTTATGTCACATCCGACGGGACAAAGCTCAATGCGACGGTCAATGTCCCGATTGTCCTCGACAGCGGCGACTCATGCAACATTGTGGGCTCCGGTTCCGAGGAGACCGCCATTCTCGCAAAGCGTGGTGTCTGCCCGCCGTCAAGCTCCTATTCAGCTCTTGCCAGCGCTGGCTTTGGCTATGGAATCCTGTACGACACATACAACCAGGGGGCCTATTACCTGGACGGCGTCACCGCTTGGTCCGACACTCTTCATCTTATGGCTGTGACTCAGGCCTCGGTTGGCGAATGGGCATTGGCGCAAGTCAGCAAAAACCACACTCTTCGCCTGCAAATCAAGGCTGATGCTCAGCCCGCGGCCTTCGCTGCCGAAGTTCCCAGTTCGGGCACGATCTCAAGTTTCACGTCTTGGGGCCCGACCTTCGAGAACGACTTTTCTCCAATTATATCCGCACCCGGAGGCGTTGTTTACGGTGCTTACCCAGACAACAAGTTTGCCATCTCCTCAGGTACTTCGTTTGCCACTCCTTACATTTCCGGTGTTGCTGCGCTGTATTTTGCGCATGTAAAGAAGAACCGTGCAGAGTTCATCCGTCGGTTGACATCGACTGCTGTCTCTCTCCCTGCCTTTAACAGTGTCGATGCTAAAGTTATTGCCGGAGTTGCATCGCTGGCTCAACAAGGTGCTGGTCTTCTTGACGCAGCTAAGCTCTTTGACTATACCACTGTACTGCTTTCGGAACCGACTATTTCGTTGAACGACACAGACAACCGCGTCAGCACCCATGTCATTCGCATCCAAAACACAGCTGCGGAAGAGGTGACTTACAACATCTCGCACATAACGGCCTCCACAGTGGCATCCAGAAACGTCCTGTGGTACCCTAACACTTACTACCCACCTCTGTTGTCCGTTGCCGGCTCACTTGCGGAGGCAAAGACTGTCAAGGTTGCTGCTGGAGCTACTCAGAATATTGAAATCACTCTGTCAGCCCCTCAAGTTGCAGCCGACAGCGGCGCTCTGTGGAGTGGCAAGATTCTTCTTGCGGGCTCTAATGACGAGCTGATTTCAGTTCCCTACATTGGTATTGAGGCTTCGACATACAACTGGACGTCTTTGCACCACGGCCCAGAATCTTATCGATATGATGACACAACGGGCGAACTCTTCCCCGTGGATCACCAAGGCAAGGTGTACCGACCTGCCGAAGGCGATTCGCCAGAGACCTATTTCGCCTTCCGTTATGGTACATACGAGTTCTCGATCGATTTGGTTGGCGTTGACTGGACCACGGAGCAGTTTTCCTACCCACCTCAGCACAGCTCCGGATCTAAGGCCTGGCTGGGTTCGATCAGATCCCAACCTGTTGTGCCTGGTAGCTATCTAGACTTCCCCATGCGCGAAGTTGCGCGCTTCAACAGGGGTAGTTTTGTAACCTTCAGGTCGTTCGCCAACGGAACCGACATCCCATCTGGACGCTATCGCATCTTCACCCGCGCTCTGCGTATGTTTGGTGATGCGTCAAACCCTAAGGACTGGCAGCTTTTCCTGTCAGACTCTTTCTCAATCCAGCTTGGCAATGATCCTGTTCCCGGCCAGAATGCTACATTCACATCAAGGGCCCCGACGTCTACTGCAACTGTGGCAACAACATCTACAGCTGCACCCGACATCACCACCTCCGCGGTCGCAACCACCACAGCACCCGTATCTGTTCCGGGTATCACCACCACCCTTGCTGCAACCGCCGAACCTACTGGTCTTTCTAACGCATTCACATCCCTTCAACTCCAGCGACTGCGCGAGCCTACTCCTTTTATCATCGACCCTGAAGCCTGGATGGAGCTTCATGTGCAAATTTCACTTCCCAACCCTGTCCCGGCAGACTCAACCATCACTTTCGCTGTCCCACCTCAGATCGTCGACATCGTCGAGGGCGAACAGCTTTCTGCTGCTGGTGCCAACGCTGGTTCTACATCTTTCGATGCTGAGACACGCTTGTACACTATCGCTCTAGGTGACTGGACTACTTGGAACAAGAACATGGTCGGTAATTTCTTCCTCATGTGCCGCTTCGCGCCAGAGTTCGCGTCCTCCATGAAGCAGGGAACCTATGTGGTGCAATTCCCCACTGTCGGCAAGGTGCACGAGGCGCCGGTGTACTACACAGCTGTCGATAGATCCGTCACCTACGACCGGATGAAGATGGCACCATACGATGGCACTACGCTGTACACCGCCGAGGTTGAAGTTCCACCAGCCCTGGGACCGTGGGATTATGTCCGCCTCGAGACCTCCCATTCTGCCGACTCGGACGGCTTTGTCTGCGCCAACTCTAGCGTTGTTGTTGGCCATGAGTTCGACGCTGAGAACCGCATTACGAGCTTCACTGATGTGACCGCCGAGGCTGTTGAGATTTGCACTGTCAAGAGGTTCCTGGCGGTGTACAATCACACCTTGACTGGCGACGATGTGCTCCGCTTCACGATGAGCAGTATCAAGGGCGATCGCGATCAATGGACCCTTAACGTAAACTATTTGCTAGACATTCAGTTGTCAAACGGTACCATGGTGCTTTACGATCCAAGGAACCTGGCGTTCGAGAGCAACCCACGGTTGAGGACGTGGTCGTTCAACGCATTTAGTGGCGAGCGAGCGAACTAAACCATCACATTCTCTGTATTTTTTTCTTAATCATTGTTCCGTCACATACTTTACCTTTCGATTTGACATAATTCTTGTACATATAAAATTGAAGATAAAATCGTTTGATCCATCTTCGCGCTGTCCGTTCCTCGTAGACTGTCTGATTCTAATCCCTCCACCGAAAAAAGTCTAGTTACCAAAGCATTGGAAACTTCCTTATAGTACCTCGTATGCACGAGGTACTGCTCTGGGATGTTCCGAAGCAACCACCCTAGGGTAGGATTTACATAATAAACCTCGTAAATCAAAGTTTTAGTGCCGCATGTGTGGGTACCTCTCGGACATGAGGAACCCGTTAAGAAGACTCGTCCCGACTGTAACAGGGATGGTGATTATCAGATGATCTGATAAGATTAGATGGCACGACGCAGATGCAGGGGCTCTGGGACGAATCGGCCCCGCTGAATACGCTCAGAAACCCGCTCTCTTTCGGTCCTGATGGCCCCATGGGTCGTCAGAGTTCTTCGCCAAGATTCCTTCCAATAGTGCCGGCGATATCGGTCGCCGTTTGAAGGAAGGATTAATATCCTCTTTCGGGCATGGTTTCTAGGCATGCGGATGGGAGGGGTCAGAGTAGTATCGTGTGGTCTCAACTATAAAGTCTTCCACAAGACCGGTTTGCAGAAAAGTTTGTCTTGGAACTTCACAGTGTCTACTCAGAACCATCATTTCAGCAAACAAAACTCGAAAAGTCAACTTTTCAAACCTCATAATCAAGATGCAGTTCTCCGTCACCTGTGCTCTGGCTCTCGCCGCTACCCTCGTTTCTGCCACCCCTCTCGTCAACCGTGACCAGGTCTCGTGGGAGTTCCCTGAGGCTATGCTCGCTAAGCGCCAGGATGTCCCTGCTCCCGGTACTCCCGCTTACCTTTGCCACGAGAACTGCGGTAAGTCCATCACAGACGAGGACTTCTTATGAATCTACAAGTGCTGATATGTTGCTGTTATAGGCACTTCGATTACCCTCTCCCGTGAGGCTGGATACTGCCAGAACTTCCAGTGGATTGCCCGATACGACGCCTGCCTGCAGTGCGCCAACACCTTCAACATCTGGCGCTACTATGGCACCTCGATCACGGCGTCTGCTGCCGCTTGTGGTCTGACCGCCACCCCCGTCTAAATCTAAGGCGTTTTCCACGCGAAACGAACGAGAGCGCTGGTGACTGGTAGCTCACGATCGGTTTGTTCTGTGGGTATGGAGAGTTAAAATGGTTGTTTGATGGAATGAAGACATCATGGACATGCACGTAATGATAAGATAGTTTGTTTCGCTGAAGATAATTCAAATAATATGTTGTTGCAGAACCATTCCGCGATTCCGTCGATAATCATCAAGTCTATACCTTCCATCGTTCTCGAAGACGTAGTTATACACGGCTATGAGGAAATGAAAATGATTGATAACACGGAGCGTCCTTCATACATGCCTCAGTTATTGAATAATGCTTACATTGCGTCGTGGCTTTAGCAACGCGGCAGAGATGCCTATCGACTTTTCCGAGATCGAGAAGCCTGCGTTCATGACTGAATCAACTTCTGTCCCACCCTTGGTGTAGTATGCTAGAGAGCCGTTTGAGGCAGACCTAGCAACAGTTAACTCGTCTGTGGCAGACGACTGAGCCCGACTGCGCCTTGACGAACTCAATGTAGTCCCATCGACTTCAGCTTCAGCGGAGCCCCTATTATCGCCATCTTGGAGGTTAACAATAGGTGGTGCTCCCGGACGTCGCTCATCTCTCTGGTCCATGAGAACAGGATAACCCAAGCTTGACGGGTGCCTGGAAATATCGTCGAATATGTCCATGAAGTGAGTAAAGTATGTAATTCTTTGGACTCCAGGGTTGCCACTGTAGACATTGCGGCCCCAAACTTGGCCAATGAGTCTTTGGTCCTCGACGTCGACAACGACAGCACCGGAATCACCAGGTAGCCCGATACCTCCACTGTTCCAGTCTTCTGTGCTCATGAGTCCTAAAGCGTTCTCTACGTACCACTCACGCGATCTTTGACCGGATGACATGTGCTTCACAACGGCTGGTGTCTCGCAAACTACACCATATCTGAGGCCGCTACTGCGGCCAGTAGAACAAATGAGACGCAGTTGAGGCTTCGTCATAGACAATCCTGGTATCATATCGGAGCTGTCTTCAAACTCGATGCCCTTGGGTGCGTATCGGAGACAGTTCTTCATGGCTAAAGTGTCCTCTGCTGCGATACATACAGCCCAGTCCGTCACAGCTTGTGTTAGAATCTGATTGTCCGTGAACCATGCAAGCGATCTTGACGTCTGCTGTGTCTTGTACGCCTGTCCCGAATGAATATAGAGCTGTGCGATCCGCCGGGATTGCCTGCCTTTAGGACAGTCAATTTCTGCTGGATGGACAAGATGAAACTCCGGTCTGTTTTCTGCATCATAATCTGGGATGTTGTCGAACAAGTGACGACTAACGATGAACCCAAGCCGATCGTTCAGCATTATACCTGGCCCCAAGGTTGCTGCGCTATCTCCACCGTTGTAGCCGACAGAGTCGCCCAACATCAGAGTAGAATGAACGGAGGTATTCGCTGGAAAGTCCCAACCATCGTCTTTCATGACTTCAGGATCGGTGGATGTCTCGGCGCAGCGCTCGACTTTGCCCTCAGTGAAGTGGAAACCGACGCTAAGAGGATTGCTGGGCTCTCTGAAGATAGGCAGAACCTCATCCTCAATCATCTCGCCTACATTATCCGGGAGCTTAACCTCGGTCATAATCTCTACAATTCTCCTGCTGTGATTGTAGTCGAATTGAACCGTAATGATGTAGTCGCGGCCGTAGCTTTCGTCCATGGTATTTACCAGACGTGGAAGGGCCTTTTCTTCCCATATCCTGTTGAATATTGTGGAAGTTTCTTTCCTAGCACGAAGCCGGGTCTGGATGCTCTGCAGGTTTCTCCCCGAACTGGTCATGCCTGTTTTTGGAAAGGTAAAGGGGCGAGGTATCGGTCTTGGATGAATCTCATTAATTGTGCCAGAAGCTGAACTTTCGAGGCTGAAATGTGTCAAGGGCGTCTTTCGCAAGGTTGTGGGGTCCGTTCTTGATCTCGATATGCTGTGATGGTGCTTTTCAGAATGTTGAGAAGAATTACGCCCGGGATAATGAGCAAAGATAGGAGGTATGCAGTTCAGCTTTTTCAAGCCAGCTTTAATTGAGCTTCCGCTATTGCTGAGCACGCTGCTCCACGTCGATGATGAGCGAGTAGTGCGAGGCGAAGGCTTATTCGATGTTGGATCCGAGGATGGCTGCGCCTCATCCGAGGCCTGTTCAGCTGAAACAAAGGTAACCGCGCGTTCGGGCGACGGTGAGGTTGGCTCTATTTCTGATCGCGGACGATTTGAATACAGGTGTTTCCAGCTTGCACTGGTGTTGACTCGCTTCGGTGGTTGTTCTTCATTGTATATAGTTCTTTTATCCCTGGGCTTGAAGTTTGCATTTCCAGAATCAGTGTTTCCTCTGAAAAGCTCTGTGTTAGTCTGGGTGCAGCCTAAGAAAAGACATCTTATCAGGCTGAAAGTACCTTGTCCCTTCTGTTTCGGCGTGACAATGGTGGTTATTTCTAGGCTGCTTCTGACTAGGTATTAACTTTCTTAAAGCCTTTCTAACAGGGTTTGGCATTTTGGGCCGCGTTGATGACCGGCTACGCTCGGATTCGGGAGATTAGGTCGTAACGCGTCGTTCTCTCAGGTGGGCGAATCTTGCAGGTATGCCTGAATGAAAGAATTCGTAAGCCTGTGTCTAGAATGAGAGGCAAATTGAGTTGGACACATAATCACTTAAATGTACAAGATCTTCGGAGCCTGATTAAAGATGAGTACCATTACGATTGCGATAATGACAATAGAGAGCCTAATAGCCTTGTGGCTTGAGGCTGTGTTCGGTGGGGGCTGGATGTGGAAAAAGTAGAAATATGTGACTGACCTATCACAAATCCAGGCTATTTTGTTGTGGTTAGCGTCAGGCAAGGGATGAAATGGCCCCCGACTCCGTCAGGCTGAGAAAGTCATGAGCTTCGAACGCGTTTGGGTCACCGAACGGAAGTCTAGGCGAGGCTATAATGAAACTGAATTCCACTTCAGATTGTGGCTTTTCTAGTTGGCGTCACAAGTGCATAAAAAAATTAACCAACTGATTCATTACTTGAGCATTTTGAGATGCAGGCTGGAGATGGATGAAATTTCTCTAGCCAACTAGGTCATTGCTAGTCCGACGGCCAACTACCTAGGTAATTTTAAACTGGTTTGTGGGTCTATCATATCGCTAACTTTATACGTTGTATAAAATCTCAACGTTCCAGACCCGAAACCTTTTTTCCAAGCATCTTGGAGCTGCTGATGGGTTCGTATGTTGGTTGTGGTTGTTCTTGACTAAGTTGATCCACTTACTCACGCTGCTGAGGTACTATAACCATCTCACGGATTTACACAAATAAAAATGTGAAAATCCAGTTCAAAGAATAGTTCTATTTTCGTATTCCATTTTCTTATTGCTACAACAAGTTTCTTTGCCACCAGGTATGTCCCCTGAATCGATGGTGTTTCATAGGAGCCAGCTTACATCCTACCTTTTCTATCGCCAGTACCCACAACGAGGGCTTCACCCCACCCATTGTCGTCCCACAAGAACTAATTTTGCAACGTGCAATCACAACAGTGAAGCAATTCACAGTCACAGGTCTATTAGTCTAGTTGGTTAGGACGTCGGATTCTGATTAACATTAGTTCCTTCCGTAAGCCCAGGTTCGAATCCTGGATGGACCTTTCAACATGTTCCTTTTTAGTCTTTTTGCAACCCATTGCCGCTCCTGCTTTCACGTTTTTTCAAGACCAATTAAAATGAATTCAAAATATCAGTGTTTATTTAGAAACATGTATAAATAATTATGTATGAAATCAATCCTGCGTAGCCAGACTCGCCTTGCTACCCAAGTACTGTAGGCCATCGTCTCCTTCGACCCCGATAGTATAGACACTTTCTTGTCCCATTGCTTTCTGGAACCAGCCGAGTCGGAAATTTAGTCCAGAAAGCCGGCCATGAAGCTCATCCGAAGACAACAGTTCGGTACTCTCGGGAAGGTGATTCGCAACATTGGATCCCTGCAGCAGGGAACCCATCGCTGCCATGCTGTGAAAGCCATCAGGAGCAAGGCCCTTTACCTCCATGTCAAACAACCAGCTCCTTCCCACGAGACGTCGAGTCAAAGCTGAACATAAAGCCCAGATGTTGGCCAGTGCTACTACCGCAATTATTCCAATGAGCACGTAGGTAATTGTGGGATTCTGAACCAAACGCCGCCGACCATGGTTTGTGATGACTGCATTCACCGCGGGAAGACCGCCGGCGGGAGGCGGACTATCCCACGAGCTCTCAGTCATGTTGTAGCGGTTTTCCAGGTTGACAAGTTGAGCTGAAAGAAATGCGTAATTACGTCGAAGGTCCTTGAGGATGCCGTCCTCTTGGCTTGTATCGTTAAATGCCGTTAAGGGAAATCGACCATACGGCTCTATCAACACTGTGAATTGCTCATCCATTTGTCCTGCGAGGGGGTCCCTAACGATAGACTGAGGGAAGGCGTTTCCAACACCACGTGTATGAAACTTGTTGTTAAGATGCGGCACCTCTAGTGTCGGAACCCAGGGCTTGCTGTTGGACACATCTGGTTGGGGCGGCGCATCAGGATCCAAGACATATTTCCCTTTGACGGGAGCTAGGTTGACTGTAGTAGGGATCTCTACCCATGTGTAATTGCACTTCCACAAAGATAGATACTCGAAATCCTTCTTCTCATTGGAATACAATCCCCAAGCATAGGTTTGAACTCTGTATGACGAATACAGGGTATAGTTCGGGCTCAGTCCGAGTTGGCAAGTCGTGTTCAATTCTCCCAAATTGCCCGGTGACGCAAACACGCTCGCAAAATAGGAGAGACCCAGTTTATGGGTCGCGGCACTCAGAGTGATTGAATCGGAGACGTTACCTTGCTTGCCGTTAGGGCAGGTATAAGGTTGGCGAAAGTCGCCTTCGTAATACGTCGTTTCTTCTGTCCAATTCTTGATACTCACCCTGTACTCGTTCGGTAAGAGCTTTGTACATGTGGACTGAAGCTTGGCGGCTGGGATGGTGGCTTTCACAGTCATGTTTGGCGAGGTGTCCAAGCTCTCAAGGCCACCAAGGACTGGAAATACAAGCTCGTTGTAAGTGTTTTGCGGGTACGTCAATTCGCTTTCGCCTTGGCGCGTCAGAAGACTGCTGAGCACGTCTCGGTTTCTGCGAGAAGAGCTCAAGCCGTCCAAGCCGATCCCAAGCTCAAAGGAGCCAAACCATGAGTTCTGCTGCAACTGAATAGCATTGTTCTCCGGGATGGATTCGACCGTGAAGATGACGGATATGAGAGTTGTTAGGAACGCGCACATAAGCGCAAGAAGCTGAGAGAGCGTGACGGTCCAGACTCGCTTCTGCAGGGAATTGTATAATGCCCGGAGTCCAAGCATATCCACCAGCGTTACGTCAAGCTCATCTGCACTGCAGGATCTCGATGATAGACACCAGAGAACTGCCAGACCTCTGAATGCAAAATCACAGCAGCTAACATACAAGGCTATGCCCAGCATGACCAGAGCTGGGAGTGAAGTCCAAAGCAGGTGCATGTAGCCATCCTCTCTTACTGTTGCAAGCCCATCTGATGATTCCGAAATGTTGAGTGCAGAAGAAAGGCCTGCTATGACTGCGAGAGTGAAAATGGCAAACAGTGCTCGTACCCATGTTCTAAGGACTAAAGGCGTGAACTCTGAGCGGTCCCAGTTCACCGGATGATCCCTTGATGGTGATTTGTAGTCAACAACGCGCTCTGCAAACCGCGGGTTGTCACGAAAGTAGATCATGTTGCCTAGAATGGTGGCAGGGTCCCTGTACCATACTGCAGTTCGCCTCTTGTAAACAAGGAGAAGGCAAGATATCAGGAGACTGAGAAACGCAAAACAGGCTGCCATCGTTAGACACACCCACTGAGTGACCATCAGCTTATCATAAGTCAAGGCAATCGAGCCCGTAACATGGGCCGGAGACTGGCTGTCTTGCCGACGTCGATAATGCGCAAGCAAGGGCCCGAGGGTCCTCGACATATCCATGACCGAGTTGTACAGCGCCTCGTTCGTATACAATGTTGCATCCGTGACGTTTGGTCCTGTGCTGATGTCTTCTCCTCTAAACGTCTTCATTGCTGCAACCGGCCCGGAAACCACGCCAGTCGTCGCGCTATAGCCCATATTACCGACGCCGCTGGCACTGATCATCGCCCAGAGGTCTGAGAATACTGTAGTGTTTGTCTGATTGGGTAGCACCCTGACTTTTGGGCTTACTCCGTCGTCAACCACTTCCACTTTGGATAACCAGGAGGTCGACGTGCAGAGAACGGCTGCAACGTTAACCAAAAAGGGCTGAGACGAGTTTTGAGTTGATGGTCCGAGTCTGGCTGCGAGGTATAGAGACTGGTTGTTTTGTTGAGGCAAATTTAGGCAGCGCTCGGGGATGGATGGTTTGAGGCCCCAATAGCCTGCAAACCGACTGCGTTTTGCTGTGCTGTTGTTCCACAGAATTCGGGAACTGGTGTGTGGGATGGTGGTATCGCAACCTGGAAACTTGAGGCTGAAATTGTAGGTATGGTATCCCAACCTGTCCACCTCTGTGCTGCGAATGGAATAGTCCTCCAGTTGCAGGCATTGCATTTCGGAAAAGTAGCCGTCGACAACAGCCTTCAGCGGCGCGTCTGTCGTTCCTCGAACGGTGCCGTTCCCAGTTCCAAAGGTTTGATACGCCAAGTTCTCATTGACGCCAAAGGGATAGCTCAAGTTGAAGTTGTTGAGCGCCATCGCGATAAGGTATGGGTTGTTGTCCGTTCCATTAGAGCCTGAAATGCTTGTATTGAAGATGTTATGCAGCTGGATGTCAGCTGTCTCGGTGACGCTGATACTGGCCAGACTGTATAAACTAGGGGCAAGCACAATCTGGAGCTTGAGGAGAAAGGAAGCGATGCAGATGAAGAAAACCAGAAAGTGTTTCCTTTTAAGGGACTGAAAAAGGATCACGGGTGAGAGCATTGCTGTATAGTCGAGATCGGACACATCCGCTTCTTGTCCATCTAATTGGGCTTGACGGTGAGCCATCCATGGCATATATCGAATCGCTTGCAGTTCGACTCTGTTCCAGAACATGGAGATAAGAGTCAGGACTGAAGCATCAGAAAATTAGTGGCAGTTTCCTCATTATCGTGCAGGCAAGCTTACCAGCAGTTGGGCCAAAACGCCACAAGTAGACGAGATTCTGCCGGGTTTTCAACAGGCCATCGTGCTCTTGGGAGTACCAGTACATCACTGGAAGACAGGCGGTGAATAATAAGAACAACGCCACGAAAATGGACAGGACGGAAGGTCGGAGCCAATAAGGGCGCCATCTTGCAGGCGTGTTCTGAAACTCATTGACCTTCTCCCCGGGCCCGCTTCCGTTGTCGTCTTGACCGATTGGGTTGCTTAACAATGCACGATGACTGCCAGGAGTCGAATTAAGATCCAAGGGAGTTTCGCCGTGGCTTGTGTAACCTCCATCATCAGACAAGTATTGATTGACCGGCCGCGGGTTGTAACTCGTGTTAAAGTAATCATTGGATTCGTCGCTCAAGTTTCGGAGTGGGACGCCACGAGTTGCCATTTTGGCGGCGAGCTCTCTGTCGTCTGCCCTTGGGCAAGCAATTGGCAACTGGTCCGGCCGTTGTATTTGAACGACAATATCGCCTTTTCAACGTCAAAGTCCGATCATGGTCGGTTGTCGGATGCGGCTGGGCAAAGTCTCCCGAGACAAATTTAAAGGTTAGCACCTTGGTGACGGGAGCGGATGCCGGAGGCTTATGTAGGTCCTCCGTAACACCATCAAGGATTGTGGAGCGCTCTCTAGTTGAAGCCTAAGAACTCTTTGCTAGCCAACCAGATCGCGAGTATCTTAGGATCACGAATTAATTGGACAGGCAGTGTGACTGCCAGTGGGCTGGGGGAGGCTCACCATCCCGGAAGCCTTGCATTAGTCTCGGGGGGCCAGCTCCAGGGGCCTCTGTCAGAGTACCATCCGGCCTCACGTTGTCCAGGGTGGAGGATCCTACAAATCACACCTATTTACGTTGTTTGAAATGAATTTGGAGGACTTTACATTGGTCGTAAATCGTCAACAATATTATCAGAAAGCGTTTAGCAGCCATGGCGGGTGAACTTCATCAGGATAGCAACTTTGACCTCTTTTCACGGGACTATGATGTTTAGGTATGGGGACATAAGCCTTTCTCATTTTTCCCAGAAATTTAGCTATGCTCTCTTAGCGCACCCACACCACCTCGCTTCTGGGCGGCTAGGCAGCCAGACAGGGTGGCAGGCTACAAGCAAGGGTCTGGTTCAGCTTTGGAGGCTGGAACAACACCAGGCTGCAGGATGCTTTGGGCTCCCCTATCTGGTGCATTGCCCCGAAACATGGGCCTATACAACTCACAACTCCGCTTAATTTAATGCACGTAAGCAAGGAAATGACTTTTGGATGATGATGGAGGCTTGAGTCTGCCCCATTGGCTCTCAAGTCAAAATCCGAGTCGATTCCTGATAAGGCTGATGCGTCTGTTTGTCATGATGGTGTCTTCTGGACTAGAAATTCTCATTATCTTGCTGATTGGAGCAAAAAAATGAAAATACTCAAATGCAGCATGAGTTTCTCAGTGGCAAAATCAGATCGCACCTTTGTTAGGGGGATCAAGGCCTTTTCCCTCTCACTGATTGCTGCTTATCGTCATTATTACACCCTTAAAACTGACAAAAAAAACTTCCTTGTGATGTCGTAGATATTTCTCATCTTATCTTAATATCTCATTATTTCATTGGTCCTCCACCATGGAACAGATGGTGATACTATCACGACAACAGCCACCCTGCTCCAGATGGCTGGCAGATGGCATTGGAGTGGGTCCCTTTATGTAATCTCATCCTTATTGGGCTGCAGATTCTTCAAGCCCAACGGCAATAACATAAAAAAAAAAACATGAGAATCAAGAAAATCCGCTTGGTGCACTAAGCGATTCTGAGGTCCCCCCATTCGGATGTGCCACTCAAGCTTAAGAGCGAAATGACGTCCTGCCCCCCGGCCTGGGCCTGCGCGCCTGTAAGATCTTGCGATTAATTGGGTCCCGTTCATTGAGATAAGAAAAACTCATCAGTCCGTTGGCACGCCACGAACCTCTTCTGCTCTTCTTCTATCACCAGACGCGGCATGCTTCCAAGTTGACACAAACGACGCTGGAGGCGTCGGCTTCATAGAAGAAGTTTCTCATCCATCGTTAAAACAGCGCTCATTACGGCGTGATAAAAAGCCCTGATCGTCTTATCTTTGACTGCTCGCGTGCGCACGCGATAAGCGAAGAAGAACAAAAAACAAAATCCGCCCTCATGGCAGCTCCACATCAACACAACGTCGACTTTCAAGAACATGAAGTCATTCCAGGCACCCGACGCCTCTATGATGAGGATGGTAGTACTCTGGCGAGTGAAACCTCTCTCTTGAAGCATGGAGACATTGTTCTTGTGCCGCAGCCGACCGAGTCACCCAACGACCCGCTCAGATGGTCTTTGCCACGCAAAATTTGGCACTCATGTCTGGTGTTGTACATTGTAGGACTGACGGCTGCGACGTCAAACAACGCCGGGTCAGGCGCGGACGGCGTCAACGAGGAGTACGGCATTAGTTATGACGTTTTCAACACCGGTGCTGGTGTTTTGTTCGTTGCCATCGGGTATTGGACCTTGCTCAGCTCACCGCTTGTCCACTTGTACGGCCGACGCCTCGGTTATCTCATCTCCATGCTGGTCAACATTGGCGGCTTAATCTGGTATGCTCGAATTACCAACGTCTCCGGCGTAGTGTGGTCTCAGCTGTTCGTTGGCGCAGCTGAATCCGTTGGAGAGGCCACAGTCCAGCTTTCGCTTCTTGACATTTGGTTCGAGCATCAGACAGGTAGCGTGCTTGGTATCTATACCTTTGCAACTGCCATTGGAACATACTTGGGGTGAGCCTCTTTTTTTATCCACTTGTTTCGCGTGAACTGCTTGCTGAATATGTTCAGGCCCCTTGTCGGCGCAAACATTTCTAATCACCTCGGCTGGAGATGGATCGGCTGGGTCGGTACCATCATCTGTGGCGTCAGTCTGTTGGTGATTTTCTTCGGGCTTGAGGAAACCGAGTTCAACCGCGATGGCTACTTGACTGGTAGCAGCGACCGCTATCCATCCGATAGCAATTCTCGCCGTGTTGCGGAGAAACATGCCGACGGCTCTTTGCAAGTCAAAGATGCTGGCTCGAAAGAAGGGCCTCAGAAACCTGGCCAGCTCACAGAAGAGCACAACACCCATGATCTCGATCTCGGCCGTACAGAAACAGCTCGAAACCGCGCTTCCAGTTCTTACGCTCGGCCTAAAACGTACTGGGACCGTATTCGTATCATCACCCCCGCTCCCAATTTAGAGGGCACTGGCGCAAAGCAATACTTCCACCGGCTCTGGCACACTCTGCGCGTCTTCACTTTCCCCGCTGTCTGGTATGCTGGTTGGCAGTGGGGTCTTCAGAACATCTGTCTGAGTTTCTATCTCACAGTACAAGAAGACTGGTGGTATGGTGAGCCGTGGAACTATACCCCGGCTCAAGTTGGCAATATGAACCTGCCGACCCTCATTGGCAGTCTTATTGGGTGCGCCTACGGCGGTTATGGCAGTGACAAGTTCATGCAGTGGATGATCAAACGTAACAAGGGCGTGATGGAGGCCGAGTTTCGCCTGTATTTGATGGCGCTGTGCACGTTGGTCTTCCCAACGGGCATGTGGCTCTTTGGCATTGGCTCTGCCAGGGGATGGGATTGGCCTGTTCCCTATGTTGGTCTTGGCTTCATCGGATTCGGTTATGGCTGTGCTGGAGATTTGAGCTTGGCTTACCTCGCGGATTCCTTCCCGTAAGCACCCCTCAACCCGCTGCAGTAGTGTTTGGCTTTTTACTGACCTTTTTGACAGAGAGATGGTTCTTGAGGGTATGGTCGGCGTGGCCGTGATCAATAACACGATTGCCATGGTTTTCACCTTTGTTGCGAGCTACTGGCTCGACACTGGTATGGAGAACTGTTTCATCGTTCTCGGAGTTCTCAGCTTTGTTATCATGGGCACAAGCTTGCCCATGATTATCTATGGCAAGAGAACGCGACGCTGGGCTAAAGACAGATACTTGAAGTTTGTGGAGATCCGTGATGGATTTTCAAAGTAACTAAATCAACTTGATGGCACTGTTGCGTGCTCTGCTGCCATATTGAGCGTTGCTCTAGCATTACGGCAATCTGGGATATATGGACTGCAATAAGGCTAATCAATCCAAGCATTGGTGTGTTTATGAATGCTTCTGCTGGTTTCTATTTGTGAGGCGGCCTTCGTTTCGTGTAAATTTGTAGTCAAACTTGACATGATTATTATCGGGCGAGATAGAAATTTGTCAATAGTAAGATGATTGGGGTTACGAGGAACTTATCTCGATTGTGCCAATTCAAAAAGTGCACAAATTACTGAAAGTTTCCGGCGCCATGCATAGATCTAATTGATCTGTTGTGGGGAAGAACCGATTCCCAAAATCTTCTGCTTACCTGGCAGTTGACCCCACTCCCCAGAAGCAGTTCCCACAATCTAGCAATGTCTCGTGAGGTTGTTAATTAGTATCATGTAGAAAGAAAAAAAAAAAAGGGCTGTTTATTTATTTACTCAAAAGAAGCCTTCCCTTCATGCCAGCTGACTTCTGATAACCTGACTTGCAAGGGGAGCAAAAGATAATGATCAGTGGGAGGCTTGAACTCCCGACCTTGGCATTACTCAACACATTTGGTGATGTATTAGTACCACGCTCTAACCAACTGAGCTAACCGACCTGGTTGGTTGGTTCTACACAACTGTGATTTGGTCTTGAACGACGAGTTGGCCGCCGGCCAGTCTAGTCTAGCTGACTTGGTAACCCTAATTTGAACATGTACTCTCAGATCAATTTAAAGTTTGGCAGGCACCTACTTCGTTCCACTATCTCGGAATTATGCTCCGTCGGTGGGAAGAATTCCGAGGCCAAGTACATCTAGGATATACTATCCGCGTCACAACGTAGGTGGCTACTGTGGACCTGGACAAACAACCAACGTTGAAAAAACGTTCAGTTTTCCAAGGTGTTGTGAGCTTGGCTTATTCACGTTGTTACATACTTTCGCTGTCTAAATGCTGAAATCTTGGTGATTTCGTAGTCTCCGATGCGGTCGTACATACTCCCGTCAGTTCCAAGGTGAAGCCTCTCGATAAGACTTTATTGAGCAATTGCCCCAGACAACACTAAATCAAGTGATTATCGATTGCCAGCTGGGATGTCCCTGAAGACTAATTGCATCTGACAGCTGTTGCTTCTGCATTGAACATCTTCGACCGAATTTCTGCTTGATCTAGAGCGCAAGAAACATAAGACACCCAAAAATACCATGTTCATGGCGGTGAGAAACAAGTGCTTCAACGACCGTGGAAAATATCACAAGTATTTTACTAAGACACGGCTGGGACAGTATTAGTTCAGGAGTAATCCATTGATTTGTTATGCGCCCTATATTGGCGAGTTCATACGCATGCACGCCATTATCCATGCCAATATCTTTCCCCCAATCCGGTGTTCGACGTCAAGGTAGGAAAAGGTTCCTGAAATATTGTAAACTCCCTTTTAAACACCACTGCGCCAATCACTGTCTGTGGCGAAACCCAGGCAAATACAACCATTGGAGCTAACCTCGTGCAAAAAAGTCATCTCTCCATCTCCGCAAGGTTACGTTCATTACATGAATGTTCAGTTTTGGTCGTAAAGTAGCCACTGTGACAAATTTTTTCCTCCTGAAGTAAGTTTCTCAACTGTAATGCTGGCAACGTCAGCCATACCCACTAGCATAACTGCGCAAAAATAATCTAGAACTGACCTTCACAGCTTCTGACCAATTTTAATCAAAAGGCTCCGAACAGACTGATCTAATACCAGTCCTTTCCCCCGGCATAAAACCGCAAGCGTTCACGACGGATTCGTCGGTAGCTGCGGCAACACAAGCCGACTTAAACTCCTTTCCACCAAGGAAAGGATGGGGTATGATGGGCCATGCTCGCGTGCTGTAGCACTCTTGCCTTTTCCAACTCATTTTTGTGATTGTTGACGCTGATGAATCACCGCCTTGAACGCCGAAAAACCTGTCTTGCGGATATTTACTGCAAGCGGCCTGCGTCAAGCATGTGTCGTGATCTCCGACTTGATGACTTTCACACCAACAAAAGTGGTGTCTATCGGCGAGGACACCAAAGGCAAAGATGCCCAATAGTAAAAGAACCGCGTATCTCATGGCGGCGGCTGAAGAAAGAGGAGGGATCGAATGTGACTGAGACACGACGATATGGCCAGGTGACTGCAACGGGTTTTGGGTCTTTCTCCTTATCTAAACAATTCTAGATCAATAAATGCCGATGAATATCAATGGATTTGTTATATCTAGCTATCTTTGGGCGATTGAAGATCAGCGGAGGTCACAATCATGGCGTGACTGTCTGAACGGGGCGCAGATCTATCCCAACTTTGGAAAGGCTTAACAGTTGAGTTAAGCTGCAATTGACTGCGAACTCCAAGTTTCAACCACTCATGGATGTTCTCTTGAATTTAAGTTTCGTTCTTACCCTACAACTTCTCCACCCGCGTAAAATGAGGTTCAGCTGAACAGTTTCCTTACTCATGAAGTCCAACAAACACATTCGAATTAGCATGAGTGATTGTAGATCGAATTGCGTATATAGATTAGGCGAGCACGATATCCCCAGACTTGGCTAGATCACTCCCTGCCCGCGGCGTCCCTGCCAATCGCAGAAGATGCTGCTGACCAACTATCACCAGACAATGTGCAACCGTATCCAGAAATAGGAGCCCCTCGCGTGACTATACCTTGTTGAAGACGACACTGATATTCGCCCAATTGATTTATATTCAACCATAATATATACTTGAATGGAGCAGTGATAAAATTGCTGTTTACATAGAACGACTTGGCTTTCAAGGGCACATTAAGGGCAACTTTGGGTCCTTATTCACACATAGACAGGCCACCCTTAATCGTCCACCTGAGTAATTAGGGTTGATCCTGCCAATGACGCTGATCACGTCATGGCTCTTATCTATACTGGAACTCCTCGGTGTTTGTGCCGACGTTGCTTTGAAATAACTGCTAATTCTCATCGTTTACACCTGTTTCGCAACCAACTCTGGTCTCACTCATACAACAACCAGGTTACAAGACCTCTTTTTTCAGTTCAGATACCCGACGTCTGCTTTTCGTCTCTTTTTGCGTTTCGAGATTATAACATTATGCTTTACCAATATCTTATGGCGGCACATGCCGCTTTAATGGTCTTTAATGTGGCTGCGGTACCAGTTGACCTGGACGCCGACGCAATTACAAGGTCCGCGAGCTTGGACCTTCGTCAAACAAGTTGCGGCGAAGAACAGCTCTCCAATGAAACATGGATCAAGAACGATATAGATGCCTTCCTGGCAAATGCATCGCAACACTATACGCAGTATCCCACCAACAATGTCCAAGCTTTGGCCGCTTACCTGGGAGCCCCAAACTTCTACTGCGGTGTCAATGAATGGTGCAACGCGGGCCAGCCGTGTACACCCGTCGGTCTTCCTGGTTGGTGCGTAGATTCCTAATGGAAAGGAGCGATTTACATTATGGGGCTTTGCTGACTTCAAATAGGTATGTCTTAATGGGCATGCAGTCTTGGAATAACTACATCAACAACCTCAATCTCGCTGTCACGTACTCGGCAACCATTATTGGTCTGAAATTGCCAAAGCTAGTTGACGACCTCTGGCCGAAAAAGAGGGATGGTGTCACGCCCTTGAAGATGATTTTAGCTTGGGTGAATGGTCTTCTCAATGCGTTCCCGACAACGGCAGTTTTTGGAGCCACTGCAGGAGGAGTTGCCTCCGCAGTCCAAGGTAATAACATCATTGCCAGTGGTATGATGATACCGCCGGGCGCGGACGGTCAATACGTCAGATGGAGCGACCTTGCAAACCAAATGGGGTCCAAAATTGACGAGTACAAACGGGCCATCGGGGCCTACGCACAGAAGATCATCGATGCTCCCATAAACGAAACGCAATGGGGAATCAACAAGGCATTGCAGGGTGGCGCATTCCTTACCCGCGACAGGAACGTTACACAAGACGACTTCGACAACTGGATGTACCGAACCATTAGTGTCAACGCTATGGGCTTGCTCATGCAGGCTCAGAATGTATATATCATTCGGACATTTAACAAGACCGATTGCGATGACAGCGATCCCGCTTTTCTCTGTCGGCTCGAGCCTAACAACAAGTGGACGGAATGGCGCTTCCAGAGAAAGGGGAGCGAGGACAACGTGCCCGAAAACAGATTGGCGAAAAAGTTGGTGGAGACGTATGGCCTCACTAAGGAGCAGATTCTTAAAGGGCCAACGGACTGCTTTGACTCGCACGACTATGAGCAGCTAACCAACCCATGGGAGACTGTGTCAGCAAAAGGCATCTCGCCAAAGGACCCGATCGAGTTATGCAACTTTAACGTCAATATCTGTAACATGGACGTGGCAGAAGGTGATGAATATGGGCCTAGCGGTTGGTATGGGCCTGACTTTTCGGATTGGATGTGTGAGTTACAGGGGCTCACTTGGACGAAATGATAGTTGAAATAGTGAATTTGGAGTTATGATACCATCACGAAATGTGAACGAGTTCTCGACAAGGATTTTATTGGAATGCAGAAACATGAATAAAATAGCACCATTCTTTGCAGCCGAGAAACTCAACATATCCGAACCCCCGCCATATACCAACGAAGTCTATGTGGCTTGATGGGAATTGCGGTTACCTTACTTTACGGAAGAAGTTTTCGCTCAAATGATATACCTCGAGCAGATGTCGCGTTTATAGACTGTAGTATTGTAAGATAAGTCCGCTGCGATCATGGTTAGGCGCAGCCTTGTTTTCTGGATTGGTTCGCTTTCCAGCCATATGCCGACAGACTGTGAAGGGATGAAGGTATCGAAGAGTCTCAACGATATGGAATGATCAGTTTTCTCGACCTTGAAGCCTTTTGAAGTAAAGTCCTATGATTTATGTATTAAGAAATAACACAAACTTAAGTTTCAGGGGTCATAATGCCATAACTATTACTCAAAAACTTTATGAATAATGACTAGATCCATTTTCAGTCATTAACTTCTCTTAAACATGCCGACATCCCTGAGAAACCATACAAACCACCATCATTGTATTTACCTACTCTTTTACATATAATCACTTGATTGTGAAGAGTCTCTATTTTGACGACTTTGTCGTAACCAAATATATACCTTCTTCAATCATTGCATGCCATAAATTTCACTAGTAGAACACAATGGTGAATATGTCTCTCTTAACGCCCTAATTGTCTTAAAGTGCGTCACCTCTGGGCAAATGAACGTTCTCTGATACATTTTCCCGGCTTTGGTTCGTCGCCGTTCTCGTTTGAAAAGGTGACGAACCTAAAAGAACGTACTTCATGTTTCGCAAACGTTACTTTCTCCTGGCAAATGGAGTAAGTCGAAATTCTCTCGAAAGTCCTTACATTATGCCATTTTGATATTAACTGGTATTAGCCGTAAGTAGCCAGGGAACAATTAATATCAGCCTCATCTAACCCCGTGTCTATTCCTGGCGCTCTCGTTGGGTGGCGGCATATACGATCAGGCATGTCCCACATGAGAAAACTTGACAAGTGTGCTGTTATACTTTACAAAGCATCCGCATATCTGCGGTGGCGCGGTCCTATATGCGTGTGGTTATACACGATTTGCCCTCACTACAAATGTTCGATAATGTGGCGAATATGAAATTTTACTTCACAAATGAAGGGCTACACCAACATAAAGTGGTGTGTAATTAGGGACTCGACAGGTTTTAAACAGAGCCATGTGACATGGGGGCTTAAGGATGACAAGTCAAGGGCGAGCGAAGCAGCTTTGCAGACGATTGAAAGACAGAAGCAGCATTCCGTCCACGAATCAATCGTCGTTCCGCCAGTGAATTTCTCCGGTGCCGACTGCAATAACAACAGATTGACATATTTAATTACTTACTCAAATAAATTCCCGCCTAATGAAATCCAGCCAAATGCTAATTGATGATTGGAAGTACATCTCCAGGTAGTTAAAACCTTAATTGATGAATTACCAGTGGACGAACGTGGCACAGGCACAACAGGTGGCCCCATGAGAAAGCTTGAGTCAGGGCGAGTCGGCAACCCGGCCTTTAGCAATGAACTCAGGGCTGTTTTTAAAGCGAGGTGTTCGGGCTCATCGGCGTCAGCCTTAACTGTGTGCGGCAAATCGTTCTATTTCACACCTGAACCTGGCCGGGCCCCCATTTAGCCGTGCGTGCCGTCAACTCCACTCTCATTGAAATATTACCTTCCTAGCATAAGGTTATGCTATGGAAATTCTGATTTCACTTTTTACAATTACTTAGGCGAAAGTTGGAGGTAATGGATGAATTAGGAGATAGTTTTAAGGTTCTAAAGGAGAATTCCGTTGTGTGTAGTCTTTTCGGTCCTGCTCCTTTGCACAGCTGGACACGGAATCTGATATTAATTATGGAAACCTAAGCTGACTGTCATTTGAAGTCTAAACCTTCGTAGCATGCACTGTTTAGTAATTGACTTGCCAGGTACATCGAAGATCAGTGCATACAGGGGAAATATATAAGCCAGAGATAGCTCTTCTTACTGGAGTAACCGTCATTCATTGTCATCCACCTTGACCCAAGCCACACTCGTTTACTTATATGCTTACTCACTCAGTCACTCATTCAACCAGTCAATCGTTTATTCATTTACAATGGGTCACCTGTCGCTGCTTCTTTCTTCGCTCCTAATCCCCTTGGCACTCGGTGCTCCGGCGGGTGGGGCTCAGCAGTCAAACCTGGCGAGAGATCTCAAGATTGTTCAGACTTTCAAGCAGAAAGTCACCGTCGATCCCAAGGGCATCACCAAGAAATGGGTTGGCAACGATATCTGCAAGTTCGAAGGTTTCCGATGCGCGGAGAACCCCAATACCAAACAGACGGCAGTTTCTGGTATTGATTTCAATGACTTCAACTTCGGCAAGGATCTTTCCCTCAATGGTTTCGTTGACCAGCTTACGGACCTGACCTTCTTCCACGCGGGCAGTAACGATTTCACTGGTTCCATTCCGGACTTCTCGAAGTCCAAGTGGCTGTGGGAGCTTGACCTCAGCGACAACAAGTTCTCCGGTCCCTTCCCTCCTACTATTTTGAACATGGATTTGGTCTTCTTGAGCTTGCGCTTCAACCAGTTCTCTGGACCCCTTCCTCCCAAGCTCTTCGATCTCGATCTTGACACTATTTTCCTCAATAACAACAAATTCAACGGTCAGATTCCTGACAATCTTGGATCTTCTCCCGCTAGATACATCGTCCTGGCCAACAACCAGTTTACCGGCCCAATTCCTAAGAGCGTTGCCACCTCTAAGGATATCAACGAGATTCTCTTCTTGGGCAACCAACTGACAGGTCCTCTTCCTACTACTTTCAACCTTCCCAATGCCACTATTTTCGATGTCAGCGACAACAAGCTGTCTGGGCCTGTTCCTGAGTCTCTGTGCCAACAGAAGAAGCTTCAGGCGCTTAACCTATCTAAGAACAGGTTCACTGGAAAGCTTGGCCCCGCTTGCACTGCCTTGGTTAACAAGAAGATCCTTGACGTGACCGGTAACTGCCTCGAGGGAGTCAAGGGCCAAAAGGCCAAGTGCTAAGAGATGTTACTGTGCACGGCCCGGTTTTATCTGAGGTACAAGAATATCAAGGCTGCGATATATGGGCGCATTCAAACCATTTGTTTACCGTACTTGACCTAAGGTCTAATCAGAACATATGGCTGAAGCCTCAAGATTTAAATCTACGCTAGTTAATTTTATTGCCCGTGATATTCCAGTCATCAATTTGGATTGTGTCCATATAAAGTGTCCTATCAGCTTACGAATGAAGCGCTATGCTTGCCATTTTGTTAGTGAACGGCTTACCACCACGTTGTAAACCCGGATGATATGTGTCAAGGCAATTTTGAAGATATTTTTATTTATTATTGACATTGATCGGATTGAAACCACCAAAATCGTCGTTTCAAGATTGAAAAAAAGGTCGAACTAATGCTATTGCGCAATTGCCTACTACTCATACATGAAATCCTGACGTATAACTGTAAATAGATCTTTTGTGGTCTAAATTATAAGTACCTGAAGCATAAATTAGATGACCATTGTGTTGTTTTTTCAGTGGGGCTTAATAATGAATAACTACCTAGTTAGGCCGTTGCAATAGTTGTAATACGGCGACTTGTGTGGCCACCTAGTCAAATGTCCAGCACAGGGGGCTAAAGTCACCAACTGCTCCCTTCCGATTGTGAAGGGCTGTGATACCATATCTCCCACACTCACTTATAAGCCGCCAATTATACTCTAATCAAATGCATCACGATTATTAGAAATTCCTGTTGATAACTACTCGCATGTGACTTTCGAATCCTGCGAAACTCAAGTTACTGTTCTCTGCAGCCGTAGATATGTGAATAGATGAGATCGTTTCTATAATGCCGTGACCTATTCTATCGGAACTCCGACCAATGAGCACTCTTTCGGACCTCCGGCTGGATGATACCCTTTTAATTGTTCTTAGCTATTCGTAACCGCCGTAGATATACAACAGTCCACCTGAGACCTTTCTGTGACAGCTGATGATGGGATGATGACAGGGTTTGCTCTGGCATACCATGCTCTAAGCTGTAATACACTAGGTTCAGTGATGTCAGTTGGCTTTCAACCGAAATGCGGAAGCAGAAACAGAGTTCAAGAACAAATGGGGGAGAGCGGCGGACTTCGGAATCATGCTGAGATTTCCTGATCAAGGCGCCTTAATTTCCAACTTCAGATGAATGTAGTAAAGCTATATGAAATGCTCGTCGCTAGCCCCTCGGTCGGTATTAATTCTATTTCAGGTCTTTTGATTGACTGAGAGCGTCTGGTTCGTCGAGTACTTTTTTATCACCACAATGTTAGTAAGTGACGTTCTCAAGACGCCTGAAGCCCTAGGGCTATCATTTGTCGTTGGCGTCATCTTGCATATTTTTGTTTTTCGTTATGGTGAATGGGACTTGGAAGCTCAACGGCTCATCATAACATTTGCTGTCGCCTATGGGACGACCGTGGCATCAATAATGGCAGCTCCCATGATCGCACCTCCAGCATTGCACAAATTTGACCCAACTAGCTTTTCCGACGCTTTTAATGCAACGGGAGTTCTCTTTTCGATGCTGGTCGTCGGCATTTACACGAGTATGACGATATATCGTGGCTTTTTCCATCGATTAAACCGATTTCCTGGGCCGTTCTTTGCCAAGTTCTCAAATCTATATGTAACCTTGAAGATATGGAAAGAAATGCATCTGCACGAGGACGTCCGGGAACTTCACAGAATATATGGTGATATAGTTCGAGTTGGTGAGCCACCAATCTAAGAAGTTACCCAGGAGAACATGATTTAATGAACAATCAACAGGTCCGACTGAGCTTTCCATCAACACACCGGATGCTATTGACGCCGTATTCCTTGAGACAGACTGCTATAAGGGCCCTTGGTATAATCTGCTTCATCCGATGGTCTCTATGCAAATGGTTAGGGATAAGGAGGCCCACTCCACGCGCCGCAAAGCTTGGGAATATGGCTTCACCTCTAAAGGTTTGAAATTTCTAACAATCCCGAATAGTATGCTGACCGGATAACATAGCTTTGCGCGAGTATGAGCCTCGAGTGCTAAAATACACTAACCAACTACTCAATGGAATTGAAGCCAGCGCGGGCACAAAGTTCAACGCGTCCTTGTGGTTCAACTTCTACAGTTTTGACGTCATGGGTGAGTTTTCCCTTGGCCACGGGTTCCGCATGCTTGAGGACGGCGTTGCACACTTTTATATGGACGGCCTGCATAACGAGACCCTGGCCGTGGGCCGCTTTACGCACGCAATGTGGGCACTTCCGCTCTACCGTAAGATGTCACTGTGGAATGCCGAATTACGGCGGTTCAAAAGTTGGATCTCGCTTCAGGTGCAGCAGCGCATCCAGAATAAGCCTGAGAGTCCAGACCTTTTCACAGGGGTGCTCGAAGATTACGAGTCCAGGGAGAAACATTCGTTCCAGGACATGCTAAACTTGTATGGAGATTGCATTTTGATCACGGTTGCTGGAAGGTTAGTTTGTCAAAGACTGCCAGACAGGGCCGAGTAACGCAACTAACGACCGCTCCAAGCGATACTGTTGCAGCTGTACTTTCATGTCTCTTCATGGAACTAGCGCGTCATCCAAACGAATATCGAAAACTACAGCACGAGATTGATGAATACTTTCGAGATCATGAGAACCCCGAGCACGCGCCCCTTTCAAAGTTGCGATATCTTCAAGCTTGTATCGATGAGTCTCTGCGCTTGCATCCGCCTGTGCCTTCTGGCGTGCAAAGAATGACGCCACCTGAAGGCTTGCAAGTCAACGACACTTGGCTCCCGGGTGACACCATCGTATTTGTTCCGTCTTACACACAATACAGAGGTAAGCATTTCCACCTACTGGGATCAAAGTCGATGTTCATGGATGGAGCCAAAAACACTGATCCGTAGACCATGCAGATGCTCGATTCTTCGACGACCCAGATGCCTTCATACCAGAGCGGTGGATTGACCGGCCGGAGCTTGTAAAGAATGCTTCAGTTTACGTGCCCTTTTCAACAGGTAGGTGATTCGTTATTGATAATCCCGATTCCTAATATAGAGCTAATAGCTTCAAGGGCATGATGTTTGCATCGGCAAGCAATTAGGTTTATTAGAAGTCCGCTTTGTGGTCAGCGCAGTCGTGCATAGGTATAATGTGAGATATGCACAGGGCCAGACTGGGGAGAAGTTTTTGGCGGAGAACAAGGACACAGGCACTCTGACTGTAGCTCCCCTCAACTTAGTATTCGAGCCTAAAAAGGCATGATCAGAAGTTGGTGATACAGGTTATATAAACGAGTTGGCCCCAATTTAAGAATGTTTATTAATTCTTGCTTGAAAGAAAAGAAGTGGGATAGAGTGACTATCACTTCCTCTCTAGGCCACTGCCAGAAATCCTTTTTCCAAGCACTGAATTTGGAGCACCTTGGGGTATCCTACTTACCAAGCTAACATCTGGCGATATGCATGGGCAATGTTCCTCCATTGTTATCTCCTCATGGCTGGCTGTACGTAGCTCGTATCCTTCTCTGGAGGTGCTCTAAACTCGTAACTGGCTTTGCATTTTCATACCCCTTTCTCTTCAGCACTTCCAAGAATTCGGAGCCAATATCCGACCCATGTTTTGCCGGGTTTTCTTGACCTTCAATGGGCTCCAACATAACGTGTCGGTCAGGTTGTATGAAAACTGGGATGCTCAGTCTCCCAACGTTCTCACTTGCTGATCGTGGGAATGCCACGCGATGTACGGTAGACCGTAACCTGCCAGCTGTCCAGAACTCTAGCGCATCTCCAATGTTGACAACTATAGCATCTGAGATGCAAGGTACGTCTATCCATAAGTCATCACGTAGGACCTGCAAGCCTCCTTGGTCGGATGGTTGGCGGAAAAGCAGTGTGAGGGATCCATAGTCCGAATGGGCCCCTGCTCGGATATCATCAGGCTCGTCTACTGCAGGTGCAGAACCTGGAAATGAGAGCTGAGATATTGGAGGGTAGTTGATAAGCCGCATACGACAACTCTCGCCTGTGTGGGCTTTGGATAAAAAGTCTTTGGGCATCTGCGCACGTTTGTTCAGCGTTAGATATGACCTACCGCTAGCAGGCTGCACTCACACCCAAACCAATTGCAAGAGCTTCTAGCAGGACTTTAGCTAACTCGTCACAACTGGCGAAGAACGCAGCCATCTTAGCCCGTCCAGCTTCTAACTGGGCAGGAAGCAGCTGTGATGTTCTCCCAGGATCAGACAGGTAGAAAGACTCCTTGATATCTCCGAGCCCGGCTCCGGATAATCTGATCAACATGGATTGTCAGTGTATAAGAGAGTCTCAGTTTATTCGACATCCACTTACGCCTCCTCCCTCATGCCCGTGTAACCCTGATGAGAAAACAATAATTAGCATCCTGCTGTGGTCGGTGAAAAAGACCTTCTTGCGGTAAGATCACCGACAATATCGACTTCTAAACGCTTACCAGATCTCCGCTGCCATTGGCGTAAGCCAATTTATTGTCCAAGGAGGAGCTGAAGAAGGCGTCTGCCAAGGCAAAAACGCCCGCTGCACCCTCGTCGCTCAATTTGTGACCAACAACATAAAAGAAGCCAGGGTCCTTGCCGACGCGCATCAACTCAGCCGCCAAGCTTTCGGCCGTATCAAAAGACCGTAGATCGACTACGGATAAAGCGGTCTCAGTGGCGGTAGCCATGACTGGGAATATGAACAAATGAAAACAGAGACAAGGCGCTGCAATGTGAAGAAAGGAGTGACAGCACCGGAAACCAACACAAAGGGATATTGGATTGAGTATATGAGTGACCAACAGTGACACACGGAGATTAAAAGAGCAATTCATCCGATGCAATAGGCTCGACCGGGTGGCCTACGGCAAGCGAAAGTATCGACTGGTGTAGAAGTGCGTACGTGACCAGTCTAGAAACTTGCCGTTGACGGCAAAAACTGTCCAAGCTCTCTCATATTTAAGTACCTCGGACCAACAGTTCGAAATAATGCAGCATCTTTGTCAAATCAGCTTCCAAGGTTCTATCGATGGCCTCGCGGGGTAACGTGTCTCGGCTGCTAAGCTGCTGAATGGCTGAATTTGCAGACAGGAGGGGGAAGCCCGTTTTCTACTGCTTAGGGCTAGTCCGCCTTAGAAACTCGGTACTCGAATTTGAGAGGAAACAAGCAATGGAATACGTCGCCTTAGTTGCTGCTGGTGATGCCGACTGCAGGAAGCCTCACCTCTCAGCCCTGCGCGCTGCCTTATACTATCACCTTGGCGTCACTACCTTGGCGCCGGCCCAGTTTGGCCGGCACGGAGGTAGTAGACAGTCTACTAAACAGATGTAAAGGATGGCAGCACCTGCATTAGAACCAATCGCAACACATTGTCAGTAGCATGTTTGTTCCTCGGGTCATGCGACATGGGGCGGGTGTGTGAACTGCTGAATCAACGAGCAAACCATCGAGAGAGCAAACAAACGGGGAGAGTCCGAAGGTCGAGTCTTGGCTCATGTGCCATCCTGAGTAAAGCCACATCGCCGAGTGAGTAAGCATGAGAATTGGGCATGAAAGGGAACATGGAATAAGGGAGAATAAAATTTCCCAGACAGTACGAAACTAAGACCCTTTGAGCAGCACCCCTGCCTGATTCCCCAACGCATTTTTTGCATCCCTAGTATCTCCCTTCCCGAGCATCTGGGGCCAGATGGCCCTTCAAATTCCTTATTCTACTTTAGGTCTGGGATCTTCATAGGCGAATGTAACTGTTGCATGGGCACTCGGGTGGCCTGGAACCACCACACATTACATGGGCTTATCTTCTGCATGGTACCGGGGATCCGGAAGCCGTCACTCATGAGGTATAGCGCAACTCCATCTCGTCCCCTACAGAAAACCTGCTAAACTTTCTACTGTCTTAATGTTTCATCGGAGGCGCCACCATCTAGGACTTCATACCTCGGAGGACACAAAAGATTGGCCTAAGGTGATGTGCGTGTCGCTCCTCTCGGACACCAGGACACCCTTCCATGTCCAAAACCCTGTTTCCGCTGCACAGTTTGGTCGTAGTGGTCTCTGTCAGCCCTTCTGAATCCCACAAACTTTCGAGTCAGATTGTGTCGAGAACACATGGTGTGGTCTATTGCCAGAAGCTGACATTTACCCTTCCATGCGATGGGCTTCCACCCATGCAAGAAACGAGTAGTATTGCACAGGATCACTCCTAGGTTATAATAAAAGACGCCTTCAAGGACATGCTGTTTTGATAATGTGATGAACAAAAATCAACCTTCTCGATCGTTTCTTCTCTGAACACGTTTCGAAAAACCCAACAGGCCCAACCTTCACAAAAGGTGGCTTTTCCACGGCGCTAGATGAGCGACTAGCTAAGCTTTCGAGCTAAGACTCGCAAGTTAGAAACCCCCCTCAGAATCATCTGGTCGCTGTCGGGCAAGCCAGCCCACCTCCTTTGTGTTTGTTTGTGTGCGTCGCTACCCAAGTCCCCGCAAAAGAAGCTCGTCTCGTATCCTGGTCCCGTTCCATCTTGGCCTTCACCGCTTGCCCACAGCCCCATTCCCGCGTGTCTGTGTGCAGGCCTGTTCCGCTTGCGCGCCGGCGCACTCTGTGCAGCTTCACCTAGAAGGCATCCGCACCACATCAGATAGCGTTGACTACAAACACCAGCGCCAAACAAGACCAGAAGTTCATCACCCGCTTGAATCGACTGTAAGCCGATCTTGTGGCATTGGCAGGCCAACTAAATAGAAGTCATGGCGGGTCTCCTCCGCCGACTTCAAGTCTCTCGCGAGACCGATGTCCTTACTACGGCCTACATGAACCGCGACACTAGGCCGCTCCCTCCTGAAAGACGGACTTACGGTCCGTGGCAGTTCGTCGGCCTCTGGGTCGTCACCGGTTCCTTCAACATCGGCGGCTGGACGACCGGATCGTCCCTAATAGCCCTCGGTCTTAATGTATGGCAGGCCATGTTGACCGTCATCATTGGTCACATTCTCGTTGGCCTCATATGCGTCCTCGCGGGCGGGCCTGGGGCAAAATGGCATATTGGCTTCTCGATACTCCAGAAGGCGTCTTGGGGCATGAACGGCGTCCTGTTCCCTCTCGCGCAGCGCATAATGCTTTCTTTCATCTGGTACTCGACACAGGTTTACTGGGGCGGGCAGTGCGTGCGCACTTTCATCTCTTCCATGGCGCCATCCTTCAACAGCCTAAATAAACCACTGGCTAACGGGACCATGACTGTGGCGGACTTTGTTGGGTTCATCATCTTCTCCATTCTTTGCCTGCCCTTGATCTACATCCGTCCAGAGAAATACCACGTTCCCTTCGCCATCGCCGCATGCACCGTCATCCCGACTGTCTTCTCGCTTCTGATATGGTGTGTAGCGACAGCAGGCGGTGCAGGGCCGATGCTGCAGGACATTACGACGACGGCCGGTGTTCAGCAAGCCCACGGCTCGCATCTGGGATGGATGCTAGCTCTAGGCGTATGCACAAACATTGGTGGCATCAGTACGCACATATTTAGCCAGTCGGATTACACTCGCTTTGCGCGCCGACCGCGGGACCAGCTCGTGTCCCAGATAATCTTCGTACCTTTGAACACCATTCTCGTAGCATTCATCGGCATCGTGTGCACCTCTTGTGCAGCTCAACTGTTCCCCAAGACAGAAGGCACATTAGTATGGGAACCGTATCGGTTTCTGGATGCACTCCAGGCGCACTACGGCAATTCTCCAGGAGCGCGCGCGGCCGTCTTCTTTGCGAGTCTGGCGTTCATCTTTGCGCAATTCGGGATCACAGTGGCGCAAAACGGCCTTTCGAACGGCATAGACTTGTCCGCTTTGCTGCCACAATACTTCAACCTGCGCAGAGGCGCATATCTTACCGCAGCATTCGCATTTATCATGCAGCCTTGGCAGTTGATGAATGGTGCAAGCAAATTCCTTACTGTTATGGGCGGGTACGGTGTCTTCCTAGGATCCATGACCGGTGTCATGTTGGCCGACTACTACCTCGTCCGCAACCGGAGGTTAAAGTTGACGCACTTGTATGAAGCGACTAACAAGAGCATATACTGGTATTGGAATGGAATAAACTGGAGGGCAGCAGCCGCGTGGACTATGGGAACATGGTCTCTGCTGCCGGGCTTCATCCAGAGGGTGCAGGATCCAAAAGTTGAGCTGAGGGGATGGTCACACCTTTACTACCTTGCATGGCCATTGGGGTGTACGTTGGCCGTTGCGACATACTGCCTTTTGCATTATGCGTTTCCCATTAGCAACCCCAGAATAGTAGACGACGAGGATTACTTTGGAACGTTTGGGCCGGGGGAGCGAAGGGTGAAGAATGATCGGGAACAAACGCTGTCAGTCTCGCTGGCGTCCACCGAAGACAATTTAAAAAGCCAAGACAAGCCGGATGAAAAGCCGGTTTGATATGGTGATGGGGTGCTTTGTTTTTTCTTTTCTTTTCTTTTTTCTGGATCGCAAGCGAGCAGGTTTGGTGTTTTTTTTGCAGTTGAGCTCTTGAAGACGGTTTGGTTTGAAACAACGTAGGAGGGCAACCCCTCATATATAGTAATACCCTTTACATCTCACTTAGAACAAGCTAACCGTGTGAGTTTGGTCGGACATTTTACCGGCTATGCGCTACGTAAAAAAAACCTACCCAGGGAGCTCGCATTATGAATGTTTCTCCATGTAGCCAATTATCGTACATCGGTTAGGATATTCCTCATGTCTGGCGCCGCCGGTGGGCCGGCCTCAACGCGCGGGGGCGGCTAAGCTGTTGAATTTCATGACTGAAAACTATCTACCTCCCAATATATTTTTTACTGCAAACGGTATCACCACGCAGATGGTTTAATCTTTTACTTTTGCTTCTTGTCAGCCTTGATCTTTAACTTTAAGATCAAAAGCGGTTGAGATCTCTCAGATTCCGAGTAAGGAGACCACGGTCGATCAACTAAATCATGATCGATTCAAGCGCAACAACGAACCTGCTCTGCATCATCCCGATATCCACCACTGGTATGACTGACAGTTTGTCCCGTCTGTACCCCTCAACGCCTGGCGTCGCAATCACTTTTATCGACGGAAGAGATCTTGACGAATGCCCTCCTTGTATCGAAAATCATGAACAGGCTCTAAGCTCGACTGAGGCCGTTTTACCTCGAGTCACAAGCTATCTAAATTCGCACGCAGTTGATGGTGTTTTAGTCTGCTGTTTCTCTGATCACCCTCTCGTCTACGCCTTGCAGGAGAAGTTTCAATTACCCATCACTGGAATTTTCCAAGCTGCCCTTGAAGAAGCGACCGAGGACGGTGAAAAGTTTGGCATTGTCACGACGGCACACGCGTGGGAAGACATCTTGACCGTTTCTGTCAAAGAACTTGGGTTTCAAAAACATTCAGCAGGCGTAGCATCTACTGGCTTAGGAGTCTTGGAATTAGAAAGTCTGGATCGACAGACTGTGCTCGAGCGTATAGCTACTTCATCGAAACGCCTAATTGACAACGAAACGAAGAGCATCATCCTTGGCTGTGCAGGTATGACTGCCTTAGAACACGACATCCAACAAGTGCTCCCGTCTCCAATAAAGACCATTGACGGCGTACGATCTGGGATCAGAACCCTGACTCGCCTAGCTCAGAAGAGGTCAGGTTTGGAAAGCGGAAGGCATACAAAGGCATACGAAGGGGATCTACGCCGTTCGGAAGGGGCAGACTTTTTAGTAAGTTAGAATAGGAGTATTCCCGGGTTTTTTTCTATTAGACGGAAGACATTAAAAGTCGGTTCCACAACCCATTTTACGTAGTCCAATTCTCAAGCGCGTAACGCCAATCGATCTCTGTCGCGTCGTTGAATGCTGTTGAAAACACATTGTTCATGAAGTTCATGGAGATATTATACAGGGGGGCGTCTTGCACCTGGTACTGATCCATGGTGCCGGGTGGCATGACGTCTATGACTTGTGGCCCACCCGGTATTTCTGTTGGAAGCATATCTGTCATTGTTATTGGTTGCTGCTGGATTCTTTTGTTGAGTTCCTCATCGATGTTGGAGATGTACTGGAATAGCTTGCCCGAGATTTGGGGGGCATTTGGAACTGATGAGCCAAGGTTTTGCAGGAAAACCGCCATTGCATGCCTTGAGAAGGTAAGTGCCCATTTAGACGTCAGAAATCCAGACCACGGCCAGCTCACATTACTTCTCGCAGTTTATGGTATTGATATGTACTAAGGTGGCGGCCGATGAAACTGCTGAGCAAGTGGCCAACGCCAACCAGTTCTTGTAGCTTGCGGAAAGTCAGCATGTGCAATTTAGTGCGTTGAAGATGGCTTGATGAGTAAGGTACCATTGGATGGCCTATTGCGCGCAGATATACGGTCGGGACTTGAGTAATTTCGTTTATCAACTCGATGGCGGCACCGCAAGCTTTCTCAAACTGATTATCGCATGCAAAGGCCGCCATGCGAAGAAGCTATTCAATGTTATTACATGCCCCTATGTTGGTGATAAAATCAAAGAGAGCCGGACTTACCTGATAGGTGCATGCAATATTGGCCACTTGAAATCCACATAGATTCTCTTCGCGGTTATCTGACGAAGGGAACGCCTGAGAGGCGTACACTGGCAGCTTGCTTTTTCTCTCCAACACCTTTTCTAGCAAGGCATCAATCGAGGGTAAGAACTCATTGAGGTGGGTTCGGTCTCGATGAACTGCCTGCACTCGTCCTATGCGCATGCGGACAATTACGTGCTCCAAAACACGGTATAGGTCAGTAATGTAGTTCCAACCTACGAGCCAGCTGCCCGGGAAGAATATATCTGGCTTCGGGTCCCCGGGATTCTCGGGGACGGGGACGCCGGTGGGGTCGAGGACTCCGGAAAGACCGACATGGACTGGATAGGACACTCCGCACTGCAACTCTGGACACCGAATGACATGACCTTGGATGAGAGCTGAATGGACTTCTAAGCGGTACATTGACCAGAAGAATTGTCGCCGGACGTAGACTTCCTTCGAGGTCAAATCTCCCCAGTTAGTCTCGAATTGAAACACGGATTGCGCGACAATGTTGTGGTAGCGGCCGAGGTACTGTTCGAATAGGGGATCGTCTTTTATCTGAATTGCCGCCAAAGACATTGTGCCAAGGACCTGTAGATACGCAAAGACTTCGTGTTTGGGTATGTCTCGGTTATCGTCAGGAATTGCCTTTCGGGCGTCGTCCATGTAAGTCTGTTGAAGCTCGTCGCGAATCATCTCTGGGACGTCTGGAGTGAATAAAGCGCCGTCTCTCACATGAGAGGCACTGAGTGCACATATGGCCATGAGGCGGGCAAATGCAACCCGATTTGACGACATGTTGGACGTTTCCCACTCCTTCATTAGACTTGGTTCATCATAAAATGGAAAACTTTTCAAAATTGATGTCAGTAAATTCTCAATCAGAGCAAGGCTGGCGAAGGACTGGATGGTTTTTACGAACACTGGGTACACGGTATCGAAGAAAATGCAGATGAGACGGTGAACAAGGTTTCTGCTCCCGTGGCGACTCTCATCGTAAAACCACCTGTCAGTAACGTCCCTATGTTGGGGTTGCTTGATCGAAGCTGGCGACGTCTTGGATTTCACGCCTCTCTTAGCCGCCACGCGGTTCCAGGTGCACTCGGCATTGTGCTCGATACAGGTCAGACAACTGGGCTGGCCATCATGGCCGACGATAGTTTCAACCCCGCTCCCTTCGGGCACAGGCTTGCATTTTCGACCTCTTCGATGACAGAAATCGCATGCCTTGGTGATGCGGCGGCGCTTGAAGTTTGGCTCGCTATGCCTTCTTCCGTCGCCGTTGAGGTGAAGCTGCCGATCGTCGCCCATGATCTTCCGTGGCCTTCCCCCGGCCGAGATACAAAAGAAGCGTCGGGGGGCGCGTTGAACCGAGTCACGGGACTCGCATCCGACACAAAGCGGAGGGATGGTGGAGCTAAACGGTAAAGGGCCGAATCCTCCCTCTTCCGTGCTTCTCTTTCTCCCTTGTGCAGATCCAGATCCACGGGGGGGCCGATGGAGGGTTCGAGTTTGCTATGTACAGTCTGATCCGAGGATTCTGTCCGTGTGGATGACCGAGGTGAGACGGTTTTTGTGCAACCCTAAAAAGAGCCCGGCCTCGACGTGTGTCTTATTTTTTTTTAAACTTGGTTTTTCCAAAACCACAGTGAGAGTGAGGGGATTGGGCTGTTGGATGTTGAAATTGAGACTGTCTGCGGGTGGGGCGGACATAGCAAACATTACCCTGCAATAATGACTAAGCCATAAAACATCCTTACACATACAAATAGGTTCTGTTACGTCTGTGGTTGGGAGTCTTGGTGGAGGTACGTAGCTCTTCACACCTTGCCTTACTCGAGGGGGCCTCGAGAACGAACTTAAGGAGTCAGGGGTGGCTGTGCCACAGCCACTGACCGCATTAGAACGCCCTTTTCCTTTGTTGGACCCTGGTCTCTAAATTATGTAGTCTTATCGCGTCATTGTTTGTCCGGTAATGGTCTTGAAACGAATTGCATTCTGTCTGGGCAGCTCTCCAACGCTGACGGAAAAGTCGATATCCAGGGCCAGAGTTTGAAATTTCTTTCAAAGGCACAAAGTTAAAAACAAAGTTGAAGTGCTGCTCTTTTTGGGAAATGCCTCTATTTTGTGAGACATCGAGACGTCATTCTTCTCATCCCCAGTCCTAACATATCGGGACCGAATCTGTATTGACAGCCAATGTTTGTTGTAAACTGTCAATGTTTGCGACTCAGCCTCTTTCTCATTTCCGCCATACACGTGGGCATGTGTCAATCCCAAAGCCCATCCTGTTTCAACCTGCTCACCGACCGTGTTCTCGGGTCAATAGTCCTTCAGCACGTTTGTCTGCGGCCGCATCCCACGTGAGGAAGTGGAACATTTCCCCGGCCTGTTGGTTGGATATTGTGTCGCACCGTGTTTGCTTTCCTTGTCATAGTGTAGATCTGTTTGGTCCAGACCTCGCCTCGCCAATTCGTTTTTCAGTACAGCATGCACTCCCCTAAGCATCTTGACCAACGCTCGACATCTGATGTGACGTAGTATTTTCGCGGGGTTTTGCATGTGTCACTTGTGCTAATGTTTACGTTTGTAGTAGCGTGGGATTGTGGGGGAAAACCCTGTTCAGGACCTTGCAGTTTCTGAAGCCTCGGATTGGGGGACAACATATCACAATGTTTAAACTTTTATCATGGGTATTGTTGTCAAACAGCTCAGTGACTCGTGAATAAACCTTTTTCGATCAGGAACTAATCTAGAAATAGATTTGCACGCAGATTTCATAAGAGCTGGCTACATTAGATGTCACGCCCTGCTCTTCGGATGTCGTAATTCACCACAATGTCCGGACAGCCCTGGACAGTTCTGAGATAGCGTTGTCTCTGCTGTCGTTGCATGCCAGCTTTCCTTCTACTAACACAGAATCTCTCTAACTGAACCATATTGGAACTTTTAATTTGTACCCTTTCTCTCGCTGCTAACTTGCACACCCTTCAGCTTTGTTTTCATATGGAGGCTCGTAGCAGGTACAAAAAGGATTTTGATAGAGAATTAAAGTATTGACAGATAATTCCCGGCAATCTCCGGCGTGGCTGTCCCGCGCACTTAATCTCTACCATCTTGTATGGAAATTCTAAGATCCTATCTTAGGTGCACCAGCGCCTGCTCTGAGATTTCTATCCAGCTTAGGGGTCACTTTCGAGGATCGAATGATTTAAACTATTGATGCTGATAAGAGGGTTCTCTTGAGATTGGTCTTCGGAAAACTAGGAGCAAGACATATTGAACCGTCGTCTTCCTCTCGCATTAGGCCTAGAAGTAGATGATACAGCAAGCCAGGTTTTGAATCAAGACAGAATTTGTGCGTGTGAGTTGATCATGAAGTCCATCGACGCCAGATTGAATGACGGACACGAAATGCTTCTCAGGCTCAATTTGGGCTACAAAACATACCGAAGTTCAAATAATGCAAAGACTATCTGATCATTTGGCCCAGCTGCACTAAAGTGATAATATCATACCTACTTACAAAGTGAAAACGGTTCCGGCTAGAGAGCTCCAGCCGAAGAATTATCAAAAAACTCAATCCTCAGGCCATTGACGTAGTTGAGCCATGTGCATGGGCTTAAGCCAGGCCTTGCTTGCATGCTTTTCGGATTAAGCCGTTGGGAATCGAGATGTTTCTCCTGTTAAACTTGGTGGGCGCCACAATCCGCAAACATCACAATACGCTTCGCATGCGTCATGCAAAACGTTCCAGAAAAGCTCGACTAGTAAATTTCAACGGCACTAATCTTTTAACAGCGATCTCAATTCCAAGCTACGTTTCCATGTAAGTTTTGGGGTCCCATAACTCAGAGACAACTACTTTCCCCTGAAACTTTCTTTTCGCTTTCTCCAAGGAACAGAGCCACTTTAGCGTGGACTCATTCCATGCTTTCTGGTATTTACCCTCCAGTAAGAATACCCCAGAATGAACTCCACTCCAAGGACGTATGCGAGAGATGTAATCTTCTTCCCAATTACTCGAGCAAGCCTCGAGTTTCCCTTGTTCAGTAAACCGTCCCACCAGTAGCCAGTCCACAATGCCTGGAAAGCTTTTCGCCGCATCCAGAGCACTTTTCCAGACGTCATTCTTCTTATAAAGAACTTTGGCCCCTCGATACACAAGCAGCTTCACTACATCTACCCTGCCTTCGTGTGCAGCAGCCAATAACGGAGTACCAGCAGTAGACCCTTCGAATTCCATATCGAGCCCAATCCTCAAAAGTTCTTGGACCTCTCTCAAGCGTCCGTAGTGAGCTGAGAAACAAAGCAAACTGAAGCTTTCAAATGTCTTGTCATCACCTTTGACTTCAGTGAGTCTTCTTATGAAGTCAACGCCCATGCGCCGGTGGAACAGTCGAAGTGCTTTATGCATCGAGCTTTTATTGTCGAAGAGCTCAACTTGCCACCACACCTTCCACAAGCCCCGGCCTTGATAATGTGACTCTAAATCACAACTAAAGTCCGAGTTGACGATGAAAGTCGCAATATCGGAATTGAACAAGGCAGTGGCCCAGATCGGGATACCGAGGCACCCCCTTTGATTCAGGCTCATCCCTGCTTTCATCAACAATGGAAGTGTCTGAGTTTTACCAAACATCAACAGCGTATTGGAGTCCTCGCTGCGGTCAATTCGTGCCCCTCGGTTGACGAGAAGCTCCATCGCGTCAACATTGTTCTCTCGAGCCGCGAGCTGGAGCGGGGTATGTCCGTGTCCATCTCTGATGTTAATTGCTGCCCCTTTATCCAACAGAAGTGTGATCATGGTCAAATTTTCTTTGTCGGTTGCAACGTGTAAAGGGGTGCCGCAAGACTGGCTCATCGCATTGATGTCCGCTCCATGTTTGATGAGCAGTTTCGCCATTTCAATGTCGTTTTCTATTGCTGCCGCGTGCAAAGTTGAAGTATTTCGGTTGTATACATACCACGTTGTTACTTGGGTGGCAACTTGTCTGACCAATTTTCGGCCAGTCGTCCTATCAAGTTCCTCGAGATAAGCAAACAATGCCGTTAAAGACTTCTTGGATTCACGGTTTATGGCGATCTGAGCAGGCGCAGAGTTATCGATGAGCCATATCAGTTCGTCTTGCGGAATCAGCCGAAGCCACTTGGGCACTTCTTCCTCGAGATCGGAATCGTACATGAGGAGGTCGAGTGCAGTTGAACCACGCGTCGGCCACTCTTGCTCAAACTCGACATCGCTGTCGGATGAAGAGTAAGCGCTAGAACTGGTATCAGAGTCTTCGCCTTCAGACCAATTTCGAATACCGTAGCAGCAATAACCGCAGGCATGCCGACGACATGTGACACCACGGAAACTAGCTCCTTTGTCAATGAGACACTGGACGATTTCCACGGAAACAACTCTGCTTCTGAGGGCGAACAAAAGCGCAGAACAAGTTCGGCAAGATCTCATCTTGATGTTGGGACTACAGCCTTCTTCCAGAAGTCTTTCGCAGGTCTTTACATCGGCTCGCTCAATTGCGTATTGCATCGCCTTTGACAACGCCGCCCTGTAATAAGACCGGTCCGCTACCTGATCTAAGTTCCCTTGGAGTGAACCCCGTATTGACTTTCTTATCATGTCCGTGATATTTTTATTCTTCCACAAAAGGGCCATGTCCAATGGTGTTTTGCCCTTTTTAACAACTAGATGTTTTGCCCCAAGCTCGAGAAGTAAACGTGTCGTGCATTCATTCTGGTTTGTTACTGCCAAATGGAGCGGAGCAAAGCCTTCGTTGTTTTGAGCGTTGACATTTGCACCTCGGGACACAAGGAGCTTGATGGAGTCAACTTGACCCAAGAGTGTTGCAAAGTGTAGGGCGGTTGACCCATCTGACGTTGTAGCATTAATATCCTTTGCGTAATCATGGTCCAAGAGGAAAGCAACTGTTTCTGCCGAACCTATTGTGGCAAGATGCAATGCTGCCGCTTGGTTAAAGGTGATTGGATTGGCGCCGGCTCTCGCCAAAGAGACTTTGACCCGAAAATTCCACATTGTCTCTGAAGCCGACAGTGGCACCATTTCTTCCAGTAACTCAATCCACCCATATACACACGCCCATGACGCAGCGGTCCATCCATCGACATCAGAGTGATTCAAAGTCTTGTCTGCCCCGCGTCTAAGTAGCAAACGAGCACTGTCAAAACACCCAGCGATGATGTGTAAAATCAATGGCGAATTCTTCCTCTGTTTGCTGACAATAGTGGGGTCTAGATTTTCATCTAGTAGCTGTTGTACAAGTCTGATTTTGACGCAGGACATCGGGCGCCTATGTCTGGCATAGCCACCAGTCTGGCTAAGCGGGATGAAGCCTCGAGGTATCGGTGGTGGTGGCGGTGGCATTCCATGTGGCAAGTTGGGAGGCGGATTCTGTATGGCAAAGCCAAATGATGGGGTCTTCCACGGCGTTTGGGAAAAGCAATCTGCTAATCCCAAGAGGTGGAAAAGCCCAAACTTCTCCCCCGAATTTGTGGGGGTAAGCTCATTTAGGGCCTCTCGGTTTGCATTCTCGAGCAGCTTCACAAGGATCCGGTGACTGTTGGGGTTGCCACCATGGGCACAGGCAAATTCAATGGCGTTCATGCCCAAGACTCGTTCATGGATATCAGCACCGAGGCAGAGCAGACGATCCACCATAAAAACCGAGTCGCAAACGATTGCCCATTTCAAGACTTTCACATCCATCCCGCTGCTTTTGAGGTAGTTTGAGTCACCCGTCGCGTCGAATACCAACACGAAAATCTCTTCCAAAATGGAGACAACTTCCGGGTTGATCTTTGAATTGAGTGGTATGTTGCTGCAACTCAGTAAGTTTTCAACTTCTTTTAGACCTGACGTGCCAGAGGTTTGCTCATGAGCTCCAAGACATCCTGTGTCAATCATAAGCTTCACTACCTCCGGGGCTTTTTCCACTTGTATATTGAAACTTGGGATGGATTTTGTGTTGTGTAGATGCCTGTACCTGTCTCGAAGGATGTTGAAGACCAGCGACCAAATTGTAAGTTCGGTTTTTCCGGTTGGGAGGGCTAGGTCAGCCGAGATAAGCTCTTTCAGAATCGCTTCGTTGTATGAGTATAATTGACTAGCCTCCAGAAAGCATGCAAGAGGGCTTTTCCAAGCCAGGGATTCGCTGTAGGGATATATGACCAAGAGTTGTCGCACACAGTCTGCACTGGCGAATCGATCTAAACAGTGCAGGGGAGTTTCTTCCGACGACTTGAGAAGAAGTCCTTCTGCATGAAGCTTCTTCAGAACGTCGACAGATTTGATGCTTGCAATAATCTTATTAAGTGGCGGGTTAGAACTCTTCAAGCAGCTCTGGTCTCCTTGACAATGGCCGATAATCATAATAGCAACCTCATGGCTTGCATTGTCAAGTGCTACAGCAAGGGGTGTCAGCCCGTTTTTGTTGGTCATGCGTAATGCGATATCCCGCTCGGATTGTTCCACCCGAGACAGAAGGACTCTAACGATTCGCAAGTTATTGTCTTCATCGTTCGCAAGATGCCAGATTGTGTCGTTGAAGTCGTCTGTATGAATTGTCTTTGCCCCATGGTGTAGCAAACACACGAGCGCATCCTCCATACGATCTCTGAAGCAGTCCAGCACCATTTTCTCCTTGCGATTGTCACCTTCTCTAGAGTCCACATACGACGTGAGCATGTAATCCAGGCAAGAAATTGACAAGCAGGAAACAGCAAAGTCTAACAGTCTTGTCAAGGCGTCCTCTTGAAGTTCTAAGTTGCGGTGTGGGTTTTCAGCAATTTCTTTGAGCATGTTCATGCTGTCATTCTCGATAGCTTTCCACATTGCCTCGACAAGCATTTCATCCGTCACTGCGGCTGACACAGGTAACTGCGTGTCGATATCTGTTGTATCGGTTACGACCTTTTGAAAAGCTTTCAAGTACGCAGAAGCTTCTCCTTCCTCTTTTGCAACCAGGTCTGTAAGAAGCTCCAAGATTGATGTGATGTTTGACATTGCTGATTGACTCTTGTGCTTGTTCCATTTTCGACATTGGGACCGGAACAAATCGATGGCATCATCATGCATTTGAGCCCCTCCTCTTACTACAAGGGCAAAAGGTTCATAGTCGGATGCCCATTCTGATGACTTGAGTGCCAAAGCTCCCATTGAATCCCATGAGTAGTGGGTTGGCAAGGGTCTCGTGCAATCAGCGCCTGCTGTAACCAAGACTCGTATCGTTTCCATCGAAGGTCTCTCCTTAGGAGGTTGCTCAGCCCAATCTTTGCTGTCTTTTCTAGTGTAGAAGTCATGACAAGCGACGAGAAACGGCCCGCCAAGTGCACATTGCAGAGGAGACCCCATCCGACTGATTTGGTTGACGTCTGACATGTGCTTGAGAAGTTCATGGCAAAGACCGCTTAAGCCAAGAAGAGAAGCCATATGTAACGGCGTGAAATCTCCGCGACGAGTAAAGTGTGCTAAACGTCGCGTTTGGCCAGCACGCCACTTCCAGTGAGGTGCTCGCCGCCTCCACTGCCACGACGTCGAAAGAACTACAACAACATCTTTTCTTCGTTCTTGATTTGATGATGATTCTTCTGATATTCCCGAAGGGGAACTGCAAGACCCTGTGGTGCCTTGCGTGGAGTCGGACCATAGACTGTCGCTTACAGAACTCCCATGTTCCATGTCAAGGTAACGGCGAGACCTTCCAGCACTTCTTTCATCACATCGGTCATTCATCCAATTTCTCAACGATCCGTCTAATCTATAAAAGCGGCAAACTTCCAGACACCATGACTTGAAATTGGCCGTCTGGGCTAGATCGCATAGTTCCATAGCCTGACCAAGGAATTCCGCGTCATGCCAAAGCTCGTTCGCCAATTGTGGCCACATCAAAGAGGCGTATCTATAGAACGGATATCTGTAGTTTCTGGCCTGAATGAACTTCTCTTCGGAGTTTGTTCTTGCCGGGAGACGAGAAAAGTGCCCAAGACACAAGTAACGAAGGGCGCACATAGCAAGGAGGCGTTTAGTGCGGGTTTCCGACAGCCGATAATCCGAAAACTCAGGGTCTGAGGGTTCGATACTTTCCAAGAACTCCTTGAATGTGTGGTGCGATAGCTCAAAGCACTGCTTATCTGCAGATTTCTTGAGAAACAGGCCGCACTGATTCAAGATTTCTGTCTCGTCAACTTCTGGATATTCCAGCAGGTCAGCATCCAGGCTAGGTATACACGCCACTGACAATGCTTGACACATTTCAAGGATGGTAAGTGGAGGGTCCACAAATGTAGCCAGCTGGAAAGCTGCTTGTACTAGACCACGAACTGCAGGCGGTTGTCGATTGAACTGCCGCAGAGCGAGCTTGTATGTCTCCTCGAGGCTATTTGGAAGCTGCTCCAGAAATTCATTCCGTTCTTTATTCGAGATCAGTCTAGAGAGATGGTCGATTTGATAAGGTATCTGTAGGAAACTGCGCCTCGTCAGTAACTCGACTGTTTCATCAAAACCGGCAAACGACTTACCTCGCTTCACAGCCAAAGCTGAGTTTACTAATCACTTCATCCTTCATACGTGGCTCTTCTAAAGCCAAATTTCCGCTCAAAATTGCATTCTCAACATTCGTGGCAGCCACTAGTTCTAGTTGGTCTGTGGATGCCTCGATCTGTATGTGTTGGAAACCTTCTCCGAGGGCTACTTGGATGTCTGGCTGATGTCGTGAAACCACTGCTAGGCTCATATTCCCACTTTGAGATGACAACGAATCCAAAGTCTCCGTTATGGCAACGACGTTTACTGCACACTCATTCACGCCGTCCGCAACTACCAGTACCTGCTTGAAGTGCCGAGAAACATCCAGAAATATTGCCTTCATGCGTTCTATAGTCGGTTTATCAACCATTCTCTTGCGATTGAGTTCCTTAAAATACTGTTCCAAGATGCTGATTGCTAGAGGATGTTGACGAGCAACTCGGGAAAGTAGCGTGCTCACAATGTGGAAGGGGTCATGAGTTCGAGGGTCTGAGGATTTGCAAAAGACGAAAGCCACAGCGATATTATGTACGTTATAAAGCTTATGTATAGCCTTTTCGATCATTGCTGCTGCGAATGTTGTTTTCCCAACTCCTGGAGGGCCGGTGAGCCAGAGTTTCGAGTTTGGAGTTTGTATCCAGCTTTCGAATACTTGACTTTCAAGCAAGGGATATCTCGTCAGCCTGTTCAGCCCTTTTAATTCTTCGATGAGGAGTCTGTTCTGGCCGAGTCTCGAGAAAAAGTGTACGACTGCATACAACTCAGGCGATTTCACGCAGCGGCCCCGAGTATAGTCCCGTACTTCGAAAAAGCTGTTATCCTTCTTTTCATTACTCGAAAAGCTCAATAATAGCTCGTTCATCGAATTTGCTGTCAGCGCCTTGCTAATTGCATGCTTATGCACAGTCAGTTCTTGTAGTAGGTCTGCTGTCCATGCTTTGGTGAATGGCCATTTGAGTTGCCGGTCCATGCCATCCTCTTCTAGATCTTGGATTGCGTACGCAAGCTTCTTCTTGCTCAATGTCTTCCCAAGGCGGTCGAGAGTCTGATGGCATGAAATCAGTTGTGGTGGCATGGCCAATGCACGAATGCCATACCAATCATCCATGAGATCCATGTCTTCGAAAGAATACGCTAGGAGACAGAGCCGATGGAGCATGCCAGCCATGTCCTGGATCTCATCTGCAATTTCCCGTATCTCTGCTCTCCTTTTGCTGTCAATCCCACGGGCAAGATTATCTTTGGCGAAATCGAAGGTCTGCCGAAACGCAGCATCTGTTACCGCTACCAACCCACGAAGGCTGTCAACGACGCCTTTCGGCTCCATGTTCGTCACGAGTCACTTGGTTGGAACATCCACTCAAGCATAAGTTGGAAAAAGGCATATGGTATCGTAGATTGCACGATACACAACTGACATGCTTAGAAACCCAGCTTGGGCGAGGGGAAGCAGCAGAGCCTCGTCGCCAAATGATTGCGATGTTCGTTGAAAAGCAATTATCAGCCTGGTCTCTGGCTGAGCTGCACGTGTGACGTGGCGCATTATTCCCCGCTCACAGCAGCAGGGAATGTCAGACAATGGCTGGATGATAACATAAACGCTTGCATGCGACTGGACAGACTAGTCAAATAAGATGGGAGAAATTTTGGGCTATGGGCGGCTGCATCGCTAAGCGGATGTAAGACCTGTAGTCGAATCGTCCCAGCTATCTGATCGCCTCATTTTTGGGACTCGCAGTAAGAAATCCGCCAGTGACAAGCTCGTAAATAAGAGGAGAATGTTTGTTTCCATGACCAGGCAAACATGAGATGTTTGAAGCAGACTGCAGCTTGTGTAAAGCTTCTGGATGAAGGTATCCGTAGTTTTTCAGGAGATTTTGCCGTGCTCTGAAGTTTCGCCAAGTCAGACACCCAATCCAACCTTTTGTTTCTTGATCTTACACCATCCGAGACATTTCTATATACATGGGCAAAAGCTATCAGCATTTCTTCTTACATCGTGAAAATCTGCCAACTTCGACTACACCTCGCCTATTGGCTGTATAGAATGAGACACAGCTAGGCAGCCAAATTCGCTCGCTTATGCTGAGACCACTAATCCGCTGATAACTAAGTACTGCAAAGTATCCTTAACAAACAAGTCGTGTTTTTCTAAATCAGCTCGCAATTCGAAACTTCTGGACTCAATACTAGCAACGTTTTCTATTACCCACGATATCTGTATCGAGTACAAAAATCGGCTTAAAACGACTTTGAAGTAACTTGCGCCTCCGGTGTGATCTGCTCACTAAGCGCGCAAAACTTACCTAGTTCTTGGAGGATTCCAGGCTTAACATAAATCGAATCAACATTCTGATTGATCATTCATTGTACGCATGATAGACATATACGGTCAAATCGCAAGCCTGTGTAATTTGGATCTAGTACAAGGTATGAATTACCTTAGTCGCATCACTCTTGAGACCGTCCATCGGTATTGAAGCATGGATGGATTTGTACCAAATTTACATCACAAAAATGTCCAGTCTAGTTCTGTTTCTACAGATACCTTTCAAGAGATCCAAGATCGACAGTTGTACTTTCGCAACTGTATGTACATGAACGATTATCAGGTCGCAACATTATTCGCACGACAAATATGTAAACCCAGAATTTCAAGTCACCAAGCCATACAAGTGGGTCAAATTCAATGCGTTGGACCAACATGATACCTCCAAAGAGTAATTGACTTCCGCGGAGAAGCTGTTGCGGTTGGAGGTGACCTTAATCCGCTCCAAATCTCGCAGTACTTAGGACCAAATGATCACCAACAGATCTATAGCATACCTTTGGAGAAAACATCAGGCTGTATACGAATAAACTGTGGGTTGAAGGACAGTTAGGCCAATGTAATTAGATCCTCCAATCTTCTCCTGTGGCTACGGCTTTTTATTCTAGGCAACCCACTTGTAACTTGACTGTACATCCCTCAGTCAATCCATGACTTGAGAAATGCTATTGGATTCATATACTAGGTAATGCTAAATGTTGCATCACTAATTTTTTTTCCTTCAAAAATAAAATAAAATAACAAGATAAAAAGTTAAAAATGCTGATTAGCTGTGCAAGGTTCCACCAAGACTTTACTCGAGACGACATCAAAAAAATGTAGGGATCCAATCCTGAATCCTTTCAGTCAATTGACTTGGTGTCCACCCTAAAGTCGGGGTTTGCTGGCTTGGATGATGGATCGGCTAACTTGGTCCGCATGTCAAAAAAAGGTTATTTTCCCATCATCAAAGCCGTTTTGAAGTTTCACACTTCATACCGGTTCAGAAACGATGAAAAGAAGCATTCCTCAAGGACAAGGAGGAATGCCAAACAGGTTACAGTTTAAAGCATCCCCGGGAGGGTTACATATATACCCATCAAACCCAACTCGAGACAAAAAGTATCCGTATGGGATGACGGATACAAAGCACACGAAAGGTTAGTAGACGTGCCGTCTCCCAGGGGACCCTGGCTTCCCCGAACCACGCGAATCAAGAACTGTTTATCATTAAAATTACGTGCGAGCGGGGCTCCGCCTCTCGTATCCATGGCCGCCGCTCGTGTCGGCGTTAATACGAACGGCGCCCCAGGCTAGCCCTGCTGGGCAGAGAATGGCGTACCAACACACAATGGCAAAAGGCCCCTAGTTTGCGCCCGAATAAGCAACGGCGGATGCAGGAACGAAATTGGACAGCGCCATCAGGCAACGATGACACAGGATTCATGGTCAGCAACGTGACCCCTGATCCGGTTCGCGCCGCACTCGCGCATGGGAGTTTTTCTGCCACCTCCTGATGGGAATACTAAGTATACATAGTAGGACCAGGGCGTCTTTAGACCCCGCCACTTTCTCCAGCTCTTCCTCCACTTCGAGACGCCTCAACTGCCACCAAAGCTGGAGTGGTAACGCCAGGTAGGTTACAGAACGACCCTTCGCCTGACAGTGGCTTCACAGCCTTCCCACGCTTGCTTGAAGACTGGTCTTGGCTCTGTAGTCGTTTAAGAAGCTGAGATTCTGATTGTTTTAAGGTTTCATTAACCCGGCGACGCCCCCCATCATTACACTCGTTTAAACGTTCGGCATTCCCGTGGCTCGGAGAACCATCGTCTATCCAGCAAATATAACCAACGGCAACGGACTAGGGGCAAGATTGCGAGAAAAGATCTACAGACGAAGACGTAGACGGTCGCGTCGATTGTCAATCACACCACCATGGCGCGCTCCATGGACAATATCAGCGCCGAGAATATCCTCTCTAAGCCTAGAGGCGCAGCCGATGGAGAGTGGACTTACAACGACAGAGATGCTGGCGCAAACACACAGGTTGCTGAGGCGGCGAGGAAAAGAAGGAGGAGATGTAAGCATTCTTTGAGATCTCAAACGATGACAGACACGAACATGCCCGCTGACTCTGACTTACAGGGATCATAATTGGACTTATTGTTGCCTTGATCGTCATCGCTGGAGTGGTCGTCGGCGTCTTATTCGCGAAGAATGTCATCAAGACAGGCTCAGAATCCGCCAAAGACGGTGCTGCCGCTGCTACACAGACGCCAGGCGGCGTGAACGGCGACTCCCCACAACCCACGAGCACATCCGGTCCCACGGCAACTCAGACGACCGGTACTGCCACCAGCTCATCGCGACCGACTTCCGTGTGCTCAACGTCCGACAGCATCCCTGATTCGGCCAAGGGTACTAATTCGGATGTGACCTCGTGGTCTGATATGACTGACTTCAACTGCACTTTCACCAGCGAACTAGTCGGCGGACTGCCCATCGTGGGTCTCAACTCGACATGGGACGACTCCAAGCAAGCCAACCCGGACGTTCCCGCTCTTAACAAGCCGTGGGGTTCGTATACCCAGCGCCCAATCCGTGGAGTCAACCTTGGCGGTTGGCTTTCTCTTGAACCTTTCATCACGCCGTCGTTGTTCGATTATCCTTCCGACGCTGGCGTCCAAGATGAATACACCCTCTGCGCACATCTCGGCAAGGATGCGGCCAAAGTTCTGGAGAAGCATTATTCCACTTTCGTTACCGAGAAGGATTTCAAGGCCATCGCCGACGCAGGCCTGGACCATATTCGGTTGCCCTTTTCGTACTGGGCAGTCAAGACGTATGACAATGACCCATACCCTGCGGGTCTCTCGTGGAGATATTTGCTTCGTGGTATCGAATGGGCCCGCAAGTACGGCATTCGCATCAAGCTCGATCTTCACGGCCTCCCCGGTAGCCAAAATGGTTGGAACCATAGTGGCCGGTCGGGAACTGTCGGTTGGTTGAAGAGCTCAGGCCAGGATGTCAACTTCAAGCGTTCCCTCGAAATTCATGACCAGGTGTCCAAGTTCTTTGCCCAGGACAGATACAAGAACATCGTTGTCTTTTACGGTCTGGCCAATGAGCCCGCGATGAGCATTCCGCAGGACGAGCTGACGAAATGGACGAGCGACGCGTACGAAGTGGTCCGCAAGAACGGCATCAGCGCCACTCAGGTCTTTAGCGAGTCGATGAGGGGTCTCGAGGCCTGGGGCGGCAAGCTGACCGGCTACGGCGACTCGCTCGCCATCGACGTCCACGAGTACGTTATTTTCGACGTCAACATCCTCAAGTTCAAGCATGCCGAGAAGATCGCCTACATCTGCAAGACGTGGACGGCACAGCTGCAAGGGAGCATGGCAAAGACCGCCGGGTTTGGCCCTACGATGGTCGCCGAGTGGTCCCAGGCCGACACGGATTGTACTAAGCACCTCAACGGTATGAACGCCGGATCGCGCTGGGTCGGCACTTTCGCGGGAAAGACTACCCCTGCATGCCCGACCGAGGATAGCCAGTGCAGTTGTGACCTGGCCAATGCTGATCCTTCAACCTACACCGCGGAATACAAGGCCTTTTTGTTGACTTGGGCCGAGGCTCAGATGTCCGTCTTTGAGAAGACCTGGGGTTGGTTCTACTGGACCTGGAAGTCGGAGTCGGCACATTTGTGGAGTTATGAGGCCGGCTTGAAGGGCAAGTTCCTACCGGCCCGCGCCAACGAACGCTCATGGGACTGCTCCAAGCCGGTACCCAGCTTCGGCAACCTGCCAGAGTATTATTAGACACGGGTTCTATCTAATTCTATGTCGAATATTGACGGCGTATAATATTTGAAAGGTATTTGGTAATGTTGGTAATGTAGATCAGGTACTATTCATAAAGTAGACCGTAATTATGAAATAATGCAACTACGCAACGTAATGATGTAAACATAGCCTCTCCTGAACGTGGATACATTTGTGATTTGGCGCATAAGTTTTACCCATCTATTGAGATGAATGATAGTTCAACACCTGTGAAGACGCATCAGTTGGATAACGTCCCACACCCACTTCTGGGCACCCCCCACATTTGGGCACCCCATTTACACCAAAAACGCCGTTTTTCGAAATTCTATATTAAACTAACTACTATACTTACTAAGAAAAGAAAATATATATAAACTATGTTAAGTATAATTATAGCCATCTAATTTTTTATAAAGGTTTAAATATAATAATAGTTATGATATAGAAGTTTAAAACTAAAAGCTTTAAAATGTTAGTAGATACTAGTAACTTACTAGTATTCCTTAACATTAGAAAAATATATTTTCGCTCATATATACTTATTTAAAAAATCTAGGAAATTAATATTTATACTTATTAAAAGTATATAATTATATCTAAAAGAGATTTAAAAGTATTACTTTAGTAAATATAGTATAATTAAGGGTTAAAATTCTATAATAGAAACTTTTCTTAAGGGAAATTTTAAAATATTATTCTAAGCTTAAAGAATTTTTTACTAAGTATAAGAATATATAAATCTACTATATCTTACTTAAAAATTCTAATCATATTAGTTAAATATCTCTACCTATTTTATATATTAAGATATAGGCTAGGTAAATTAGTATTATAAATGTTAAACCTTGAATTTATAATACTTATTATTAATAATACTAGTATATAGCTACTTAAGTATTATAATTAAGTCTTAATCTATTTAATATATATTTATTCTCTTTAATAAGTAAAGTATTTAGTTTAATATAGAATTTCGAAAAACGGCGTTTTTGGTGTAAATGGGGTGCCCAAATGTGGGGGGTGCCCAGAAGTGGGTGTGGGACGTTACTTGCGAGAGATTCAATGAACTTCACTCTGGGTTCATGGTTGACAGACTACATTTGAGACTTACAACAGGCTTTCCCTTATAAATCATCCTTGCCCAATGCATTTTGTATAAGCAATCGTGTTTTTTTTTTTTGTTTTTTTTTTTTTTTTTTTAATAAATTCCCTTTGAATGCGGAGTTCGCTGGGTTAATCGCAAGAACCTCTTGAAACTATCGAGGTTTCCCCCCGCGAAGTCAACTCGCAGCTAAGCGTACAGCACGACTGAGAAACGTGTCTGTTGGGCCTTCAAACGAAATCAGGTACAGGCGTGGCGTCTACAATAGCCAAACCGACCATTCAGTTCTCCGGAGCAACGTCTCAGAAAGTTGTGGTTGAGTGGCTCTATTACTTCTCAGACCACATCGTCAGCGGCATGCTTCGTAGCAAACACGCGTGGTGGCTAGTAGTCAGGGCTCTCCAGCAATGGTATGGGTGATCATGAACAGTCGCACACAAGCAAAACGACTACCCTGACAACAAAATCTCATCACGTCCAAACAATCACCTTAGCTTTAGTCTGAACTGTATCTACTTGGGATGACTCGCATGACGTCGAGTCAACCGGGATCAGCCCAACCCTGGAACAGACCCAATTTTCCGTCTTTAAGCATATTCAAGACGCAGAACAACTGCCAATGCAGGTCTGCAACATCAACACAGTTTTTCTCAATCTTGAGGTGAGTTAGTCTGGTTCGTGAGAATCAGCATCAGCTTATTCGCAGCTATCCATAATGTAGAACGGCAACTGACAGGAAATCTGGCGATATCCTTGGTGGGCCCTGACTAAAAATACAGTTGCCTTCGAGACTGCGGACGAGTCCGGGCCAATGCTTGAAGGACAACGTTAACAATATGCCCCACGTTGGGCACAATCTCGACACCGATTTCGGTAAGTTTCGCCTTCCGGGCACCCCGGTATAGTCGGCGTCGGCATTTATGCTTGACGTCCGGAGATTGCCGGTTTAAAGTGATCGCCAAAGAGTATTTTGCCGTTGCTGTCTGTGAATAGATGGACATGTAAGCCTTTACACCTGATACTACCGTCATTGGATCACAGTGACGCGATGAAAAAGCAAGGTATTTGTCTTAATGCTGACGGCTGCTCGCTTTTCCTCCTGCGGGAATGTCCCTCCTGTACTGAAGAGCTTCCATTCGCCTAATAAAAGGTGGAGTGAAAACCAAGATGAAAGGATCATCCGCGAAACCACAATGTTCGCTGGATGTGTTGGAATTGGTCATATTCCTCGGTTAAAAGGGGGTCTCGAAATTGCATCTCACGCTAAAAGTCTCTCCACCAAGCGTGCATGGGCCAGTACGAGATTTCAATGTGCTATATATGACTGAACGACAATATCCTCTTCGAAGTGGCAAAAGATGTTCCCTTCAACTTCACGATACAGAAGATTATAGTCAAAATGCGGTCATTCGGTCTTGCCAGCAACCTTGCGGTGTCGTTTGCCGCTGTCGTGAACACAGCAAACGCCGCCCCGATCGACGACACGACACAGCTGCCGCAAAGAATTGAATGGAGAAGCCTCTCGGATGCCGGAAAAGCAGATTACATCACGGCAGTAAAATGTCTCGACAGTAAACCATCAAAAATTGGACTCGAAACCTCGCGATACAACGATTTCCCCTACGTTCATGCCCAGCTCAACATCCAAAGTGAGCTTGCAGTCTCTTCCAGTCATTTGTGAACTACTACTAACTCAGGTCTAGTCCATTTTGTGGCACAGTTCTTGCCATGGCACAGGTACTTTGTTCACATCTACGAGACGGCGCTACGAGATGAATGTGGTTACACGGGTCCCATGACATACTGGGACTGGACCCTTGACTCTGACGACATGTCCAAGAGCCCGGTCTTCTCAACAGATGCGACCACGGGATTCGGAGGAAACGGCTTGAACGGCGGCTTGACCTCGCCATCACGTCCTAATCCGTTGGTTATGTGCGTTACCGAGGGTGCTTTTGGTAACTTTACGGTGTCGTACTTCAACACAGCACTGCGGGCGCATTGCTTAAACCGCGGTTTCAACAACGGCTTGGGTGTTGACAACGGCAAGTTTCAAGGAAAGCTTTACTCGCCTGAGAAGATTGCCGAAATTACCGGAAACTCTCACAACTTTTCCACCTTTGCAACAGTGTTGGAAAATGAGCCTCACGGAGCGATTCACCAGTCCGTCGGCGGAGATCTCATCCCGTCAACATCTCCAAATGGTAAGCCCTTCGTCGATCCGGGCTCACCTTTTAATACTGACGCTCTCGGCAGACCCCCTCTTCTTCCTTCATCACGTGCAAATCGACAGACTTTGGTGGTTGTGGCAACAAGAAGACCTCGAGACCCGCACGAACGATTTCTCGGGAATCAGGATCTTGGCTTCTGGCCAAGTGGATGAGCAGCCGGCGTCTTTGAGCGACGCACTGCCGATGTTGGGTCTCGCGTCTGACATACCTGTGCAGCAGGTCATGTCAACGAATACCGACTTCTTGCGATACAAATACTAGCCTGAGAAGTGTAAAAGAAAAATAAAATGAAGTTCTCAAGCCAGACTTGCGTGTATCTCAGCTCCAGAACGCCGAGTCGATTCAACGTTTCAAGTGGTTCGTCTTAAATTATCCATAAAGACTGATGAAAAAAACGGAAGTCCGCACTGTTCTGTTTCGACCTGCCACGAATTGCAAAGTCATAACAAGCTGGGTATCCCCAAGGAGTTAAAAACGCAATTAACCAACGTTCAGTGCTAAGACTAGACATCCAAGGTGGTAGGACTGGAAGTGACATATGGTCAAGTTGATCCCTCCAGCCAATATCGTTGGTATTTCTACTATCAAGCCCACCAATATACAGCACTTCGTCTTAGACTGGCGACCAGCGATGCCAGGATAACAACCATTTAGCCAAACCATTGGAACTTCGAAATCTCCAAGCTATTTTTTAAATGTGATACAATTGCGGTCATATCAAGGATACTACCTTGACCAATACCTACTTCGTTACTTTCAATGAATGTCACGGCTTGGATATGTTAGGCTGCCTAGCAAGATTTCTCGGACAAACTTATCGGTTCTTCAGACACATCAAATCAAAACGACAGAAAAGTACGAATGAACAATACTGGCAATTGTGTTACCCTATTTGATGAGAGAATATCTCAGGGTTATCGCTGACTGAGGGGCATCGTACACCCAGATTGAGCAATTCAATTTAGTCATAGATGCGAGTGAAATATGGGCATTTGGGAACTTCGTCGTCTTAATCGACAAACTTTGTACCAAAATGGCCAGTGGTTCAGTGGTAAAGCTTCCCAGCTGCTGTAGGAGGAGAACACGTGAGTCCGACTTGAAGGATCCAGTAGTTATTTGTAGACTACTTCCTGAAACGATGTGAACGCGTTAGTATTGCAACGCTCGGGCTTCACGCCGTGAGTTACTTCAAGCCCAATTTGTGTACAGCGCCTAGGGGCATCACCTCACTTCATGCAGGCCAACAACTGAACTTGTTAGGATCACATGGGTGCTCGTAAAGTGGGATAGATTTCTGAGGGGAAAGCTGGAGTTTATCCTTGTGTCTGGTCTCTAGGAAGAAGTTCCAGCAGAAGTACTGGCTGAATAAATCGTACATCATATACCCGTATGTCTGGCCGTCCTTCACGTGGGCAGCCCTGCTGCCGGCAGGTTTGCCGGCGATGGAGCTAGTTCGACCCGGAGCTCTGGCTATCGCAAAACGAATGCTGAGAACCTATCACTTTATGAAATACAGATATCAGATACCGAAGAGTAGACGCCACTGCTGTGAATCCAACGGACGACCAAGAAAAAAATCGAAGAAGAGAATGGCTTACTGAAATTTCCAAGATGCATTAAGTTGTGAAGAAAATATTGTAATTCATTGCACCATCGTCTTGGTTTGTTAGAGGCATTGCTGAGTTTTAAGTTCTCCTTGGCAACGGGCTACTTCTCATCCCTTTTTTCCATAGATATTTTGGTCGAATCGGGCGGTTTCCAATGTCTGCCATCTCTAGCGGCGACGTTGGCTAGCCACATCCAAGCTCGCACGCTACCAAGCCATTCATGCAAGCCTGACTCATGTTGAACTGCACAAGGCAGATCATGCAGACACGTTTTACAATGCATGGGATGGCTGTGTGGTTTTTGAATGAGTAGTTCTTTTCAAGCAGCCATTGTAGCTGAACGCTAAGAATGTAGGTCGGCGCCCAGGCATGTGAATCTGGAAAGCCCTTAAACTTGGACTAGTGTCCATCTGACCACCCCAATGAAGTATAGAAAGCTTTTGAACCTATATTCATGAATGGAAGCAACATATGGCAATGGAATTGGTGCAGACTGAAAAGAACACAATGTTTCTTTCATTGCTGAGAGGTTGTGGTATGGAACATGTAAAATAGCGTCTCCAACCGTCGATTAGCAGCACCCAAACTACTCAGCATGGGTATAAAACTTTGACCTGGTCAATTAGTAGTTCCGATTACCGACAACTAAAAAGAGCGAAATTTAGAGTTAATCTAGGTTGGAGACATTTGATGCGTAACAGCGGGTATCGAACACCCTCTCGCTCGAAAAGACGCCCAAATAACCAGGATGAGGCCTGTGAAAGCTGGTGTAAGCTTGGGCCCCAAGTCACACTCATAACTGTCGCCATCTCACCCCCGCAAGCACGACATCAACGAAAATTCCTTTGGCTTTCCTCATTCTCTCACTGCATTCTTGGCAATGCAACGACGGGTAGCGCAGGACAAACGAGCTGCCTCTAACAACATTTACGGGCGTTTATAACTAGCCGAAGTAACTCCACTTGTGTCCACAATGTCTTGGTGAACTCCCAAATCCCCATGGGCCCCCAGAAACCGCCAAGGCAATTTGTCTTGGTAGACTGTATCCCAAGCCTATCCCTTGGATCACATCCCTTGGGCTTTCTTCCACTGACCTTCCCCAACAGGAAAGACTTTCTCAAATGTTTTTGTGAAGTCGACGCCGCTGCCCAGAGGTATACGGGCCCGGGCCTGCTGACGCCCTCTTGGCGCCGCCACCCGCCTTGTCCGGGTCCTCTCCAACCGGGCCATTCAAAGGTCATCCTACATCACCAACGTCCAAACAACGAGGAATCACTGGACGCCAGCCTAGTCGCGAAATTGCTGGCATTTATGGCGATTTACTTTGAAAGAGGCAGCTGAAAATTTCAAATTCTACTCTTGTGCCCTTACCGGGCGTCTTCATCACCTCGCTTCAACATAACACCCACCCCTGTGGCGCTTACTTGGAGCTTTAATCCCTGCCGGTACATCTCTTGTGATATGAATGAAGCAAAACAAAATTTCGGCGAGCCAAAGTGGGGTCTGGACGTTGGTGGGCGAGGCTATTTTGTGGTTTCCCATGCCTCTGGTTCGTCCGTCCAGACAGGTTCACCAACCCTTTTGAGGTCTTGGGACACCTCCAACTGATTTATTTGCCTTTAGTTCAAGGGTTTCCATCTACATGGGACCAGGCAGCGAGTCGGCGCGAATCTTGCGTGACGTTGCATTGCGATGACGTGCGGGGCCTACACACAAACACGAAAGTTCTGCATGGGCTCTTGTCTTAGGTTTGCGATGCAGTGGCAGCCGGCATGCAGGGCTGGGCACATATATACCTCCTAGCTCCCCTGGGTTCCCGCGTTCCGATGGTCTGGCCTTATCTCAGCTCTGAACTCAATCTCCCCGTTCACTAAGGCGGGCTTCTGCAGCTTTGTCGCCTCAACAGTCGCCCCTCACTGAGTTCAGACGACCGACGAGAACGAGCCATGAGTGAACCACTCAAACACGACCACTATGTCGGCGAGGCCAGGCGTGACGTCCCCCGAGACGATGCCTCAGGCGAGGTGGGAGTGGTGAAGAACCAGGAGACATATGCCTACTCTGAATCACGGAAGATTGGCGTCACGGGTGCCGTTTTCTTGATCCTCAACAAGATGATCGGCACGGGTAGTAAGTTTGCAACGGCGCGGCCACTCCCGCCTAGGTCCCCCGTTGTGAGACATGCTCACAAGTCTTGTCCGTTTAGTCTTCTCAACCCCGTCTGGAATTTTCCAATCGACCGGTTCCGTTGGCGTGAGCCTGATGCTCTGGGTCATCGGTGGCATCCTCACCTTCTGTGGTCTATCCGTCTTCCTCGAGTTCGGCCTTGCAATCCCCCGGTCCGGCGGTGAGAAGAATTACCTCGAACGCGCATACAAGCACCCCAAGTACCTTGCGACCTGCGTTCTAGCGTCGCAGATGATTCTGCTCGGTTTCTCGTCCGGAAACTCGCTCGCTTTCGGCCGATACGTCCTCTTCGCGTCGGGTTCCACTGCCCCCGACGGATGGGCGGCTCGCGGCATCGGTATTGCTGGCGCCACCTTCGCCGTCGGCATCCATGCCGTCACTCCCAAGTGGGGTGTACGTCTGTTTAACGTGCTGGGCGTGTTCAAGGTTGGCGTTCTTTTGTTCATCGTCTTCTCCGGCTTTGCTGCACTTGCCGGTCGTCGCCGCGTGCCTGATCCACACAACTTTGACAATGCTTTCCGCATCGAAGAGGGAGAAGGATATGGCAATGGTGGCGTTTACGGCTATGCGACTGCCTTGCTTCGTATCATCTACAGTTACAAGGGCTGGGAGAACGCCAACTACGTCGTCGGCGAACTCAAGAATCCGCGCAAGACCCTGGCAATTGCTGCTCCCATCGCCATTGGTGGTGTCACCGTCCTCTACGTCCTTGCCAACGGTAGGCTGCCCCAAACAGTTCTGGCAGTTTTTGGAGAATACTAACCAGCCTCCGTAGTTGCATACTTCGCTGCCATTCCCAAGACCGAGCTCGCCACCTCTGAGGTTATTGTCGCTGGTGTATTCTTCCGCAATGTCTTTGGTAACAGCGCTGGAGCTCGTGCTCTGCCTGCGTTCGTGGCCATCAGCAACTTGGGAAATGTGCTTGCCGTCAGCTTCGCCCACGCCCGTCTCAACCAGGAGTTGGCCAAGGAGGGCCTACTGCCCTTTAGTCGGTTCTGGGCCTCTAACAAGCCTTTCAATGCCCCTGCTGCCGCGGTATGTCAGATGGAAGATCATCAGCAAGGCGCCCATGCTAACTATGATGTAGCTGTTCCTACACTGGATCGTTACTGTGATCGTTCTCGTTGCTCCTCCTGCAGGACCAGCCTACAACTTCATAACTGACCTCTACGTTGGTTTTTTCAAATCCCAGCTTGTGAACGTGGAGCTAACACAAGAGTACAGACATATCCTGGAGCTTGGATCAATGCCTTCGTCGGAATGTATGTTTTATGCCACTCAACTCACCTCCTACTCCTTATCTTTCATTGGCTAACCCTTATACAGTGGTCTTCTCTACCTTCAATGGAACAAAAAGGAGAATTGGTCATCACCGTGGCACACCTACTTCCCGATCACCGTCCTTTACATCTTGGCCAATGTGTTCCTCTGCCTCGTGCCCTTCATCCCCCCCACTGGTTCCTGGACTGCCGAGGGTTACCCGTACTACATCTTCCCCATCGTCGGCGTCGGTGTGTTGCTCCTTGGTGCCGCCTACTGGGTGTGCTGGACCAAGATCTGGCCGTCATTTGGAGGTTACAAGATTGTGGCCGAGCGTATCTATGACGACGAGGGCAATGAAGTCATCCGCTATCGCAAGGTCAGCACCAAAGGTCACTCTGGGCCGATTGACTAGAAGGTTATTATTGGTTACTGTCTAAAGCCCTTGTCATTTCTGGAAGATCAGTAAGCCATAGAGTTACGGCGCAACAAGGGGTAGAGGCTGATGTGGTAAAGATGTCAACCTTGATCAAATTGACACTACTCAAACACTAATGATACATAATAATATACCCCAACATATATTTCACGAGAGTATGTTACTCCAGTCTGTCACGTTCCAAACCCTCAGTGTCTCCTGGCTCCCGGTACTGGCCACTAGGCTTGGCGTGACGAGTGCGCTCGTCCAAGATATTACTCTTATCAATAGCTTCTTTATCGTCACGCTCTATTGTGTCTATTAAAAGACTGTTCCTTAGGTTTCTGAAGGGCGCTTACCTAGCTGCTCATCGGTATCGGCGGTTCGAGCGTCGATAGGATCCTCAACTTTGGCATCGTCGGCCTGGACGCTGATGGGCTGACCTCGCTGAGACGGGCGTGAGACGTATTCACTATCCTGGTACTCGCCAGTAGGGGCCTCGTTGGAAGACATGGTGATAATCGATGAGAATGTAAGTACTTGGTGACAAGTTGTTTAAAAGCTTTAGCAACGTTGGTTGTTTCTTGCGCTGTTGATGATGAAAAGGAACCGAGAAAGGATTCTTGATACTTTCATGCACTTCATATACAATCTCAACCTCACCCAGTATTCGTGAGTTCTACAGTTGATCAAAACACCTCTGGTAATGTCATAGATCTCATCATTGGCATCACTCAATCTATGACGCTCTCATTTACGCGAAGAAGCGCGCTCAGCGCGCTGTGAGCTCAAAGGTCCTAGCACCCATACTTAGACCTTCAACTAAATGGGGCTTGCATTCGCACTGCGATTCCCGATGCCGCTAGCAGCGCCACGAGCAAGCAAGCATCATTATATTGGCCTAGCGAAAGACATCCGCCCAAACTGCTTCCACCTTGCTGGAAATCTTAAATTTCTGGAACCCAACCACGATCGTCCTCGATCAAGGGTTCAAGTTCCGATTGGACCTTGTTCAGTCATTAAAGCAGGGTCCCTGAAACATAAAGATGGTCAAATCGCGCACCGACCGTCCACACCTCTCGGTGAGCAACCTACCATTTTCTTCCATTATTTATTCATACCGGCGATACTACGAATTCACCGCATTACTTTTTATAGACCCGCTCGGTCTGACATCAGAACATGTTTCAAGCAAGTCCCCAAGGGGGGGGGGGGGGGGGGCGGATGCGCGGGCCGCATCATATTGACGTTTGCCATCGCCCCATCACCCCTCAAGCTCGCACCGAAGCGGTAATGATCTTCACCGGTTTACATCACCCGTTCAGGAATAACCAAGTTTAATGCTGCCCAGTCGAGTACCAAATACCAGTTTGGAGACTGCTCAGGTTTCCTTTCATTTACATAGGCCTGTCTTAACAATATGAAGTAACAGTTTCTTCCTTTTCCCAGTGCCATCTTCTTCCCCCTTCCAATTTGAATGAGCGATCCCTCACTGCGGATGATATCGACCCCTGACCAAACATCACCGAATATCCTGGATCGTTCACAACCCTTTCTCATCGCGATCCCTTAGACCCTAAAGCCAAATATAGGCGTCACACTTTAGAATTAAGGATCAAGCTCATTGTCTCCGATAGGCTATCGCCTTTGAGTTGTGCAGCTTTTCCTTTTCTGGCCTGCCCACGAGCCTTTCAATTCGCGAACGTGGGAAGTTCCCGATAACTCGGGCCGCTTACGGATCAGCCATGCCGTCACGAGACTCCGATCGCCGCCATAGAGGACGGGATGCCTATGATGACGACGACGATCCCTACTACGACGATGACTACTACGACCGACCTCGCGCATCACGCCGCGTCTCGCGAAGCGCCCATGAATTAGACGCTGCCGAGGCTGGGCGATCCCGCCGTCGTCGCGACCACCACCACCACGATGCCAGCCCAGTTCGGCATAGCACCCGATCCCGATCGCTCGACCACCGACCGCCCCCCAGACGCCGCCGTGACAGTTATGATTCGTACTCGGATTACTCCGACAGCGAAGACGACCGACGTCGACGCCGCCGCGACAGAGACCGAGGATACAACAGCGGCCGGCGGAGAGATAGTAGAGTCTCTGGTGCATCATCCTCACGCTCTCGACTACCGAGACGGGAGTCTGATAAGTCACACATACTTCAGGCAGCTGCCAGCGCTGCTGTGGTCGCCGGCGCGACTGAAGCGTGGCGGATGAGGAAAGACAAGACTTCATGGCAAAAGAAGGGGACCAAGATGGCCACGGCAGCGGCGGGCGCCGCTGCCATTGCCGCGTTCAAGGACAATGGGCCCAAGGACTATGGCAAGAAGGATGCGGTTGGGGCCACTATTGGAGGATTATTAGTCAATCGACTTGCGAACGGCATGAACAAGAAATAATGATTGCAAAGAGGGGATTATGCACACGAACACATACATTCAGACGGATTTCTACATCGGCATCATATAATGACGTACGGAGTAACGACACCATAGATCCTCCTAGACGACGATAATGATATACCAGGCGTTCGGTTTCTCAAAAAGAAGGATATCGGTTTCTTCCTCCAACGATTTGATTATTTCCTAGACGGATGGACCGTGAGACTATGGTAAAATGCTTGACACAACCTTTTTGAGGTGGCGGCGATGCCATGCTACGAAACTTGACAATGGATGAAAGACTATTTTGTAAACCTATGCTGACCAACCTCTTCAGCAGTCCATCCATGTGTCTTCTGGTTGGAGGGAAGATTACAAGGTAAAATACCGAGTACCCGGGCAGTGGTAACTGACACGGGCACGTAGAAGCGATGCCATGCTAAGGTGCTGTTAAACCATAGTTGGTCACCCTTTTACCGTGTCGGGATGAGTGCTAGTGAGACGCCTTCTCTGCGGACTTTATACCAATTCTGAACAGTCTTGCCCATAAACTACGAATGATGATCTTACTTCCATACTAACCAACTTAGCGGTGGTCACTTTTTCAAGATAGCGAGGTTGCCAAATCAGCCATATTGGCAGAGCCATGGGTACATAGCGAAAGGATTCAAGCCATCTCCATCGTATTGTAGCGCCGTGAGATAGTTATCCATGCAGTACAGTGTAAGATTACACGGAATATCAAAGTAAGTGCTTACAACGGTCATCAGCCCCTGATCCCTCCAGATAGCAAGGTTGAAATCCTTCAACAGCCCACTTCAATGTCATCCTGACATACAATGACCTTCAAATCTTTAGGTATAGGATACACACGCTGATTGATGTTGCAATATCTGACCATTTTATGTTTTCTTTGTGGCAAATAAGCCTAGATCATGATCGCATCAAAGTATCCGGCGAAGAAAGTCTAGGCAAACTGAGCCAAACTAAGCAAGCACCACGTACTGTTCTCCTCTAAGCCCGAGCGAGTGACGAAGTGGTTTGAGAATACCCAAATCAGACATCTCAACACTACGAATAGCCCGATTCGAGCGGCTTGCAGATGCCACAGCTGCATCGAAGCTTTCGGCGTGCGCTCGTAGTATTGTTGCAATCATGACAACGCTGCATTAGCCTAGGCCGATCAACACTGACGCCCTTGTTTTCTCAATGTAGCATACATTCATTCAGCGGTGTGCCTGAAGTCCACAGGAGCCTGGAGGTACAACCACCCAAGCTTTGTGTGCTTTGACGCAGAAGTTGAAATCTCACCATATGTAGCATCGTCCAAAGATGGCTAGCAGATATGTGACAGAAAAAGAATCAGAGGGGCGAGGCGAAGCTTATCATTGGTAAAAAAACACCGTGAATACGCGTCGGCGGGGTCGTGATTGTCTTTCTCTGACAACCCATACGGACCCCTGACATCACGCCAGTTGAGCACGACAAGAACCAAGCTGATAGGCCCCCTTACACAAGCCATGTCCATCTTCAAGTACACATCCAAACAGGGGGAAACATGATGGGGCAAATGTGAGTTGGACTCAGCCGGAAACTAGTCAGACAGCATCCATGAAGCTTGGGATCACAGAAGCTGCCTTCTCGTATTAAAGTTCTGGGCGGCATCCGTAAGCTTCCCCGAGCCCGCTTAGCCTAATTGAGTTCGCAACTGTGAGGATGGCCAAAACTCTGCTTCGCGCCGAAAACACGTGCATATTGCGGAGAGGCAGGCTTGTGGGTCAGTATGGCCGGGATCATGAGTGGTGATGTGGCGTTTACTTCTGTCTCGAAGCCGGCGACTGGCGGAGGTTTGTGTCAGAAACTGTTAGGCCACGAGCAGGGATTTAAGCAATGAGATGTTGGGAAGTGGCATGCCTGTGTTTTAGTAAATGATTCGATGACCTGCCAGCCACAGTAATCATCAAGTCGAAACGGCCTGGTCGGCAAAACCTATGACCAACCCCAGCCGTGCCTCATTGCAGGGCTGGGCGCGGAGTTGCCATCAACCCTCCCGGCATTGCAGTGTCCATGTCATGACACTAAGTAGTATCTTTACATCCTGAATCAGTAGCCCCCTTTCCGGGAATGCCAGCATTTCGGAGAACGTCGGTTCAAACATGGAGTATACTGACGGAGCTCGAGGGCCCAGTCCAGACCGACCGCGACGTGCAGCCCACTGAACAACAATCCCCGGTACGAGGCAAGGGTGGAGGAGCCGAGTCCCATTTCATGGTCCGTTCGCCGCGCTACTATGCATATCTTGCTTCGGGGATGGTGTGCTCCTCAGGTTATCTCTCCGCTGGATTGGTAGTGTCATGCCGGCAGGACTTTAGCCATCTATCAGGAGCACCATTCTGGACCAGGTTGGGTGATTGTGTTACCATTAAAGGCGGGGCCGGGCAAAGTGAGATTAGAAATTTGTAGTCCGGAGCCAATTCCGACAACCAATCATGTGGCACAATCCTGAAGTCTATGCGGAATGCTGCATTCGTTGGAGACACTGCAGACGCCACCGCAGATCCAGGGTGGGATTATGGGCACTTCTCGTCTTACGAATTCTTTGGGGTCCCTCTAGAACGGTGTTTGATCCTTCACTGGCATTCCAGTGAACGAGGCCTGTTGATAAACAATTGCCAGTCTTTTCATATTAGGTCGGTTTCCGCTATCTCTCGAGAAAGGATGTCCATCTCTGGTAAAGTCCTTGCGCTGCCTAGTGCTCTCTGCGGTACTTATCCTGTACTGAAAACACCCATATTCAGGGAACAGTATTCAAAACAGAAGACATCACACACATGGCTGCTTGATGACGAGCTCTTGCGCGGCAATGGCGGAGTCTTTGCAACCCCTGAACCAGCTTTGCCGCCCTCCCCCCGCGCAGGAACTTGCGTTAAGATCAGCACAGATGTCTGCAAGCTACAATCATATCCGCGCAAATATGAGGTCTCACTTTCGTTACGCAGCCTACTCCACTTCCAAATCCGCATCTTGGCATAGCTGACACGATCACCTCATGGCCACCACCTCTCTCCACTAGAGAGCGTTGGGCGCAAACTATACCTCTGCCGGGATTAAATATGTTAGCGTCGTCCCGTGCTAACTCTTTGAGTATCTGATGTTCGAAGTCTTCTCAGGCGCCTAAAAGGCGACCTATCAGGAAACAGTTACAAGTTACACTGTCACGGCGATGTTCTCCGGGTTTTTTGGGCCTAAGTGATGTTTCTCCCACCAAGTTTTCTGTGGTAGGAACAGTCTCTAGAAATACTGGCCATTTAAAGCTCTTAGCGTCAACAAGTGGACTAAGTCACAAACTAACATATTTAATCCCGGCAGAGGTATAACAAGCTGATTCAAAACGCCAGATGGGGTCCCTTGTTTTTGGGGGGGTGGGGGGGGGGGGGGGGGGGGGGGAGGACATAGTCTTGCTCGTGATAATGTCTGTCTGCATGTATCTGGGTCCCAACAGCTCAGGGGACGATGCCCCGCCAGACGAGGTTGCATCCAACTCAAGCAAGGCACGCCTCGAGCTTCTAGGAACAGGGGACTATAGCTGACTTTTTCCCAGGGTCCATCTACCTTGCTGGGCTGGAATTGCCTGCCGAATCATCTCATCAAAGGCACTAAACACCGAAAGCATCCTGGTCTCACAAGTGACAACGTTCTCCCAAGGATACAGTGCCTAAGCTCAGCTTGCTGCTTTCTCTTGTTCCGGGTTATCGACAATCTGGAGCTTGTTCCGAAGGGAACTGCTGCACCGCAAAATGATTCCCAACAACTGATTTGTAATACTCATGAAGTCCCCATCCTATACTGAACGCCGAAAGATCCTCATGTCGCTCTGAAGAACAAGTTACAAAGTGCCATTTGGCATCATCCCCGCCTAACGACGGTTCCGCTTGTAGCCCCCCATTCCCGTGAACCCTATTATCGTTATTTTTCGCTTTTTATTTTTCCATTCCCTGCTGACCCAATAAGAAACAAGGGCTTATCCTTGTGCATATGGCCCAAAAAAAAAAAAAAAAAAGAGAGGTCCAGACAGAGTGAGAAGATGGCAGAGCATGCCATCACCTGCAGGCCGGCCCAGTGCACCCCACTGGATCTCCCGATCTCACCATCCTTGTCGCCCCTGCCATACCGGTTTTACTCTTCTTGTCGTCAGGGTTTACTCCGTCCAGAACGTAGTTTGTAGCCTGTGAGCGTAACCAGCTGCTTATCGCTGGGTGGTTACACCGGGCATGTTCCATGAGCGCGTTCTTCACAGTCATTACTTCGTTTAGGACCTCTGAATACTGGCGTTGAAGCTCCTTGTTGCGGGCTTCGGCCTCGTTCTTAGCGGCTTGCAAGTCTGCCGTCTGCTGCTTCTGCTTCTGCCAGTTGCGGGCCGAGGCCTGGCGATGGCGCTCTCGGTTTTGCGGGGGCTGTTGAGATGGGGATTTGCTTTGTCTCGGCAATACGTTGGCGTCGTTTTCTTCAGCGTCGATGTCGATGGGAGTGGAAGCAGAGGTTCCGGCGGTAGATTTCCGCTTCTTCGGTGGTGTTCCCATGGTGAATTCATTCTCAGTTGCGCTAGAGGCGACATTGGCCGGCGTCATCTCGGGGAACGAGTAGCTGGATGACAGGGATGAACTGATCGTCGTGGGAGATGGGGTGGCCGGTGGGATAGTGTAGGTGCTTGAAGCCTGACTCGGAGGTGTAACAGTATTTTGCGTGTTCAGCCACGGCAAAGAATCCGAAGTTGAATAACTGGAGAAACTCGAAAATGCAGGATTTTGGTCACTCTGTGCCCACCAACTGGCTGCCCCAAAATCATCGGTAGGAACAGGGTTGCCAGCTGGTTGTCTAGAGGGGCCCATTGGCGGATTCTGGCTATCCAAGAACATGCCAAATGTTGCTGGGGGACTATACTCCATGGGGGAAACGATGTCAGAATGAGCTGTCGGTGCCATGCCGCCGTAGTTGGGCGTACTGAAGACTGGTATCATTGATTCGGGCTGCTGTGCAGATAGGTTTGGCTGAAACCTCTCCTCTTCAAGAACCCCTTGAATATGCCCGGCCTCTGGGTGGCTAAGTCGTCCAGAAACGGAATAATTCAAAATCGGGGGAGAAGTCAAAGAGTTTCGCGAAGACAAGCTTGAAAGTTCGCGGTAGTTTTGGTCCGAGTAATCCGGCGTTTCGTCGTGGTTCTCCTTCTCCGGGGACGAGGTAAATCCTGTAACTGAAATAGTCTCATAGATTCTCTCAAGTGGCTCACCACTCCAAAGTCGGAGGAGGACATCATGAGTTTGGCCTGGGGCTGCTAGAGCCTGGAGCACTGCGTCGCGTTGACGTTGAGCATCTTTGAGCTCTTCAAGCTCAACTTGAAGGCTTCGCTTTGTCTGATACGACCTGGTCTCATATTTGCACTTCAATCCCCGAGAGCTGCATCTCGAGCATGGATTATCTCCATCGCACTACACGCAGTACCGGTTAGAATAATGATGGAGTGGTTGACATGTACGGACAGAGCCACGCAGTACCTTTGCCTTCTTCTCCCGGCAAGTTTCGCAAGCCTCACGCGTACAAACTCGTGTCTTACGGCGTGTGTTTGTTTTCGGAATTGGATTCAGAGGCAGTCTTTCTGTCATACTCTGAGATGGCTGGTTGGAAGTCAGTCCGACGGCTCAGGCCTGTTCAAAACAAGCAACTCACATTGTTTATGATGCTCTTTGAAAGTAACTCCTAGAGCAAACAGGTGGACTGATTAATGTTGCTGACTTTCTAGGCGAGAGAATGATTATTAGGCGGAATACACCTGTTGGTTGGGTCGTCCTCCCTTGGCAGTGGTGGATGGTTAGGTGCTTGATACTGAGCGAAGATAGACGATGTTGAAATATGAAGTGATGTGTGTTGTCTAGACTTGTGATACTTAGGGCGTCTTGGCCCAGATGTGTTGTCGAAGTTGTCAAAGCTGAAGCAATAAAGGTTGTAGGTCGCTCTACATAGATATTCCTGAGAGGTGCTCCTCAGAGGCGCTCCTCAGGCTACACGTTGCCCATATATGTTCTGGTGTGCTTGCTAAGATTTTCCCCGCAGCCACGACTTTGGAGGGGCGGTCTTGGTGCGAAGGCCGAGCGTAGAGGCTGAGACTACTACGGTATCAGGCATAAGTAAAACCCCCTGTTCATGTACCTGTGGGGCTGGCTCTGCCAGCCAAGCTATTCCCCTTTAGGCTTTGGCTAGGCCTAAAGGGGTAATTCTATTCGCACGCCGCCTATAGCCATCTTTTCTGCCACCTTCTGTCTCTTCGTCACTTTCTCCTCTCAACACCACAACCACTACAACACCATAATAAACAACCACTATAATGGCGCGCGTAAGCGGAATCCATACAAAGCAGCTAGATACAGCTGAAAGGCAGCGAATTCGTACGCTTTACTTCGACGCGCAAATGGGCCCTTCAGAAATCGTTAAAAGGACCGGCTTTACAAAAGACCAAGTGCGTAACGCTATACGCGCTAAATCAGCTACGCCAGCACCACGTAGTGGCCGCCCACGAAAGCTCAACGCGCAACAGGAGGCTCAGCTTGTTGAATATATAGTCTCCTCAAAGGCAGGCCGCCGGGCTAGTTTCCTTGAATTATCGGTTCTTCTCTTGAAAGGCCAGTTTGGTGCGTATGCTATACGCGCAACGCTTCGCCGCCTTGGCTTTAAGAGATATATCGCACGCCGCAAACCTCCAATTACGGAAGAGACCCGTCAGAAACGCCTCGCGTGGGCCCACGAGTATGTGAACTGGACTGTTCAGCAGTGGCGTTCTGTTCTATGGTCTGACGAGACCTGGATTATGGGCGGCTACTATAAGAAACAGTACGTTACGCGCCGTCACGGCGAAGAGTGGGATCCCACCTGTATTATCGAGCGACATCAGCGTAAGCAAGGCTGGATGTTTTGGGGCTGCTTTGCTGGGGATGAGAAAGGCCCAGGCCTCCTCTGGGAGAAGGATTGGGGTACGATTTCAGCTGCTACGTACCAACAGCATACAGTCCCTCTCATCGATATGTGGATTAATATATGCCGTCGCACACGCGGCCAGGACTTAATCCTCATGCAAGACGGTGCCCCAAGTCACTCAGCTGCGAGTACGCTTGCTGAGTTCCAGCGACGAGGCGTACGGGTTCTACCATGGCCACCGTATTCGCCAGACCTAAACCCTATTGAGGCCTGCTGGAATAAAATGAAGAACTATATTGAGGATAAATACGGCTTAATTGAGAAGCCCTCTTGGGAGCAGTTACGCGCGTGGGTTATGGAAGCGTGGAATGCCCTCCCAGAAGGTTACCTCTGGGACCAGTTGGCTACGATGCCAGACCGCTGCCGCGCAGTGATTGAAGCCAATGGTATGCATATCAAATACTGATTTAGCTATAGAAATCGAGGAAATTCGATGAGTTTCGCTTACGTCAAGCACCCGGGCTGTGTGTGTGATCATTGGTTGAGAGTCCCTCGCATGTGGAGCAGGACTTCGCTGGGGGTTTAACTTACCCTTGAGACCATAGTAGTCCACAGGGGACCATGTAACCCGGCATGGTCAGAATGAACCACAAATTACGTCGGATTTGACCAGAGGATTCCAACGGGCGACCCGCCATCCTCTGCTTGACATATCGCGGAAGAAACACCCTTGCAGCCGCTAGGAGACTTGGCACCTATTGTGAGCAACGGAGTAGATGCCGCAGTGACCCCCTCGACACCGGCAGCTCGCCCCCATCGCTTTATTCCTGCAAAGCAAGCGGAGGAATCTCCTTAAAACGAATGGCATGCTTCTTCTGACCAAGTTAGCGAGAAGCCCCGTCCACGGAACACGTACCCTGGTCATGTCGAAATGGCTGGTCGCCTTGGTAGAGACAGTATGCAATCTCAAATCACCCGGTGATAAGGCTCGGGCTGGTTGACTGCAGCATCAGTGGCGAAACACGGATGACCGAAACCATTTTGGATTCGAGCAGCTATGTCCAGTCAGAGGACGGCGAAGCTAGGTCCAGAATTTGGACATGGCTTCATTGATTCCGGTGTCCAAAGGCCATTCACGGCGCCCCTCCGATTGTCCGTTTTCGCCTCAACAGCATTCCATCTTTGACGAAGGCCAGGGGTGGGCGGGGCCTACTTGAAAGACATTCGAAAATCTTGCCGGAGCAACTCCGTCGCTTCTAATTGGTCAATTACACACGGAACAACATCCGGAGACGATTCGGACGTCACTGGCGGGGACTACCGAGAATGTTGCCATGGAAGGGGAAAATAATAATTCAAAAGCAGAGAAACTAAAGAAAAACCCCAGCTCCTAAGTACCAAATATGTCAAGCCTATCGCTAGCCTTTGGCCAATTATCGAAGGGACTCTTACAGGGTTCAAGGGCCTGCTCAAGTGCAGGCAACATGCAAAGTTGAGGGGTCATCAAGCCATTTTCTTCCCTCATTGGCACATGGCGGCCGCCTCTGTGTGCCACCAAAGTCCCTCCACCATGGCTGGTGGTAGTGAAAATGTTATTTTCCCGCTTCTTTCACACACATTCTGTTGTTGTCAAGTACTTCCATGGGAGAGTTAACCACATCGAACACATCAATCGAGGCTGCATGGGGACATTTATGTATGTAAACCCAGCCAATTTTCATTTGTGGATATGAGCAAGCAGCCTGATCCCATGCTCTGCTTACTGTAATTTCCGAATGGCATTTGCAGGCAAGATACGACATTAGTGATGCATGGTGTGCAAGGACAGGAAAGACATGAATGGTGCCCACGCTGCTGCTGAAGATTGGAGGAGTTTTATGTATCCATTAAGACCTAGACCAGCAAGGGAAGTCGCACCGTTTCAAATGTACACATACGGCTCGGATTTCCTCAGGGGCGCCTTGATATGACCCTAGCAGCTGGGCATCCAAGATCCTGTTTGAGGTTCTCCAATTTTGGCGCCAGGCAGCCCTGTACTTTTTGGGGACCTTGCTAGCATTCATATCGAGATTCGCGAAACCTTCAAGTTCTGGATCCAGAGTTATGACAGGATCATCCGCAGTGCGCATGCGCTTTATGATAAATCGACGGCATCAAGCTCTGCGTGCTGCTCTTCCATTTGTCATATCAAAAATGAAAGGGAGACTTCTATGAGAATCCGATCAAGAACGTTTGTTACAAGAGCAAGACGAACAGTCTCTGAACATTCAGCACAGCATTGTAGCAACGGCGGAACGATGTTGGAGGGGAGGCCCGGGGTACCAGACCCGTGCCTCTGGTTTAATCTGGCATCTGTTTTGCTCGTACCCTTGCTTAGGTCCTGACCTACCATAACCCCTGGCTAGGCCGTTGATATCAAAGACTAACTGTAGGTTTCACAGGGGGTGAAACAGGGGGTGAAACGGAATTCCGTTCGTCAATAACAAATAACAGTAAATTGGTTCTAATCGATGGTTCATGATTGTTGAAAGTGGTGTTGTTGACTAGAAGGTGGGGATATTCCCCCTTGGCCTGTCACGTGGGTCTGGGAGGCTTGGGCCTCTCAGCCTGGCGGGCGTGTGGCTGGAAGTGCCACACGACTCCGTATTCCAACTATCGCAACACTGGAAACTCTCTTTTTATGGTGTTGAAGCGGTTGGAATACGTTGTCCCTATACAGTTCCGTCTCCTCGTCAATTCGGCCTCCTATCCCTACTTTCTCCCGTAGTTACGGTCTTGTTACCCATCCCTCCATACGTATCGTTATCGTGTTGCTATCAACGAATCTCTCGAGGGCTCGATTTGGTTTGCTCTTCGTGAGGGCATCAGCAGGGTTGTCTTCGCCGTTAATCCAACGAATTTCTTGTAGTTCTCGTCTTTCGTACGATTGTCTCAACGCCATGATATCGATCATGAGTCGCTTTTCTTTGGTAGTGCCCAGCTTCACGAGACACTCGTACAGCGAATAGGAATCGGTACAGACAACTGTCTGAATCGTTGGTAGGTTGAGGTGGTCAGTGATTGTCGCCAGGGTTGTGGCGAGGGCGTAGGCCATATCGACGCCAGCGACCATCCCGTAGATCTCTGACGCTAATACGCTGCGGGTGACTCGTTTACTCTTCGTAGAGCTGTAATGAACGAGGTTACCGTGAATCGTGAATTCTCCGTTGTTGCTGTCAGAGGAAGTGTCGTTGGCTAGGATGATCAGAAACCCTAATTGGGAGGAGAGGTCGTGGTTATTAGCGAACGACCCGTCAACGAAAACGAATAGCTTGGCTGTTGTAAGGTCGAGTGGGATAAACGTTATTCCTCGGTTAGGCGATTCCATTTGCCATCGAATCCGTTGATTCAGTGCTTTTATCGCTTCTGGCGAGGGGTCTTGGTGTTGGGCAGCAGTGGATAAATCGAAACAGGCCTCGGGTTGGCAAATTGACGCGATGTACGCCCCTCTGGCGCGTTGTTCGACATATTGCTGTTTTGGGTTGGGTTTAGTAGTCTCAATACATCGTAACTTCTTAGCTTGTCCCTTTTGCCTCAAATTGATCGAATTGTCGGTTGACAGCGCGATTATCCCTCCGTTGAATTGGAGGGGTTCGTCAATTGTGAGGATATTCTTCGCTTTTGCCGTAAAAGCCGCTTTTTCTAACTGTTCGTCTTCTAATTGTGAGAACGCCTTGTCTGACAAACCGAGGGTATCGTCGGTTTGCATGCCGATACAGCCAAAGTGTGGATTTTCGGTAGATGAGATCAATAGGCATGGATCGTACGAAGAAGTAACCATCTGGAGATTCTCTCTGTGATGCTTGTGATACGTTGCCCACCAGTGGGTTCCAGCTTCTGCGATTCCGTACAGAGGCTTCACAACCTCCATAATGGTCCCTTTTGGGTACTGGTCTTGAATTTGCTTCGGTGGGTAGGCGAGAATAGTGCGATTGAGCCTTGTGGAGGATTGAACGTAGGCTTGTGTGATATCTCGAAGCCATAGTTGTTTCCCTTCTCGTAGGAGTGACGGGGTAATTGACAGAATTAGCCGTTGACTCGCCCGTTGAATCGTTGGCGATTGGGTCAATATAGCCTTCTTGCTATCGTCGGCGTAACCCTGTATTACAAGTCTCGATTTCTCGTAGGGTTCGGTTGTTTTACCCTTGACTTCGTTGACGATACGAGATCGGAAGATTCGTACGTTCTGGTGCCTTCTCTTATTGAACTGGGTGAATTTGAACACTCCTCTAGCGATGAGGCTGTTGATCTCTTGTTTAGTTGACTGTTCGAACGGTTCGCCTGGTGTAGTAATAACACCTTCTCGTCGTAGTTTGATTGCTAATTCTTCGTCTGCTTGCTCCTTAATCGATAGGAATATTTGTTGATAATCCGGGTCATCGTTGAATTCCTCTGTGAAGTGGGCGATTGGCAGTGGTCTCTTCCGGGGTCTGCCCGGGCGTCTTCTCGGTGGCTCCGGTGCCTCTTGCGGTTCGTCCGGTTCACTGCCTCCGCCGGCGACGATAATTTCGTCGCGTACTACTTCCTGCTGCGGTATCTCAGCTTCGGGTTCTTCTTCTTCTGGCGCGGCGATGGAATTAGGTGGTTGATCGGGATCTTCGTAGTATGGTTTGACTACGGTAGACCGGAAGGTCTTCGGACCACGTGGCGTATCGACAGTACAGGTTTCGCCGTTTATGGCTGCTAAAGTAAACGGTCCGGTCCAGCCCTTCTTTTCGCGCCATACTCGTACTTGCGACCGTAGCGGTAAATTAACAATTGGCCCTGTATCAGGGCCATTGCGGGTGGCGATAGCTTCTGCCACCTGTCGCCTTGCGTGAAGTTCGCGTACTTCGCTCGTCGCCTTCTTAATCGCTTTCGCCCGCCTTGTGACTTCGGGAGATGGCGGCGAATCGTCGGTAATTCGTGGGTACGAGCCGAATACCAAGAGTGTTGGCACTATTCCGTTCGGGCCAGCAGTATCGTTAACTGCTTTGACTGCTGTTTGAAGTGCTGATTCTGGCGTAATTGTTGGGTCTTCTGCTCTGATGATTTCGTACGCCCTCCTTAGAGGTGTATGGTATCGTTCAACTTTCCCAATACTGTTGTGGGCTTCTATGGGAATTTCCTTGATTTCAATTGCCATTCCTCTCGCCGCGTTTCGGAATTCTGTTGAGCGGAAGTTTGTTCCAGCGTCGGTAACTAGCCAGTCTGGGGGTCCCTGATACACATCTATCCAGCAGAGGCGTAGGGCTTCCCAAGTGGCTTTCGCAGAAATGTCCTCAAGGAACCGGGCGGCGTTGAACGCCGTGGCGGTATCGACGACGTAGAGGACCGGTCTGTTACCCTCAAGGTACATCACGTCGGCGATAACCTCGTAGTTGAATTCGTAATCGTCTCGTAACGTGAATTTGAACCGTGATGGCGCTGGTGCGTGCATTTGGCATC